TGAATAGGTTAATAGAGCATCCTGATTTGGAAGTGGTGAATTGTTTGTGCGAGAGTCGATCGATTCATTGCTTTGTACTGTAATTTATTCTAGTAGAGGATATCTGTTTTTACTGCCTTAGCACCTTATCTCGGTGAAGACTAGTCGACTACCGTGTATTGTGCCTAAGAGGGCTTGGTCACTTTAAGAGATTCCAAACTAGGTTCAGATCTTCCGCAGTATAAATCTGAATTGAATTGGACTGAGTGAATTACAACTAGACTTAACTGCCAACTAGGGGAATCATTACTTGAGTGGTTCCTTCTCAAACTTGAGAACCAGAACAATTTCTTGCTTTCTGTTTAATTTGCTTTGAACTCGCTACATTTCAACCGCTAAATAATAGAAATTCACAGAGTAGACAATACACCTAGACATGGGTTGATAAGTAAAACTAAACCACTATTATGCATTTCCATTCTACGATTATACTTGGTCGTAGTTTGGTGTTGTGTTTTAGCGAGTCATGAGGCCAATCCCTGCCCTCGAGCTAAGCTGGATTGCCTTGTCCTTGTGAACATTAGGAGATACAAACATCGTCGATTTGATGTAATTAACTCTTTGACCAGAGCTGGCAAAGAAGTCGTCAAGGCAATTCTTAATGATGTCGATCTGGTTCCCCTCCGCTTTTGCAAACAAAACAAGATCGTGAACGAAAAATAGATGGGAGAGTTTTGGACCATCCTTTGACAGAGTCAAAGGTTTCCAAAGCTTCTCCTCAACTGCTTGTTGTATTCAGGTGAGAGATGGTCTCCCTGACGAACTCCTTTGGTAGGAAGAATAGGCTCAGAGAGACAACCATTTCAGTTGATCTCCATTTTGTTTCTTTCGACACAATCCATAATCCTTCTGGTAAGAGAGCTAGAGAGCCCCACTTCTCCCAGAGTATCTCTGATGAAATCTCAGCGCAATCTATCATACGCTTTTTCAAGGTCGATTTGATCACTAAACTACTCCTCTTTCCCTCCTTTTTCCTCAAATAATGAAGATTGTCCCGGAGGAGAATGATGTTATCATTCTTTTGCCTCCCATGAATAAAAACCGCTTTGAGTAGGGGCCATAAGCTTTGGCATGATAGGTTTCAAATGGTTGGCTATAGTCTTGAGAGTCACATTGTTCAAACATATAGGCATGAGTTGAGCTGGAGATTCTGGTTGCTCAGTTTTTGGAATTAATACTATCGTCGAATCAATGATATCCTCCGCCAGCTCTCATGTCTCAAAGAATTTGCAGGCCATATCTGCAAGACTTATCCCAACCACTGCCTAGAATTTTTGATAAAAAATAGCTTGGTACCCATCGAGCCTGGAGCAGAATAAGGTTTCATCTAAAAAATAGACCTACGTATGTCAGATCTATGCACTGGATGATGAAGCATCAAGATGTCATTTTGCTGCAATCTCGCCGGCGGCCCTTGCGAGTGAGTCTCCGATGAGGTTGTCGACTTTGCTTCCAGGCCTCCTATGATGGCCATTAGATTTTCTTGCCTCAGCTGAGGACATTTGTCTTCCTAGTGTCCAATTCTCCCACAATGGTAACATATGGTCGGTGTTAGAGAATGGTATAAAATCCAACATAACCTTCTCCCAACAACTTGAATTATTGAGACCAATTGGTTTATGACATAGTATCAGAGCCTAGAACTGAAAGGTCATGTGTTCGAATCTCCACGACCCCTAATATTAACCGTTGTCTTTCAAGCACATGGTATGGTGGGCCTTGCAAACTTCAAGTCTATGGGTTGACTTTCGTTTGCGGGGGTGTGTTAGAGAATGGTATAAGATCCAGCATAACCTTCTCCCAACAACTCGAGTTATTGGGACCAACTGGTTTATGACGAAGATTTTTATATAGAACTGCTGGCAAGAAATTGTCGAGCCAAATCCTTGTAGGCAGGGGCTTTGTCGTATCCAATTCCACAGCAATGCGAGCAAATTTACTTCTTTCCAGATGCTCAATATGAATAATCGAGCTTGATAGTCCTTCCGGTGAAGTTTCCGAGTGCAAAAAGGATTTCTATGTGGTAAAAAGGTACCGGTAGCTCTAGAAGTTGCACCCACGCCACCACCAATCGATGAGGTTTATCAGAAGATCGGAAGGAAGGGGACCGTTGATGAACGATCAAATAATGATCAATGATAACCCAGGGGCCTCCCTTCAAAACTCTAAGAAATGTGGTTAAGAACGCGTCGTTGTTAAGGTCCATGATTTCCAGAGAGCCCACCGGTCGCCATTTCCATCGCAGTTGGGAAACAAGATATGAGTAGGTAACAGATCTACCAAGGAGCCTGACGATTAGAGTCTTTTTCCATGGTTCGCATAGTCATTCTTTCAGCGAGGCAGAGACTTTCAGGGTCGGTTGTCCATGGAAGGTAGACTTCTCCAAGTCTTTATCACCAACGAAAGTCCATTTTGCTAATCTGGGTGGACTCGCCTGATATGCACCAGCTAACGCAGCTTTGAAGTTCAAAGATGGTGTTGGTTGAATTTGCCTTGCTTGATTGTCCTGGTTTTGGCCAGAAGGGTCCGGCGATCTGTCCTAGGGTAACAAGGTAGTCGCCGGAGAAGTTTCGAGAGTGTTAAGAGTCGAGAGCATTTTAGAAGAAAATTCTTGGTAATGGATTGATTAGTTTCGATCATATGTTATATCATCGTATCATACTAATGTTACCAATTAAAATTCATAATTCGATGTATTAATATTACTTTTAGAATTTAGTGCATTAAACATACTATTTTTGTGAATCGAAGAAACCACAATTTGATATTTGTAATATGAAAACTAAATGGTGATAGTATTGAATCAAATTCTTATTTGTCTAATTGATATATAAGAGCCTTAATTGTGGGCCATACTATTCATTAAGCGATATTTTTGTAAATAACTCAAACTTCACGAGTATATGTGACCTTGCTTCTCGGTGGGCAACTGGGCATCTTTTATGTTTGTCTCGGTGTTATTTTTCCTTTCATGTCTCGTTATTAACCTCTGCTAATAACCCACGCTTCGGAAGAGCTACACGGAGACTAAAGCTATGGCAATAGCTTCATTTTTATACGTCAGATGATTCAATCTCTCTCTTTCTACTTAAATTCATCTTCTTCCCAGTCATGTTCATGGCTTCGGCTCACTTAAGTTTTGTTTTTCAGCCATATTCCTATAATTAAAAATATTATTTCCATGGATAATACTATTTTGAAATATGAGGCCTTATTAAAAATGAGTCCAATCTATCTATCTCACTCTTCGTCGTCGAAATTCATTATTCTCTCATTCACGGTTTCACTCTCTCTAAAATCCCGTTTAGAAGTCATATTTAGGTAATAGAAATAATTATTTTATTTTGCACAAAGCTATTTCAAAATTTGATGTCATATTAGCCATCTAGTCCAATTTACTCTCACAACTCATAAGAGTAGTGTTTTGATGATTATTTGACTCAGTCGTTTCAACCTGATCATACTCAATAGTCAATAGTATGTAGATCGACTTCCTTTAATACTTAGTCTCATTGACTAGCGAGTGTAAATTGCTATAAAGCTCTCTCACAACATTTTTATAGGTTTCCTTTATACTTTTGCAGTTGTATGTTATGAGATATATTTTGCTAATTTTTTCATACGATGCAATTACAAAAACAATCTTCCGCTCGTCGCGAAATGCAAACTAGTTGTATCTTATTTAGTGTTTTTTTTTTATGAAAACTGAAAATAGGAGCTCTTATATTCCTTCGTATCCAAGTATCTTATTTAGTGATTTTTTTATGAAATCTGAAAATAGGAGCTCTAATATGCCTTCGTATCCAAGTCTCTGTTTTCATACAGGAAGGAGCAATTTGGGGGACAAACAAAGTCTAATAGAAGTCCGGTTCCTCTCCATTAAGCGTCGCATATTGCGTGAATTAGTAGTTGGCTTTAGATATAAAAGAAAAAATTAAATAGGTAGCTGGCAAGTGGATGAACATTCACATTTATGTTAGTAACCAACTCTCGCAAGTGATCGTGGAAGCCTTATTAAAACTTCGAAAGCAACAAGCTGAGATCAGCTGTCATAGTGTTGAACTTACCACGCAGACAGCTGAAACCACTCAACCAAACTTCATCAATATAGAAAACAAACCAATGACACAGCCAACAAACCCAAAAAAGAAGTTGCAAGAAAGCAGGAACGAAATGAGAACGCGTTCTAGCAGGCGATTGTAGCTCAGAATTCGGCGTCCCAAGTTCACTGACTATAAAAGCCACAAGATCAATGTCCGGCAATCTACTTGTACATGAAACAGGAAAACGAAAACCAAAGAAGCGTCGATCCAGTACTAGGAGCTCGGGCTGGTTCATTCTTTTACTGTAATGTTGCCTCATATCATATACCCCAAACACTAAACACAAATACTAGCGAAAATAACATCGTTTTCGCCCCGTATAACCACAATGGATCGAGGAACAAAAAGCAAATGCACAAGGCAATTCACCACCGCCATGTCTTCTTCCCTTTGTCGAGCGCCAGGAGGGAAAACTGAGCTTCCCATCCACCCACTTCCTGGAATTGTCACAATGAGGTGCAATTTTGCTTTTAGCATTCCCCTGAGCTGAAGAAGAACATCACTCACTGTCCCATTACCAAAAACACACACGCCATCATCAACTGTTTGCTCAACCTACCTGCCGACTCATTACTCACAACGATTGTCTTAGTGTACTAAAGATTTGACTTCTTTGGATTTGTGTATCCAATTCCAAGCAAGGGCCTACTCAATCAGAGTCGGTCATTCCACGCATCACTACCAAAGTATCTATTCTGACTTATATTTTCCTCAGTTGGGTCCCCAAGCATTTCCTTCCTTGGATGATTAGGGGGGGAAAAAGGAAAAAGAAAAAGAGAAGAGCAAGTTACCAAATCTACCCACCGTACCTTAAGCAGTCATCATACAGTAAGTAAACATGAAGCCATCCAAACTTCTTCACTTGTACGGAGCAAAAATGATTGACGAGTTGTGACCACCAAACCCGAACGAATTCGATAGCGCAGCTTTCACATCCAGTCTTTCTTTCTTCGGCCCGACCAGCACGCTCGTATTCTGCATCGTTCCAACAAAACAGTATAAACGCATTGAGTAAATGGAACAGTAGGGTATGAAGAGGACACAGCTGCATGATGGAAATGGAGCACATACCACCCCCTCATCAGGAGTTTCCAGATTGATATTTGGATGAACCCATCCTGTTCGTATTGCCTAAGACACCATTGATTAGATCCAGCATCAGAAAGTTGATACAGAAAGCTCAAGATAAAAGGGACTTTACAGCACTAACAAAATGGTTTCCACACAGTTTAAAACTGCTTACCTGTACTGCAGCAATTGCCTCCACAGCTCCAGCTGCTCCAAGTAAGTGACCAATCATAGACTTCGTAGAGTTCACCTTCAACTGCAAGTGCAAAGAAAACGATAAGATTCAGCGACCACCATATACTTGTAGTTTCCAAATAGGAATAACTAGGTGAACGTGCATTTCATATACGCACATCAGGATTTTTGCCAAAGCAATGCATCAGAGCCTGATACTCTTTAAGGTCTCCAGCAGGAGTTGATGTAGCATGTGCATTTATGTAGTTGACTTCTTCCTTGGATACTCCAGACTGTGCTAAAGCCTTCTCTATGCAAAGAATGACTCCCGAGCCTAGGATTACAAAGTTGAAAGGATTGTTAGTTGGCTCACACATGGTAGTTCAACATATGATATTAAGATTAGTGCAGAGAGGCACAACTTAGAGAATGAACAAGGTGGTAGAACAATTAGTGCACAACCCCATTACCATCAGGGCGTGGCTCAGTCATATGATAGGCATCACAAGTGAAGCTTCCCCCGAGAAACTCAGCGTATATGGTGGCACCTCTCCTCTGGAAACGAAAACTAAACTTACATCAGTCTCTGGAAAATGAAAGAACGACAGTTACATTAGTTTTTGGAAGGCATAGCATGAACACCAAGTTTATGCATTTCAAAGGAACTACAGATTTTAAGAAGCTGTTGGGAGTATGATGTGCAAGTGAAGGTGAATCAAAACAAGCATGCAGTTATATGATTAAGGATTCGGCTCCATAGACCCTTTTAGTTTTAGGGACAACCCAAATACGGGAACAAACAACTAGGACCTGATCTCCACTTGCAGTGATTTCAAGAAGTGCATACCTTGGCATGTTCTAGCTCTTCAAGAAGCAGAACACCAGCTCCTTCACCCATAACAAATCCATCCCGATTCTGCTCATTTTATGAAACAATGAAAACGATAAGGTAGGAAACACAAGGAATGTAAGACGAACAAGAAAAATATACTAAATCAGGAAGATATCACGAACAGACATACAAGCAATGATAAAATAATACTTAATCAAACAATGCTATAAACTCTAGAATCACAGCCATTCAGGTCAATGACTATGACAGAGGTTTTGAAGTTGATGACATTCGACAAACATGGAGCATTCAATTTATTGATTCCGGTTGAGCTAAACTATTAGCTAGAATTATTAAATATTTGGTCTCTTGTTTTCAAGCTATATCATATAGTTGAAGGACTGAGTTCCATTTATAATATACGTGCTTTAACTGATCTCAGCAACAACATATGGCACACTAAAAGTTGACAAAAAACACTCTACGAGATCACAGCTCCCAGCCCAGAATTAGGCTGCTATTAGTGTATGGACGATACTATGGCAATTGACTAGAACTCATCTTGTTCATTGATAAGAAGTTAGTTTACAGAATTTATCAGTTGGAAATTTTTATTATAGATCTCGTTAATCAATAGAGCTCAGCCTAAGTAGCTCCCCTGATCTAGCAATTAAGGAAGCAATGTAAAGACCGGGAGGATTATCTCGTCCAACAAGCCCTTGTAGCAGACCTAGGAGGAGCCACAAACAGAGTTTGCAGTCAAGTGTCTGTGACCATTATCCAAAACTAGTAAGTTTTCACCATAGCCAACGATATGGGGAAAGACTAAAGGCTTATCCAGAAGTATGATCAAGGCAGATTTTTCCGAGCAGCCCAGCAGGGAGCCATCAAAATATTTCAAAAGTATCAAAACACTACCTTATCCCAAGGCCGTGAAGCTCTGGTAGGCTCATCATTCCTCTGAGAGAGCGCTCTGCAAGCGACAAAGCCTCCCAAACCTGTAACAAGAGAAACAAGATCAGTCACTTTAACAGACAGTGGAAGGTCCATATCCTAGGGAAAGAGGAAATAATTACCAATTGGAATAATAGCTGCATCTGAGCCACCACAAAGCATAACATCCTGAAAATTGACAGCAAACACAACTATGTCATCAGCAGAACCTTCAGTTTCATTATTCATATTTTCCACAACTCACAGTTGACTGCTCAGCATAAATACAAAGGACTTACAGCTTCGCCTCTAATAATATGGTTGGCTGCATTTAGTATACAGAAGTTACTTGTAGCACAAGCTGTCGAAATAGAATAGTTTGGCCCCATCCAACCCTGAAACTCAATAATTAGGATATCAGAACCCAAATTAAACATGTTATGATCTCCATTTCCTTAAACAAAAACTTACAATATCCATTGCAAGCATAGCAGAACCCATATTTGTGGTCGCAAATGGTACACAGAACGGGTTCATCTTTCGGTAAGAGACCCTTAGAGCTTCAATGGCATCATTGAAAACCTGTGCATAAATTATACACAGAAGATGATCACGGAATCTTGAATTACAAATGATGATGACTCTTCTGAGGCAGGGAATAGCCAGGAATTGCATTTAACAGACAATAATTACTCCAACATGGCATAAAAATGAAAACCTTGAAGTTACCGAATGGAAGAGTAAACATGAGCAGCAAAGAAACTATAAGTTCTCATTTTACTGAGGTGAGAAAGCAAAAGTGACGTTGGTACCAACGATATCACAATATGGCTGCTCTAGCTCCCCTCACCCTGATGCAATATTATTTTGGCAAGACCAGCAAAGAAAGCAACAAAGTGGCGCTCTATGAGATGGGACAGTTGAGCGGCCATCATAGAATATCACCTCATCTTAGCACTCTGCCTAAAAAGAATAAAAACTCTACAGCTGAAGCATTACCTTCATGCCACCCATTCCTGAGCCAATTAGAACACCACATTTAGCTTTATCCAACTCATTCATTACATCCTCAGTAATACCACCATCTGCCAAAGCCTTTTTCCCCGCAATGAGCATGTAAAGCATGAATTTATCCATTCGCTTAGAAAATTTGGGTGAAACCCATCCATCAGTTGAAAAAGACTTGATCTCCCCAGCAATTCTCTGATCAGTTGAAGAGAAAGAAATTAAAGAACATACAAAACGTGAGCCAAGGAAAACATGGTCAGTTACACATTGCTAGTTATCCAATGAAATTTTGACATCTTACTGTTGGGAATTTAGCACAATCAAATGTCTCTATCTCGCTTACGCCACTGCAACCTTCCAGCAGATTATTGTAGAAGACATCTGGATCATGACCAAGTGGAGACACAAGACCCATCCCAGTCACAACCACTCGCCTTTGCTTAGTAACAGGTTTCTTTTTGGTTGCAACCTCCTTTGCAGGTTGCACAGCAACGGCCATTGCTTCTCCTGAAAATGTTTGAATAGATTTACAGCCACAGGTACATGCAACTAAACAGAACAAACTGTGCATTTACGACAACCAGTATGATTAAGTTGATTGCAATGGATGATACAGGCAGCATTGATCAACGAGACACGAGATGCATAATCTTTTCTATTGGAGATGTCCAAATTAACTACTATTTTTACTGGGGAGATTCCATGGTTCCTTGATCTTTTTATTCACCCCCCACCCTCCTCTTCTCCCTTCTTTTACAGAACAGATAGGCTGGACAACAACCAAAACCGGGCAACCAAGATCAGAGAAATGTAAAAGCATTTGCGCACTTATTATCCCCCCCAAAAAAAGGCATTTGGAGGCCTCAAGGCTTAACATCGGTTTGATAAAAACAATGAGTTATATGAGCTGGTATACCAACCCAATTGGTACGAAAGCAAGTGGGATATACACGACCCTTACCACAGTATTAGTTTCTAAACTCCATTAGCGCCAAGAAACATATGCATCCAAGAGATTGTAGTTGCGCCATAACTGGTTTTCACTTTCGAGAAACTTAAAGGCCAAGCGACGATAAAAACGAGGAAAACTGGATATCTAACGCATAAACCAAGCATCATAGTAAGAGAAACGTTCACAGCAAATCTTGCCCCAGACGCACCACGTAGATACAACCGAGAGAACCATCCAGGTCCCAATTCACGCAAAATGAATGAGCAGAGAACCAAAAAAAAGAATGGGGAAAAAAAGACCGAGCAGAATTGACAAGCAAAATGGAGGCAAAGAAGTGGAAATCGTATTGAAATCGAACAACGAAAAATGAATTAAGGTAGCATGAGATGGAACATTATTTACCAGAATAAGAAGGGCGACCGAGTCGCCTCTGCCTTCGGTTGAGATTTGTGGATCGGAAGGCGCCATTGGAGGTGTAGTACTGGCTGCAAGGCTCGAAGGCCAAGCAAGAGTTCATCAAATCTTGAAAGCTGGATCCACAGAGAGAAGAGACGAAGCGACTGGAGAGCGAGTGGGAAGTAGCAGCGACGGCGGATGTGGCGGCGGCGGCGTTACATTTGGATAGAAGCAGCTTCCGCCTGCGGCTGGTGGTGAGTTTGGAGCTTGAGGAGGAGGAACGGAACGCGTGTGCACTGGTCCGGTGGTCCTGGTCGCACGTGACGGACATGCACGCCGCCACCAGCCACGTGCACAACGGAGACGAGAACGATGTCGACCCCGCCATTATCTTCCTCTCTGAATTTTCTTTCTTCTTCTCCCTTTCTTGTTCTTTTCTCTCTGTACCTCTCTTCCTTTAACCACCTCTCGTTCTCTGCTTCTTCAGTTCACAGAGTTAAAGAAATCCCCAAAAATCAAGAAAATTGATTCCTTACCGAAAGCTGAGAAAGGAACCAATCAGTCCAAGAGAGAGAGAGAGAGAGAGATTCAGGCCACACACTAGTACAGCCAGTCAGTAAGCCAACCAGCCCGGTCAAATTCGAGGCCGCGGCGGCGTTGGGGATTGACGGCGGAGGAGTTAAGAGGAACGCATTCGATCTCTGTATCGCGGCGGTGGTTTCTGTCGACGTTTACGAGGAGGAAGACGGGGGGAATTTGGTGTTTAGGGTGTGGGGGCAATCTGAGAGACGAAGAGCTCAGAGCAACAGTGTTGCCAAGTACGCTCCGTCTTCTCTCTCTGAATCGGGGGAGAGACTGAAATAGCGAGCAGGGGGGGCAAATGCTATAAAATATATATAATAGAATATATAAAAGGTTGGGAAAAAAGAGTTAAAAACTGCAGGGAATGGGAAACTAAAATGTGGAAGAGATCTGTGACCAAAAATATTTGTTTATTTTGATAATCTTCCAATTGTTATTTATTTTCTGATATTTTCGTGCTTAGTTTCCCTTTAAACAATCGTAATAATAATTAAATTTGTATAAATGTATTTTTCTCTGCAGACAAATGAAATTAATGTTTATCACCACCAAATGGAGAAGTGCTTCCTGCCCGCACTGTGACAGGCGGTGTTTGCTGTAGGTAGAAATAACTATTATCCGAATAATAACAGGCAATTAGCGAAATACAGCATCTCGTAGTCCTAATAAAGTAAACTAGGCCCAACTGTCCTTTTTTGGGCATTGGTCCCGGATCTTTACGCAGGGAAGGCCCATTTAAGCCCGTTTACTTTAGGGTCAAGTTCATTCGTCCCTTCTCCTTTTGTGGATGTTTTAGGCCTACTCTCTATACATTTAGTGTATAGGGCTTGTTTGCTTTTATGGATTTGGTGAAAGAGTTTCATCTTTCATGGGTCTTGCTTTCTAGATAGTTGTAGTTCTTTTACTAGGCATGAAGTAGATTTTCTATTGACTTGGATGACGTGAACACTAATTTAAGATGTTTTAGTTTTGTGATTGTGAACCCTATGTTGTGATTGACATGAATGTTTATTTATCAGGATTATTGAATGTCATTGATCAATTCTCTCAATATTGGGGCCAATTGACCCAGGTGAGAAAAAAACTCCTAAGGGTTATTTTGGGCATTATTCAATCATCGGAAGGGGGCCATGAACGAAAGTGATTGGTATCTTTACACTAATCCTGATCATCACACGAAGGAGTGGATTTGGTTGCGCTAATTGCCTAATCCTATAGCTTGGTACACCTCTCTAGTTAGAAACTTAGAGCAATTAGGCGGGTTAGGAAAATTCAAATAGGAACTCCTTACTAGCTTTGATCTCCTAACGGCATATACTAGATGTGAATCACACTATAGTATCACGTCATTGACTTAACATGGTACTAGGGGGATAATGATTTGAGTGAAGCTTTCTCCATTGAATTGAACATTGTTTTACTTGCTTGCATGTTTGTTGGTTCATTAGCTTAAAACAAAGTTCTACCGCTAGATAATTTGTAGTCTGTCGCAGTAAGGATACATAGACCCTCCCGGGTTTGATAATTTGAAAAATACTTGTTATATACTACCCAGGTTGAAGATTACACTTGGCCTTCGATTGCGAGTGTAGAATCGAGTCAGATCTCTTTGATCACCAAGGCAACATCTTTCAAGTCAATGGTCAACGATGCAAACCATACTCCCACCCTACAACCACTCACTTTTGTGGAAGAAATTTCTCTTACTAACGACGTTTAGAAGAAATAGCTATGCCTAGCTCAAAGGTGTAAAAGAAGGAGTACTCTTGGGAGGCAGCCCAAGGATTTCTTTGCACTTTTCTTGTTTTTAGTGAGTTAATTCAATTCAAAAGTTTATTTTCCTCATTAAAAGTAAATTATATACATATTTTCAGTGTTTCATGCCAATTCCTGCACAATTCAAGCGAAGAAAAAAATAATCTTTCGTATAAATTTTATTATATTTATTAGTTCCGGTTTTTGTATGTTCTTTTTGTTTGGTTCCAAGATCAACCCAAGACTCCATATCGCCTTTTTTGTTAAGACAAAAATGGAGGATTGTCCAATCAAAATATTTTCGATTTGGTCAAGCAGTTTCAAGGAGGCAGGACGAAAGGAGAGTCAGTGGCGGTCGGCTCCGCCATCCCTTTTGATTGCCTACACAACTCCTCTTTCCTTCTGCAATATATACACAAAGAGAAGGGACCAGCGGTCCTACCCGTCATCGACCTGCCATCACCCATAAAAAGAGGACAAACCTACGCTTTGATTCCTCACACCCGACAAAGACTCTCACAACGATTCTGAAGTCCAGAAGTAAGAAGACCCATGCATAGATGCTGGTGGCGGCCATAGGAAGAGTCGTCAAGCAAGGAATTAAGAAAATATCATTGGAGAATGATGAGGATAGGAGCAAGAGAGCTACGATGCTGGTGACATGCCAACCCAAAGTAGCACTGATGGTTTGCAAGAAGGATGACATAGATGACATTCCCCTAGCATCAAGGATGGAAAGCATGAAATGATACTAGCACAGAATTAGTACTCGTAGTTATTAAAGTCGCACTTGCAAGAAAATGGATTAGGGTTAAGGATAAAACAAAATTAAAGTGGAATCTCACACATGGGAGAAGGCTCTATCAATATAGGGTAGAAGTTTGACCACACTCAAGGTTTGCACTCGATTGATACAAAGCACAAATTCAAAAGACAAACCTCAACGAACAAGGATAAAATTATTTATCTTCAAACTCTGCTCTAAAACTCTATTTTAAGCCTTTAAATAGGCAAAAGAAACAAAAACTAATAAAAAACCCGAAAAGGAAAAGGATCCTAAATACAAAAGGTAATTTGAAACCCGAAAAAACTAATCCATCCCCTGTCGTGCACCTTCAGATCCTAGACCAGGGATTAATAGCCACCTGACCGGGGGCTCTTCTGTTCCTATTCCCCAGTCTCTCCCTACTCATCCTCAGTCACGGATTTGGGTCCCTTCTGGTAGAGGGAATCACATTAAGCCCTCCCCTTGAAGAAGATTTGTCCTCAAAGCTTGTGTGTTCCCGTAAGAGAGATCATCACCAGAATTTCCCAACTGGATTCTTCTAAGATTAGTCAACATGTGCCTTCGAGCCATAAGATGGGTTCCACTTCCCTCCTCTGACTTTGAATCACTTGCATCCCCTTTTTCCCCTTGCCCAATTCAGCTCCTCTATTGTTGATATTTTCGAACTTCAGCTGGCAACAGTGGTTTGAGAAGAATCTTCCGACCTTCATGTTTGATCTTGTAGCAATTGCTCCTCCCCTCATGAACTACACCTCGATTGAACTGCCATGGATGACCCAACAGGAGGTTAGTTGCATGCATTGGTGCAACATCACAAAGAATCTTGTCTTTGTACTCTCCCATTTCGAATTTAACCAAGGCTTGCTTAGTGACCTTAATCGCGCCATACTCATTCAACCAATGTAGTGAGTAAGGTTCCAGGTGCTTCGTTGTACTCAAACTGACCTTCCTTTATGCTTCTAAGTCGATAACATTGATGCAACTACCACAATCAACAACCATCATCAAAACTTTACCGTTGACCAAGCAACGGGAGTGAAAAATATTATCCCTCTAGTCCATCTCTACAGGTGCTGCACTAGTTAAGGCTATGATCTTCTCTTCTACCTCCGGGAAACTAGATACGAAGTTAAGCTTTGTTAGTTTGTGGAGTTAGCAGTCACATTCCCTTCCTCTTCATCTTCAAAGACATATGCACCATCATCTCGAAGAACCATGGCACGTTTGTTTGGACATTGGTTGGCTTTATGACCTCGCCCCAAACAAACTTTGGATGCTTCCAGTCAATAATTCAGATCTGGCTTGAATGACAAGACCATTGTTTCTAAATGTTGGCTTGACTCCTTATGGCTTAAAATGATTCATAGTGGTTTTGTCCATGTTCTCTGCAAACGGTTTAGTTGAAAGTGGATACCTTCTTCCAGAGCTGACCTTTAGCTGCTTGTCCACCTTAATTTCTAGATGAATCACTTCCTCTAACTCCACAAACTAACAAAGCTTAACTTCGTATCTAGTTTCCCGATTGAGGCCATGTAGAAATTGAGAAATTGTAGCTTCCTTATCTTCTCTCATGTCTGACCTCATCAAGAGCAGTTCAAGCTCTCTAAAATACTCCTCAACAGATCATGCTCCTGGTAGAATCCCTTGCAATACATTAAAGAGTTCTCGTTGAAAGTAACCTGGCACGAATTTCTCTCTCATGAGCCCTCTCAATTCAGCCCAGGTTGTCACATTCGGGTACAAGTTCCTTCTTCTTCTGAGTTGTACCTGCTCCCACAATATAGCTGTATAATCAGTGAATTCATATTTGGCTAGTAATAGCTTTTATGGCTCGCTGTAATTGCCACACTAGAATAACAAGATGATCTTCCTATTCCAATCCAAGTATGTAGAAGAATTGATAGACCCGTGAAATGAAAGAATTGAAAGCTTGATCCCCTGTAAGTCAGCAACAATACCTTATTGTCCTGCTTCTGGTGGTCTTCCACCGTATTCACGAAATTCATGTTCTTGATGCACTTGATTGGGCTCTGTCGTGAATAACCTCAGCTCTAGGTTGCAAATTCTTTCATCTATATGTGGAGTTCCACAACATATATATGTGGAACCTTGACCACAACATATATATGTGGAGTTCCAACTACCAACCCAGTCAACAGGTAATTCTATAATTCTCTCTTTACCAACTTCTCCTTGTGATCAACAGGAGAATTGAATAAGTATAAAAAAATTAGTGCATAACATATAGAAACTCTTAACTCTATTTTCCTAATAATAAAGCCTAAAATCTTTCATATTCCAATTATGAAAGGAAATCGAAAACAACTTGGCTAGCTGTCTAGAAATCAATTGGGGAAAGGTTTTGAGAACCTACTGGAAAATAACGTCACCGCGGCCTGTTATGTATATCTAATTAACAATCAACATGAATCACGAATCTGAATTATACAACAAGTAGTAGTGAAGCTTTGAGCAGAATAGTCTAATGGGGACGAACCAAAGTGGGGATTGGTTTCATGGTTAAACGTTGGCGACATAGACTGAACACGAACTCGTACAACGCTAGCAAAACTTCACGATGCCACTATGAAGGTGGATATCAGTCACTATCTACTAGCTATGCAGCAAACAATGGAAAAGGAACGAGAGACGCGAATGCTGAGATGCAACTAGGCAGGGCTTGGCGACGGACGGGAGATTGAAATGACGAATCAAAATAAATTTTTTGAAGTCTGGGCGAGTGGGCGACTTTGGGTTGGTTTATGGTCAATCGGTTTGAGTTGCACATTATTAAACCATCGTAATGCCATATCACCCATCATTATCTGCGTGGACCAGTAAAAAAACAGCAGGACCGATGTTGCACTTTTAATAGCGGCATAGTATTGGCCATTAGACCCAGTCATGGCTGTGGGAAAAATTAGATCTTTTTAATTGAGCCCAACCCGATTGATTGTAGTATAAGCCCATAGTCAAATTGATGTGTCCAAATTACTTTTTCTTATCAGAAAAGAAAAAAGAATTAATGATTCAACGAAGAGAAGAAAAGAAAAAAAAAAACAAGAAAGGAAGAAAGGATTCAATTCCTCTTTCGAAGACCCTGGCTTGGCACCATAGGACCCTGCAACTCACCGATCCGGCGCCGATGAGGAGAATGTTGATCGTGGCCGGTTGGCTCGGCTTGGCAATTGCGACGGTGGCTGGATTGTCATCGGCGGAGCCGGAGCTTGGCTCAGCTCGTGTCGTTTTCCAGGTTCTCTCTGTCACTCACTTATCACCAGCAGAGTTGTCCATGATCGCAACTCTTAGTTATGACTTGACGAAAACAACTGCGGGCTGAGAGAATTTGGGATGTTGCTTGGCGCATTTTCAGTTGAGATACTTGTTGTGGTGAATTGCAGACGGATTATGGAGATATTGAGTTTGGATTCTATCCATCTGTGGCGCCACGAACCGTTGACCACATTTTCAAGCTTGTTCGGCTTGGAGGCTATAACACTAATCACTTCTTCAGGGTATGTTATTGCTTTTGTTTCATGATCAGTTGGTGATTGAATTTGAATAGAAGCTTGATGTGGGTGGTTGATTCAGTGAGGGGAAATGTGGAGTTGATGTCAGGTGGACAAGGGTTTTGTAGCCCAAGTGGCGGATGTGGCTGGTGGACGATCGGCTCCGATGAATGAAGAGCAGAGAGCGGAAGCGGAGAAGACTGTAATTGGGGAATTTAGTAATGTGAAACATGTGAGGGGTATTCTGTCCATGGGCAGGTAAATGTGTGCTTCCTCACGAACTTTGTCTTTAATAATGTAATTATGCTTTCAGAACCTTCACTCTCGTCATCTCAAGGTTCTGCCTGGTACTTAGCTTTCAAATGCTTAATTTTGAATGCACTTCTTCGCATCGGAGCTGGTAGTGTCACATCTGATTATGTAGTTTGATTATGGTTGTCCCTGCTCCCAAACATCATTGCTGTTTAGAAGCTTGGCTTAAGAGTAATCCGTGACTGCATTCAGTTGAAATTTATAAAATTGCGGGCTAATGACAGTAATCACACCATATTTCTAATCTGTTTACAGTGTTAACTTAAGTTTGAAGCTGCTAATGCATTGTACTTTATTGTTGAAGGTATTCTGATCCAAACAGCGCATCTTCCTCGTTTTCAATCCTTCTTGGAGATGCGCCACATCTTGATGGCCAAGTATAGCACTTTTAGTTTGTTAAATGTTCTTCAGTTTATAAACTATAGGAATGATGTGAGGTTAGTGACTCATAATTCTTTTCAGTATGCAGTATTTGGTAAAGTTACCAAAGGAGATGACACATTGAAGAAGTTGGAGCAAGTTCCTACAAGGACCGAGGGAATCTTTGTCATGGTATGTGTATACTTTGCTGGTGGCTGTTCCTTGACATGCAAACTAATGAAAATGAATGATTACCATGCATGTATTCCTGGATCTCTCTCTTGGACACAGTGCACCCATGCTAACAATTGGTTCATCATAGTATGCGATTTGAACTTTTTTTATAAGGGTGACATAGGTTCATTTTTATTGTTAGGTGCTACTTAAGGGATTTGAACCTGTTTTAAGACTAGTGTTATAATCGCTAGACCAAGCCCTTTTTCGCTATTCTTACAGAAGCACTTTATATCTGAGTTCCTGAACATGTTTCCTGGCATGGCTCTCAGGACTTTTTTCTTTCACATATGTTCATCAACTGCTGTTGAGTAGGAATAATGATGCCCTTCAAGCTTCTGCTGTCATGTGGTTTTGTATCCATTTTTGGAACTTAAAACAGATTTGAATTTTAAAGAAAGCAAATAGTGTGTCTGTTTCCTGCTTTCCAATTTTATGGATGTTACCTAGTTTCTTGAACTCCATGGAGCTTCTACTTTCTCAGCTCTGATATAGCTTTTTTCTTCCTCCAGCCAACAGAGCGGATCACTATTCTGTCATCGTACTACTATGGTAAGTACCAATCGTCTGTTGTGTTCTTCTCCTTGCTCCTTCCATCAATCAGGTGTGTTATTATGGGAATCCTCCCAGCATTGAAGCCGCGAGGATGAATGCCCTTTTCTGTCTAGATTAGGCTAGGAGGCTACAAAGATACTGAACAGCTAAACTCAAAGTTATCATTCTTTTATTTTAGGAAATAATCTAGTTGGAGAATCCCATGGGAATTCCTTCCTCCAGTTATCTTACTAGCATACGGCATACTATCCTCACGCGATGTTTGAGACGATCTCGTATTGTTTTGATGTACCGTACGTTCCTAGTTTCCGTTTGAAAATTCAGAAGTTTGAAACTCACTGTTAGGGGCCCTAACGCATATTTTATTACTGTTACTGTACTATATTTCATCTTTGGGGAAGAGTCTGCTCGCTCGTGGGAAAGACTTATGAAGTTGTCTTTGTTTCTTGACGGATATTTATTTGATATTACTATATCTTGGTGAACTTGATGTGCTAAACATTTCCGCCTAAACTTGTAGTCTTGTTTTCCATTTGGCATTGATTGGAAAAAAGCACACACCCTTTAGGTATTTTTCCTGAAGAGCTGATACGAGCTATGACTATGGGAGTTCAAGTGTTTGGGAAGAAGAAATTTAGGTTAATTGCACTAAAAGCAGGAGAGAATGCATTTGTGCAAAATATAGGAGTATAATTGAGAGATCTTACTGGGAAATGAGAAATGTTGACATACTTCTCAGTTCTTATCAAATAGATGTTTTGGTATGGCAAGGCAAGGCACTGGACATGCATACAAAAACAATTTGATTTACAAAACAACTTCAGGAGAATGCCATAAGAAACACTTTTCTTCCTTTTGGTCTCTTATGCAGTTATGCTTAACTTCATACTTTATGCTCCAATGTATTGAGGGGAAGTGCTTGTCCTGTCAAGAACTGTTTAGTATAATTTAAGTGGCTTTCCCTTGTTACTTATAAATTGACTGATACCTTTGGAAATGAGGCGAAACACATGGCGGATACCTGAAAAGTGAGACCCTGGTTTCATTAGATAATAAGAGACTTGCTTATTGCCCACTGTCAATCTGTCATTGTTCTTTGCTCTCACTGTCATTTCTTTCAGATACTACCTTGGAGAAGTGTGACGCGGAGAGGACGATCCTGAAGCGAAGGCTTGCTGCTGCTGCTATTGAAATTGAAAAACAGGTTTTTCCTCATTCCCAACTCCCAGATGGCTCAGTTTCTTGTTATGTGTGTGACTTACTAAGAACAACGCGGGCACCATCGCCATGTGTATTAATTTTTTGCAGAGAATGAAATGCTTCGCGTGATTCAGCAAGGTGAACCTGTCTTGACTTGCTGTGATTACTTCGCCAATTTGTAAACTATAGAGCCAAAATGGAGAACCAAGAAAAGAGTACCTCCTCGATGGTGAATTAAAGGCTCGCCGAGAGTGTAAACCTTAGACTGGATCACCCAAATACGAGAAATTAACACTATTCGCAGGCAACTATATGTCAACATCTGGACTGACTTTGGTGTTTAATGTTCATATCGCTCTGTCTGCTGGCCTAGTTAATGTTTGGCTCCTACCTATGTGTATATTATCCCCTATCTAATGCATCTGTCTAGCTGGGAGTTGCCCATAGCCCCATATGTTGGCTAATAATGTATTCTGACTATGTTGGAGCTTGTCAATTAGAAATGTGGTCCATGGATTGTCAATTATGTTAAACATTTGGGGTAAATTTGTAGCAGTTAAACCCACCAGTCGCATTTGCAAGTATATTGCCCTGATGTTTGCTAAAATTGTTACCAGGAGACAAGAGATACATATGATAAAACATAAGTAAACGAGCTTCCGCTAACGAATGAAGTGCATTGATAGACCTGGTTTAAAAGAGAAGGCATAAAGCTAGTTCAATTCGATTTGCGAATTAATACACTAATAACAAATCAAACTTTTATCGTACTACTATATTGATCCATGTAGTCATAATGAATCTGTCAAAGATGTTACTTTTTTTTTGGGTAATCAATCTCCTAAAGAGTGATTATTAAAATATATAAATGTTATGGAAGTTTTTCTTTTTAATTTAGTAGGGAAGATGTTTCTACTCACTACTATAAGTTGGGTCCAGTATCCATACAAGTTTAGTGAGTAGGACAGAACAGATGGGGCCTCATACAAAATCTGTGGAACCCATCAATTATGAGATAGTAGAGAGAATAATCCAGTGCTGGAGATCTTTTCTCCATAGAATTTGGTGAATAATTAGAGAGTGATTAGACTAATCTAAAAGTGATCACTCACTTTCTCACTAAAGTAGATTATAGAGACTTGCGCTAATTCCAGGGACAAGGGTTGTGGAAGATGCACGATATACTTGGGAGACCTATAAAAATTTGGGCACCAAATCTAGACTTCTAAGGAGAGACAAGTGGTTAGGAGATCTTCGTTATGAGCTTGATGATAATTGGTTGCTCCACCGTATGGCGAGGAGCACCTGATAATGGATACAGTGTAATTTGTTACAATTTTTTGGAGTCTGTAACCAAACTGGAATGAACATGTTGGAATTCATTAGATCACTATAAAAAGAAACTTGACCATCGAGTTCGTTCTTTCAACTAGTTTGAAGGCAATTTAGTTGCATACGGCTAATAAGGTTGGAGACCTAGTAAGATCGAGATAATGACTTTGAATTCATTGGTACACCCAATTTCAGGTCAGGGCAGGGTTAACACAGATGCTCTATCTTCACTCTCCCTTGTTGTTGTTGTCTAAATTTGGAGGTATCACTAGGAGAGAAGCAGGTTTGCTTCACTACAACCTCCATGGCCAACTTTATAGGTCGCACGATCACTAGAACCGAGTTGATATATGGCATTTTGCAAAGTCTCAACCTTGCTTCGGAGATGGCTCGTCGCTAGCTAGTGCTCCATTCGATTGCTACTACCCACCACTTCCACCTCCTGTTTGCACTTGTACTAGGCATCGGACAACTTCTTAGCACACATTGTGAGGTACAACTTCTTCACACTTGTGATTTTCGTGCCACATTACATCTTAATCTATTAGGGTGACACCTGATTGGACTCATACCCACATTAATTACATCTTAATCTTTTAGGGTGTCATTTTGAACTTTGCTTTATTTTTAGGAAAGAAGAAAACATCCTCAATAATAGTAGTATGGAGGTAATTCATAAAAAAAAAAAAAAATAGTAGTATGGAGGTAAAAAAATAAAAGACATCTTCAGGTACCAAGAACCCTACATGGGTATGGCATTAATTGCCACATGGATGATCAGCTGTGGTATGGAGACAATGACCACATATCACTCCTTCCTCTTTTCATTACCCAAGTTAACAAGCTGTCTGCACTGCAATTTGCACCACATAATAATATCCAAACCCAATCTTCAAACAGACATTAAACTTTTGGTTTGCTCGATCTCCATATCCATTTAAAAACACAAAAATAAAAGACACTACATGTGCTGCCTGCCTGCCTCAGGTGTGTGTATAGTAGAGAGTATAGTGTAATAATAACCACAACTACGCTTTCAGTTTGTTATGCAGCATTTGATTTCCTTGTCCCCAGCCCGTCGATTGCTGCTGCAACATGATCAGTCCTTCTCCCTGCAATTTGTCAAATTAATGTATTAAATTGTGTTATACATGTTTTATACGTATTCAGTTTAATATAGGAGGGTATCAAACGAAACATAAAAACAATTAATGAGATGGTTCGGTAAATAATAGCACATAAAGAGAAATTTGAAGCTCAAATACATATTATACATTTGTAAATACGGTAAAGGGTGTCAAGAATCGTTTGGTTGCAATAACTCTAGTTGTTGGAAGATATTCAATGATTGATCTTATACCATTTACTAAAACGTCCACTCAAACGAAAACTCAACTCATTTGAGCTTGAAGTTTGTACAGGTTTGAACACCATGTGCTTAATAAATGAGGGTCGTCGTGTGATTCGAACACCAGACATCTCAATCATCAAAGGCTCTGATAGACTGATATGGATAACATAGTTATCGGTAATAATTGGTTCTTGACATGATAGCAGAGCTGGTTTGATCTTGAGGTCACATGTTCTAGTCCGCATGAATCCCAATTTTGACCGTTGTGTTAAAGCACATGGTATGATGGACTTAGGCAAACTTGAAGTTCGTGAATTGGAAGAGAGATTACAAAAGTAGTTTTAAGATCCATATATTGACCTCTTCCAACTACTTGAGCTTGCGAACACAGGCTAGTATTATACTCATTTTTACTAACATTAATTCTGGCCTACATTTTTGCTAGATTTCGTATTTTCTTTTTTTCTGCTCCTCCCAACTTGAGTGTGAATCGAACTGCACATCCTTATCATGGACTGACAAGTTGAGAGCAAGTTAAATCCTATTGGCCTGCAACTGACAACGTACAATAGCATCTTTGCTTTGCTTACAAGTGCAAGAGAAACCTTGAGAGGAATTCTCTTCTCCTGTTTAAATGATATGATAGGCTTATACTTTGGACACATTATCATCTGCGAGGAAGATGAACATAGTGAGAGGGAGCAATAGGCACATGATGGGTGACATCTCACTTACCCAGTCACCAAATTGGCCTAAAAAGCTGTCGGGTTCCCTACACATTTGACTCTGTCTCTCGTCAGTCCAAGCTATTCCTATAGCCATCTCTACCTCTGAGGATGCCACAAATAATAGTGACTTGTTGTGGGCTGTGGCCATGTTGTTCTAGTTTTAGGATGCACACATTTTCTTTTAGGACTCAGAGACATGTCTGCACGATATAAGCAGAAGAAGAGGGGGGAAACAGCATCACATGGTTGTGAAAAGGGGTTTGGAGGATAGGAAGAGAGCCTCTTTCGTTTGTCAGTGTTGTTTCAGCAATGGGATGTGTCTGGTTAGGGACATGCATGGTCTTTTGTTTTCTTGCCTTCAGCTGATTGTTCTTGACAGGTCTTAAAAATACTAAAATGCGGAAGTTTAGTTTAGGCTCTACTAATACAAGAAGGTTTTACTCTGAATTTTAATTGGTGAGGAGGTTAAGGTGCTTCCTACCATAACGACTCTTCTGAAGAAGATTATAGCCTGAGCATAAACAAGTTCAGATTCTTTAAGCTTCACTCTTTCCCTAATGCCAGAGGATACTTCACGATTTAATCCTCTAAACAGGGAGGGACTTAATGGAACTATAAGTGTTCGAAAGGCTCTAGGAAGTCAACCACACTATTATTGAAGGTTTCTTACCATTTAATCTCATGTCCACTTCTTGAAAAAAAAAAACTTGATTACCCTGGAAATGCTATGGTCCCGACTTGAAAATCAACTAGCTCGTTGAAGCCGACGGAAATTGAAATGCTTGCCCAAGAGAACATGGATTGAATATATATGATTATATTTTCATGTTGAACTAACAATCTATACAGAGAAATCAAAAGATGCAAATCAGGAAAAAGGTGCGAGAATAATGACAACATGCATTGAACATAGGATATTATATTTCCATTTTGGACTCACAATCAATACAGAAAAATCAAAGGATGCAAATCAAGGAAAAGGTGAAATAATTTGTTCGGTAAAAGGAAAGAATTCAAATTGTTTTCTTGCCCCCAAAGGTGATGCAATATAATTCCCCCAGCCACCCTGACAAGGGACACTGATTCTCAACCGGGGATCAGCAGGAAGGTGACCAGGGAATCGAAACAGTGAGGCCCCCAGTCAGTTGGGACATAATACCCGATCGGAGATGAGTTAGTTTGTGATAGGGGATTTGGGCTCACAAGTTAAATTACCTTTTGTGTTTAGGATTCTTTTCCTTTTCGGGTTTTTTATTAGTTTTTATTTCTTTGGCCTATATAAAGGTTTAAACTCGATTTTTGTGACAAATATTGAAGACTTTGAATATGATTGATGCTTAAATTCATTCAAGCCCGACCTGAAGGATCCGTTGGAAGAATCCAATGCTTCAAATGTCTAGGTCGTGGCCACAAAGCAAATCAGTACCCCCAACAAGAAAACACTGGTTCTACAAGATGGAGAATACTTTTTTGAGGAGGAGGAAGAAGAAAATAAACCAATGGGGATAGGAATCGATTCTAATGATGATGGTGTCGATGAGCACATCACTGTTGAAGACCCTCCAACAAGTAAGTTTCTTTGGTTCAATCGTAGAGTGTTCTCCCTTGAAGCTCTAGCTTACCAGGAATAGCCAGATAATATGTTTCATACCAATTGTCTGATGGATGGAAAGTTATTGTCTATGGTGATCGATGGTGGTAGCTGCACCAATGTAGTGAGTCTTGATGCAGTTAAGAAGTTGGGGCTGAGTACCATTAAGCATTGACAGCCTTACAACCTTCATGGTTGAATGACTATGGAGCCATCAAGGTTAACAAGAAGGCCAAGGTTCGATTTAAGATTGGTGAGTATGTAGATGAAGTTTGGTGTGATATTGCCCCAATGCAAGCTGCTCATCTCTTATTGGGTCGTCTATGGCAATATGATCGCAGAGTTACTCACGATGGGAGAAATAATAGCTACATGTTCAAGTAAGGAGATTGGAAGTTTCTCCTCAAACCATTGTCGCCAGCTGAAGTCAAAGAAGATCAATGTTAGATGGAGCTTAATTGAGCAAGGACAAAGGAAATGCAAGTGGTTCGAATTCGGAGGATGGGCGTGGAACCCATCTTATGTTTCGAAGACACATGTAGACTTTGTTGAGAAGAATTCAGGCGGGAAGTTTTGGTGATGGTCTCTTTTGCAGGAACACACAAGCTTTGAGGGTAAAGCTTCTTCAACAGGAAGGGACTTATGCAATTCCCTTGACCACCCCCAGCAGGGAAACCAATCCCTGACCGGGGACCAGTAGAAAGGTGACTAGAGAATCAAAACAGTGAGGCCCCCGGTCAATTGGCAAATAATCCCCGATTGGGGATCAGTTAGTTCATGATGGGGGATCCAGGCTGACGAGTTAAATTAACTTTTGTGTTTAGGATTCTTTTGCTTTTCGGGTTTTTTATTAGTTTTTATTTCGTTGGCCTCTATAAATTCTTAATTCGAGTTTTGTGACAGACATTGAGGACTTTGAAGATTATTGAGCTTATTCTTGGTTCATTGAGCTTTTAGCTTGTGAACTTGTGCTTTGTATCAATCGAGTATTCTCTTTGATTGTGGTCGAGCTTCTACCCTATATTGATAGAGCCTTCTTCCAGGTGCGAGATTGAACTTCAATTTCGTCTTATCCCTAACTTTAACCTTTGTTCTTGGTTGTGCGACTTTGATAACTACTACGTCCACCGATTTCGTGCTCGTATCAAAAGGAGTTACCATATCATCAAGGAGCTAGCTTACCAATTTAATGATCAACCTGCTATAAGAAGTCATACAAAAGAAAGGAAATGAAGTTACGCAATACCTATAAATTATAGTCTTTTGTAGGCTAGAGTATCTTTTGCAAATCTCTCTTTTCCCTTGTAAAACACTACCTTGATCTTGATAATCATTTACATAACCTTGAGAACTATTTTCAGCATTGTGGCCGAATAGTGCATGCATGTACAGGCAGAGTCTTTTAAAGCCACTTGGTTAATTTCTTGGGGGCTTGGAAATTGGAATTAACTATAGAGTTATTTCCACAGTGTATAGAATCTGGGGATCGATCAGATCAGTTGAGCAGGTCTTGTGATCAAATCAAATTAGTTTGCGTAACTAATTAAACATGAGTGTAGGAAATGCATGCATGAATATAACGATGAAGCGGTAGAGGGCTTTGCCGATTTCCTACGACTCCGCCAAATTCGTCACTGTTCTATCGACTCAGTTTTTTAGCTTAATTTGGTTTCAACTTAGCTAGCTACCATGATTTAATCAAGCCTCTGATAAATTAATTTTTTGTAAAGGAGACAAATATAATGGTGTGATCAGTCATACGACTTGAACACACAAAAAAAAAAAACGACCTTATAGATTAGAAATTTTGAGAATAAAGTCGGTGGATAACTTACATATACATAATCTTACATAACTCTCCACTTACTATTTATAGAAGGCAATTATTTTTTTCTCGAATTTAATTTAACAGGCTCTATCTGTCTTTCATCTTAAATCATAGTTGAATCTTTTTTTCAAAGAAAATCATAATAATTGTGCTCTTCAAAATGATAACGAATTCGATATATTTTGGAACAAAGAAAAATGGAGACATTTATTACCGGTCTATACCATGTGATAATGTTTAATAGTACATAAGATTATACCACGTTGTATGAAAGTGTATTATGGTGGTATGATATACCAAATTGTAGAATGGTTGCATGCATAATAGTAGGAATATTACTTAAATGACCATTTACCACTTTTCATTAATGTCTACCACCAATTACCATGATGAATTGATGATATTGGGTGGTATATTTGGTATTGAATACTTTTTCCTCGGTAATTTGTAGATCTAATATATCATAATGAACACCTTCATTCTGAGCAACAAAAAAAATTGAACTTCTAGTTAAAAGCAAAGGTGGTAATGAGTGGTATGGGTAAATGAAAAGAAAATTCTCGAAATATATTGAAATTGATATTATTTTGTAGATCACAAAGTTTTCGTGCTACCTTTAAAAAAAAATTAAAATCCAAAGTTTAAAATAAAGAAGATAAAATCCATTAAAAAATCATTTAATCTCACTTAGATCTAGGGCCACTTAAAATGAATGACTCAAATTTGATTATTTAAACATTATATACCTTATCTTGAACCAGAAAATCATATATTTTATAACAATATTCCCTTCTATTTCTATATATTGTGAAAAAAATAACATGGGAACCAAAAACTTCTCCAACCATAATCTTCGCAAAAATGCGAGCAAATAAAGACGGGGACCGGTCACATATAAACCGCCATACTATATTACATATAGACATTTCCATAAATATAACGGTAAACGCACACAAGACCGAGAGATCGTTATTCACACTTTTATTTTGGTCGTGATCTATGACTGATAACATGGAATTACTTGGCCAACCCAAAAACCTCCTGAACCACAGGAAGTGGGATATTACATGAATCCAGACAACTTTCCATTCTTCCGTTTTTTTTCTTTCATTGATCTGACTTAGGTTTTTGGCCACAGTACTTAATTAGTTTTTGTTTGAATAAGATGCACAGAAACGGCTCTGAGGTTACGAGGGCTACGGGTGTTAAAGTTGGTTATGTTACGGCACTGATCAATCTATTTCTCGTTGCGGTCGGGTCAATGGGAACAGTACTGGCAGTTCGATAGAAATATATATAGTTGAAGGACGGTTACGTTATGGCCGATCGAACAACCTATCCCTTTGGTTTCTCCTCTTCCATCTTTCTACAATATTATCCGTTTTACACTATTCAGTCCATTTCCATTATGAGGGTTTCCTTCAGAACTCAAAATACTTTGACGAGAGAGAGAGAGAGAGAGAGAGAGAGAGAGAGAGAGAGAGAGAGGCCAAAAAGAGGCAGAGTTCAGAGAACCGGCATCACGAGGCGACACGTGTCATTGCTTAAATATGAACTGTATGGATGGATTGTTTGCAGAATGGGTACGTGAAAAACAACGAAACAATAAATAAATGGGGTGTGGTCTGTGGATATGGTCGGTCAACAATGTCATGCAACTAACGCCATTTTGCTCTTTTTCATTTGGACTCGCAAAATATGGGTCTTAATTTCGTATCTCTAAGACACCTCCAAAATTTCCACGCATCACGCCCCTAAGTCCTAGAGCAGAACAATGTTATACACAAGTGACCCTTATAAAAAAAAATGTTATACACAAGTGATTTCTGGCATAGTTAGTAAATACTCAATTTAATATATGTATATGTACTCGTACGTACTTTATCCGTTTCAAACTTCTGTATCCGTATTATTGTCAGTCGTTCCATTTTATTCCGTTCATTCGATGTTACCCGTACTAAACACGAGCGCGGCCAACCCCCTTTGTATTGCAGGTGACTTCAACCTTGTTAGAGGCCACGAGGATTACAGGGGTGGGAGGCGGTGCACGATGTTGATGGAAAAATTCAACGATGTGATCGATAATAACCAGCTTTTAGAACTACCTCTCGGAGGCTGTAACTTTACGTGGGGAAGAGGGGACGGTTCGGGGTCCCTCTCGCGTATTGACAGAGTTTTTATTAATGCGACTTTTGATGCTTTGTATCCTGATTGCACTTTGACGGCTATGGAAAGGGTTGAATCGGATCATAATCCCTTGTTGATCAAATGGGGTGCTACGCTTAGGGTCCGAAGGCCATGGAGGTTTCTGAACATGTGGCTGGAGGACCCGAGATTCTTTGAGGGTCTCGAAATGTGGATGAGGAGCACGGTGAGTGGGCACGGTAAAGCTTTCCTGTGGGTTAAGAGGCTTCAGAATCTGAAACAGACCATCAGAATATGGAATAAAGAGGTTTTTGGCAATATCAATTCGAAGATCGAGGAGTCTCTTGGTCTTATCAAGGGGCTGGACATGGTGGAGGAATCTCGTTCACTTACAGATGCGGAACAAGCAGACAGGCAGGATTTGAGAGCTGTTTTGAGCAGGCTCTTTTTCCTCCAAGAGATTCATTGGAGACAGTTGTCTAAAGAATTGTGGCTGAAGGGAGGAGATAACAATACTAGCTTCTTCCACAGGGTTGCTAATTATAAAAGAAAGCTCAATTTGATCGATTGCATCAACATCAATGGAGTTAGGCATGAAGGGAGGGAGCTTCTCGGCAGAGGCATAGTGGGGTATTACCAGAATTTGTTCAAGGATACTGTTTCGAGGCGTCCTTTTCCGAGGTCGCACACCGATAGGAGAATTGATGCCGCTGATATTGCGGCCTTGACCTGTGCTTTTTCGGAAAAGGAGGTTTGGGTCAGCTTGGCGGACTGCGACGGGGGGAAAGCCCCCGGGCCGGACGGGTTTTCCTGGGAGTTCTACAAAAAGGCTTGGTCTCTCATCCGGGAGGAGTTCTTGAACGCCATTGCTGAATTTTTCAATACTGGTGTTCTGCCGGAGTGTGCTACACACTCATTTCTTTGTCTCCTGCCGAAGCGTGATGCCGTGGAGGACATCAAGGATCTCCGCCCTATTAGCCTGATGAGCAGCTTGAATAAAATTATTAGCAAGGTGCTGGCCCGTCGTCTCAGCAATGTTCTTCCCAAGATTGTGTCTCAGAACCAGCATGCTTCGGTTAGAGGAAGGCAGATCTCTGAGGCTGGTCTTATTGCTTTCGAACTGCTGGACAGCCGCAGGAAGAGTCGCAAGCCGGGACTTATGTTTAAGCTGGATATCGAAAAGGCATTTGACAACGTGAGCTGGGACTGCTTGTTTAAGACTATGTCATCTATCGGTTTCCCGGCACAGTGGAATAAATGGATCAAAGGTACTATGTGTTCCCCGGTCATATCCACCTTGATCAACGGCGAGTCGAAGGGGTACTTCAAGCCGCAGAAGGGGTTGCGTCAGGGTGATTCGCTCTCTCCCGGTTTGTTCACTCTCATTATGGACATTCTTTCCTTCATGTTGAACAAATTGCAGGAGGAGGGGAAGATTAGAGGCTTTTGTATGGACGAAGTAAATGGCAATGGTGAGGTTACACATCTTCTGTTCGCCGATGACACTTTGATCTTCTGCGACGCTGCTTATGATCAAGTTCTGAATATTCTCGCTACTTTGGTGTGTTTCCAAAGTGTTACGGGACTGAGGATTAACCTTGAGAAGTCGGTCATGATTACTGTTGGGGATGTAGCGATTCCGGAATTCTTTGCTGCTACTTTTGGGTGTAATTGGAGCAACGAGCCCTCGAAATACCTTGGCTTCCCTCTCGGCGCCAAGGTCAATGCTATCTCCACTTGGGATCCTATTATCAATAAGTTTGAGCAGAGGCTTGACGGATGGAAGAGTAGATTTCTGTCTTTCGGTGGCCGTTTGGTGTTGAACAAAAGTACTCTTTCCGGGCAGCCGATTTATTTCTTCTCCTTACTTCGGGCTCCTATCGGTGTGCTGAACAGGTTTGAGGCAATCCAAAGAAGATTTTTGTGGAGCGGTGCCGGGGATAATCACAAGACCCCGCTCATTAAGTGGGAGATTTGCAAAGCAAGTATTGAGAATGGGGGCTTGGGTATTAGAGATATGGCCTGCTTTAACAAAGCTATGCTGTCTAAATGGCTTTGGAAGTACGCTACGGAGAGAGAGAGCTGGTGGAGACAACTCATAGAGTTCAAATACAAGGCTAGCAATTCCCAGTGGCAGAGCAAACAGTGCAGGAATGGGTTTGGAAGTTCGGTGTGGGCCAACATCTCTAAGGAATACGGTGAATTCTGGAAAGTGGCAGTTATTGACCCGGGTGGCGGGGCGGGTGTTTCCTTTTGGAACGACTGCTGGTTACCTCAGACGACTCTTGCGCATTCCTTCCCGAGAGTTGCCGCTGCCGCTGCGAATCCCGAGGCTTTGCTGCCTGATGTCATAAGCCGATCAGGTGAGGGTCCTAATTGGAATATTGAGTGGAATATCGATTTTTCTTTAGTCTTGAGGGGAGGGGCTGAGAGGGAGAGAGAGAGTTTCTTCACTCTTTTGAATTCTATTGATAAGCACAGGATCGTTTGCGGCCCCAGCAGATTGGCGTGGTGTTCTAATCCCGATTCGAGCTTTTCAGTGCGCTCCATGTACAGGTTATTGACGGATGGGCGATTCCATGGGGTGCCCAACTTCCCTAGTGAATCCGTGTGGAGAAAGAGCATTCCTTCGAAAATCAATGCGTTCATGTGGATGGTCGCGCACAAGAGGATATTGACGATGGACAAAATTCAACAGAGGGGCTGCTCCATTGCTAACAGATGTTGTATGTGTTGTAGGGATGAAGAATCGGTTGATCATTTGTTTACTCGGTGCGAGTTCGGGTTGGAGATCTGGACTGAAGTAAGAAGAATGTGTGGTGATTCCTTCGCCCCACAAGAGCAGATCCTAGACACCATCAAGTGTTGGAAGAGTGACGTTCCGGACACTACGACGGACTGGATCGGCTTCTGCATTCTCCACGCCGTGTGCTGGCAAATTTGGCTCGAGAGGAATAGGCGTGTTTTCCAGGATGCTAGCAGAAGCGCCAAGGAGGTCTTTTGGATTGCTATCAGATCCACGGCGGATTGGCTAGTCGCGAAAGGCAAGATCAGCAGGATTCAGGTGATGGAGTGGCTCCGCCCCTTGAGGCTGAACTGACACAGGGGCATTTTTCGGTGGGGTTGTTGCCGTGGGTTCGTTCGCTGGCTGTTGTCGTGTTTGTCGGCTGCCTTTCAGGTGCTGGGCTAGTTGGAATCCTCTGGTATCCTTGTTCGGGTTCGGGTTGCTGGTGGCGGCCGGGTTGTTGACCGCGCCTCGCCCCTGTCTTCTTCTTCTCTCTGTCTGTTTTCCTCTGCTCTTCTCAGTGATGGTTGTGGTCGGATGGGGCTTTGATTCCCGTTAGTTTGACAGTTTGGTCTTGGTCTTGGTCCTTGTTTCGTGAGGGACTTTGCTCTCTGTGCGTGGCTGTCCTTTTCAGGCTGTCGGGTGTTTCTTTTTTTTTTTTTTTTTTTTTTTTTTTTTTTTTTTTTTTCGTTTTCTTTTCTTTTCCGTGGGTGCTGCACCTCTGGTGCCGCTTTTTTCTTTCTGTATCTCGGACTGGTTCCGTTTTGGTTCTATTTTAATGCAATTCTCACCCTTATCAAAAAAAAAAAAAAAAAAACACGTATAAAACCCGTATAACACGTTTAATATCCGTATTTAATGACTTAAATTATTAACTTTACTATTATTTATATATTTTTATTATTTATATATTTTTATTATTTTAAAATAATTAATATTATATATTTATGACTATTAACGTATTATTAAACGTACATTAGATTAGAGATGAAGTAAAATACTCGTACTTATTTTATACATAACATTCTCGTACCGTATTTTACTAACTATGTTCCCTGCGTCATTGGTCAACTTATCAAACATCATTCATGGCAGTGTGGCCACTCCAAAGGAATTATCTAATTCCGTTTGAGTTTGAGTCTCTCTTCCTACGTTGGTTCTCAATAATTTGAATTGTCTGAATAAGTTTAAACGATGAATAAGTTTCTTATAATGAGTTTATCCACTGCGTCTTCTTATATCATTGGTGGGTAAATATTTCAATTCATATTCATGAACATAAAGGAAATTCGATATGTATAAAAAAAATCAGTTCATTAATAACTCTTGGAACTCATACTCTCCAATGGAATAGTTCCGATCTCGGGGAAACCACGTAAACCATGTATCGTGTTCGTTCTTGTTTCCGTTCGTTCCAGTTCATTCAATTTGATATAATCAACATGGTAGCAGAGCCTTTCATTATCGAAAGGTCTACCGTTCGAATCCCGACGACCACATTTGTTAAGCACGTGATGTTCTGGACCTGTGCAAACTATAAACCCATATGAGTGGCTTTCGTTTTTAGGAACATGTTAGTATGTGGTATAAGATAATCCATTATTGAACATTTGTCTACCACTCGAGTTATTAGAACCAAATGGTTCTTAACACGAATACGGAATACCATCCACAACACTAGACTATTGCCATGACAGATATTTAATAATATGCTAATATATTATTCATCGTTAGAATTGAGATATCATGAACATGCACATTCATAAAACAAAACAAAAAACAAAAAAGTTGAGATAAGGCAAATAGTATGCACATTTCACCCCCTCCCCCAATATTTGGAGTATATTGTCACCAAATTTATCATTTTATCAGTGTTTCTTTGTGGCATGCTCTTTTAGTTGTTTATTTTTTGTTTTCATATCAGGAGAGTGTATATATTACAAGAGAGCAGTTGATGACAAAATAAACTGAAGTAACAAGAGGTAGGGAGGGAGAGGGTGGGATTCGCAAGGCTTTAATTTCCTGGACCAAAACTGTTGTTGTCTCTCTCTCTCTCTAGCTACCATATCCGTTTTACATATGGCGTATATCTCCACAATCTTATCTGTTGTACTTGTGTGCATAACAAACCAAACGGTTAAACCGATATGTTATATATATTAGCAAATGAAATCGGTGAAGAAGATTACGAGGGAGGGAGCGGGTCGAGTGCTGGCCGGTTGGTTAGGTTAATTATTGACAGAAAACCGTAGGCTTTCATCCCCATACCTCAATCTTATGATTCCCGGCCGGCCGCCCGGCCTAACATTATCCCCAAAACTTTTATATGTGCACACTCCCCTACCCTCATCTTTAGGGCACACTCCCCTCCCCACCACCACATACACTACTATATTTAGTAATTTATAACATTCACTCTTCCAATAATTCAAACTATTAGAATATTTCTAATATAAATAGTATTCATACCTGAAATTCTTAGCATTGATTGAAGGTTTTGCTTAGGGGCTATACGGTACGGTCCGGTTAAATTGGACCAAATTGATCCAGTCCCAATCCGGTCTTTTCGGGAATATAAGGACCAAAGATTGGATTTGATACAGTCCAGTCTTGATTCGGTCTGGTCCCAATTTTATCTTGATTTTAGGTGTTGGGGGTCTCTTATCCGGTCTTTATCCGGTTTTTTTTACCTCAAATCTAAGCCCGGATATGAGATTGCATTGTTTGCTATCCGGTCCCAGTCCGGTCCCGGTCCGGATTATACGGTCCGGTTTCGGGTAAAACCAAACAGTCCGAGACCAAATAACCAGCCCTAGTTTTGCTTACACTTGCTCGTATTACATTGGTTTAATACAAGAAGTAATTGGATCACGAGAATTTAATTAACATTTGGATTCAATGTGGCCAAGAAACTTACGATGGCCATGCCTCTTGTGGCAAGTGGCAACCAATGCCTAAGGGGGAGGAAGAACTTGTCTTTGAATTCAAACACATATAGAGGAAGATGCAAGGAGCTAGTCATTGTGAATAAAAAAAAGGAGAGTATAAAAAGCAAGAGAGAAAGATGCAATATGTAAGAATGTGGAAAGAGTTGTGGTGAGATCAAGAGCAATTCGAAACTATAACTCTGTGATTATAAATCTAGTTGTTCTATATGGCTTGAGTGTAGTGATTAGTGAGATTCCCTTTTTAGCATTTAGCTTGTGAGGAAGAGAGAATTGTGATCTCAACTCTTGTTTTGTAAAAGAGGTTTGAGTTCCACCAGAAGGAACTCAACTTAGAGTCGGAATATCAATTAGACACATTCTTAGGAAACTAGGTTTTAAAGGGCAGGCACCGTTAAGCCGAACATAAGCAACAGATTAAACTCAGTTAACAAAAAATACCGTGACGTCTTCTTTCTTGCTATTCATCATTTCATCGTTGTTCTATATTCTGTTTTCCAGAATCCTTTCCTTTGTAGAAGTCTGTGAAGTTGGAAAATTATTCTCTGGAGTAGCACAACTCTTGGGCTTCACTTATGGGTCGTATACCAAGGATTGAGCCACGTCTAAGTTGAACCTATATCAAAACCCAATCGACGAGTCCAGTAATGACTATGTCATCTCGTCATTTCAAAGATCGTCTTCTCGCCTTCATTTATCATCATTTGGCTTAAATCAATTAATATCCCTCTATCGTTTTTAAAATGGTATAAGAGAAGGTCTCTGACGAGTTCGTGTCAAGATGGATGCAACATCTTCTTCAATAATAATAAAGCGTCATCTCCTGCCGATCAGTTAGATGGAGGACCACTCATCCACTCGCCCACTCAAGTTGGACAGAAACAACTATGCATTCGAGAAGAGTTGTATGGAGAATTTCCTACATGCATATGAAAATGAACTAATCTCAATTCACGCCACAATCAAACTATTAGAATCTATTGGGATAATTCCACTAGAACACCCCCAAAGATCAGAAAATATCACTTATATTCTCAAATATTTAATATGAAGATAAAAAATGTCATTTTGAATACTTGAAGATAAAAATGTCATTTTTTTATAATTAAAGTGTCCTGATGAAATTAGCCCTAATTTCTTTACGTGCATCTAGATATTATTATTTTATTATTTGTTGGGAAAGTGAGGTTTAAGCTCTTTTTTGTCGAAGCTGGCGTTATATTCGGTCTTCATGAACAAATGGATAATAACTAACATATGTATACACTCTTTGAAACCAATTAATTAATTGGTTCGTAGTTTACAAAGAGAGTGTCATACAAAACAAGAGATTGCTTAATTAGACCAAACACACCCAACCCAACAAAACAATCAATCAGAGCACATTTCCGATCCATGAGCTGAAACGAGAGTCGGTGCGGCGGTGAGGTACAAAACAAAGAATACAAGAAGAACACACTACTACTACATCATTAATAGCTTCTAATTACTAGTTAACTAGTTTCATACTCCTAATCTGTACTCATCCTTCCTATAAAATATAGATACAGTAGAATAGAGTCAATATAAATATTTACTAACTAATAATATTATTATTATTATTCACGTCACTCTCTCTCTCTCTTTCATTCCTTCGTTTTCACACTTGTTTAATTCTTGTCTTTCAAAAAACAAACGCAAAAAGGAGGAAAAAAATACAGTACATCACTCATCTCTATTTATAATACTCCCTTCCCTCTCTCAATTAGCCCACAGCTTCTTCCCATGCACTTGTCCCCCTCTTCCTTCCTTCCAACTCCCTTTCTTCTTCTTCTAGCTTCCTTCCTTCCTTCCTTCCTTCCTTCCTTACTTCATATCTCTCTCTTTCTCTTTCTCTTTCTCTGCATTATATTACTCAGAAAACCCACAAAACAAAACAGCAAACACAATGTCGAGCAGAAGATCGTCGAGGTCGAGACACGCCCAGTCGGCGAGGAGCAGCAGCAGCATCATCTCCGACGACCAAATCATCGACCTCGTCTCCAAGCTCCAGCGCCTCGTCCCCGAAGCCCGCTCCACCACCTCCTCACGCCGATCCCGCGACAGGGTACCAACTCATCCTTCTCCATATTAATTAATAAATATAATAATTGAACATCTCTCAACAACTCAAACTCGAATTATTCTCCGCATTACATTTCTTGTCTATTCACTTAGCTTCCTCCTGCGCGGTGACTTTTCAGTGCTTTAAACTGCTTCTACAAACGTTACAAAAACGACACTATTGTATTGTGTGGTCTCTGTTGGTAGCTAAAAGATAATAAAAGGAACAAACTCACAAATCACAATATATGCCTCATTCAATTCGCCTACTATATACTTCACAAAAAATAAAAATAAAAATAAGCCAAGGAGAAGAATGAATGAATGCCGAGTAATGTATATTGTAAATAAAATTTCGCGCCTAGCTTGCTTGCTTGCTGCCGATATCCATCGCTCTCCGTAATATTTATAACGTGAATGCTACGGCCCATATCTGTGCATTATCTGTCTGATATCTCTTTTGCATGTTGCCCACAAACTTGGGTCGGCGTGGGGCTCCTTTGTTCCCTAGCGCCCGAGCTCCCATGTTGGAAAACGATGGCTTTTACCGTTTGCGAAGTTAATAACTCGAGTTGTTATTATGGCTCGTTATTAATGAAATGGCTGATTACGTGGATTGATTTGATTTGATTAACAGGGTTCGGCTTCGAATGTGCTGCAAGAGACGTGCAGCTACATAAGGGAGCTGCACAGGGAGGTGGACGATCTCAGCGAGAGGCTGTCGGAGCTGCTCGCCTCCACCGATTCCGACAGCGCCCAGGCCGCCATTATTAGGAGCTTGCTCATGCAACAGTAGTAGTGCTAATTACTTGAAACAAACTACTACTGCTCGCGCATCGTGGACGTACACTTGATAATTAATTAATTAGTAGCAGCTAATTAATGATTATCGCATAATATTAATGTGATGTGATCACGCCCACCACTTTATTAACCATATATAGCTACTTGTTAAGGTTTCCACCACTCTATAGGAACCCTTTTTTCTTCTTCTTCTTTTTCCTGTTTTTACTATGTTTTACGTACGTGGCCACACATATATATGTATGTAGGCCATCTTGACGAAGATATTAAGGGCCGGGCCTTTTTTTTTTTTAGTTTGACAGTGAGGAAATCAAAGTGAAAGAAGCTAGGCTCTTACTGTGTGTACTCTTTTGCCTGGCTTTTTTACTATGTATTCGATAGCCCTACGGTATATATATTTACTGTTTTAGTTGTATGGTATGATACCAATTGTTCATCGTTCTTTGTTACCGACGATTGGATGGTTTCTGGTTCTTGAAAAACGTCGAAGTTAGATGTTCATGAGATTAAAAAAAAAAAAAACCCCGGCACGCGCTTGACACGCCAATGAATTGACAATTAGTGCACTAATAACACAAAGCTTGACAATTAGTTTAGTACAAATCACCATCACTTCCTTATTTGTGAGTCTAACCGTATAGTGTATAAACCACCAAAATTCAAGGGGTCGTATTCGATGGAGTAGCAGCTAGCTGGCTGTGAGACTCGAATTTTAGTCATGGTTTTGAAGCGGGAAAAGAGGGGGGTGTTTATATTAATTAAGACAGTACTTAATTAGGATTTTGTGGTAGCTGGGTGATGTGACAGTGACAGTTAGTAACGCTGGGCTGGGATGGGCGGGGATCTGGATTCTGGTCAACATTTGGCATCTCAAATTCAGGACGACTCACTGCTTACTTCTACGTCAGTTTTTATATTGATTTTTCTGTACAGTAATAAGATCTGAAGAGATGTGATTCGCAGGTTAAAGTATAGAGAGAGGGATTAAGATCCTGAATTAGTGTGCAAACAGAGTATTAATTTTTTTGGTGTAGAAAAGAGAGCAGCAAGATGGACCCAGAAATGGTTGTCAAATCTTGGAAGCTGACAGGATTAATGGGAAAAGCACGTGACTTTACCCCCACCACCACCGCCTGGCCCCTTTCCTTCCCCACCCCACCATATATATATATAGGGTTTTAATTTTCTTTTCTCTACGATGCTGGCTGCGCTTCTTCCATGGTGGAAACTTCCAGGATTGCGCTCTCATCTTAGACACTTTGTTAGCATACCGTATCGAATTTATCGATACTTGGTATTATCGAATATCTATATTATTTATCAGGATTGGAATTGGGATTAAATTTCAAGTGTTATTTGGTATTAGGAATTACGGGATTGAGATCGATATATACTGAAATATAAGCTAGTGTGTATTTTATCACTCTCTAAATGGAAGGGGTACAACTATATGATAGAAGATGCATCGTACGTAGCTTACCGACACGAAGATTGAAAAGCATGTTCATCTATGATTAGATTTCTTAACAATGTGTATACTTACTTATTATGTCATTTAAATTATGTTTTACTTTATGATGCATCTCGGTAATCACTAAACATAGGGAACATCAACACATCGATTTCTGTTGAGTCATTGTTTGAGCACATTGGATGATTAGTTATGTGAGTAACTATTATTGGAGAGGCTTGTGGAATACGACCATAGAAATTTCTACGATTTATAATTTTGATTGCATTTGGTTTGCATTAACATCACTACATACATGCACTTCAAAGATCTAATGTCTTAGTTATCACTTTGATCTACATACTAGTTGATCATCATCCATGAAAAATGAAAGAACCACAATTAGAGTCCTAACTGAAAATGTGTTTGTTGCTATAAAATCTCATTCGTTCAATATTGAAGCCGACTAAGGGGAAATTGATGGACAACAATTTTTTTTTTAAAAAAAAAAATTGACGAAAATATCAAAAAATAGTTGCAGCTCGACAACCCTCCTTGCTTACGTCGGTCTCCTATGCACTATTTGGCTGAATCGCATCGAGACCCGAATATCTTTGGGGTGAATTAGTAGGGGTGGTTATATGGTCCGGTCCGGTCCGGTTAAATTGGACCAAATTGATCTGGTCTCAGTACGATCTTTTCGGGAATATAAGGACCAAATATTGGATTGGATACAGTCCGATCTTGATCCGGTCCGGTCAGTGGCGGATCCAGAAATTCTACGTAGGGGTGTCCTCTATGAAAAATTAAATTAAATAATTGTTAATATGAAAATATCTAACTAATAAAAGTTTCATTAAAAGTTCAGACGTGTTTCATCAAATGATAAAATGCATTCGGTGTTTATACTGCTCAACAAATATCTCTCGACATATCTTAATAGACAAGAATATCATGTAATTGAGTTTAATCGTTAGGTTTTGAAAATAATTTGAGATAATAATAACATTTTATTATTATATTTGGATCTAAAACACAATAACAAATGAGTTGTAGCGTAATTGAAAATATATTAACTAATAGTGACAGTGTCCCAAATTTAAATCACTTAAACTACTACTTAAATATTATTTATACCAATACGCAAACTACTACGAGAGATTGGATAATCATTTTCCAAAATTTTAAAGGTGTCCCACTATTACTTAAACATTTTTTTTCCCATACACAAATTGCTATCGTAGATTAAATAATCGTGTTTCCAAATTTTAGGGGTGTCCCGGGACACCCCTAACCATGCATGTATCCGCCACTGGGTCCGGTCCCAATTTGATCTTGATTTTAGGTGCTGGGGTCTCTCTACTACCACTATAAAAGATCACCAAATCTCCAAGGTAAATGTAAGTGGAAAAATTCATGCTTAGATCCCCTAAATTTAAGATATAATTAGTGGAGACGTTGATTTTCAACTCCATTTCCCTAATCTTTTTCTTAGATCATATTCTGCTTATCCAAAAAGCACTCACTAACTTGAGTGAGTTGGAGGACCTTATTGCTAGCATTCACTGTAACAGAGTATGTAACTACATATCAGGTTCAATCAACTCTAAACTTCAACTTTAAAAGTTTGAAGTCCGACACAACTCCGACATCAACAAAGGTGGTATTCGATGGGAAACTATGTGTATAGAATATTTTATACTAAATTTTAATTTATCATCTAGTCTACAGTTAGAAGATTATTATCTAAATTAACTAGGGAAACAACAACCGGGAAAGAAAAGAAAAAAAAACTAATGAGGATATGGTACATTGGGCTAGACAACTAAAGGTTTGGTCCACTCAACATTTGGGCCTAGAGGTCCACGTAGATCCGGGAAATTACCATACATACATAATACATTCATACTTGGATAGGCACCCGAGTGGCCCATCCCTAGGTTCCTACATGCAACTATAAACAACCTTAACTACCATTGAAAGAGGCTTATTTATTGGATTTTCGAGGACCACGAGTGTGCTTAGGACCAGATGTTAACAGCCGTTGGATCATCTAAACCCATAAGACTCCTCTCATTTTTATCTCTTATGGAATTCCAAATTAGAACTTACCTTACCTTTTACATCCTTCCCATTAATTGATTTGAGTGTCGTAGGACAAATTCGATAACCAATTGGGATAATGCTTGTTCAGATGATCAAGATCACTTATCATCAATTGATTTTGTAACAGCCTTCTCGTTAGGCAACTATGATATGATAAAAAATTTCAGGTATCAAAATGTAGTTTGGCAATAATATGTTCTATAAAAATATAACTTTTAGGTACCAAATTGTAATTCCCTAAATAACCAAATATCCGATCATTGTTCAACTATCCAGTAAAAGCTTCAAACAACTGGTCACGTCGTCCCTCCTTTCCTCCTTCCTACGCTAAGATCCCCCGGACTCCATATTGCATCCTCCCGCCTTCCATCGCCGGGTCTCTAATAAGGTATTCAACTTCCTACTGTTCGATTGTGTTCAAGTTGAGGGCTTCTTTCCATACCGATGAGTAGAAAGAGGATAGCTGAGGAAGATTCAAGCTTTTGATTCAATTTTGAGTTTACGAGAGGATTTCGGAAAATTGAGGGTTTTCTGGTTCTAGCTGGTACCGGCTGCGCTTGTCTCAACTTGGGTTGTGAATTAAATTGTTGGTTCAAGGCTACGAAGGAAAAATCTTTGGGCTTGGGGCTTGACTTGGTGTGTTTCTTCTTAACATTACTAGTTTCGCTTGGGGTGGAGATCATGAGCCACGAAGGTGGGTATGTTGTTGAAGTGACGGGGCTTTCTCCCAAAGCCACCGAGAAGGATGTCCATGATTTCTTCGCCTTTTCCGGCGCTATTCTGCATATTGAAATCGTCAGGTAAACAGAAACCAAGAAGAAAGAAACATTCTGGGTTTCTTTTTTCTTCTTGTTCCTTCCGAGCTGTTGAATTTCTTTGTGGGTTTTGGCTTTTCTAATTCTTTGGAATTGACATTTCTGATTCCTCCTGTACTGCGTATGTGACATTCAAAGATGCATATGCCCAGGAGCCAGGAGACTGCTGTCCTACTCAGCGTAAGCGTTTCACCCCAACATTGCTATACATTTCTGGGTTTTTTTGGTCTGAGAGCTAGTTCTTTTCTTGTTATTGTGTGATGAGTTCCTACTCTCTAGCTTGTGGAAGCCGGAGCTTGGTTCAAAATCACCTTAACATTTATTGGGATAGATTTAGGTTTACTGATCTGTGTACTAGCAAATTGATAATCATCTACTTTGTCGACCAAAAACTGTTGCTTTACATAATTCGGCAGAGAGCTAGTTCTTCTGCTGCTATTGTGTGATGATTTGCTACTTGTTCTTCTGCTGCTATAGTGTGATGATTTCCTACTTTCCAGCTTGTGAGCATGGGAGCTCGATTCTAAATCATCTTGTCATCACTTGGCCTGGAGTTAGTTTAATGATCTGCTCTCTACCAAAGAATCATATAGTTAATCAATTGACAGATGTTGGGTTACATGGTTCCGGCAATGCAAGTGTTTTTCCTAATGCCTCATAGTACAGATAGGAAAATGAACCAGATTAAGTCTTGTACTTTGTCTAGTTAGTCGGTTTGCCAGCACGAATGAGGTCATTGCCATCTGCTGCGGCAGCTGCTAAACCCATTTGGTGCATGCCATGGATGTTGATAAGTTCAAGATGTCCACTTGCAGTGGAGTGTCTTGTGCATTTGTTCCATGAACAATGTAGTCTGCATTTAAGCGAGCTATCCCAATGGAGCTCGATGCTTACACTTTCAGGATATCTTCCTTATGGCTTTGTGATAATTTTTTTCTTTTTTCTTTCTCCATCTTGTGACTTCAGGGTGCCACCATCTTGGAAGAACGAGTGTGCATAACACGCTGGGGACACTACGAAGATGAATTCGATTTTTGGAACAGGCCTTCAACAACGACGGATAATGAAAGTGAATCGACTGTAAGAACATCTCTGATCTCCATCTACCACACTTTTTAGAAGCTTGAGTTGGTCGATTCTGTACCAACTTTTTTCTGCAACATACCCTGTTGTCTCCACAGCAGCAACACCAGCAAACAGGCCAATTCGTCGGCGATGCAGGACAAGCAGTGACAAAGGCTCAGGAAGTGGTGAAAGAAATGCTAGCCATGGGGTACGTCCTGGGGAAAGATGCACTAGGCAAGGCGAAAGAATTTGACGAGTCCCATCAAGTCTCAGCAACCGCAACAGCAAAGGTGGCCGAGTTCACCGAGAGAATCGGCCTTGCTGACAAGCTCTTTGCCGGGATGGAAGCAGTTAAAGCCGTGGATGATAAGTACCACGTCTCCGAGACGACCAAATCAGCAGTCTCCGCGACATCGAGACAGCAGCAGCAAACACCGTTATCAACAGTAGCTACTTCTCTAAGGGCGCTCTTTGGGTGTCTGGTGCTCTGAATCGGGCTTCTAATTACGCTTCTGATTTGGGTAGCCGGGCTGCCCAGCAGCATTGAGCCTATTCTGGTCCGGTTTGTCAAAATCCAGAACTCCCAGCTTATTTTGGTGGCTGAAATGAAAGCTCTTTGTATAGAACTCGTTCTGCTTGACTGTTGGGAAGCGAAAGGGTTACGTTGAAACATTTGTTGATAAGGGATGAGTGATGACTGATGAGTATGACAGAATTGACTATCAAGCTGTTAATATTAAAATAAAATAAAATCCGGAAGAGCAAAATTCAGATTGATCAGCACCGTTTGTTTATTTTCTTTTATTTAAAACCTCATAATATTAGCATAGAAAGTAGATATTCCAATTGCATCATGTAAATTTCAATAGCGAACTATCGATCGACGATGCTTCTACTATCTAAATGATTTGTCAATAAGTTATTTTTATGATATGCACGATAGATTCGTTCGTCACCATCCATTCGTGTTGGGGAGAGGTTGCTAAATTGACGAACAAAGCTAGTATGATAGGCGTTGGAATTGGTTCATCCTCGACTATGAGAAGCGAGATAGCTATTTGTCGAATCGAGATACATTGCACTCTAATGTCTAAACTCTTAGGCCAGCTTGAGATCGTCAATGACCTCACGAATCCTTACACAAATCATGAAATAATTGTCTAAATTAATCGTATAGACTCTGAATAAGCGACCATGACATTTTCAAACCGTTGCTGCCTGACAGACGGATGGGAATGGACGAAGATTAAATTGTCTCCCATGCTTAGTTTCCAAGTAAGAATTTTCTAAGGTGGGTCCATTACTTTACGACGTAAGCAGCAAATAAGTTTCAAAAAGCTTTACACTAAAAAATTGACTCCCACGGAGGCGTCGGTGGAAAAGTGATGAAAGTTCCAACTTCCACGCGATGAATCCAACGGCTATGATTGAAGTCAATTCGCGCCTTTACGTCAATCTTACTCGTGCGACTACACCATCCAATTGTTCCGCGATGCACCGGATTCAGTACTCTGGCTCGACCGAACGCCGTAGTCTCTCCCGCACAGTTTGGTCGTTTTGTTTGTAGCCTCGCTCGCTCGCACACACCAATCTCTCTCTCTCGCCCTGCACCCGCCCAAAAGAATTTTGACGGAAAGGAAGATCGTATTCGCAGTCCGTATCAGATCTGGCGGGAGCGGGCGAATCTCGTCGGCATTAATCAGGAAAACTCGTCAAATGCTCAAGCAGTTCTCGGAATCGTGAAAATCATCGGAGAGGAGACAAGTTCGAGAAATGGAGGCGGTGTCGATTCGGGTTCCCTACAAGAACCTGAGGGAGGATGCGGAGGTGGAAATGGCCAGCATGGACGACCTCGACGAAGAGCCGAATCAGCGGATCGAGTTGGATTCTCCGGTTCCTCGATCGTCGCCGATGAATCCCGATGCCGCCGACTCCAATTTCTCTTCGCCGACGACCGAGGCTAGATCGCAGGCGCCTAAGCATTGTAGCCTGGCTACTCTTGTTCTTAGTTGTACGGTCGCCGCCGGGGTTCAGTTTGGTTGGGCGCTGCAGCTGTCTCTTCTGACTCCATATATTCAGGCAAGTGAGGATGTTGTTATCGCTAGCGAATTACGCGTATGCATGTTGTTGTGTTCTTTTTGGTTCCGGTAAGGTTTGATACCCAATGTTTAGTTGTTTGGCGCTGCGTTCTTGGGAAACTGAATTCTACAAGCTGAATTCGTAAAGTTTGTGCTGTTAATCTATGAAATTTGTTGTGTTTTGACGGTTAATGGAAATGGGTTTTGTTTCCGTGTTGATGCATTTGCTTCCAATTTAGTTCACTATGAGCTTTTCCCATAATCCTGTTAACCTTGGTTTTATGTTTCCTTGCAGACACTTGGAATAGAGCATGCTTTTTCATCATTCATTTGGCTCTGTGGACCTATCACAGGCCTTGTGGTAAGTTGATCATCCTGAAATCTAGTATTGGTGCACTTGGTGGAGCTTGTCACATACTTGTTGCCTGTTGGTCTTATTATTAGCTGAGCATCCAATGACTCAAAGAAACAGTCTTTTGTTAACCAAACTATCATGGAATACAAAATAACACTCATTTATGTCATATGGCATATATGCTTAACTCAGGGCTTCCTTGATTGTTACATTTATTTTCCATAGGTGCAACCTTGTGTTGGTATTTGGAGTGATAAGTGCACCTCAAAATATGGGAGGAGACGCCCTTATATTCTTGCAGGATCACTAATGATCTCCATTGCCGTGAGTACTCTTGTTTTACTCCACATTTTATTATCTGTTTTTGCACTCTCTGCTCAGCTAAACTAAGTGTTGCGAATTTAGGTGATAATTATCGGATTTTCTGCAGACATAGGGTATTTGTTAGGCGATACCAAGGAACACTGCAGGTGTCTGCTCTTACTCTCAGCTCCTTGCATTGTATTTTTCTGCTAGATATGAGCTTATAACTAACCAACTTCCGATTGGACATGCAGTACATTCAAAGGAACTCGAACTTGGGCAGCAATTGTCTTCGTTATTGGTTTCTGGATGCTGGATCTTGCTAATAATACAGTTCAGGTAAGCTCCCCTTAACATGGTTCTATTTGCCTCCATTTCTTTGTCAAAAAGAAGCGGCAATCACGCAGCCTGAACTTTTTCCACAGGGACCAGCTCGAGCTCTTTTGGCCGACTTATCAGGTGAAGTTCTACCTAAGCTCTATGCGTTTTCCTTTTGCGTGACCATTTTTTACCATCTTCTGGTGGCGAAAGATGTGGAATGTTCGGTCTAATATGATGCAATTGACATATAATTGATGTTGTGGTATCATCTGTTTTAGGCCCTGATCAACGCAACACAGCAAATGCAATTTTTTGTTTGTGGATGGCTGTTGGAAACATTCTTGGATTTTCTGCTGGTGCCAGTGGTAGTTGGAACAGGTAAATTAATCAAAAGCTTGTCTGGCAGGATGACTATTCTTTGAGCAAATGCATGCACCCATGTTTATCTTGAAAATCTCTGTGCTAAGCATCAGTAGCTGTCTATCTGAGTATAAAGTATTAGAAATGCTAGACCAGGCATAAGATACTTAGTCATATTCTTTTTATTGCTCTATGCCTTTGTCATTCAGATTCCTAGCTGATTGTTCTTTTCTGATGATATTTTCTTGCCAGGTGGTTTCCTTTTCTGATGAGTAGAGCTTGTTGCGAAGCTTGTGGAAATCTCAAAGCAGCATTTCTTGTAGCAGTGGTAAGTGTCTGCAAATGAGAACATATTTTCCTCTGGGCACCAATTGCCTCTGAACCTTGGTCTTAAGCTATGTTTTTACTCAACTGTTAAGATGAGATCTGGTCGCCTGGATATTGAGCTGTTTTGTGTTAATTTCGCTTCTATCTGAGCCTTCCGCTAAAAATAGTTCTGTGGGCTGTTCGGCGGAGATAATTAGAAAAGTTTCTATATTACAAAGTTCTTGAATGCCATTTCAAATGGGATGAACTTGCTGAAAAACTGTCGTTGATTTGAGATATGTGGCGACAGTCTGGACCTGGAAATAATATATTTCTTTTACTTTGAAGACCTCTTGAGGAGAAAGAGTAACTTCTTCGTGATGTCTTTGCAGGTATTTCTAACCCTCTGCACACTTGTGACCCTTTATTTTGCGGATGAAGTCCCACTCAGTGCAAGCCAGCCTCGTGGATCATCAGATTATGCTCCATTATTGCGTAGTCCTAAACAAAATGGCATTGAACTATCAAAATTTGATTCGGATAATAAACATATAGGAAATCCTAGTGCGAACAATACAGGAAACGGGTATGAGAAGAATTATATTCATAATCATGCCGAACATGTGGGTGATGCGAGTGAAAGTATTGATGATGGCCCTGGAGCAGTTCTTGTGAAATTATTGACCAGTTTGAGGCATTTACCCCCTGGGATGCATGCAGTACTTGTTGTTATGGCTCTTACCTGGGTAAGGATTTCACTTGTGCAGTTATCTGTCAGTTACTCTCAGAGCTTTGTGGTATTTCTGATTAGCATGATACCAAATGCATCTTCATTCATGGGAACTGCTGTGAAAGTTCACTTAATTTATATGTCTCATTTATCTGCAGTTATCGTGGTTCCCTTTCTTTCTTTTCGATACTGATTGGATGGGCAGAGAAGTTTATCATGGAGATCCAAAGGGGGATGCTGTGGTGATTAACTTGTATGATCAAGGTGTCAGAGAAGGTGCATTTGGTTTGCTATTGAACTCTGTAAGAACTCGAATTTGAGCATGTTAGCTACTTGCCCAGACATCAGTAGGACATATTGGATTATGAATCCGACTCCCTACCTCAGTTGTCTTACTGTTTACATACTGTGTTCTTCCTTGCATTCTTATGACGTTCACTTTTGTCATATATCCTTGAATTACAAGTTTAAAAGGTTTGCCTATGGCAAAATGACTATGGCTGAAGAGGAAGAAAGTATGAAAGTGAGTCCAGTATTAGGATATTAATGAGTCTGTCTTTTGAAATTTTTTCCTTGCACACGCTGCATGATGTTAAGTATTGATGTCAAGGAAAACCTCAAAGCCACTGATTTACTGCTTCCGTTATATCTTTGTGGAACGATCTTGGGAAATGTGCATTCAAATCCTTTTGTAACATGGTATCGATTAGGTTCTCTTCCTTCCTATTATTAATTCTTTGCTTTCTCTTCAAATTTTGGAACAGGTTGTTCTTGGCATCAGTTCTTTCCTTATTGAACCAATGTGTCAGAAGATGGGGGCAAGACTTGTATGGGCGATGAGCAATTTCATTGTCTTCGCCTGCATGGCCACTACTTCCGTAATTAGCTTGATATCTCTGAGTGAATATTCCAGGGGAATTGAGCATCTTATTGGAGGGAATTCTGCGATCAAGATAGCTTCATTAGTTGTTTTTGCTCTTCTTGGATTTCCTCTTGCTGTACGTACTATTTCCCCCTTACAAGATCTTCCATATTTGGTTTCTTTCTCCACAGTCCACAGCCCTTTACTGACCGTGTGCTTCTGACAGATAACGTATAGCGTCCCTTTCTCAGTTACAGCTCAGTTGACAGCTGATTCTGGTGGTGGACAAGGTTTGTACTCTTGGTTGACCTTCCATTTAACATTTCTTTCTCCACTTAATGCCAGCACACTAGAGATCGTCATCCCTAATTTTGTTTGTGTTACTCCAGGACTGGCCATCGGAGTTCTCAATCTCGCAATTGTTGTTCCTCAGGTAGAACATCAATATTTTCCATTGCTTGCCTCGGTATCTTTCTGCGCTTTGCTGATCTCTTGGAGTTGATTTGGTTGCTTTCAGATGATAGTGTCCCTTGGTGCGGGTCCATGGGACGCATTATTTGGTGGAGGCAATGTACCTGCCTTTGTCCTTGCTTCAATCGCCTCGTTGGCAGCTGGTGTGATCGCAACTCTCAAGCTGCCAAATCTTTCAGATTCTTTCCAGTCAACCGGTATGCATTTTGGCTAGAATGAAAAGGAACTTTTGTTATACCGGTGCATCTGGATCCTGCACCTTTCTGCAGGGTCAATGGCATGATTTTTTGGCTTGGAAAGATTCAACTTCCAGTTACTGAGGAACTGTGTGCCTTCCTGTGGAAGATGGCAAGACAGCTCGATATATGCGTCGGTAATTGAGTATACACAACTTAACATTCGTTCATTCTTTTATGCCCCCTCACGTTGTACCCTAATTCATGTAGATGTAAAAATCATCAAAAAGTTTCAATACAAGAGCGTATACAGGCATTACTTCCTTGTAACATGTGTTATTATTGTTAGTTGATAGAGTTATGCAGTAAAACTATGGGGCTTGGGAGATGTTGAGTGTTGCCAGACTAATTTGGTTTTATTGTTATGTTATATATTTGACAAAGTTTGACCACAATGCGCCACAATTACATATTTGTTATTTGTTATGAAACTAATGAAAATATAAACAACAATAAGAGAAGATTAGAGAGGAAAAGACACAAGAGAAGAGAGGGGAAGAGTTCTTATTCATTCTTCACTTTTGATACAATGGTGTGCTATATTTATAGGCACACTTTGGTAACCACTATATCCTTATATCAATGCATATGAATGAGAGATAATAATGTAGAAATAGAGGTTACATGTAACTCCCAAGTGAGCATCTAATGTGGTAGGTCATTGGTCATCCACATATCAATATTTACATAATACTCCCCCTTGGATGACCACTAGATTGCATTACGCTATATCATACTGAATATTAAAAAGCTTACCAGGAAAACCCATTGGGAAAAAACCATGGTTAAGGGAAAAAGAGTGCAGTGCGTATATGCTCCCCCTCATGACCATATCACTTCAGATTATTGAGTCGTTGAACTCAACTTTCACGAACAACTTTTAGAAAGATTCTTGCCGGGAGTGAGTTAGTGAACAATCTTCTAGATTGTCAATTTGATGCATGATCTTTAGATTTTCTTCATACATGATCGTCAGGATCATTTCATATGAAAATAGTTCACAACCACAAGTACTTGAGATATGGTGGATCACAAAGTGTAACGAAAGACATTCGGGACCTACCCATTATAGTTTGTTTTGTTTCTTTATGAAACATTTATATCACCATATGTAAGAGATAGCTCCTCTCCGATCAACCAATATAAGGATCAAATGATATATAGGATTTGGATATATAGTTTACCAAATCTCTCTTTGATAATACCATAATAGAACAATCGCATATATTGTTCCTGGAGGTAACAAAGTATTTTCCAATGTTCTAATGAGGAAAACATTGTATCTTGCCAATATTATCAACACCAAAATGATAGTTTATATGGTGCTTGGCTAGCAAGGTGCATTGTTGCTCTAATGCATCAACATATGGTACTTCAGGACCTAATGTTTCACTTCTTTCTTGATTTCTAAATGGATCTTTGGTCACTTCCAGTGATCTTAGGATCCTAATGTTATTTGATGAACACAACTATATATGCACAATGCAAATGCTCTAATGCACTCTATCCCGGATTTAACCTTTTAAGGTCGATTCACCCTACTGTTGTAGGTGTTCTCTTAGACGAGTATTTCACATTCGTCTATATTTTCTCAACCCATATCGGGGATATTCTTAGTCTATCATTATATGTTCTCGAGAACTTTACTTGTTTACTTCAGGTAAATTAATCCTTCTGGGACTTTCAAATATATATAACATCTTCAAGGAATTCAAACAAATAGGCTATCACAACAATTTTCAAACATAGATTTAAACATTGATTTGACAAAGTAGTTGCATCTACCACAAGAGAGCATAACTCCTCTCAAATAATGATAGGTCTCTTCGAGAAACCCATTGCAAAACATTGTGTTATATCTCTCACAATTTCATACTTTCCAATAGCACAAAAATTTGTTTACATCCCGCTAGTTTTGCCCTTTTTTAGGTGCTAGGACTTCTGGTCCTTAAACTTTATGCTCCTTGAGCAAGTTTCATGATTTCTTAATATATTGGCCAATAAAATCATCATTTGCATGCATCAATAGAGTTTTACTCTTGATCCTCACTTGTACATATCATATTCAGTACTGAAGTACAACAAACAAATTTCATCGACAATGATTTCATTACGGTTCCAGTATTGTAGTCTAATATGGTTTTGAGATCTCTTCGCTTTCACAACTTTCAGAGACATGTGTTCTTCTGGAACTAAAATTATATTTTATTCGTGGTTACTCTTCTTGAGTTTTCATGTCCTCGAGTTGACCATTCTAATTACAGCTCCTTTTCTTTCTCGAAGATGTTTATCATTGGAACCGATTGGTATATCACGCTTCATGCGCTCTTTCATACACATTTTTTTTATATTAGAGTATCCAACAAGAATATCAAATTTAGTTGGAGTATTCACAGCTAGTATATGTGACTTGGTCACTTCGTATGGCCAGTAAAGGCATTTGCTAGTTGGTAACGATAATACATCTTATGAACTTCAGGTTCATGTTTCTTACTTTGAGGATCAAAATTAGATAATGATAACTCATTGCAACTCATCTCTTTGTCTAGCTGTTTTTTTTTTCCTCTCCCTCTTAATGTTGGAAAAGTTATTCATCAAAACATTAATTTCGCAAAAAAATTCTCATTTGGGATTCATACCCAACACAAATTCTCAATTTCCAACGAGAATCAACTTAAGATACTGTGGTGGAGCAATTGGGATGTATGCGGCACACCCTGATATTCTCATATGAGAAATGTTAGGTTTCTGACCAAAACCATTTGTAAAAGGGGGGAACTTATGATAACTTGTTGGTTAGATGTGAACCAATACTATCACTTGCCAGCTAGCATGTCCTCGACAAGAGTCCAGAAGGCTCGGTTTGTTCTCTTAAGCAAAGTGATGTTTGATTGGATAACCATCAAAATGTATTCATAGTGAGGCAATCAATCTCGCAAACATCGCGTTGCGATTAGATAAAATAAAAGTGATCATATAAAATCTCAAGAGATTTGCCAACTCTTATACAAGCTCTGATCAATTGTTCTATTCTCCTTGAGAACAAACATGACATAATAACTCTTTTAGTTGAAGAGTTCATTGACTTCTCATATGATGTTCTCATGAATTCTCAAATAACTTTTTTTCACATCAAGATCCGGGATGGTCTAACCGGACCAACCAATTATCAAGTTATCAAATCTTGTAAACTTCTCGTTTACACTTTTATGTGTACGGATTGTACTAATATACATGTAGTACATATTTGTGATGCAAATATTAGTTTCACACTTTTCTTGATAAGATATTCATTTTACGAATATCCTTTTAATTGGATAATGCATCATCACTGGGTAGTTTGAGTCCTTCAGGCCACAAAACATTAGCTCTTTTAGAGCTTAACCATATTTTGTACCATATTTCGCCCTTCCAGAGACTTATGATTTGATGCATTCTTAGTAAACACATATTCATAGTGAATATCATCACAAATTATTATCACGAGTACCTAATTTAGTTACTTCAAGTAACCCAACATAAGCTCTTCGGAAGCTTTTTCTCATTTATGTACTCTACCATATAGTTTACATGGAATTTTTCTAACAATCATACTTTACAAAAACACACTAAAATAATAAATGAGAATATTCGAACTTAAGACAAAAATGACAAACTTATTAAGTTAATCGTTCTAGATAAAAGTTATCAAGTTAAATTATGCATGAAAATAATGGCACGATGAAACATAATAGAAAACAAGAATCATAATACTACAATTGTGAAAATTTAAATAGGCTTTATTTGGAACAATATCATCACTAACTAGGTGATTTTAAATTTATATATGCGTTCCATTATGCATTTCAATGTACAACATGTACATTATGTTATCATGACTTTGATAATGCAATTGTTATTTCATCCACGTTTATAATTCTTCTCTTTTCTCACTTCTGGTGAAAAGATCCAAACAATACATTTAGCATATATATATAATCATGTTTATAGCTCCATTCACTTCGGGGAATAGATTGTTTCATTCACTTCTGGTAATGAAAATGTCTCAAGTGCAATATCATTTTCATCTTTAATGGAGAATATACCAACTTATAATACAAAAAAATATGTTCCATAATATTGATATTGCATCAGCATATTTGAATTTGCTCTTCCCTTTGATTCTTAGTAGAATCAAGTCTTTTGCGTACAACGGGTACGAGACAAACACACTTTTCCATTACGATGGTAACATACAGAACCAATATTCTTATTACCATGTCCTTTTCTTTCTTTGCCCTTGAATTCTTCAATTTCCACTTCTGGGGAATACATGGGCTCTTGGAACTTGCATTTTCTACATATCAATGTATGATTGATAAGAATAGGATAACACAGAGAACTGAGAAATTAACTCATCACTTATATTACTTTTCTTGTTAATCCAAATAGATTGACATGATAAAATATCAATGGATATGAGAAGTAGCACCCATCTTAATATATTGGAATGAGATAATCTCAATACAAATAAGACAATACGATAAGAAAGGATCTAAGATTTACATACCTTGATCATATTGTGATCTTACTCCAATATCTTAGATTATGTCGAGAGTCTTTCAGGCTTGAGCAATGATAATTTTGGCAGAGCTTCGTGCTGATAACGTGTTATGAAACTAATGAAAATATAAACAACTATAAGAGAAGATTAGAGAGGAAAAGACACAAGAGAAGAGAGGGGAAGAGTTCTTCTTATTCATTCTTCACTTTTGATACAATGGTGTGCTATATTTATAGGCGCACTTTGGTAACCACTACATCCTTATATCAATGCATATGAATGAGAGATAATAATGTAGAAATAGAGGTTACATGTAACTCCCAAGTGAGCATCTAATGTGGTAGGTCATTGGTCATCCACATATCAATATTTACATAATAATATTTGATATATCATTTATGAATTTCAAATTGTGAAAAAGAAGTAATTTGGAATTCATTGTAGCAGGTAGTTGGGAATTTTTTTTTTTTTTTTTACTTTTAGAAGTAAAGGTAATATCTTGTTCAAAACAATTGGTATTAATGCAATGTTCCATCATTTGTTGGGGCCTATATGTACACTTTATTAAAGTTTACGTGCTAAAGTCTAATACCTAATAATTTAGGAACTATAATTTTTAAATATTTACTATGTTTGGATGGTAAACGACATTAAAAATACTTAACATAAAGTTGAAAATAAATAGTCGAATTTTTTTTTGTTTGTAATAATTCGAACAATAAATTTCAAATGCAGCTTATTTCAAATTTGAGATTTTAAAATTTTAATTACATGCACTCGAATAAATGCAATGCAAGCTATGGCCGACTGCATCTTATTATTGCTTACTTCCGGGAATGGAAGGACGAAGGACTGATTGAAGTCGATTTTGTCGGAGACGGAGAGGCAACGGAGGATGACTGCGGAAGTTCAAACCCTAGACAATCATCGAGTTTCGCTCTGATACCATGTTGAATTTAATGTCGCGGAAATGAAACAATCACATAACATGAGAGTTTTACGTGGTATTCCTGTTCGACGTGAACATGACTAATCCACGGTGAGACGAGCAGGGTCAAAACCCAAATGACAACCAAGTTTTCTTCTTTGAAGAGGACAAGTAAACAAGGGACTTAATTATTTTTGACTAAATAATTAATATCCTCAACTGAAATTCCCATAAAGAGAACGGGAAATATTGGGGGTCGTGAGAACTTGAACACGTGACCTCACGGACAAACCTGCACTTATACCATCTCATAAACCAGTTGGTCTCAATAACTCGAGTTGTTGGGAGAAGACTATGCTGGATCTTATACAAGCACTTGTATGGTACTTAACCACTTTCTTACACCGTGAACAGGAAGAGGCAAATCAAGAAAGAGAAAGATGTCTACTAGCTACAATAGAACAAGGACACAGCCCTAAACTCACACAATCAAGTCACAAGAATATGAGAAGGCTATAATACCATGTAGAATTATTCGAGAATGTGAACAAGAACGAAACACATATGAGATTTACACGATTTCTCAAGCGAGTATCGCTGAGACTCGTACACAAAGAGTAAGATCTCAAAATCAATCTTATTAACCTGAAGAAGGTGAAGAAGAAGAGATCAAAAAATTACAAACTCCTTCAGCCCCCTCAACCTATATAGTGGAGCCGAATCTTAACCCTAAACATAAAGGGTTGTATTAGTAATTAACTCTTAATTTACATGTGATTAATTACTAATAATACAACCCTGGGGTGTATATTATCAAAGTCACGCAGCTAACGACTCAATCGAAGAATCGATTGAGCTCGAATCAAGAACGAAGCGTTCTTAATACGAACTTAGATAAAACGGAACCAAAAGGACAAATCCACACCTGGGGATAGCTCGATTGGTATAAAAGGGTAGTTGCTCGACCACGATTGAAGTGACTATTCAATCGATACACAAGCTCAGCAAGTTTGGAATCCACCAAACCCAAAACAAGTCGCAACTTGCACAAACCAAACGGTTTCGATTTCTATTCAACAAAGTCTGAGTTTTACAACGAAATAGAAAGCTTAAATAGGCCTAGCTAGGGTTACACACATCCCATAACTCCTAATTACAGTCTAATACGAAAAGGAATCAAAAACTACCAAAACAATGAATTCCTAACTAAACAAGAAAAAGAAATCTGCCTTTAGCTCCAAGTAACCAAATAGCTTTGATGCCATCTTTGAGCCTCTCGATCAAAGCCTTTCAGGTAAGCTTCCAATCATCCAATGCCATGTCTTTGTAGTAGAACATACCTACTTTCATGTGGTATAAGCCTCTGGACTCGAATCTCATCCATGACTCTGGAATGGAGCTCCAAAGTAAGCTTCTTGAACACAGTTTCTGCCTTAACTATATTCTGGCAGTTTTCCAGTTTTGAGATAGCAACTTTGAGGCCTTGGAAAACAACTTTAATGACATCATCTGGATCCACAAAGCATACCATTGGAAAGATGGCATCTTTATATGCAATAAAAAACCTTAATCTTGAATTTCCACCTAGCCAATTAAGAGAACCATGCCTCCAAAGTATGTACCCTGAACACGGATTTTGACTTAGGCAAATTCTGCCTTTCTTCTTCCCAACTTCGATAGCTTCTTTGGCAAGTAATTTTGACTCGTAGAAGGGACCAATCTGGATCATATCAGGCCCCCCTTCTTCAAAAAGCTTTGCCCTCAAAGCTTGTATGAATTTGCAAAACAAAAGACGATCACACGATACCCAAAATGGGTCTTCAAAAGTGTACTCCAACTGCGGCAAAACGATCGACAAGACAGCACCAACTCCATTTGAGCTTGATTCTAGCATGATCAAATTCGTTTGTGTGTTACCCTGAAGTCCCTGACCTGCAGCGAGGTCAATTGTGGCCGGGAAATAAAGTAGAAGTTGCCCGGAACCTCTTGACGCAATAACAAACTTTGGCGGAACCTGCAAACTTGGGATTTCTTGATTAAAGCCTACCCACTCCAATTGACCACTCAAATCTTGTTCAAACGGCTTCCATATCAACCTTACAAACATTCCCAGGTCTTGACCAGCATCAGTAATCAAAGAATCAACGATTTTAGTGTTCCCACCATTCTGAAATTTGAACGTTTTTGCAGAATTTTGCAATTCTGGAACTTTGGGTGTTTTGATTTCCGGCCGATTTAAGTCGTTGTCGAGTTGCATACACCTTCCATAATCATCTAGAAACTGATTCCCAGTGGTGGTTTCACTCGATTCAAGCTTAAACTCTCCAACGAGATACCTGTTTTCGGAGTCGGACTCTGGCTTTTGCAGAAGAGCTGCTGCCGAAATGGGTCTTGCTGTTTCCGACCGAATAGGGGTTTGTGCTGTGTTAGGAGTCTCTCTTTGAAGTTCAAGAAACTCCTCAGAAGCATTGGCGTTCCTCGACTTAACTTCTAGAATCGTCGACTCGGTGAATTTGTATTCTCTGCCATCGCCGCTTTGAAAAGTTTCTGCTGCCAGATTATTGAGTGCTAACTTGGGAGTTTTGAACTCCGCTGGATCTGTAGGTGTTTCCATGGGGTAATCCATTCCTGGGAATCCCAGAAACTTTCCCCAAGTGGGGGAAATGGGCGAATCTTCCTCTTGCTCGACAACGATGTCTCCGGCAGCCGAACTCTGTTTTACCGGAGCAAAACAGGGGTAGCCGCCTACTGCGTATTTGATCGAAGACCCTTCGATTCTCTTCTGACCTGCAGTGCCTAGTGATGGGGAAATCTTTCCTTCGCCTTCAATAAGCTCACAAAAAGCAACGACGTCCTTTGAAATGGCGGTTAGCTCATCGACATCTTCCGCAGTCTGCAACCTCTGTTTTGCCGGAGGAAAACAGAGTCGACCTTCTGTAGCAGCGTTTAGTTCTTCTAATCGTCGATGAATACGGTCGAATTTTGGCTGGAGTATTGCATTAAACGCTTCTGTTACCAACTTCTTCAATTCCTCCAAGTCAATTTGTTGAGTTCCCATTGTCTCCTCTTCTCCACTGTTTCTGCCCGCAAAGAAAAACAGAACTAAAACAGAACCTCGATCTCCTCCTTGCCCCTGTGTTGAACCAGGCTCTGATACCACTTAATACAACCCTGGGGGTGTATACTATCAAAGTCACGCAGCTAACGACTCAATCGAAGAATCGATTGAGCTCGAATCAAGAACGAAGCGTTCTTAATACGAACTTAGATAAAACGGAACCAAAATGACAAATCCACACCTGGGGATAGCTCGATTGGTATAAAAGGGTAGTTGCTCGACCACGATTGAAGTGACTATTCAATCGATACACAAGCTCAGCAAGTTTGGAATCCACCAAACCCAAAACAAGTCGCAACTTGCACAAACCAAACGGTTTCGATTTCTATTCAACAAAGTCTGAGTTTTACAACGAAATAGAAAGCTTAAATAGGCCTAGCTAGGGTTACACACGTCCCATAACTCCTAATTACAGTCTAATACGAAAAGGAATAAAAAACTACCAAAACAATGAATTCCTAACTAAACAAGAAAAAGAAATCTGCCTTTAGCTCCAAGTAACCAAACAGCTTTGATGCCATCTTTGAGCCTCTCGATCAAAGCCTTCCAGGTAAGCTTCCAATCATCCAATGCCATGTCTTTGTAGTAGAACATACCTACTTTCATGTGGTATAAGCCTCTGGACTCGAATCTCATCCATGACTCTGGAATGGAGCTCCAAAGTAAGCTTCTTGAACACAGTTTCTGCCTTAACTATATTCTGGCAGTTTTCCAGTTTTGAGATAGCAACTTTGAGGCATTGGAAAACAACTTTAATGACATCATCTGGATCCACAAAGCATACTATTGGAAAGATGGCAACTTTATATGCAAAACAAAACCTTAATCTTGAATTTCCACCTAGCCAATTAAGAGAACCATGCCTCCAAAGTATGTACCCTGAACACGGATTTTGACTTAGGCAAATTCTGCCTTTCTTCTTCCCAACTTCGATAGCTTCTTTGGCAAGTAATTTTGACTCGTAGAAGAGACCAATCTGGATCATATCAACTAACCAGTCTTCTAGTTCCTCTCTTACTCCTGCTATTAAAATGTCAGTCATCCTTATAAGTTGTAACTCCTACCTATTGCAAAGGAATGCAGACCAAGCGTGGAGGAAAATGTGGGGTGTGTTGGCAAAATAATGAGTTTTAGACTTTAGTGGGGCTAGAACTACAAATTCATAGCTACAAGTCTACTAAGACTACAAGTAGCTCCACTTGATCTTAAGAACAAACCGTGCACCCATGAGGGTATTCTCTATATTACTTCATTCATATGTTAAGAAGGTGTCTTGTTACTTACATGGTTTGTTGGTTTGTTGGAAACTCGCAGATACATTCATTTCAAGTTTTCATCTAATATATTATATGAGTATTATCTACATTGGGCATTCATATATTATGGTCTACATTCAATAAATACAAATATATAGTATATGAACAATATTAAACTTTATTGTTGATGAGCCTAAAGGAAGGAATGTTTGGCTCTTGAGTTGCTATGCCAAGTATTAAGTATGCGTATATAATATACATTAGATATGTGGGTAATTACTTAACTGGTTAATTTGGTTTGTTTGGTTAGAACTTAGAAGTGTCTGATACCCAAGCAAACCAACTAAACCAAACAAGCTAAATTTTTTAACCAAACCAATTATCCAAATTAACCAAATCAAATTAGTCAAATACTACTGGTTAAAATGGTTACCACGGTAACCACACCTTTTGAACACCCCTGAGAAGGAATGCACAATTTTGACTACGAGGGTTTTTTTATAACTTTTCAAAATCTTAGGAGGGGCCTGAAAGATAGTATTTTTAAGAAAAATATAACATTAATACAATTTCAATTTATTTACTAGGGTATTTTCCCTTTAATTTATTTAACTGTTATTTTTATAGATATTATCATGATAACAACATTTAAGTCTTATTATACTATTCCAACCAAAAAAAGTATTATTATTTTTCTATATTTTTCCCTATTTGTATTCATTGGATGTTGGTTACAGTCTGCAATGAAAAGACAATGATATCTTTGTCAACAGTACAATATGTGGATTGTGGGAGCACTTAAGTCTTAGGGGTCGTTTGGAGAACGAGATTTAGGTCGTGGATTCATTGAATCCGTAGATTATATAGAAAGTTATGTTTTTCTGTTGCTTTTTGTATTGTGGATTTTAACTTTAGAGATTTCAAATCTCTAAAATCTATGGATATCAAATCTCTCATAATCTAATCAGAGAGATTCCATATCTTGATTCATGAGATTTTTTTTCCTCCTACCTTTTCTCTTTCTTTTGCTTATTTATCATATTAAATATATTTACTAACAAATTTTTTAATATTTCTCGAACTACTCTAATTTTTTTATTAAGGATAAACATGTTATTTAATATAAATTTTTTATTTTTATTATCATTGAATGTTAACAATCACAGTTACCAAACAATAAACATTTTAAAATCTATTTTCAACAATCCGAAGAGTTAGAATCTTTAGATTGTTTACAATCTATAGATTTAAACTCATATTCTCCAAACGACCCCTTAATTGAAATTTGAAAATAGCTTAGGGCCCCTCTTTAAACCTAAACCGTAAGAATTAAGCTAAATATGGAAATGCCTAGAAATGTTTTGGCCCCAAACTGCCCCCAGCTTTCCTAAAATATCTTGACTGAGCCTCGGATTTTCACTCAAATTGATGGATGTTCCTATTTTTGTCAATAAAGCATCTCCGGTTATGATTGTTATCACTAACCAAACACGATCGTTAGTGTCATTTTCTTACTAACTATCAAAATTTGACCTCCTGGCTGACAACCATTGTCATTAATTGGGTAGATAAGATATAAATATTGATTAGGAACCTTTCAATAATATGGATATGAACACATGTAGCGATATGTCATTGGATATATATGGACTGGAAGGAGAGACCGAGAAACCAAACGAGATACGAGATTTACGTATATTGATGTTATACATGCTTAGAAAGAATCGATCTATTCTCATTTTCATTGGAGATTTTCAACTTTAGTGATTTTCATGTTCCCATAATCTTCCAAACTTAACCTAAGTACTTTTCCCACCTATAAAATACTGTTTACTGTCCTTCTGTTAATGCAGCAAAATTCTACATCTACTTGTACTCTTGGTATATACTCTTTTGTACACCAGTACTTTTGGTCGGATGTGAAACACCTTTTAAATAGTAATCTATTTTTATTGATCTCGAGTTATAAATGTAAAAATTGATGAATGTTATCATTCTCATATTACGATCCTACGAGAGACTACGTCAATTCCACGTTGTAGAAAGAAAGAAAGAGGAAGCTACGGGCAAATTAAAGCAGTCAAGAGTAGTGCATGGTTGAAAGCTTTAGGACTAACAAAAGAGATTAGGGAAACTGAACAAGTCGGTAGCATGGGAGGTCGGGGAGATGGACGGTTCTCATCAATGGGCCCGATATCTTTTTTCTTATGGGCCCGATATCTGTATACGGGAAAAAAGTTGCGAGAGCAGACCGTAGCATGGGCGCCACCACACCACACCACAGCCTCGCAACAAATGTAAAAAAATATATATCCTCCATTAATATATGGTAGAGTTTAGTGTACTTTTCTCCATTTCAAATTTCCTGCAACGAGAGTGAAAGTATTTTTGTCTTTACATATTTATTATTTATTTTATATAAAAATAGAAATATCAAGATTTGAACCCGGGTCTCTTAAAACAAAGATAACAATCACAACCAGTTACACTAAATAAATTTATTGCATCCTTTTTTATACAAAACATAGACAAAGTTAATCTCTGAAAATCAGAGGACTTTTTCATCATAATTAGCAAGCTCACTAAGTCTACTGTATGTATTTTTATCGAGCTTGATACTTCTATTTTCATAGTAGAGTTTCATGTAATTTTCTCAATTTTAAATTCCCGCTCTCTCCTTAATTTTTGCTAAAGGTAAATGGGTAATTGGCTAACATGGAAGAAACTTATTATGTAACTACGTGTTGTATCCTTGCATTTTTCAATTTAAATTTAAATTTTGTGTTTTTTTATCTGTGTTCTTTTCTCTTTCTAACTTCCTCCGAAATTTCATCCATCGTGCAATAGTTTGCGCCTTTCACTTCCCAGTACAAGAATGTCATTGAAAATCAATCTTCAGATATCTCTTTGCACTACGATTTTATTGTTGGGGATTTTAAGCTGGGCGAGTAGAAGATTTCAACTCCGATATCAATCCATGGCGAATAGAATGGAGTTCATCAATAACTGGAGTTGTAGAAGGAGGATTAGAAATTGAATTTTTGGTTGAATATATGCCTCATGAGATAGAAATTTGGTTATATAATGGAGAGTGGTGGCTATTGGATCTTTAGGTTTATGGTTTTTGCAACTGTCACAACCTATTTCTATCTTAAAACAAGGAATCATTGATTGATTGTTTGAAATAGGTCGCTTCTTTATTCAACCTACTGGAACTAATAGATAAGGAGTGTCTAATTTTGCGCCTTATTAATTTGATCGAGTCTATTCGTATATTGGAGATAACCCTGATTTTTTCGTTTGCTCTCAAGTTGTGATGGTCCCCTCTTAGCTGAGTTTTTAGTATATAGATGACTTGAATCAACAACTCTCTATTTCTTTTTGATTAGTGACATATTGTTTCTAAAAGGAGAGCATTGAACCCTTTATATAGGATTGTGAGGTTTAAGATTTACTTTCAAACTATCTATGGGTCGTGTGAGAATTTCAGTGAGCTTTTATACTCTATATTTCTTGACTGTAAAAAAAAACCAATAGCATTTTAACAGGGACTTAATTAGCATTATGAAATGGGGTCAATGATATATTTTTATATTTTATATTCTTAAATGATTATGATATTTCTCCGAATGTTCGACCTATATATTATGTCTTTATGTATCATCTAGATCGAATGATTATCAATAAGATTAAACGGGTTAATAGACTTAAAAGTAACATAAAAATACAAATAATCAAATATGAGCATTCCGGCCAAAGGGCCGGGTTATAACCTAGTATATGTATATGGGCTATTTCAGTGCACTCACTTTTTAGGGTGCATTCATTGCACCCACCTCTATAAGTGGTCATTTTACATCATATTTTGAAATTTAATGGGTAGCATTAGTCTCATATGATGATTTAAAACAGAATCACAACTAATCAACCCATTACCCTAACCTATTAACATTCAATTTTGAATCTAAACCCAAAATCCCAAATTGTAAACCCTAACCCTTACCCTAAGTTCCTAATCCCTGAATCATTCAAATTAAAGTGAATCTTGAATGATTTTTGTACAAATTCATGTGGTTCTTGTTCATCATACTACAAGGGATGATTGACATCATCATACTACAAGGGATGATTGACATCGTTTTCACATGAATCGTCTGCTCAGAATGACGATTATGAGGCGGGTGCACTGAACGCACCCAAAAAAGTGAGTGCACCGAAGACATAACCATATATATTAATATTACTTATTCATTAGAGAGCACTTTAGTTATCAGGTCGAGAGGAGAGGAGGGCAGTGGTTGACAAATCACTATCATCACTACACATTCCCTCTCTTCCGAAATTCAAATAACTTAATAAAATATTATAATTCACAATATGGATAGATGGATAGATAGATCCTAATAATGATTGATTAAGTAAATGTATATGGTTAACATAAAATCAACCAAGGCAAAATGGGAGCAAAACAGAAAGCTTACGGGCTGAATGACGTGGATTGAGCCCTTACGAAGGGCACATGGAAATATATATTTTCCTTTTTCTCTTTTCTATATATCTATATATATTTGATTAGAGGAGGGCAGGCACATGGATTAGTTAGTGTAAAGCTGAAGCCACCAGAAACATGAAGGCATGTGGAGAAGAAGATTCACCCTTCTCTTCTTCTTCGTTTTCCCATTATCATGGATTATTTATTTATTTATTAAATTATTTTCATTTTTTTCCCCTCCGTTTCTCTGATGCATATATATGTGGAATTTTTGTAAGGGGAATATTAATAAGCCAATAAAAAGTCTCCCCATAACTTTGTTTGCAAATGGGGGCATATATATGAATATGAGCAACTTGATTTTAATGACTAATTAATTAAAATTGGGAACGTACTATTTCAGATAATTGGGTGGTAATGACAATAATAAAATTGAATTCAAATTATATTTGTAAAGAGTTTTTGGAATCAATGTATCTAATATTTTCGGGATTTGCTGTCACAAATTAATTAATATTTTATTAAAGAAATGGAGGAAAATGAAGGAAAGGAAAGGAAAGGGAACATGTAAGGAGGATCCATCCACCCAATTCCAATGGGGTATCCCTTCAGCTTCCAACTAATAAAGTCATGTGATGCTGCGACTCTGTTTGCTTGTCTTTTCCCCCTTTTTATTTATTTTTTATTTATTTTACCCTCTAATTTAATAAAACTTTATTCACGGTTTATATACTTATTTTCTATGTAGGACCCTAATTAATCTTGATCTGCTTAAACTTGATGATGTAAAAGCCTCTATTGTTTAATAAAACTATGCGAAGGTTATGATAAAAAAAATAAAAAGGCAAAGCAAGCTGTGTGATACCAACCAAAAGGAAACTCGTGAAAAGAGAAGGGTCCCCTGCCCTACCCTACGTACCCATTTCTTCATATTAGATTGGGATTTGGGATCCTATCGTTGATTCGACCAGAAAAAATCTTCTATTAAAAGCAAAGTTGATACACCGTATTTAGCGGTATGAAAAAGTTAAACCACGCAGTTAGGCTACGGTTTCAACATTAAATATCCTACCACAAATATTTATATTTCAACATACAGTGCGGTTTTACAATTCTTTCTAGTTCTTCTCATCACTCGCGCTCTACGTACTGGTAGAAGAAAGGACATGTATATACTATATATACATTTACTTGGTTATCGGTTAATCATTACATTTTTTGTTTATCGTTAATTGCACTGTTTATATTAGTTAGTTAATCATAACCGTATAGTCGATTATTATGTTAGATAACCAACTAGTCAATTATCAAATGATTTGGCAAGGTTAGATCGAAATAGTGGATTTGTAACCAAACCAACAAAAGGCCTCCTTTTTTCAATGGTGCATATTTATAGATTTTTTCATGCATATGTATGTTTTTACCGGGACCGGTTATTGTAACAACACCCATTGTGTTGTTATTATAACAACACTAGTCCCCAACCAATAGGAAGCTAGGGATGTGATGACTTTTTATTAGTTGAGTTGACCTAGTGTAAAATCAAAACAGGGGTATAATTGTCATTATGAAAAATATGTTTAAATAATAAAAAAAATAAAAAAAATAAAAAAATAAAAAAAATATTTTTTATTTTCTGCCCAAAAATTCGTTCGCCGGAATTCTGCCACCGGTCGCCGGAAAGTGGTCGCCGGTCACCGGAATATGCTTTTTGTCACCGGAATATGCTTTTTGTCGCCGGAATATGCTATTTTGTCGCCGGAATATGCTTACCGGTGTCGGAATATGCTTACCGGCGTCGGAATCTAGTCATCGGGGCCGGAATATGCCTATCGGCGTCGGAATCTGCTCACTGACGGTCACCGGAGTTCGGTCAACGAACTTCGTTGACCGGTCAACGGTCTTCGTTGACCGGGTCAACGGTCAACGAAGACCGGATGTATGGTCTACATTGTGAGATTTATGGTTTGGTTTCTCATATTTTCGTATGCCTTTTGTGGTTTGCTTTATCGTGTTTGTGGTTTGCATTAAGAAGTTTCTGGTTTGCTTTATCGTGTTTCTGGTTTGCTTTCAAAAACTTTGTGGTTTGCATTGTGAGGGTTCTGGTTTGTTTTAATATATTTGTGGTTTGCATTAGGACGTTTCCGGTTTGCTTTTTTGTGGTTTAATTTACTGTGTTTGTGGTTTGCATTAGGAGGTTTCTGGTGTGCTTTCGCAAATGTTGTGGTTTGCTTTGTGAGGTTTGTGGTTTGTTTTAGGAGGATTCTGGTTTGCTTTATTGTGTTTCTGGTTTGCCTTAAGAAGTTTATGGTGTGCTTTCGAAAATTTTATGGTTTGAATTGTGGGGTTTCTGGTTTGTTTTAATATATTTGTGGTATGCATTAGGAGGTTTGTGGTTTGTTTTACCGTGTTTGTGGTTTGCATTATGAGGTTTCTGGTGTGCTTTCGGAATATTTGTGGTATGCTTTGTGGGGTTTTTGGTTTGTTTTAGGAGATCTGTGGTATGGATTGGGAGGTTTCTGGTACGCTTTTTTGTGGTTTTTTTTATCACGTCTGAAGCGAGTATGTCTGCAAATCGACGTGGATTTAAGAGCATGAGTGATTTAAGAGCATCAGTACTTCTGCTTTCTTGGCCATTCTATTAAGCTTCTTTGCATGAGTGATTTAAGAGCATCAGAGGTGGATTTCCAGGACAATCACCATTATTGTTGGCGGTTGGGGTTGAATCGACAATGTTAATAGTGGGAAGTGTCCATCGAGGAAGAGTTAAAGCGTCAGTCTCATCCATCTCTCGGCCGTCTTCCCAATAGCTCACCGGCAGCCTTAACTTCATCTCCAAGTTCAGTCTCCTTCAGATTCTCCACTACGCCCAATCTCTCCCGCCGATCGTTTTTCTCTGTCAAATCATCTTCGGTCCTAGGTTACTCCTACGATCCCTCTCTTCTCTCCCCTGTTAAATGATTTGATGAAACGGTTCAGAAACCTGTATATGCTTCAAGAACATACAACAGGTAGCATCTAAAAGCCTATCAGTCAAGAAGGAGGAAGCTGCAAACATGTGAACGGAGTTAACTGTACTTCCCAGGACATTGTTATGCACAAATAGTACAAAGCTAAGCAAGCATGAAGAGATTTGGTTCACAGGAAATATTGACGAACAAGAATCCCATGTCACAGAAGGGAGAAAAAGTCAAGTAACAAACCTCCTAGCCTCCTGGTTACAATCCATGGCCACTGCCTCAAGCTCCTTGAACTTTTTCCCAATCGTTGCTTCCAGGTCCCATATCTTCTCCTCCAACTCATTCCTCGAAGCTTCCGCCTCCTCGAATTCTCTCTCCACCGCCTACAACTCCCTCCTCATCCTTTCTGCATCCCGGATATTAAAACTCTGGTCGAATTTCGTATATGAATAGATAGATTGTTTTCCACCCTTCCAATTTCGTTTCCCTCTCAATAGTAGATCCGTCGTCTCCTGGAGGAGTGGTGCCAGCGATTTTGGTGGCGGAGGGTGCGTCAAAGCATTTGAATCGGATGAGGAGCGATCGAAATGACGACCCATCACAGGAGGGGACCGGCGCCTCCAACGCCGGAATCGGTAACCGTGTTTCTAGAGGCGGCGAGAATCAAAATACCGCCGTTGCAGGACAGGGGAGGCGGAATTCGGGCCGGAGTTGGGGGATGTAGAAACCGGAAAAGGCGAAGCGACCCAGCGAATATATATTAATTAAATTTTATCTTTGTTATATATTGTGTTAATGGACCCTTTTACCCTTGTTGTTATTATAACAACACTTATAGTGTTGTTATAGTATCCGGAGCCGTTTTTACCCCCTAATTTTCATTGATTTGGGTTTGGCTTGTTGTTCATATTGGAACTGAGATAAGAAAGCAAAGAGAGGAAAGAGAAGAGTGACGAGTGCATGTGAGGGAAGTCATAGATTGAAGAAATTGGGGCAATCTTTGCTAACTTTCCTCAAGCAGTAGCCATATGATCTTCTCAAATCTAATCTTTATGCTTACATTTCAATAATAAAAAAATCGACAGTGCACTTTGTCTCTTTCAATTTTAGGGGTCACACTGGGAGAAAATCGAGAAAAGAAGAAGATAGTCAGGGCGGGGATAAGATTGGTGTTCGAAGTTTGAGCGTTTGTTTGGAAGGGACTTGACCATTTTGGGGAGAAACCCATAAATATTCATATTTGGTTAGTTTTTGGTTAACCGACTATTCAATTATCGGTTACACGAGAAATCATTTCAGGCTACTGAACCGTAATGCTAACTTATAATCTATTAATGACATAATCGTTAATCATCAGTTACTGGTTAGTCTTACGGTGCAACCGCTAATCGGATATCACGTTTAGTATATATGGTCCATGTTATTAGCATATGAACATACCTCTAGTGAGTTGTGCTATGTAGATCACAAATTAATTGAAATTTGAGACATGATACTACACCATAACGTCTAATTCGTGAAGCTCACTCTTGAATCTCTAAATACAAGCTTTAAGGTCAATCCATAAAGTAATAATAATGAGTTATTCTAATTCAACTTTTTACGATGTATATAATAAGTGTGATACGTATATTAAATACTAGGCGGAGAAAAAGAATTTGTTCTATATAAAAAGGAAGGATATACCTACTAATGATTTTGCAATCACAAGCTGCTACACTTTTGACACAAAACACACTAGCTACCATAGAAAAGTTAGAAAAACCAATTGAATTATTAATCCTTTCCATCCCATTATATTATAAACAACCACATTCACCTTTCTTTCAGCAACAACCCTAGCAGCTAGCTTTAGCTTTTCCCATGCATGCACACTGACCAGCAGCAGCTACTTTCTTTGAATCACCAAACCATGGACGATCGAGCTGCTACACTGCATCTTCTACCTCTCCTTTTTGCTTTCCAATTCACTTTAAACGGTTTCTTTTGGGGAGGTTTTCTTAAACAGTCCTCTGCTACGAGGCAAATTCACTTTTCATACTCAACCCTTCGTGCAATGCATTTGGCCAACCATTTGTTTACGATCCTAACGATCATTAGGGTTAATTAGAATGTTTTAGCGCCATGATGATAGATTGAGAACTGTTGTGTGATCCAACAACAATCGTTACAACATTGGATGTAGCTAGATAACGTGTTTATCATTCGTGAAATTTCTCTACCATTAAAATTGCAACTATTACATGACAATTATCTAATAATGTTCTGATTCCTCTTCTTCCTTATCTTTTGCTATTCCCCTATTTTGGCAAAAACTAAGTCATATTTTTTTAGCTGCTAATTAGCAAGTAGTATCATCATATTAATTAATGCAAAACTGTGTTGGCATGCCTATTGTCACAATCAAGACCCAGTTCAATTTCCCCTAGGGGTCGTTTGGATGAGGAATTTTAATAACGAGAGATTTAGACTCAAATCTCTCATTTAAAATACTAGGAAATTTAAATGTGGGATTTGTTCAAAATAACTTGTTTGGATTGAGATTCAGAATTTTAACTTGGAACCCAAATTTACATTATTAACCCTTAAATTAAAACCTGCAAATTCCAATTCCATTCCCAATTTGCGGCTCCTCCTGCTCCACCCATTATCAATAACATCACAAAAGAGCCTTCCTGAATTCTCAATAGTCGGCGGCAAGCAGAACCTGAATTGGAGGGAAATCGACGCTAGGTAGCAAACCTAGAATCGCCATCGCCACTAGATTGTAAACCCAGATCTCCGGTGAGGCAACGAACGGAAACGAAAGGGATTTGGAGTGGGAGAGGAGGGCGATGCGACCTTCAATCTACCTTGCCGCAAACCCATATCTCCGACGACCCAGCGGGCTATAACGAAAGGGATTTGGACTGGGATAGGAGGGCGACGCCACCGCTAATCGGCCATGCTGCAATCCTCGTCAGCCCTCGAGTCATCGACCGAACCAATCCTCATGGATGTTCTCGTCAGAGGAGTTGTGTCGCAGAGGCGGGAGGAGGATAGCTGTCGGCGTAAAAAAAAGGAAGAAGGAAAGAAACGACGAAACAGGGGAGGCCTAAGGGCACAACTTGGAAAAGATGAGGAAAAAATGAGGGATTGTGAAATAGCTGGTCCTTATTAGCTATTTTAAAAACCTGCATCTGAGAGATTTGAAAATCTCTTATGCTTACAATCTCTTATCCTCCCAAACACATGATTGTATTAAAATCCTGCATAATGAGTGATTGTTTTAAAATTCCTCACAAATCACTCACTACAAACCTTCATCCAAACGGCCCCCTAGTCTTTTTTCCCCTCCCCTTTATTTTGGTGGGTTTCAATTTCGAGTCGTTGTTCCAATCACTTCACAAGAAGACTAGTGAAGATTGAAGAATAGCCAGCCAGCAAAAGAGAGTCAGCCAGGAAGCTATCTCCAAAACCCCACTCCACATTACATCACAATAGAATTTGTGGGCATGCATTGTGTATAACCAGAGTGGTCTAATGAATCGTAGATGTCTTGTTCTCAAATTGAGATGTGATATAAATTTTTTAAATATAATAAAATAAAAACAGTCATAGCATCGTTATTTAAAAAAAAATTCGAAATAAAGTTATCAACCAGCTCTTTAATTTGGTATTTTGCGAGAAATCATTTTCAATCATCATAAGAATTTATTGTGTAATTTATAGTGCAAATAGGGCTTTCAGAACACAATATAGGAGACTTTGACAAGGAATATGCATGTCTCGTTTATATACACATGAGAATATCGGTCGACTAGCACAAGTATCTATTAACATATTTAATCGCATCATCATTATACAATATTGAATTGGATAAACTAACAAAATTACAGTGTAGGCATGTTATTATACGGAAAACCCTGTACCGAACGATCTCCCAACACACCCTATTGGCCGGACTTGTGTATAACTATTTGTTGGGTCCATCTCCATTCGAAAAAGAAAAAAACAATGCTTCATATTCCTTTTCATGGGTCCAATGTGTCTCCCAACTTTTGCATGCTAGAAAGGGGAAAAAGAGGTGATGGAGAAACAACAGTGTTGATGTTAACCGCATTGATGTGTTTTCTTATCTGATTATTCATGTTTCTGATTTTCCCTTTGGTACTTTCTTTCACGTTCTGTGATTTGATGGACATTTTTGAACAAGGCCACACAATTCAATTGTCTACCATATTCCCACTATAGTGACACCAATACATCAATAATGTGCGTCCAAAGAGTCTTGTCACCCTTGCGGGGTTCTATATTGGCTAGTGGGTGCGGTGGAGCTTCAGTTCTGTTTTACCCGTTCGATGAAATGCCTCACTGAGAAATCACATCTCTGTTTTCCTCCCTCTGGCGTTGCTGGGTTTGCTGTATTAAGGCACTCAGGGAGTAAAACTTGTAGCTTCAACAGCTACAGGGGAGCATTTCTGTCAATCTGAAAGAAAGGAGAAGAAGAAGAAGAAAACAATTCCTTCCTAGCTAGTTTCAGTGTACAAGGAAAACTGTACAAAAGCCCTACTTCAAGTTCACTCGTGGAGTTGAGTGAAAAGGGGACAGCCAGGTTTAAAAAATAATAAAGGGCCATCATCATGTTACTGTGGGGTTGAAAAAAAAGATGATGAGGGTAAATGGTAGTAACTTCACCATGATTGTTCCTTTTTTGTTATTTCAAAGGCTTCATTGATTGAGCTTTTTGAAGTTTTCTTTTTTCCCCCATGTTTTCATCTGACCTAGCAGAGGAAAGAGAGAGAGAGAGAGAGGGCCTTGGCTGCTTATTCTGTCATTGAAAAATGTTGTTGTAGGACACAGAACTACACACACGTACGTGGGAGTGGCAAAGTAGGGTTTTGATTCGGATGAGATAATCCTCCTCAGGATGATCATTCGAGAGGCCGGAGGCTGCTACTGCTGCAACTTGTCATGAGAGAACAGCAATCCTTTTCACAGGAGCTGTGCATTGATTGAAGACAATGTAATGTAAGGAACACGGGCCGGCTAGCTACAAGGAAGGAAGAAAGAAGGAAAATATCATCATTGTTATTTGTACGTACATATATAGATGCCATTAGCAAGATGCCAAGATTCAAAGAGACAAGTCAATCTTCACTAGGGGTTGTTCAAACAATCCGGTTCGACCGGCTAATTGCTAGCCAACTAATAATATGCTCCGATCACAAGTAATGATGTAATTGAAAGTCGAATTTTCAGTGTCTACGATTGACCGAAATCGATGAGTACTACGCGAACGGTTCTAGAAAATGAAATCGAATGGATTCTATTCGGTGAGTGTATGTGCCAAGGGTTTTAATTTTGATTATTTATCTCTTCTTTTTTTATCTTTTAATTGAAAATAATAAAAAATCATTTAAAGCAAACTAGGTTGTAAAGGAGGTTTTAACAAGTCCATTTTTTGCTCAATTTGAAAAATTGAATCCGATTTATCGATCATATATAATATATAAAAGACCACACATATTGTATCTCTACTATTCATACAATTCTATCCATGTTGTAAGATACAAGCTAAGCAACAACTCTATGTTATCCATTTATCAATGGACTACGTGTTTTCTGTGACGAGATCTTGACATATATGTTTAAGACTCTCTTGGGTCCCAAGATATTCGGCAAACATATATGAGGCAGGTGATTTCCGATTTTACACCAGATGGTAGTGGCCATCGATAAATTTTTTCTCGGAATGGCACACCATGTAAATTGAATCCTACAATACATGAAACCAAACTTCATACATGACCGCTTGAACCACCCTTTCCGAATTCAGTTGAGCATGTTATACCATCAACTTGAAGTCACGTTTTGCTTAAGTGCACATGGTATATTGCCATAGTGGTGATATGAGGAAGAAGTGGTGGGCATGGATGGGATGCAAAATTGCTGATGATATTTGCTAGCTGCTAGCTAGTAACTTGTGATATTGCTATTATAATATTGATGGGAGTGAGGGAAGGAGATGAGAAGAGGGAAAGAACGTGACGAATGCCATTTGCAAAATTTGGAGGCAGTGGCAGAGGGAGAGAGAGGTCGGGGCAGAAAGACAAAAAAGACCAGCTCCACCACCTTGGGCAGTAGGCCTACAAGCTCACAGGGATTTCTGCTTGGCCTTTTGAAAGCCCTTTCTCTTTCACAAACCCACCTCCATTGCAGAGATTGACGCAAATGAAGAGAGAGAGAGAGAGAGAGAGAGATTGAAGTGAAGGAAAACTGATTACTGTAGATGGTAGACAACATGGCTATGGTACTTACAAGGAAATGTGACAAAGTTCTTACAATATTTTTTTGTGTTTGTCGAAATGTGAGAGTACTTTTTGCAATCATTGGATGGATTACAAAAAATATTACCGTATTCATTCGACGACTATGAAACATCTGCTTCCATTTAACCAACGTAAATGTGCTACGAACACGTTCTCACATACGTCATGCGAGCTCAATAGCAAAATTGTACCATAGAGTAGTGAAAAAAAGGAAGGGTTGGGGGGAATGGGAAAGAGCTTCTGGCCCTAATGCATGATACCTGTTGGTGGGTTAGGTAGCAACCCCTGCCCCCCTCCCCTTCTTCAATTGGACCCATCTCTCTCTCTCTCTCTCTCTCTCTCTCTCTCCACATTAGATTCCCTCCCCTGCATTGGCCCTGTCTCTCTCTCTAGGGGAGGGAAAAGGAAGGAAGGATGCAGCCAAATGAGTTTTTTGGTCACTTTGCTCTCAAGCAAAAGCAAGCAACCTCCTAGCTAGCTAAAAGCTTAATCTATCCTAGCCTCTTCTTTTGATCTTCTATTTCATAAAAGTTAGATGCAGAGAACACAGCAGTCGGCTGGCCTTATTGGTTTTACTTTCTTGTTCTTTATTTCTCATCATCAGGATCAAAGCTAGTGTCAGCAATGATTTGGAGATGATTGCTTTATTAGTTTCCCTTCCTCTGTGGCAGCTGATGAGAGTCACCCAGTTGACCAGATTAAGTTCCCATTATAATAATCATCAGAATTACCAAGAAAAGAGGGTCATGATTGAATTAAAAGTATTGTGTAATTAGGGGAACAACTGTCCTTTCTTGAGAACCACAGCAATTAGTTTAGCTTGTCTGTTAAAAGCAGGGGAGGGAGGGATTAATGCTCCCTGAAAATGACATTGGGATTTGTGGAACTTCTTGCATTTGCTGCTGTATTGCATGGCAGATTCCACAGAGGCACAGACACACAGCACCGCCATTCCATCCATGCAGGCAGCGAAGCAAAGCATTATTCTGTATTAACAAGTTGGCAACATTTTTTTTTTGCAGAGAACATGATTTCAGCAGTTCTTTGGCAGTCCCCTCATTTCTTTAATTTTTTCTTAACAATGAAATCCAGGGGCTGGCTGACCACCCATGGAGGAATGTAAATATTTACTTCCTCTTCTTCTGATCAAAGGGAAGTGGGTGAATCTCATCCTCATCCTCATGACAGAAGTGAATCCAGAAGAGGTCCTTGCTTGCTTGAGAAAAAAAGGGGATCACAGTCTGACTGTTGATTGATTGATTGACTGACTATTTACTGGTAATTTTTATTAACTGTGTCTACTTACTACTTTAAAGGTAGCTTCTTTTTTAATATTTAGAAAGAAAACCAGTAATAAACCCACACACAGAAAAAAAGAGGATTCCTTCTTCATATATAGAGAAGCATAACTACAGAATCATCATCTTCCCTTCCACCTCCTTCCTCTTTCTCTCTCCCCTCTTCACTCTAATAAAAGCATCCATCCATCCATCCCCCTCTCTTTCCATCACAAAATCTACTGTGAAAGAGAAGTTAATAATAATTCTTCTCCAAGGAAATTGATAAGGTATATAAGCTGTCTATATCAACCCTTCCTCCCCAAAATACACTTCCTTCTCTATTTCCCTCTCTCCCTTTCTCTTTCAGTTTTTCATCAGATTCCACCTTTCTTGTGGGCAAGCTTTACATCCTGGGAAAGTCATTCTGCAATCAATCTCTTCACACAGCAAGAAAACCAGACTGCTCTATGATCACTGCCTATGAGATTTGTGACAACAACCCAAGTACTACAAGGTGCTACAAAGGAGCATAGTATAGATAAAAGTCCATGACTTGCAATGGGATGGCTTTCTTCCAAACAAACTTCATGCTCCAAACCCATCATGATGAGGAAGAAGAAGATCACCATCACCAGCCTCCAACTTCTCTCAACCCAATTCTCCCTTCCTGCACACCACAGGACTTCCATGGTAATTTAAGCTTTGATCTCCAGGTTCCTTTATGGTAATTCCCAAGTGGGTTTGACTGATTGATTTATTATGAATCAGGGATGGCATCATTCCTAGGGAAGAGATCCATGTCATGTTCAGGGATTGGAGATCATGAATTGGAAGGTGGGAACAATGGTGGGGATCAGCTGGATGAGCTATCAGATGATGGATCACAGGCAGGAGAGAAGAAGAGGAGGCTGAACATGGAACAAGTGAAGACATTGGAGAAGAACTTTGAGTTGGGGAACAAGCTTGAACCAGAGAGGAAAATGCAGCTGGCTAGAGCTCTTGGCCTGCAGCCTAGGCAGATTGCTATCTGGTTCCAGAACAGGAGAGCCAGGTGGAAGACCAAGCAGCTTGAGAAAGACTATGATGTCCTGAAGAGACAGTTTGAAGCTGTCAAAGCTGATAATGATGCCCTTCAAGCCCACAACCAGAAGCTTCATGCTGAGGTAAAATTGCTGGTCTGGTTTTTGGATCTTTTTAGGATCAATTTTGCATGGAAGAAGCCACAGTTACTAAAGAGGGTGCCTGGAAATGGAACTTAGCAGCAATCATTCACTTATAATGGTCATGTTCTGTTTTCCAAAGGGTTGAAGCTTTTTTTGACTTTTTTTTTTAACTCTCTGCAATGATTTTACTTTCAGAACTTTTATCCAACATTGCTGATCACTTTCCTTGGAACCTGCAATTGATGACTTTCTACAAAGCTTTCTTTTACTTACCTGTCATCATGGCAACTATTATTAAAAAAAGAAAAGAGAAATTGGCTACTGACCTTGAAGCCATGTTTCAAGCTTCACTCATCATTTTCTGAGCCATGTTTCATGCATCATCCTCCTCCATCTTTGACTTGATTGTGACAAATTATGGTTTTTTTTCTTTCTTGTGGGGGGCAGATAATGGCACTGAAAAGCAGGGGACCAACACATGAAGCAATCAACCTGAACAAAGAGACTGAAGGGTCATGCAGCAACAGAAGTGAAAGCAGCTCAGATATCAAGCTAGACATCTCAAGGACACCAGCAGCCATTGACAGCCCTCTTTCCTCTCAGCATCCAACTCCAACCACAACAACAAGCAGTGGCAGGCCATTCTTCCCAACTACATCATCTCATCATCATCAACAACAGCATAATAATGTTAGGCCTCCAGCAGCTCCTCCATCTGGGCTGGTACAGCAGCTTTTCCACAACAACAGCACTTCACCTTCGACAAGGCCTCCAGACCATCATAATCAGCACCACCATCCTCAATTGGGGCTGCAGTGTCAGAAGAACATTGAGCAGATTGTGAAGGAAGAAACCCTCACCACCATGTTCTGTGGCATGGATGATCAGTCTGGGTTCTGGCCATGGCTTGAGCACCAACAGTTCAATTGAAATCAATAATCATGATCACGGTGATGATGGTGATAAGCAAAGAGTGCTTAGTAACAAGTGGTGCCAAGAATGCAGAGGGATTGATTACACAACCAGCCATGGCAACTTCTACATACAAGTTTTACCATCAACCACCTCCTCCTCCCCACAACCATATGCAGAAGGGGGAAAAAAGTTTGGTAATTCAATATTTTTCCCCAAGTGTTTTTTTTTTAATGTTTAATTATAAAGAGAAAGATTCCCCTTCCATGTGTTGTTGGTGCTTAATTAGATTGGTGCATATAAACAAGTAGGAGGTTAAGGAGGTGATGATGAAGATGGTGCTCTTAAGTATTAAGTGACAGTGTCTTTTCATTTCTTTTCTTCTTTCCATTGAATGAGGGAAATAAAAAAGGGGTTTGTGTCCTTTTTTTGAGTTACAGTTTTCACATACCATATGTCCTCAGTTTTTTGTTTATTTCTCTGTAGTTTGTTCATTCTTATCATCAATCTTTCTTCTGGGTTAATTTTTTTTTTTTTTAATTTGTTTGAGTATATGATCATTGATAATCAAACAATACATATATTTCTTTTATTGATTAAGTACATTTTTTTTTTTTTTGCATTTTATAATACAAGTTTGCTAGCTAGCTGGTGAGTTGTTTCTGGGAAGGGATCATGCCTGCCTCAAATTAAACCGTTTCTTTTACCCCCCTTCACTTTTGTCATACAACTACGTCAAATCTTGATCGACTTACTACGTCAAATGTTATCATCCCACATTATCATCGATGATATTTTGTTTAGGCAAAAAAAAAAAAAAAATGAGGAGAATGAATTGAGTCCCCTGGAGTCCAGTTGTCCAGTAGAACCCAGAAAGTTAGAAATCCTTTTTTTCCTTTCTTTCTTTTCTTTGTTGGGGAGGGCATCAAAGCACGCATTCCCAACACTGCAAAACACGACAAACAGAAAAGAAAGAAAGAAAGCTGAATAAGAAAACAAATAACAAGAGCCTGGTAGGGTTAGGGGGGAAGGAAAATGGTGGTGATATTAATATAGTTGCAGTGAAGGCGATCGACACTAGTTGCCAATCTTTGCCTCTGCTTTCAAGCTTCCCGATTAATATAGGTCATAGAAATGTCACCTTCATAATCATCAATACATAGTCTGAGCTGAGCTGGTCGCTATGGATCGATCCATCTCCATGTTAGAACTCAATCTACTGTACATAAAATGTTCAATCTTTCTAACGTACCCCACAAGGTTCTGAGACGACGGAGCTTAATCTACCGTTTCACTCGGCGCACAATTATTGGACCGTAGAGTAGTTGGGTTGCCCTCTAACGTAACTGTTAAGATTAGACAGTTTTGTCATGTCGGATTATGGTATAATATACTACACAAGTAGACGTGGATGTAGGGTTTATGAAAACGATCTGTTATGAGGGGAACAACGTAACTTTGTTTATTTCTATTATTTTTCTAGAGATTCAGAGCCGCACAGTGGAGATTTTCACAGCGCAACCAACACATGCAGCAACAGTAGAGGAGGGAGAGAGGAGTCTCGTTTGTTTGTTTGTTTGTTTAATATGTTGACGTATATTATATATACAACAATTGAGCAGAGGAGGCTGCAGCCTGTGAATGGAAAAAGAAGGAAGGAAAAAGATTAGGGGTATTCATGTGACCCACTACTACTGCTAACAAGCGAGCTAGTACTACTGTTGTAATGCGCTCTCTCTCTCTCTGTGATGCAGTCTGCCAGTGAGAGAGTGAGAGTGGTGCCATGCCATCTTTCACCCAACACGGCCCCGCTGGCCTCTGCCCCTCCCCACTCCCACCCTTCTTTCTTTTCTTTCTTCACCCTTCTCTTCTATCTCCCTTTTTTTTATTGGGCATAATGTCAATAGTTCCCCCCAGAAAAAACATGAATTTTAATTACATTTAGATTCATTTGTAACCTTTGATTTTGGATATGATGTATTACAAGAATGTGTATACTAAGAATGTGTGGGTTTTAAAAATGCTTCGTTTGGAAAACATAAAAGAATGTATGGATCATACAATGAATGAACTACGGATTCTATATCTCACCAAAAAGGTGAAACTAAATATACATCATTTTATAATATGTATTATGAATCCATCATGCATTCTCTATACATGAATTATGTGATTAAAACAAATAAAAAAATGTTATATTCTGCAAAATACATGTATCTCGAGAATACAACGTTCAGAATCAGAGGTTCTAAATGAGGCCTTAATAAATAGAAAACCTAGTAACCTTATTAAACCTATGTATAAAAAGAAAGAATAGGTTTAACACATTTCAAGCTTTTCCCTTTAGAAAGCTTGAAGAATCGTATCGAAAAGGCGATGAGAATACAGTTGCAAATTAACGAGCCGAGGCGAGCTGATTTTTAACCTAGTTTGGACTAAACTTGTCAACTGAAATTGGCCCGTGTTTGACTCGAGTTTGGGCTTATTGATGAGCTCACAATCTCTATCGAGTTTGACTCGCCAATAAGCTCACAAGAGTAGCTCAAGTTCAAGTATCATATTAGTTAGTTCATAAATTTCTCTTTTAAATTATTAATGAGACATATTGGCTCACATACCAAAAATTTTAAATATTATATGTGGTGAGATATATAATATACCAAATCTATGAATTATCAACAAGCCAACTCATAAGCTATAAAATCGATTCGCTCATAAGTTGCTAGTCGAGGTGGCTTGGTAGCCGCACTGTCAAGCCAGCTCTTAGCTCAAACGAGCTATCTTATGAGTTGATCTCAACAAGTCACTGAGTGGAGCTAGTTCGCGAGCTTTGCGAGATGAACAAGACTTATCTCAAACTCGACTCCTTAGTAAACAAGCAGTAGAGTGTCGAACGAGATTTTCCTTAGTTGAACGTTGCGCCACTCTTAAGCAGGTTGGCTCATTTGCAGTCCTAGATGAGAATGATAGTGATGGGTATCTTTGTTATAACTTTTCTCTAAATTTAGGGAGTTTTCCCTCAAGTTTGGGAACATGGTGAATTTTGGCAAAGAGGAAGAGGAGGAATACAAAGTAGTTGTTTATGTTATACTGCTTATCTTATAATCGTCATATGGTTTAATTCATCTCAAAACTTATCTTAATCTTTTTTTGTATAATAACGAACACGAAAATGTGTGAATCTATGTAAACAATATTTGTAATCTACTTTTGTTTCAATTGTTTCACTACTTCTCAAAGTTGTTGGACATAATTTTTAGAAATTCAAGGCAATCACTATTACAAGGCGAAAACTCTACAAGTAAAAATATATGGATTAGCTATATTTCTATGTTATGTTATCAGTGAAACAAATATCAATGTCTAAAATTTAAAATTTTGTGGAAAAAATCTAAGGTTGTGTTTAGTATTCACTCCAAATTTTGTTTTCAGTTTTTGCAAGTGGCAACAAAAGGTGCCAACGTATACAATAGAAATTAGCAAAAATGAATAAAACAATTTTTAAGTTATTTTTTAGTTGTTTTGAAAAGTTGTTTCTTGTGGGTCTCCTTACAGTTGTAGGAATTTCTTATTAAAAGGAGTTTATAGTCCTACTTCATTCATATTTTCCCCTAATCAGTTTCTCACATGACATCTTTGAAATCTTATTCCCAATATTATTTTCATATCTTTTTGTTTCTCAATTTTCTCATAACTCATAATCCCAGGTTGCTACTTACATTATTTTCATATTATTGTCTTAGTGCCAACACTGATATTTATCCTTTTGATTCCTGGTTAATTTTATGTTGTTGAATTTTTGTTTTTGTGACATATAAAAGATTATTAATAAAATGTTGAAGAACAATTCGAGTACAATCATACTAATATTGATACATTGTTCGTAAAATAAGTAAAGCCGAGCCGCTCGGCCCGACCGGTAAGACCGTCATTCGGTCACAAAACCGGCTCAGAACAGTCTAAAAGCCGCTCCGGTTTTATGTAGCGGTTGATGAGCGGCCGAGGCGGTTAACCGCTCGAGCCGCTCGTCCGGTTTTTGCCATTCAGCCGTTAAATTTAATTAAAAAATTTGCAGAAAATTGAAAATTGAAAAAAACCAAAAACGCCGGGCTCTCAAACTGAATCCTTATTTCCATTTCACAATTTCAAAGGAAAGAGACGAGCTCTGATTAAGAAATGTCCACTATTTATACTGATAACGTTTATTAGGTATCGGTTCCCTAAGATTTTTAAATGGTCTAATGCCGGTTGGACCACTAAAGTACGAGTCGTTCGCATTACCGGATCATGCTCCAATTCGGTTCTGACAACATTGCTATTATGGTTGCCCTTTACTGTCACAACTCTACTGCAACGTAACCAGAATAACAATCTACAGTTCGAGGCATGCATTGTTATTAGTTCAGCAGCCTTTCACATTTATTTTCGATTCCCCCTTAAAAACTGTAGATTGCTTGGGGATCTGTAATCTATTATTATTTTCATTAATCAAAGAAAAGAAACGATGAGGTTTCACATCCCCTTTAATTTATTAAAGCCTTTTCTCACTAGTGTGATCGATCCACAGCATATTCGGTTGTTGTTGTTTGTCAATCACCAATAGATTAAACTATAACACACCATAAATTTTCACCAAGAAAATCAAAATCACAATAGATACTCAACAACCATGTGGTACAATCCAGGGTTAAATGCAAAGAGTGGCAAATCTATGGCCGTTTTTTATAATAAATAATAATAATAAAATGTTAAAATGCAAAACTAGCAACGTAACTATGAAACTATCCATTTACATCAATACGAGATATCTGAATTGTAAACAATGTAATTCTTGTTTTTGTTTAATTTGCTGTGTCTTTCTGGTTTGTGAGTAATGTGCTTCGGGTTTATTAATTTATAAACAAGCTGTTTGTAATTAGTAGTATTGTATGCATTATGGTCTCAATCTCATGAGTATTTTTTTCTGTCTATCTAAACATGCACAAACAAAATTCTATCTGCTCTGTTTTGTTTTTAGCATTGATTCCTAAATATTATGTTTTTTTTTTTGTAACGTGTTTAGGACAAAAAAAATCACTTTTGAATCATTGTTTTTCATAAACCTAATCAACATGATTTATAGGTCCGTAAACATAAAAATTCCAAATCATAACTTAATGAACGTGATGTACTAATTTCTAAGTATGTTGTGTGAATATCATTATACACATTATGAATAAGTATAAACAGGAAAAAAGAATAAGAGTGAAACATCACCTTCTACAAAAATATATAACGACTCGAATCAAATTGTTTGTTCCGAAAATGGCAGCGATCCTTAATTGAGCCTACAAACAGGGGCAGAGCTACACTTAAGGTAGGTTCCCCGGAGGATTGGTCCCCGCCCCTAGGATCGTAAGGATATTTAGTACGAATTTTATAAGTAGAACTTGTTCCGTAAATTTTCTTGTGTAATAGTCATGTAGTCTAATGGTAGACAAGCTTGACTTGTGTTTTAAAGCACATGGGTTCGATCCGAACCCACCATGGTTACATACATTTTATTTAATCATTTTCGGCCTCGCGATCTCGAAATCCTGGCTCCGCCTCTGCCTACAAAATTTCAGTCATAAAATTGTAAGATATTGTTTAGGTGGGAAGATCATGTGTTTCAAAGTTGAGATGGCAAATTAAACCACCCTGAACACAACCTAGCTGGAAATGCCAGCCAGCCAGGTTCTCAATTTTGTGCATATTTGTAAATGCCATGGTGGTGGTGTCTATTGCGGAGATGGAGAGAATAACAAGTTTAAGTGGCCACGTGCATTAGCGGGTCTAATTCCTCCAATAATCCCCCTATTCTAATGAAACATCTTGTTTTCTCTTCTTCTGGCTTCTATTTTTGAGCTATTAAATTGGTGAAAATTCAGATAATTATTTTAAGGAAAAAAATGAAGAAAACCAGCAGAACATAACATGTGGCCAGCAGTGACATGTAGAAGAGAATTACGAACCCATCTTTGCATTAATTTTTTTTTTTTTTTTTGTCAACGGTAGTATATATATATTATTTAAGGGATTAACTGGTCTTTTTTTATTTTGGGGATTAAATAATACTTACTTGGCAAATCTTAGATGGGAGGCAATATTTAACTTAGTTATATCCATCTCGATCTGTCCATTTACCGGCGGCATAATTGGGAACCGATCAGAGAGAGACAATATTTGTTTTTTTGGGTTATGTGTTCGAGGTGGATAGCACAACAATCTAGAAAAGATTAATCCACTCTTTTCTTTGATCTCAGGTTTAATTTCTAGTACTAATTTTTATGTACAACGTAGATGTTGATCTCCACGATGTGCGGCCAAGCTGGCGTATGCAGTGGCGGATCTAGAAATTTTTTATAGGGGTGTCCTCTTTCAAAAATTAAATTAAATTAAATAGTACATAATTAATAAAATATCCAATTAGTATAAATGTTCACAAAAATTCACGATGTGTTTTCAATTTCGAAAAAAATATAAGATAGATTTGGTGTGTACACTGCTCAACAAATCGGTATATCCTACTAGATCGCATATTCAACTTCTACCTTGTTCATGATGTAATTCAAAGTTCAAAAGACTGTTTTAACACTTGCAGTGTAACCATAAAATCAATTCAAATTACGGTACCTATGGGGATAAGAAATCGTGTTTTCAACATTACATAGTGTTTAAAATAGAACAACAAATGAGTTATAACCTAATGGAGAAGATGTTAAATAATAAGAGTGTCCTAGATTTGAATAACACAGAGTACCACTTATATTTTTTTAATCACGCAAACTACTATCTAGGGTAAGATAATCATTTATTACAGTTTTAGGGGTGACCTAGATTACTAATTATATTTTATTTATCCATACAAAACTACTATCGATGGTTGAATAATCGTGTTCACAAAATTTAGGGGTGTCCCGGGACACCCCTAAAGCACCATGTATCCGCCACTGGGCGTTTGTTGTTGCTTTGTTGGACGCGTTGTCTAGTTCTGATTATGCTTTTTTCATCATACGAGAATTGCAATCGAAGATCTAATGGGCATAGTGTGATAGATTCTTGTAGAAACTTGTATCAATGACCAATCGTAGTAAAGAAATCATGCTGATGATTTATATACATAGTTTGGGGGGATAAGGAGAAGAGAGAGCGAGCGGGAACTATCTAATGGTGATAATCTAATAAATTTATAACGACTAACTAACCTGATTACATTTTTTAACTATATATCTAAAACATGGAAATTTAATATTTTCATCCTTCGTCAGTCTAATAGCCTCCCTCGAACTAAACATGTTGAGTGTGGAGGTTTGGTTTGGAAATAAACTCTTTGAAAGTATGTACAGGAAGAGTTTGGGTGAGCATATCTGCAGGTTGGAGAGTGGATTTGTTAGCCAAAACCTGGTCCCTTGTGAAGTGTATTAGGGGAATGCGAAGGATTTTCGCGCTCTGCCCCATTCAAACCTCCAACAACTCTGAACATTCTCGGCTGCAGTTTGAACATTGTCTGCCATGTTTTGAGGCGGCTAGGGTTCTCTAGGAACCAGGCTCTGATACCATAACAACGTTATGGATCAAGCAAATCCTAAAGCCCTGCCTTTCTCATTCCATTTCATAGCTTATATAGCTGGTGAGTTAGTACAGAAACCTTACAAAACAAGGTAAGAAGACAAGGCTTGGAAGAAAAGCAAGTACAACCGAAAAAGGAAAAGAGTAGTTTTAACAAGTTTGAGGACTAAGTGGCATTTTTCCAGAAACGACGTCACTCCACGTGCGTTGTGTCTTCGCTTGAGTTGGCATTGGAACGGCGTCGCATTGCTTCTGTTTTCTGGATTATATGAAGCGATGTCGCTTTGATTCCTGGCTTCAGCTGATGGTTAAACGATGTCGGGTGGACTCTCCTTCTTCTTCACTGTGAGAACAACGTCTCTGTTCAGAGCCGTTGGAGGTTTGAATGGAGACTGCGCCTTCCAGTGGCCTGTTTTTCTCTGCTGATTCTCCTCTTCATTTGAAAGCCTTCAGCGATTCCGACTGGGTTGCCTGTGTTGATACAAGGCGCTCTGTCACTGGATACTGTGTCTATCTTGGTGATTCTCTTGTCTCGTGGAAGAGCAAGAAGCAAACCACAATCTCCCGATCTTCTTGCGAGGATGAATATCGTGCTCTAGCTTACACCACCTGTGAGCTCCAATGGCTGCTTTACTTGCTTCAAGATTTTCAGATTTCTCATCCACAGCCTGCAACCCTCTACTGTGACAACCAGTCCGCGATCTACATCGCCGAAAATCAAACTTTTCATGAGCGGACAAAGCACATTGAGCTCGACTGTCATTTTGTCCGCGAAAAGCTACTCAATCGCACCATCAAAGTACTCCATGTCTCTTCTACTCATCAATTGGCTGACCTCTTCACCAAAGCTCTCTCCCCAGCACCTTTCTCCTTCCTGCTCTCCAAGCTCGGCGTCCTCAATCTTTGCCCGCCAGCTTGCGGGGGGTATCAGGGGAATGCGAAGGATTTTCGCGTCTGCCCCATTCAAACCTCCAACGGCTCTGAACAGAGACGTTGTTCTCACAGGGAAGAAGAAGGAGAGTCCACCCGACATCGTTTCACCATTAGCTGAAGCCAGGAATCAAAGCGACATTGCTTCATCATCTTCCGGAAAACAGAAGCAATGCGACGCCGTTCCAATGCCAACTCAAGCGAAGACACAACGCACGTGGAATGACGTCGTTTCTGGCAAAATGCCACTTAGTCCTCAAACTTGTTAAAACTACTATTTTCCTTTTTTGGCTGTACTTGCTTTTCTTCCAAGCCTTGTCTTCTTACCTTGTTTTGTAAGGTTTCTGTACTGACTCACCAGCTATATAAGCTGTGAAATGGAATGAGAAAGGCAGGGCTTTAGGGTTTGCTTCATCCATAACGTTGTTTAAGTGACAATAAATTTTTATGTGTTTGGTTCTAGCATATGTTGTACGGGGATTATGTGTCATTTTTACAACAGAAAGATTGTCACAGTAGATGGTGTAGGGAAGGCTTGGTTGAAATGAAAGTTGCTTGAACATGAAGGACATCTATTGAAGCTTTTGTGTTGTGTCTGCAAGTGCCATGTATATATTCAGCATCTCCAAGTGACCTAGACACTATATGTTGATTATGAGATCGCCAGCTGATGACAGAGTCGCCAAGGAAAACACAGTAGCCAGTAGTGGAATGCCTTGTATGAGGACATCCTACCCATTTTGAATCCGAAAATGAAGTAAGACGAGAATGAGTTTTACAAGGGAAAAAAGAGAAGAAGAACGTGGAAGTAGAAATTAAGATCAGAGTACTCAGTGTAGCTCTGATAACATGATTTGTATTAATGTTCAATTGCAGTAAAGAAATCGTGTTAATCAATAGGAGATAAGTTGATTTATTAAATTATTAATAATTAGTCAAATCTTTTGTAATATATTAAAATATTAGCACCTTTAATAATTTTGTAACTGTTTTATTTCTTAGCTAAAATACTCAAGTTTTGAATGTTGACCTCCATGTGTCTCTTCCAAGTCAGTATTATGTTGCCAAATCAATATTGCTAATAAAATTGCTAATCGGAAGTTAATATTTAACTAATTACTAGAAATTCAATAGATTTGACTAATAAAAAAGTATGAGTGAAACATTTAACTAATAATTAATACTAACCCTTGTTATTATAATCTCATAAACCTTCTAGGTTTTCCACAATCTATCTCGATCGCCATCTATTCTTGATATACATGTATGATTATTTCAAAATTACGTTGGAGAAGTGCTCTCATAAGTAAGGTCTTAATCAAAGAAATTAGGAAACCTGGAGACACAGAAGAACCTCGATCCAATCTTGTAAAGTGTTGGTGAACGAGCGACAAATATCAAATGCGGAAGCTTAGTAGACTTTATCAACCGAACATGTCCATGATACTGAACTGATTTAACTTTCATACTATATATATATTTTTTAATGCTCTTTTACTCTACTCTTACATTGGTACAGTATATATATATTTTTCATCTAGACCATGGAAATGGCCTGATCCTGTAACTGAAATTTTAAATAATATAATAGATTGATTATCCTCTTTAATTAGTAAAATAGATAATTTTTCCAATGAATTGGAAGAACTATCTCTAGGGTAGAGTGAATTTGTAGAGTTGATTCTTTAAGAGTAAATCCACATTGAGATTTGAGATTCCCTACTAGTTCTCAGATCACTTTTAAATTTAAGAGGTTGGATAATATACTAATAGAGAATAAAATTAGCTTATTTCATGACAAGATAGTTGAATAGTTCCTGGTAAGAAGCAGACTCACCATAGTTGAAATCATAGGCTGGTTGAAGTAAAAATATTTCAGAAGGGATTGTTTTCTTTAGTACTAATTTTTTTTTTTTTTCAAAAAAAAAATCCAGGTAGGCCTTTCGGTCCCTTGCATTTGGCTCAAACTCGACATGCCTGACAGTTGAGCCCAATTATTTGCACCCTGCACACAAGTTAAAGCCCACAGTATCAAACTTCATCGGCTCGCTACTTTATTTCTGGTCTTTTTGCTAGCGAGTGGCACACCACTAGCCACGTGGATACCTAATCTACTGTCGATTAACAATAGCCGGGTCCCACAATATATTGATCCAACGATTAACCTTCTCTTCTCTTCTGACTCTTCACTCTTTTCCCGCTGCCACTCAACCGCACCACCATCCATTTTTTTCCCACCAAACGGATAACAACAAAAACCCAATCCATGGCCGCCGCCGTTCCTCTCCTCTCGCCGCCGATCTTATCCAGATCCACCACCGCTTCCGCTTCCGCTTCTCCCTCGCCCAAATTTACCTTCCCAGTCGTCCCCTCCAGAACCCCATCCCGCCCAATTTTCACAACCACGAGGCTCAACGTCTCGTCTCCGGCGAACAAGCCGCCTGTCAGCACTTCGTCCAAGCCCACCGCCGCCCAGAAAAAGCAGCCGACGGAGGAAGTGATATATTTCGACGGCGGCGCCCACTACGGCGACCTGGCTGCCAACCTGCTTCTGGGATTCACCCTGTTCTGGCTGCCGCTGACCCTGGCGGCGGTGTCGAGGGCGTTCAATCTCAGGTACCGGTTCACGAACCTCCGGGTGACGGTGATATCGGGCCTGACCGGTCAGGACCGGAGCGATTTCTCGTACAAGGTGATAAAGGACGTGCAGGTGGTGCCGCGGTTCATCGGCGAGTGGGGGGACGTGATTATCACGCTTAGAGACGGGACGAAGGTGGATCTGAGAAGCGTCCCCAAGTTTCGAGAAATCGCCAAGTACTGCCTTTCCATGGTGGAGCAGCCGTCGGCGGCTGAGCTGAAGGAGAGTCGGCCCAAAGGGTTTTGATATTACAATGGAAGAAAATTGAGGGGGATTTCAATTTCCTGTTCTTCTTTCTTACTTCGTTTCATCTGGCCTAGTTTCGTGCCAAGGTATGTAAATGTGGTGGGGTTTCTTTTTTTGTATGTTTGTTTGCTTCTTTCTGGAATTGGCTAATTTTATAAGAGAAATGGAGATAGGTGCCTGAGTCTGTGATTACCATTTGACTTTATCATTGGATGATGATCGAATTCCAAGCATATAGATAGTACATTGGAGAGATATTGTATTGTTTTGGGAGGAAGGAGGCTATGGAGTTGGATCTTGGGAATGGATTCTGGTTGGTCTGCAACAGGACAGGAGTCAAAACAAATTGCGGGCAGGATTCTAATATTGTTGATAAATCGATATTCAAATTGTTCTGAGTGCAACTGTGCAAGTGTTGAAGACTTATTATGGGATTAATTCCCTAAATACACATAAAACTAAAGCAAATTCCTAAACTACCACACTTTTAAAAAAATTTCCCAAAATACATAAGTTTGGAGTGGTTCGAGTTTGAGAAACTCGAATTACTAACCGGTTCGAGTGTAGGAGACTCGATCTACATGTAGATCGATGATATAGGCCTCGAACCATGTGGGGTTGAAGTGGTTCGAGTTCAGTGAACTCGAACCACTCCTTTGAAATTTCCAACCACCTTAACTTTGTGCTCGGTTATCCGATCGTAGCAAACTTTTTTTTCATTTTGCATAACTTTTTGAGGACTACAACTTTTATAATAGAAATATTTTCAGAATATATGTGAAAATGTGAAAATTAAAGTTAAAGTTACTCCCAAAACCCCTTATATTAAAAACTATTCCTATTTTGAAAATTTATTCCTAGTAAATGTTGTAGTACTCAAAACGTTATGCAAAATAAAAAAAAACTTTGCGACGTTCGGATTGCGGAGCACAAAGTTATGATCCTCCAAAGTTTGACAAATTCGAAAATTTGCTCGTTTATGGGTAGCAAATGACGTTTACAAGGAAGATAGCCATCCAAAAATTTCTCGTTTGGAAAACTATTGCTCTTTTTGCAGAAATTTCCTATATATAAAAAAATTTCCTGTGCCTTCGCTCCGAGAAAATGTCATTTGTAACCCCTAAACGAGCAATTTTTCGATTTTGTCAAACTTTGGAGGATCATAACTTTGTGCTCCGCAATCCGAACATCGCAAAGTTTTTTTTTATTTTGCATAACTTTTTGAGTACTACAACATTTACTAGGAATAAATTTTCAAAATAGGAATAGTTTTTAATATAAGGGGTTTTGGGAGTAACTTTAACTTTAATTTTCACATTTGCACATATATTCTGAAAATATTTCTATTATAAAAGTTGTAGTCCTCGAAAAGTTATGCAAAATGAAAAAAAAGTTTGCTACGATCGGATAACCGAGCACAAAGTTAAGGTGGTTGGAAATTTCAAAGGAGTGGTTCGAGTTTACTGAACTCGAACCACTTCAACCCCACATGGTTCGAGGCTTATATCATCGATCTACGAGTAGATCGAGTCTCCTACACTCGAACCGGTTAGTAGTTCGAGTTTCTCAAACTCGAACCACTCCAAACTTAGGTATTTTGGGAAATTTTTTTAAAAGTGTGGTAGTTTAGGAATTTGCTTTAGTTTTATGTGTATTTAGAGAATTAATCCCTTATTATGAGAGTTCCAGCGACACTGGTGGATGGATCCGTAGCTAGTTAGGTCACTTGATGATGAGAATTCGCCCAAATCAGCTACAGCTTGGAAGACCAACAACAATGAGATAAAAATATTTTTAAAAACCGTGAACGGCAGGATTCGAACCTGCGCGGGCAAAGCCCACATGATTTCTAGTCATGCCCGATAACCACTCCGGCACGTCCACATCTGGCTTACTATTTGTTTGTTGACATATCTATAATAAATTGGAAAGATTAAGGAGATTTGAAGTTCACTATTTGCATATTGTAACTTTACTTATTACCGTTCACACCAGTAATTCACGAAAGCCAGTGTCATTGATGAAATTCCGGTTGGAAATGTGACGGATAAAATAAATACTGGTATGGGTAAGACTGTAGTGTTCGCTTATGCCCTTTCTCTTCAAGAAAGTCCCTTTACAATTAAAAACAAAAACCCTTTACAATGGTTAAGTTTGCTAACTAGGAAAGATCAAACGTAGGGATTCAACGGAAAAAAAAGATCGAACGCAGGTATCTCAATAGTCATACTCATTCCGTTGCATGTCGAGTTCAGGTTGGATATCTTGTTTTGGGTCGCATGTCAAAGCAGATCGACCATAAGGGTATGTGCGGTAAAGGTAGAACACTTGATAAATTAATCTTTTCATTAAAATTTTGAGAAATAAACTATAAAATTATAATTATAGTTCAATTATTCAAGAAATTGAGTTTCTCATCTATTTACAACTTTATGACGCTAAACTATGATGTAGTAGAAGTAAAATACTAAGTATTTGTGTAAAATTATATATAAATTAGAAAACAAAATTGTTAAACTCTATCATACACCAACAATTAATAAGAGTTTTTATATATATATGGTCTTGTCTATGATGCCCTTACATTTTCTAGTGCATGTTATGCACTCGTTTAATAATCATCATTGTGAGCAAGCAATTCATGTCAAATTGATGTCAACCATCATTTATATGATGATGGACAAGAAAATCCATGAAGTTACACAAAAATCATTCAAGATTTAGATTTACAATTTGGGGTTTACGGTTAGAGTTCAAAATTAAATTTTTAGGCTAAGGGTAATGCATAGATTAGTTGTGATCATATGTTATATAACCATATTAGACTAATGCTACCAATCAAAATTCGATGTCTTAAGACTACCTTTAGAGTGCAACATAACACACACATTTTTGTGAGTGCACCATAGAAGCCACCATATATAGTGTGCATATAGCAAATAGGGGCATAATCTAATGGTTCTACCACAAGTCTTGAACCTGGAGATCACAGGTTCGAATCTTTCAAGTTGCACTGATAATGAAAAAACAAGCATATATCATCCTTATCTAAGAAAATAATTATGTGCATGTAATATATTATATGTATTTTGATGAATCAAAACCATGGATTATTCTTTTTAATTAAACTAATCTTAGGATGTAGTATTTAGAGGATTCATGTTCTAGATAGCCGTAGAAGCCACCATAATTAATGATCATTTGAGCTATTAATTTATCTTGCTTTTAATGAAAATCTTTAATTGATAACCTAAACTTGTAGACTTTGAATGGTTAATTTAGTTGACGGGACCACCCTATCACTTGACCATGTCAAAAACGCATTCGGATGCATGATCATTGAAGCAATTATAACTTATAAGGGTGAACATATCAACCCGAAAACTGATATAACTCTTCAACCCGAACTAGCCCACCTGTAAAACCCGTGAGTTGTAAAATATCTGGGTGGGTATGAGTATGTCAATTGTCACCCATTTTTAGTCAGGTTGGGTTCAGTTTTTGGGTTGTCAAATGCAAAAAAATCCAATCGACCGACAATTTAATTTGGCCTATTTAAATATTAGGGGTGGGAAATGGGACGGGATTGAGTACCTGTCCCGTTTGAAACAAACCAGGTCCAGGAACCAATAGGGTACAGACCCAAAGCCCAAACAATAAAATCCAGCCTTCAAACCCTAATCGAAATCTACCCTCTTCTTGAATCCTCCACCATCGTAGCCAAAGAGCAGCATTGCCGCCTTGACACACTTGCAGAGCCACTTCCCACTAGCCACGCCGCCATGCACCAAACAAAGGAACCATCTTCCAATGACCCGGATGGAGGCAGGGGCGGACCCACGGGTGTTTAGGGGTGTCCCCGGACACCCCTAAATTTTGGGAAAACGGTTATCCAACCCCCGGTAGTAATTTACGTATTGACAAAAAAAATTATAATTGATAGTCGGGGACACCCCTAAATTTAAAAAAGTGATTATCCTAATCTCATTGTTTAGTTTGAGTATGAGAATATAAGTGGTAGTTTGGGTAATTCAAACCTAGGACACTTTTATTATTAATAAACGTAATTTTCATTAGGCTACAACTCATATGTTATTCGATTTTATACACTGTGTAATAGTATAATGTCATTCTCTATCTCTAATTATTTTCAAAATCTAACAATTAAACAAATTTCAAGCTACCGTTAATTTGTATTGATTTATGGTTGTACAACAAGTATTGAAAGAATCTTTTCAGCTTTGGATTACATCAAGAACAAGTTTGCAAACTGAATATGTGATCAGTTCGTGAATGGTTGTCTAATATGATATACAGAGATAATTTTTTTGAATAGTGTAGACCCCAAGTGTGTTCTACAATCATTTTTTAATATGAAAACACATTGTGAATTTTTTCAAACTGTATGAGTAAAGTATTTCTTATTTAAATATTATTTATTTTTTATTAATTATTTTAGAATTATTTGTATTTAATTTATTTTTTAAAAGATGACACCCCTATGTAAAATTTCTGGGTCCGCCACGGGATGGAGGGACGATCCCACCTCGTGCCAATCGCTCTCTGCCTCCCGTCGCACCAACAAAGAGAAGACATCAGGGATGACCGGTCGACCAGTAGAGAAAATAGAGGAAAAAGCACTTCTGCCTTCATGCTCATCTAGCCGAGTACGACGCCATAGGGATGCATCTCCAAAACACAATGACCTGCAAGGTGTAACAAGGAGGTAGACTAGGAAGAAATGAAGAGAAAACAAGCTAGATCTGCATCAGATCCAGTCTCCTTCGCATCTTAAAGTGGTCGTCATCTCCATATCTGAAATAAACATATCAGATGCCAAAAGAACATCCCACAGAGGTGGGTGAAAGCAACCCAAAAACGGGAATGAAAGCACCTAGGAATGGGCAGAAAACATAACCAAACAAAAACAAAAAGGGAAAAAGAATGAAAGAGAAGAAGCAAAACATGAAGAGCAAGGAGAAATGGGAAACATGGCATGGACCTATTCGTAGTGTTTACCACTAAAAAATCACTCAATACCACATTGATTATTTTCAAGGAGTGGTAGTGATTTATAAGGCCAACTTAACCATGTTAATTAAATTGGTTTAGGTTGGGCCTAAATAATGGTATTTTGGGCTTCATACCAGGTACCTTAACACACTCACCCAAAGGGGGTCAAGTGCCGAGCGTTGACACCCTTCAACATCAACCACCCAAGTCGTGGAGACCCACAGGACAAGGGGGGTCAAGCATGACATCGCGCAAGGGGGGTCATGCATGACACCGTCCAAGGGGGTCAAGCACAAGGGGGGTCATGCATGACATCATCCCAGGGGGGTCAAGCATGATATCATCCAAGGCAAGTGGAGTATGACGAGATGCGAGCTAGTTGTGGTAGCAAAGAGAGCCAAAATTTGGTTAAGTGTTGAGACCCATAGCACAAGGGGGGTCAGACATGACATCATCCCAGGGGGGTCAAGCACAAGGGGGGGTCATGCATGACACCGTCCAAGGGGGTCAAGCACTAGGGTGTCAAGCATGATGCAGAGGTGAAAATTGGCTAAGTATGGAGATCCAACCGTCCAAGGGGGGTCATGCATGACCTCGTCCAAGGGGGTCTCGTCCAAGGGGTCTCGTCCAAGGGGGTCTCTTCAAGGGAGTCAAGCATGACACCGTGCGAGGGGGGTCAAGCATGATACCATCCAAGGGGGTCTAGCCGCCTACCAGGTATCAAAGCGTGTGGCAAGGGGAGAAAGGCAGGACAAGTCACTAGACCGTGATGGGAAAAAAGGCAAAAATTGGCTAAGTGTTGAGACCCATAACGCAAGGGGGGTCAAGCATGGCATCATCCCAGGGGGTCCTTGTACTAGGATGTCAAGCATGATAACCAGACATGGCCATAGCAAGAGGGTACCAAGCCGGCAAGGCAGGGCTTGGTACCAAGACATGAAAAGCATGAATTTGGCTAAGTATGAAGCCAACGGGGTCGGCAAGAATGGCTTGGCAGCCAAGCAAGGTGACAGGGTATCATGACCCCAAGGGGGTATCAAGCCGGTAAGACTGACTTGGTGGACATGCAACAGGGGGCCAAGACGAACTTGATAACCAGACATCAGGGTATCAAGCAAACAAGACAATAAATTCGACTAAGGCATGGTGGCTAGCTGAGGTGGCCACCCGACTAGGTACCAAACAACCATGTATAGCCCTTATGGGGTCATATGGAGACAAAGTCTCAAGGCGGGCTTGGTAGCACCCTAACGCGGTACCAAACCGGTAGGGTGCAACTTACCACTTGACGAGGCTACAAAAACTAAGTATGGAGACCAAGCCACCAAGACTGGCTTGGTAGCAAGGGGTGTCAAGTTGATTACATGGGCTTGGTGGCATGCCGGAAGGTATCAAGCCGATGAGACGGCTTGGTAACAACCAACAAGTTAATGAGGAGGACTTGGTGTCATGAGATGGTAGTGGTCTCAAGACGACAAGAGTGGGGAGTCATCAAGCAGCCGAGGGTGCGATCAAGACTTCATCATGGAGGCTAAGGCAAATAACCTCAACCCCATCCAGTCATGACAGGGCGACAAGGCTTAACACCACCCGGCCCAACATCGAGACCATCAAGTATCCACCAGCCCAAGACGGGACAAGGGCCCCCCAAGGTGACGGTTACCAACTAGTCACCAAGGCGGCGACAAAGACTCGAGGTGGTTTGGAGCAGCAAGCCAGCTAGCAGTTACAAGGACCCGAGGCAGTTTGGAGCAGCAAGCCAGCTAGCAATTACCAAGGCAGTTACACTCGATGTCTATAAATAGGAGAAACTAAAATTGTAAAAGGGTTCCACAACCAACCATTTGACACACTATGTCAAACTTTTATCTTTTCTCTGCAAATTAGCCCTAGCCTTAGTTTTCGGAGCTCTCACTGAACCTCCATAGGAGTAGGTGTAATTAACTTAGTTTGTTTCCAAAAAACCATCAAAAACATCAAACACCCTCGTTCGAACATTGTTCGGAGAGGAGTGAACCGTGTTGATTGTCGTTGTTCCAGAAGTCAAAGGTGCATTCATTGTGTTCAAACACCAGTTTTCCTCGCCGGAAAACACGTAGTCAATTACACCCTTAGGAATTCAAAATTTATGATTGGGTTTGATTTATATATTATCCAACCCGTAAATATTGTTTGGTTGATTAAGAAGATCTAAAATTGGCTGGCCCGACCCCGTATACCTCTAGATGCAAAGGATATTAAAAGAATCATGAATATTAAGAAGACAGAGTGAATGCTTTGTTGAGTACATCAATAACGCATTCACCCCTATGCAACATCTCTTTTCTTATGGCGCTGCATTTTAGTTTGTTCTGTTCATTTTCTTGTTTGGTTCACATTTAAACCTTAACACCTTTGACTGACTAGATAATATTTCGAATATGAGAGTGGTAGTAAAAAAACCTTTGTAGAATACAACTTGGAGCCCAACTGAAAAGTGAAGCACTGAAGCTCAAAACTTACTTTGCTCTTTTCAATTAGATGACTGACAGTGTTTATTTTTAGGGATGGGCAACGGGACGGGACGGGATACCCATCCCGTTTTAAACGGGTACCCAATCCCATTTGGAGATCAAAGTCCATCCCATATCCCAAACCCATATGGGAAACGGGTACCCATTACCCGTACGGGACGGATAACGGGTACCCATACTACCCATAAAATACCCAAAGTTTAAATGACATCACATTACATATCTTAACAATAACATGCTCTTGCGGGGAATAATAAGAACACGATATGATCAAAAACATATCAACAATGACGAATACCCGTACCCGTCCCGTTTTTTAAGTTGTATTTGGGTTCACATTTAAACCTTAACACCTTTATTTTTTTGATCATGTATTTGGGTATACCCGTACCCGTCCCGTTTTTTAAGGGTTACGGGTACCCATATTACCCGTAATATTTTAAACGGATGGGACTTGGAATTGTACAGTCCTAATATGGGTACCCGCGGGTTACCCGCGAATACCCGTTTGGGTAATATGGGTACCCATTGTACCCATTCAAAGTACAAAGACAGATTTAATTCGGAGAGGAAGAGAACCCGAATCACTTCCCAACTTGATTAACACTGGCGAAGAAGACATTGCTGCTGCTACGAGCTTTCGGCTTGAGAGCATCAGTAGCCTCTTGAAGGAAAAGCTGCGCCTTGACACCAGAGCTAGAGAAGGTCACCCCTTCATTATTTCGTCGAACAACTTGCACGCAACCTTTACCCATACCTAAATTCCTCTGCTACTCTCCCCACCTGATAATCAATACAATAACAAAAATGGGTTCTCAGCACAAGTCCATGAAATGCCTGATGGACATCTGCAGATGGCAAAACACGGATGGTATAGCGTTACCTGAAGATGGGCTATATGGGTATTCGTCATTGTTGATATGTTTTTGATCATATCGTGTTCTTATTATTCCTCACAAGAGCATGTTATTGTTAAGATATGTAATGTGATGTCATTTAAACTTTGGGTATTTTATGGGTAGTATGGGTACCCGTTACCCATATGGGTTTGGGATATGGGATGGACTTTGATCTCCAAATAGGATTGGGTACCCGTTTAAAACGGGATGGGTATCCCGTCCCGTCCCGTTGCCCACCCCTAAAAATAAACACGGTCAGTCATCTAATTGAAAAGAGCAAAGTAAGTTTTGAGCTTCAGTGCTTCACTTTTCAGTTCGGCCTAAATAACTACATCATGATGCCCGGCCTTTAATGTCCAACAGAGCAAGTTCTTCAGACAAGCCAGAAGCCCACTTGTATGCATGTTTGGAGAAAAGGAGCAAGCAAGGATGCAAAATATTGTTCTCATAAATGTTTTTTTTTTTTTTTTTTGGTATTTTGTTCTCATAAGTCATAAACGTTGAATGAGGAATAACAATCGGTTGAGTTAGTTATAGTTTTTTCAAATTCAAGTCCAGTTTTGTGAGCACTCGCTAAATGTTTTAGGTAAAATGTTCACTAGGTTTTGAAAAAGAAAACACAACTCAATACTCACTCGTACATAAATATCCATAATTCACAAATATAACCCCAATTATTTCTACAAACACCTCTATTTTTTTTAAGGGTGGCATAGCTTGATTTTTATAGTTAGGTGTTACTAAAAGTATTCGGAAACATCCATGTTTAAAACTAGTGGTATTATGTTATGTCTAGGCTAAATCCTTGTTTGTGCAAATACCCATATCTTTATATTATCTTTAACCTCAACTATATTGTAATAAGAACTAGGATTCTATTATCATAAAGTCTAATGACATCCACGAACAAGGGGTTGGTCTAGTGGTAATATCACTAGTCTAGAACGTGGAGGTCAGAGGTTCGGACTCCTTAAGTAGTACATTAATAAAAAAATAAACTTATATCACTCTTAAAAAAAAGTCTAATAACATCCATAAATTAATGATGTTATTAACGTCAGAAGCAAAATAATGTTGTTTTGCTTTATTTTGTGTGCAAGTTGGATGAAAAGTTATCGAATTTTTACCAAACTTGTACCTAATCCAATCCTTCGATTCCAAAAGCATGTAAAATCCCTCATACAACCCGAAGCGAGCAAAAATAGGTAAACAAAACCAGATTTTACTTAATCTAACTGGATCAGACCAGATTGGATGCCCACAAGTAGTCCGAGTTGAATTGACGTTGCATGATACCTACCGACTTAAGATAAGAGTTTCTGAAGTTGTCTCTTCCGCCTTCATGGTCCGTTGAAGGCAAATAAAGGACAAGCAATATGGTTGGTGATCAGTTGTTCCTCAATAATTCGACCTAGCTAAGCTAAATTATTGATGTCAGCCAAAGGCCAAAACGCAAAACCACACGCCTTCATTCTTCCAGCAGCTTCCCATTTGCTAGATTTTGTATCAACTCGTGAATCTTAATTACACCACGTACGAAGGGTCCCAAGATTGAAATCTGACAGAAGACACTAAAGTCTAAAACTTGAGAACGAACCCTAGAAACATGCTTTGAAAAGACCCAACGTACGTACCCAATCCGCAAAAGAGCGAGCGAGAGAGAGGCAGCCTTTTGCTTTAGTTTGTTGGTTTTTGTAATTAAGAAGGGCCATTGCAAAAGGTGGCAATCATGCATGCCCATCCAGCGAATCACATTGTGACATTGTCACTCGATCGATATCCCTTAACCTTTGTCTCTTTTTTTTCTTTCTCTGTTCGCGACTGCAGTTTGATGATTCCTATATATACATACATAGCTAGATAGTTCTTTCTCTTGTATATATCAGCCAGCCAGCTCACACTCGTCCCCATCGCACTGCACTACTGTTTCTCATTGTTCTATCCATTTCAAGGCTCCTCTGCTCTGATTTTGCTTTGGTTTTTAATGATTGTTAATCAAATGTTGCAGCCCTTTACAAGGAAAGAGAGCCCTCATCACTACTCCCCACCGACCCTTTTCCTCTCCGCTCCTGAAAAATGATTGCGGGAGTTCATCAGTTTGGTACTATTATATATATGTTAGCTGTAGTCTGCAAGCGTTTGAATTTCCAAGTGTTATGAGTGTTTAATTGATGTTTCTAGTAGTACTAATTATATAAGAGAGTTCGTAAATAATGAAGTCCGTGAAGAATTAAAGGTAGCTGCACAAGGTCACATGTGTACGATTAATACTTATGATAGTTTCATTTGTCATTTCTTCCTTTGTTTTTTTCTAAAACCCTAGTCATGAATTGTCATTTCTTGTTAAGGATGACCAATACCCATTAAAATTCTCATCACCATTTGAAAAAGTTTTCTTGAGTGATAAGCAAACTGACCCATGAGATAACGGATACATCCATACGATGTATACATCATCCTTTTGGTAAATTTAATTATTTTCAGATTTTGGGGATGAATATGTAGTAGAAAATGTGACTTTGTAGAGATTAAGTCAATAATATAACATGTAGGGACCAATACGTGTGCACATACATGTTGAAAGTATAAGAAATGAGATCCGCACACACTAATTTTTTGAGGGGATCGACTAAGTATCATTAGTGAATACGATTGTTGAAAGATCTCGCTCATATGAATGATATGTAGGATAATGTTTAATAACCTCTAATCCTGATCCTGATATATATATATGTCACATTAACATTTGCAATCGATTGTTGCAAGTCCCCAGCCAGCTAGAGAGAGAGGGCCGGCCGAGGGACTACCAATTCAAGCACTAAACAAAAAATATGGACCAACCCCGTGCACACAACTCGATCAATGGCAAATGGAAAGGCAGACTGAGAACAATATACAAATAACAAGTGATGATCACCATCATGGGGAGCTGCAAAATTCTTGCCAAAAACTTTTGACCATGTATACTATTACATATGTATCTTCATTCCCTCTTTCCATGTGGGTTTGCAAAAATAAACAACAACAAAAAAACACTAAGACGTCGTTTGGTTTTGGTGATAGTTTGGTTGGGATAGTTACAATGCATGCAATGTCCACAATGCATCGTTTTTTTGTATTTTATGCGCAAACAATACATGTATTGTTTGCTTGATTTGACACAAACTATCACTGAAAATGAGTGATAGTTAAATCTCAAGTTTTCGTTGAGATTGTTGAGATTGTTTGATGAAAATTGTTGTATTTTCTTCTTCTTCTTCCAAATATGTCCCTACCTTTTAATTGTGTGTTGCTTTTTTATATTAAAAACAAAGTGTATAAGTGACATTTCACCCAAAAAGTGATATAATTTATTTAAATACTATAATAACTATCACAGAAACCAAACGATGTAAACTACAATACACCAATTTTCTTATATACATGTATATTATTATGCATGAATTGATGACTGTACATCGATTTAACTATCACCAAAACCAAACGACCCCTAAAATATTGATCAAGTAAGGTTCTCATGTGGTTGTAGGGATTATCATGAAGAATTGTAAAATTGTATTTCACGTTGGTGTAATGGAAAAGTTAATAACATGGTATTTTAATATGAAATTGTGGTTCAACTGTTTAATATCGTTAAAATCATGATCTGTTTGAACTCTTACCCCCTGTTTCCGAAGTAGGAGAGGAAAAGGAGGGGAGGGGAGGGGAGGGGAGGGGAGGGAAAACTTGGATGGGAAGGAAAATTGGAGGGGAAGGGAATTGGAGAGAAAATGTTGTTTTATGGGGGAAAGTGAAAGAGATAGTGAAAGGAAAAAAGTATGTAGCGAAGTGTGATAGATATGTTGTTTTATTGATTATGTAATAGTAAGTATATGCAAAAAATACGAAAATAAATATTATGAATAACCAATTTCTACATAACCATGATCAATTTTGTTATTTGTTAACGGAACATAAATTGTTCATTTAACTCTTTTTTATTTTTCATACAAATTTGATTACTTTTGTAGTACAAGATAACGTCCATTCTTTAAAAAATGTAACACTCTGATGTCGTTATACTTGAAACTTAACACACATTTACGTTCCACGTAATTGGATCAAATACATCATTCCTTGTTAATTTTGTTCATTATTAAAATACAAAAATAGATGTTTTGACCATATGATCCGGTGAGAAAAATATTTGTCACCATTATATAATGATACACAAAGATATCATACAAATAAGAGTAGAATTGTCTAGCATCATAGTTAGCCATAAATATTGTTCTTTCGTGTATCGTCAGTTGGACCGTAAAAATCGTCTACTGTCATCTAAGTCGGTAGTGTACATAATATCATGTTAGAAGTTTACGTAGTTAAGTAAGCAATCTAAAATAATACACACGGACTTCACTAATTTAATTATCGTCCTCCAAAATTAGTCGAAGATTATCTCTTCAACCCTAAAAACAATGAATTAGTAATTATCACATCTCCTAATATTTCTCCACGTTAAATGCAATATATGTGCTAATAAAATATAAATTAACAATTTTTGTCATTTATTTCACTGCTATCACACATCCCTACACAAATACAACTTAAACGAAAAAGGAAAATAGGCAACGCACGAGAAAAAAGGATATTAGTTAATAATAATGTTTTATTCGTTAATTAACCATACAATTGATAAAATAATAAATTATATTAGATAATCTTATAATATGTGACCATAAAATAAAATTCCATAAATCGCTTACCCATCCAACGTAGTGGAAAGCAAAACAAAACGCAAGAAAAAAAATGAAAAATAGAAAAATGCTTGAGAAGGTGGCTTTCCTCCCAAATTGGAGGGTCAGGTAAAACAGTACATTTTCCTTCCCTCCGGTCCTGTAGCAAGTTTGGAGAACGGGGGGAAAAGTTATTGGGTTCTGGAATTTCTCTCCCTCCCTTCCCTTCCCCTCCCCTCCCTTTCTCTTCTTAAAAAACAGAGGGTAATATAGATAATTTTTCTTATAAAACCGTGTCGATAAGTTACAATTTTGAAAACAGTGGTGGTGTGGGGTTTTGGCAGGGGAAAGGGTTTATCCACGGAGTAGTCCCTCTCCCTGCTGCCTGCCTTCCTGCCAAGGTTGGTAGTGGTCAGGTTTTGTGCTCTTCAATGAACACATCTTTATCGAAAGATGGTAAAAACACACAGAGAGAGAGAAGGCATTTGTTTGTGACAGAAGGAGAGTATAATTAACCGTTTCACTCATTACTATGTGTACATTTATTCTCTTGTACTTTGCCAGACGTTTGTGCTACTTTACAGAGGTTGCTGCCAGATAATAAACAAAGAAGCTCGTTTCTTGTTCCTGGTCTTCAGTCTTCCCCGCCTGCAAAAGAAACATGACAACGACCGACCCAACTCTCTAGCTCTCTGCTAAACATATATATAAAAACTTGCCCTTTTTGGCACCACTCTTACGTCTGTAAATTTCCAATTTGCCTAGTGCAGGAACAGATGAAACGGTTGGGTAATAAGATAACCCAGTAGGTGACAATGACATTCATTCAGTGCGCGAGAATCTAGTTACCTACTAGCTAAGTTGTTTCCTTACAGATTTATTCTTCTGGTTTGTTTGGTTTGGCCTTTTTTTTTTATACTTTTCGGGCTGGAATTTAGATAGCTAATAGCCTATTAGCTACTGGCGAATTTTAGTATGCATGATATCCAATCAAAACAGTTGGGAGACAGAAAGGAACATGCAGCCCATTAGCAAGACATTGTTAAATTATAGGTACCAGTTTGTAAGAGTTTGTTGTAGCAAATTATTAAGGCGCAATAAAAATTTAAGCAATAAGAATATCATCTCAGACTTGAGAGTGAGAGTGAGATCCTGTCGTGATACTCTCCATGTGGATTTGGAAAAATGATCTAATCTTCTGCGATATATATATCAGGGACGGAGCTAGCTCATGAATAGGGGGGCCATGGCCCCCTAAGATTATGAAAATAAGTAGAATATAAGCTGTATGAGCAAAAGATGGCTGTAGTGTAATTGGTAGAAATGCAGTCTTGCAACCTTAAGGTACAAGGTTTGATCCATGTGTAGCTTTATGGTTTTGTATATATATTCACTTTTTTGCAATTTCTTCATGGGTAGCTTTATAGTTTTGTATATATATTCACCTTTTTGCTTGATGGTTTTGTATATATATTCACTTTTTTGCAATTTCTTGTGTAGTGTTCAATCTATTGTTGTCTCAACAAATAATAGTGGGTTGTGTTTCATTTGTAATTTGTTATATTTTGTCCCTGTCTCCTTTTTCTTTGTTTCTTATTAAATTACATAGTTATTTGATTTCGCTCTTGTTTGACAATGATAGTTATTTGCTCATAAAATCTTTGTTTGACAACTTGATAATAATATCTTTCTAACTTATTGTGTTATGCTATAATTCAGATGTGTTAATTATTAGCTCGTACGATAAGTAGTTTTCTTGAGTTTATGACATTTTCTTTTTGTCTGTTTAGTGTTTTCTTTAGACAACAAAAATTTCTTTGCAAAATTTTTCTCATTGAATTTTTTCTTAATTTTTAGAATCACTTCATAATCACGGTTATCATTTATCTCTTACAATAAATATCGCATGATTGTTTGAAAAAATGAGTGATACAATTTTTTATGTAGTTTTCTTGAAGTCGAGACTAGTCCATCAACATAAAATTCGATAAGTTTATCTCAACACTTATCGTCGATATTGCTATTGAATATCATAAATTTGCTTTCACCATTCCACACCGCACCTCTTAATTATCGGCCCCCCTAAATGAAATTCCTGACTCCGTCCCTAATAGATATACCGCTGAATTGTGTTTGTAAGATTAGTCATATGGTCGGAAACTAGCTAGTTGCTTATATTTAGGAGGCTGTGTGTATATACTATACTATGTACCGTATCCGTATGAAATGATAAGCTTGGTGGAAAGAGAATAAACAAGTGGGAGCAGAGGGGTTAGGTTTTTTTGTGTGTAGGACTAACTTTGATCAATCATTCCTTTCATGACAAAGAAATGTGAGGATCGCCCTGAATCAATGACAAAATCCGGATATGGGACCATTTTTCCCCCAAATATTAAGATCTGAATATATGGTTAAAGTTCATACTAAAAATTACTAACGATTGTCTTAATTTAATATGAAATTTACTCAAATGTCCATTTTGAATTTCAAAGTGAAAGACAAAACAAACACACCTCTATTCCTTCCTTCCTTTCCAAAACCCTTCCCACGACCCTCCACCACACCTGCAACCGTCGCCACCACACCCTCCTGACCGCCGGCGGCCACGCCTCCAGTCGCGCCAGGCCTCGTCGTCTGCTGTGTCCCCCGCCATGCATCCCGCCGCCCCTCGCCTCGTCGTCTGTCGTGTCATCCGCCACCCCTCCCGTCGCACCTCATCCTCCTTCCACCGCGCCTCACCGTCCTCCTTCCGTCGTGCTTGTACATGGGCAACAGGTCGGGCCGCCCATGGGCTAGCACGACATAGCACTGTTAGCGCACGACACGAGCACGGGCACAAAATATATGTGCCGGCCCGACACGAGCACGAAAATTTATGGGTCGGGCCGGGCCTAAACTTCATGGGCATGGGCATGTGCACGAGCACGGGCACGACACGGTATGTAAATGAGTTGTGTGAGGCCTAATATTTTCAAGATCCTATTGAGTATAAGAACGAACATGGCATGAAAATAATATTTATTTGATAGAAAATAAATATAAAAAGTATTATAGGTTCAAATCTTAAAAAATACAAGTACAATAAAAATTATTTACTTTTATTAGAAGTGATCATAAATATATATACGTAATTAATACCATAACTAAAAATAGACGAAGCATTAAACAAAGTCAAATCACACCCGCTATACTTTCAATTTTCTTTTCCCCCTTATTTGTTACATTCTCGGTTAATACTTTTATTCTCCATCCAATTTGTTCCTTCCTTTTCATTCCTTCTTTTATTTTCTTCCTTTTCATTAAACACGAATATAAGCACGGCACCAGCACAAATAAGCACGACACGATTCAAACCGTGTCTGGGCCTGGGCCTAGCAAAATTAACAAATGGGCTTACACGGCATGACACGAAAACTGACGGGCCGTGCCAAGCAGGGCACAAAATAAACGGGCCCGAAGCGTGCCCGTGCCGTGCCGACCAAACGCCCATGTACAGTCGCGCCTCGCCGTCCGCCGCCACAATTTCGGATTGGTCGTTGATCAACCGAAACCAAATTTTGGTTCTGCCTTGGTGCAAACGAAACAGATTTTCGGTTCACCCATGGCACAACCAAAGGTGATTTTTGGCTACTCATTGTTCGGATGTATTCTCGACGGTTACAGCTTCAGAATGTCGACGATTAATTCAAGAGTGTGGGAGAATGAGTGTTTTTTGTTTTCTAAGTGAATATGGTGTTTGTTTGCTAAAGGAAAGGTAAAGGTGCCAAAAGGTTAAAAGTGTAACTTTGTTGTTTTTTAGGACGATCATTAGTAATTTTTATGACGACCTTTATCAACTCCCTAATGACCTCCAAAATCAACTAGACTCAGCACATCACAATCATGTCGATTTTCTATTCCAAATTATTGCCAATCTTTGACATTAAATTAACCACACGTTTGATATTGTTGTGTTCGGAAAACACAAAATCAAGAGATCTGATTTTTATATCAATATCTTATTTCATCAAGACCGGATCTAAAACATGGTAGAGAATTGGACCACTTTTAAAAAAAGCCAGAGAAGATTGGATTGTAACCCAACGAGCACTAAAACAAATACCTAAAATTAATATTTACAAGTACTATACTAGTTTTGAATCCATAATAGGGCTAGTTCGTGGCCCGAAGCACCCCCTGAATCCGCCACTATACACGCGTCCTCCACCTCATCTTCATCATTGACCTAAATTAACGCATACAATTCATCATCTACCTAAATTAACCACACGTTTGATATTGTTGTGTCCGGAAAACACAAAATCAAGAGAACTGGTTTTTATATCAATATCTTATTTCATCAAGACCGGATCTAAAACATGGTAGAGCATTGGACCACATTTAAAAAGAGCCAGATAAGATTGGATTGTAACCCAACAAGCACTAAAACAAATACCTAAAATTAAATATTTACAAGCACTATACTAGTTTTGAATCCATAGTAGGGCTAGTTCGTGGCCCGGCGCACCCCCTGGATCCGCCACTATACACGCGTCCTCCACCTCATCTTCATCATTGACCTAAATTAATGCATACAATTCATCATCTACCTAAATTAACGCATGAAACTTACATGTAGTTCATATAGTTCATATCAACTCCACGCCCAACAGACCAAAGAACCTTCTATGTCTTTGATTAATCTTGACACACATATTTATAATAATCCCAAAGTAAAGGTGGGGATTTTGAATCCATGTAGATGGGTACATAAAGACAAAGGAAGTTAAACATATAGAATGTGGCAAGTCAAGTTTCACCAACAAAACTATAACGTATACATGTGTGAAGAGAGGCATAGGATTCCCGAGCCTTTTCCCTTTAGCAGGAGGAGCGTGCTTTGTGAAAAAAAAAAAAAAAATGAATGCATAAGGAGATCAAAGATAGAAAGTGAGAGTCATGAAGTGGCCATAGATGCAACTATCAGAGAAAAGAAGTGGCCATACACACACTCACATAAAAACAGAAACCCAATAGGGCAAAGCCTTTCAAAAGGTGGCTCTAATATCCAAAAGAAGAGGGAACCCACATGGTTTTATTTTATAGGAATCCCAGGCAGGTGAAATGAAATCCCTGCTTCTCCTCAATGGTTTTAAGAAGAGTGTTAAAGCTATATATTTGTGCATATGAGAAAGTGTTTGGCAAATGCTCTACAATTTTCGGTTCCACACGTGGGGCCTTTTCTTTGTTTTGGGTTTTTGGCCCTTTTACCTGTTTTCATTGCTTTCTTAGCTAGTTCATGGAATCAAGGAATATTTTTGCTTTTCCCCATCTCTTTCCGCCACTTGGATGGCCATGTAGATAGAAAATCGTGTCATATTAGTCACAAAGTTCTCCCAATTAGGAAGGAAAACAGGGGAGGCATTAATACATACAAGCTTTAATTCATCTTCAAATTTTGTTGTTTGCAACGAAAAAGGAGGTTAGGAAAACGCGTTTGTGAGTTGAAAATAAAGCCTAATGATTATTAGCTTAGAAGGCTGAGATTTTTATTTTTGAAAGACTAGAAGGCGAATTTATGGTATGCATTCAATTCGAATATATACAGTATATTCACTAAAATTATTGTTGGAACTTGGAAGAAGTCTTGGTAGCAATGATACAAGGCCTATGAAAGTTTGCAGGTGATGTCAAGACAAAGATTGATCCAAGTGTTGAAATTTAGTTTAATACATGTGGATAAATACAATAGTACTGAACAACTGCAAAATAAGAGATGTACAATTAAGTGTGTTTTAGCTACAATTCTTTTAAGAATTGATTGAAGCAGAGTGTAGGAACAACAATGGTGATGAAATATTGGGCACTCTACTCAAAGGGAAAGGAAGAAGAATACACATGTTCCCGGGTGATTTGAATAAGTGGTTCGAGCTTCCTTTAACCCGAACCAATAAGTGGAATGATAGTGTTTAGTGTTTGATACTTCGATCACTTGCACTATAATTAGCTTTATAATCTACCACTTTGCACTTTATTATACATTAGATTAAGTAAGACAAGTATCCGTTAGTGTACATTGTTAGTTAGCTATCTGCAGATGTACATATACTTCTCTTCGGCAATGGAATATGCACAATGCCAAATTCCTCAATCTACTTCTCGTTTCTTCTAGCTCTAGTGTTCACGGCGGCTAATTTTTCTTTGTTTAACATGGTATTAGAGCCTGATTTGCACGAATTATCAGTTTCCTACAAATTTCATCGTTTCTTTACTCTTTCTTTCTTCTTCCTTGAATCTTAAGAAATGACTAAAGCAGAAGCATCTGACTGCAAGAGCGCAAATGAGCTTTCCTCTCCCCATTATGAGACCACTATTCAAACCCCTATTACCTTGCCTAGAGTGACAATTCATTTTTGCATTCATTGGCTTCAAGCTTACAGACGATAACTATCTTCTATGGAGTGAATCCATGGAAGTGGCTCTCAATACTAAAAACAAACTTGGATTCGTGAAGGGCACGATTGAGGTACCTCCTTTGACTAATCCAACTTATAGAAATTGGGATCGTGTTAATGGTATATTGGATTCGCAATTTTGTGTCTGAGGATATAGTTCCTACTTCTTAGCTTAAGAAACATTAAGGTTGCTTCGGAATCCTGGAACTACTTAAAGGGGAAGTTTAGTCAGGGTGATTCTGTGCATCCAGCTAATATAAAAAAATAGATCTATCTAAGCAAGGCAATCATACCATTCCCAACCTGGCTCTCGTTTCTTCTAACCCTGGTGTCCATGAGACCATGACATCTAGGTTTGTTTTCACAATAATACATGGTACGTCATGGCTCACAGGAAACGCGATCCATTAATATAAGGACATCATTACTTCGTTCCTGATACCTTAACTGAATTGTACATACTAGAGTTTTTGTACTCTTGGTCTATTTAATTATCCATAGTCTAAGTTTAATCTCTATTAATTACTTTGGTAGGGTAAAAACGTTCAGTCCTTTTCAGCCTTCTTTCTCGACTTTCTTGTCCTCTTTTTTCCATACGGTCCAACTTCATTCATTGAGAATAGAGCAAAAGAGATAAATTTATTAAGTAAACCCTAAAATGAATCCCGAACCCAAAATGGAGGGTCCCCTAACCAAGAATTTCAACAATAAAAACAAAAGGGTGTGGAAGGTTAATCTTGAAAACCTCAATCGAGGGATAACATTGTGGGACAGTGCACTTATAACAAGACAAAATTAATTAGCATAAGTACTTGAGATTAAACACTGACCAATTTTACATTCTATTATATTGAAAAGGCAATTGAATGATCACGACATAAAAGGGTGTTCCCAACAAAAATTTGATATTGTACCCAAAAAGGCAAGACAAAAAATAACACATAATTCATTTGGATATGTGCCTCTTTGAAGTTTAATTTATAATATTATTGGGTAAGTAAATACATTATAGTTGATTATTTGTACATGTTCCTGGAATATTATGAATGGCAACAACATTTTACATTTACATAGTTAACACAAAATGAAGATCAAACTGCATAGACCCTCAATTCCCTTTAGTTATATAAAATTTAATTTTGGCATACACTTTCATATTTCTTTCCAAGTTCTTTATCTTTTCTTTTTCAGGCCTCTTTTGTTCTTTGCAAGTCAGGAGCTAAAAGGCATCGTTGATGGCCCAATTACTGCTACAAGAAACCCTTCTATCTTTTGGATGGAAATGAAAATCCTTCTTATTATCGCATATGATATATGAATCCATTTAAAATAAAATTCCCTATTGATCATGAACTTGACATTCTTCATACCTACCCATTTTTCTGTTCAGTTCATCCCATCTTGATTAATTATATTGTCTTTCCCTTTGTTTCACAGGTGGCAAATGGATTACCTTGGTGGTTCTTGGTGGTTAGATTTAAATGGGTTAGTAAATTGGTTTAAATGGGTTGGTGTGGTGAGGTTTCATTTCGATATTCATTTGACAATCCACTGTAGTTTGGAAGATACTTGAATTATCTGGACGGTTTAAGGGATGTTGCACAAAGTTGTAGGGTTCTATACGGTTGACCTATTTGAAAAATACCAAAAGAAATCAATATTGAATAAATTAGAAAATTTTAGTAGTAAAGTGACCGGCCCTAAATATAGGTGCTCAAATGTAATTTTAATGAGAAATCTTATATAATTATATTAAAATGCAGGTATTAAACTGATATAAAATAGTATGGTACTGATTCATAATTTTATGAATTTATTATAGTTTTTGTATATTGAATTTTCCTTACAATTACAATTGTTTGGTGCTTGGTTTTAATTCAATATCAACTATACTTTATTTCACTTGTCATTTTTGTAAGAGTACAAAATTGGTGCTTGGTTTTTACGGGGAACGGATCATGTTAGTAACCATGAGTACCCCGTCCACATCAGCATGACATCAGTATCCCTCTCTCTTCTGGAAAGTCTTTTATCTTTTTTCTTTTTAATCTTTAACGGAAGATTTCTTTCTTGTTTTAAGTCAAAATTTAAATTTTTTTGCACAGATAAATCAGATTAAATGTGCTCTTTAAAATGATATCCACTTTGATATATTTTTAGTACAAAAAAATTGAATAATTTTCTACCAGTCGTTACCATATGGTATGCTCATATTTAATACCATATGGTAAGAAAGCGTACCATAATGGTATGAACATACAAATATGGTAAGAAGGTTGAATACATGATAGTAAGAGTATACTAACTGTCATTTACGACTTTCATCATTGTTTGTTACAAGTTACCACCCACATACCATAGTGGTAAAGTATGGTAATTTTTGGTCGAGTATTTTTTCACCCAGAAATTTATAGATCCAATAGATAATGATGAACTCGTTCCTTCTGAGCAAACATTTTCAAAAACGACTTAAAAACGAAGAAGTTACCATATGGTATATAGTTGATAAAAAAAAGTTTCTCGAAATATATTAAAAATTGATCTCATTTTGTAGAGCACAACGAACTCGTTCCATTTGTGCAAAAAAATTTGAAATCCGAGTTAGAACGAAGAAGATAAGAGCCGATTAAAAAAAACTAGGGAAAATAAAATGCCTTTAATTGACAACCCTTAGATCTGGATTTCTGGACCCACTTAAATCTAAAAGTCCATATTTAGTTACTCATAGGTATCCTAAGTCGGTTTTCACCTAGCCCGTGACAAAAGAAAAATCTATCGGACTTGAATTTGTTTTGGAATATGAGTATGGTTACTGACCCTATCCTAAGCCGGTTTTCACCTAGCCTGTGACAAAAAAAAAATCTATCGGACTTGAAGTTTTTTGGAATATGAGTATATGACTATGACCTACATGTCATCACTATGAATCAAGTAGAAAGCACTAAACTTAGATAATTTAACTTATATGTGTACACACTAAAAAACATATGCATTTGACCTTTGATCAATCTCTAGGCAAATACTTGGTCTGTCTTTGGATTTATTGCAGGCCACTTTATGAAACCCTGCATTTAAGAATTTATCTTAACATATTATCATGAAAGACATTTTTATATAATTAGAATCATTTAAAATTAACCTAAATAAAAATGTATTTCAAGTTGTGTTAATATAGATACAATCACTAACAAAAAAAGTAATAATAATTTCATGCTGACAAAAAAAAAATTAATTACATTATTATCTTTAAAATTTTGAATTTCGTTCATTGAAAAATTTAAGGGTTAATACTTTATTTTGACCCGAACTATATTCAAACTTTCTACTTTGGTCCGTGATTTCTGAAATTACTCCCTTGGCCTGAACTATACACTATACTTCCTTGCTTGGCCCGACGCGGGATTTAATCATCAAAGTGGACGGTCAACTCCATTGACTGGTAGTCAAGCACCAGATCACTTGCCACATTATCCAATTCGTTATCTAATAACAATAATAATTAATGGAAAAAATAATTAAAAAGTTTGGTTTAGTAATTTTTTAATTATTATTATTTAATTAGATAACGAAAATAATTATAGAAATTCAAAATCAAAATTTTTTATTTTGGGTTCGCTAACGTGGCAAGTGACCTGGCGCTTGACTAACAGTCAATGAGTTTGATCCAATTTGACGGTCAAAATTCGTGCCGAGTCAAGCAAGAAAGTATATACACATCGTCTGGGCTAGGAGAGCAATTTCATAAACCACAGGTCAAAGTAGAAAGTTTCAGTATAGTTCGAACCAAAATAAGATATTAACCCAAAACTTAATTACTTTGATTTAACTTTTCTACACTATTTTTTTTTTTGGAAACTCAGAGATTAGAAAAGCAACCGCTGGACTACATTTATGTCATACTAGCATACTTTGACATATTTTCGCATAAAATACTTAAATTTTATGCTCAAAACAAAGACCGACATGAACGCGATTTCTGCAATTCTGGGGCCGGAGGCCTCTTAGAGAAGTTGTAGCTCCGCCCCTGCAAGTCTTCCTTTTCAAAACTCAAGTCGGAAAGGAAGTTGTATTGCATTTTGATGCGCATTTGATTTTTTTTTTTTTTTAAAAAAGATAATTATATATTGATCAAGAAAATGTAGTTACATCCTGGACACCAGCCAAGCCCGGAAATCAAAAGAACGACTCATAGTCGAGAACAGAGTGAGGGCTTTCCTAGCCACCAAATGAGCTACCCTATTGCTACGCCGACCTACAAATCTAACACTAAACCTAGGATTACCGGCAAAAATCTGAATGAGCTCATCTAGCACAGCACCCAACCGACTATCTCAAGCCTCCTTGAGGTTGATTTTATCCATGATAATTTTCGCAACCCCTTCAAAGGTAATGTCCGCCCAGCCGAGCGACTGACACCACAGAACAGCTTCCCGCAGAGTAACCAATTCCACTACCAAAGGGTCATCAAACCATGGAAACTGCACACCCTTCACCATCAAAACCTCTCGATCCGGGGTGAGAAGAACCAAACCTCCATGCGAGTGGGAACCACTCCGGAAAGCCCCATCCCACATGCACACAGCTCCGTGCCCCCAACAGGCTCGTGATGCGTATTTGAAAACAAAAGGATAAATTATAGGAAATATTGCATTGACAGCAGAAGTGCAAAACGATCAATGATCAATATATAGTACAATAGAATCTGATGATGGAGAGAGACAATTAACACCCACAATCAGCACATCAGTGCCCAATTTTCAGGGGGGAAACTACCAAGAATTACATGTCTCATTTTAATATCAGAATTACAATCTAATATACTATTTTCGTTCGTAACTCCACACACAAATCATCCTAGCTATGATGGGTGCACACAAGAAGTGGCTTTCGCCGAATTGAAATTTTAGACCAAAGTGAAATGCGAGTGTGATGATAAGTTCATTGAATATTTTGTACATAAAACCATCATCACAACTTCCATTACCTTGCTCCTTTTTCCTCCTTTCTTTTGGGCCTTCGAAAGGCCCACGTGTTCATTTATTTTACTATTTCCAAAGGAAAGCTAAATTAGACTGATGAGATCAACAAAAATGTTGATGATGAATTGAAAACAAAAGCAACAACTACAAAAAAAAAATTACAAAATAATAATAAAGGCAGGGTAGAAAGAATCAAGGTTTAAGAAATCATATAGGAGGTTATATCGGAAAAATGAGTGATATTATATTTTGTACTTAAATCGTGATTTAACCATGATTGAACCGTTTCCTACCGCTAAAACAGCCTACTGTTTTGAATATGATATTCGGTATTTCTGATCCGGTTAGCCCCTACTGTAGAATTTCCTAAACCTTTAAAAGAACTTGGAACTTGGGAAGTGAGTTGGAAGAAGGTAATTGGGTGGGTGGCCGCTCTCTTTCGTATAATGAAAACGTTTTAGTGAGAGATGGGGCATGCAAGTGTGTTATCCTGTAAAGTGTAAACCCTACTAAGCCCCACTCTCTATCCAATCACAGAACCAATCCCTTTTGGAAATTGGGCCTCCTCTTCCTTTAAAGTGCCACCACTATCGAGCTTCATCCATGATCTCTTGCAAAAATATAATTAATCATTTGTTTCTCTTTCAATCCAAGATTTGATTTTGATTAGTTAAGGTTAGCACTTAGGAGCTGAACTAATCATTCCTGGCTTACACCAAAATCACAATTATGAACTATGATAGCCATGTCGTGTAGCTTTTTATTGTTTTCACGGACGCCATGAAACGGTAATAGACGTATCGGATCAAATCATATGATTAATTTCTACTCAAAAAATAAAGACATGATTAATGCTCTTGTAGAAATTAGATTATGGCAGGCAGCATGACAATATTCATGGGTTATTTAAATCAATAAATCGATTTCTAAATGTATAACTACGGGGCATGTTACCATAGTCACCCCAATTTCCACCTCTAGATTAAAGCATGGTTTAATTTCCATGAAGAATTGACCCCAAAGTTGAGTGACCATTTCTGTAGTAATTCAGCCTCTTATTTTCCACGGTTTTTATTCGTCCACTTTTTGCAATTTGCAGTAGTTGTATGTTATTATTCAAACAAGTATTGATTTCCTATACTTGCTTTTTGGCGGGAGATTTCATTACCATGTTGACAAAAAGAAGCCATTATATATCCGCCTACACAAACTCACTCACTTCACCAGTGCCCATTTTTGTAGGTTTTCCAATGGACCTTTCTCCCACATCACCATCACAGCCTAGGTGGCGACCAACTGTCTTGTCCACGTGTGATTGTACATTATATCAACATAAAGGAATTTTATTCATACAAGAAAAGAAAGCAGTCGTTGGGGTATTTTTTGTGGTAAGCTTTGAAGTTTCGTAACCCTCAACAACTATGGAGTTTAGGTCAGTACTGTTAATTAATTAGTTAAGCGTGTTTATAAATTATAATGGTGGTAGAGATATACACAGACAGACACAGATAAGGGCTGCCGGCCGGCTACAGAATGCTGTGGCACGAGCACGACCCACAATACACACCAGGTCCTAATTAATTATATTGAATTTTGATTCTCAATATGTTTCAAATGTTTTAATAATGTGGGTTAGGTTTGTGTCACTTCATTGAGGAGATTTTTCATTTGTTTTGTCTGTTATCCATCTCTCTTTTTTCCTTTTGTTTGTAGGTGGTACTACTTTTTTGTTGAATCTTTGTTCGGGCTGCGCAATGTATATTGTTTTCTATGAATAGATTGTATCTTTTTCATACATAAAAAAAAAAATGGGAACATTCCTATCAAGTGAGTGAAGTGTTACTAGAACAATCTCACCATCCTTCTATCGCATAGTTAAAAAAATAAGACTATACATTGATCCGCCATGAAATGATATAATCTTTTCGTCTTATACTTTTCTTACGAAGTGCCTGATGCGAAAAAAAGTAAAAATTTATTATATATTGAGACCTATTCTTTCTTTTTTCCCCTCTATTTGATGAACACTATTTTTTCTCACAAATTCTTATTTTGCTAATGATCTAGAGTCATATCAGGATTTGTAAATAGAAGGTCTAACAAAAAGAAAAATGGAAAGAAAAAAAAAAAGATTTTTATCATTTGATTTGAAATAACGAAAAGATGACTAAGAATCTCTTCCATTATTACTAATGTGTAAAGTGTATAGTCATGTGAATATCAATAGACACTCTCCTCTCTGTTCCAACGTGTAAATTCGAATTCGAATTCGAATTCAAAATCGAAATAACTAAATACTAAATAAAATGAATTTGAATGAAATCATGCGAAACAATCTCCCCATCCTTGTATCTCATAAATACAAAAATAAGACTATACAACCGAAGAAAAGCTGAATCTAGTTGTTCTCGTGTTACTAGAACAATCTCCCCATCCTTCTACCAATTTACGTTTCTCGCCATGTGGCACCATTTGTTAAGCAAAATTTGACTATTGAGGAAATTATCCTATTTTGAACTTTTTCCTTAAGTTCAACACGGTTTTGGCTTCCCAAAATAATGACATTCAAGAAAAAGTTGGCACAATGGTGAAAAATTCTTAGTTATGCAAGAGAAGAGAAGCAAAATTTTGATCACTTTATTCTACATGTAGAACCCTATGATTGGGACTTATTGAATGTTTGTCATATTAGTTGACAAGTGATCGTTGAAGGATAGGACACAAGTTCGTTTCACTCCCTTGCTTAACAAATGACACGCTAAACATTTTGAGATAAAGCATAGATATGCAAATGCATTTGTGAAAGAAAATATGACGAAAATATAAGAATGGAATTTGGTACAATTTCGATGTAATAGCCTTGTGTCCGTCCTTGGATTGTCTTTTTATAACATATATCTAATATATATGAAAATTTTGTCTAAAATTATTTTATATACTATTTCTTAACACGGATCATTTTTAGTTCATAGTATGTTTTTGGTATGTCTAGTGTGACTTACGAGTTACAAGTCAACATAACTTGGAGAAAACAATATACCTCTTTCACAATGCGGTCTACTTCTTGCATAAAGCAGTCAACCACTTTTCAAGAAAAATGGTATAACGCTTGGTCAACTGATGACACACTTACTTCAACTTACACCCGCTTTTAGAGAACAGTCTACCACTTCCGACGAACGGTCAACCAGATGACTGTGTTACCTTCTACTCACATTATGAAAATAATGGAGATAAGGGCCTACATTATGAAACTGTATTAAAATGCAACATCCTATCATCCGTGGGCAGCCAAATCTCCGCAAAGATTAAAGGCCTAGACAAAAAGAATTAGCAACCTCTTTTAACACTTTTGGAATAAAAACCCTTAAAAGCAAGATGATATGAAACAGTACCAACAAAGTTGATCTATCACAAGACAAACTATAGCATAAAAACAATCAAACTTAGAATTTTAAGGAAAGATGAAAGACTTTATAGAATAAGTACAATTTATGAAATAAATATGAAAAACATTTTCCAAATTTGTGGGAGAACAATCGCTCAACAAACTTCTCATCTATGCTCTAGCCTTTGTACAAATTTCAACTCTCTAGGCAACAAACATACGTATTGATATTGGACTACTATAATTGTATATGCTGATGTCATTAGCAATGGTTCGTTAGGTCGACCGGTTGTTGGAAGCGGTGAACTATTTGATGGAAAGGTAGATCGCTTGGTGAAAACAGTAGAACGATTTCTCGAAAAGTGGTCACCCACTTAGTGAAAAAGGTAGACCATTTTCTACCACTCTGTTTGGGAAGAGGGGTAAATGGGAGGAGGGTGCAAATGTGAGGGGTAAACACAGTTTCCAACACATTTTCACCTGTTTGGTTAATTTGGAACAGTAGGGGGGTGCAAAACGGTAGTGCAAATTTATTGTTTCGGCTTATCCCCCGAATTGGGGTGCAAGGGAAGGAAGGAAGAGAGGGGGAGGGGGGAATTATGGAATTTTGTTTTTCTAATTGTGTTATATATAATTATATAATATTAATATTATCAATTTCTTCTTTTTATAAATATCATTAATGTAAACATTATTCGGGGTTGACCATTTACTCTGGAAACAAGTTTATCAATGTTCGTCAAGTCAAATCTAGATCTCTTGGTTGAATCGAATTTGCATTGAAAATTAGAGATACAAGGTGTTTGTGGAAAAGATAGAGAGAAATTGTTTGGTTAACTCAGTTTATTTGACTAAATAGTCAAAACTTACAAATTTGAACCTGTTTGACTAAGTTTGACAATTTAAGATTAAACTAGACACGAAAACCCTATATAGGATGACCAGTTACGAGTTGAGCTTCGAGTTTTGAGATCGCTAGGGGTGGGATTCGGTCGGTAAACAATTTACCGTTTACCGAATTTACCGGTTTCGGTATACCGAAGTTGGCCAAACTGGTTACCGATTACTGATACCGGTTTGTAACCGGTTTACCGATTACCGAATTACCGGTAAACGGTTACAAACCGGTATTACCGAAATACCGTGAGAAGCGATTTCTGGCGGTTTTTCTGTCGGTTTACCGAACCGAATTTCTGGAAGTGGGGTGATGTTGTAATATTTTGATTTTTTTGAGTTTTTTTCATCATTTTTATAATTAATAATTTATTATTAACTCTTATTTACAATATTTTTTAGGCCTATACTTACATTCATGTATGTAATATTTTATATTTTTGGGGGTAAAGCAACAAAACGCAGCGCAACACTAGGGAGTAGGGAGGGGGGATTCGGTATTGGTAATACCGATTTACCGTCGGTATTTACCGATACCGTGTCCGGTAAACCGACTCCCCCAACTTCCCGCTCGGCTACCGATACCACCGGTAAACGGTTTACCGTTTACCGTCGGTTACCGGTTCGGTAAAACGGTAAACCGTTTACCGGATTATCGTTTACCACCCCTAGAGATCGCTGATCAATGATTATTACAATTGTTATAATTAATTATTAATTGAGCATTATTATATAAAAACTATTTTTAGTAAAGTATATTTATTATTACATAGTAATATTTATTTTATTATTTTATGATAATATTTTATAATTTTAAAATCTATTTTAAAATAATATAGTTACTTACTTTTCACTCTATTTGCATCCCCTTATTTTTTCATCCAAACAACAATTTACCCCTCCACTTACACCCCAAGCAATTTGCACCCCCAGCAATTTACTTCTCAACTTGCACCCTCCTACAATTTGCACCCCTGCTGCCAAACAGAGCGTAAGACTTGCAAGTATATTTTTATTCAATCAAACCTCAACTATTTTAATTAGGAACCACATAGACAACTTATGAGAGATATCCATGAGCCATAATACTTTGAATAGTTGAAACTCATATTTTCACGTGGGCTCCACTTCCTCACTTTCCACCCAGTGAACGTTGCGAATTCTTGACAGCTAGGTAAATTGGGCGCGTGAGTTTGGACACAGAATTTTTGGGAGGGAAAATAGTACATTCAATTCTAGGAGTAAAAAGAAAGAAAGATAAATTTCGTTAAAACTAGAAATTGAACCGAATAATTGAAATAAATGATTCAGTGACAAGTATTTATTTTTTGGTGTTTTGAAACTAGCCGTATTTTTTTTTATGGGAGGATTTGTGGAGCATTGAATTATTGAGACATGGAGGGAAGTTTCAATTTTTCATCTTGTGAATAATGAGAAATGGTGATTGTGTGGGCTGTGGGTACTGGGAAGTGGTTAGATCACGAACAACGTTATGTCCCATCTTAAAAACTGTAAGGGGTCGTTTGAATTAGGAACTTGGATTACGAGGAATTTGTGTCCAAATTCCTTATTTAAAAACCCAGGAAATTTAAATGAGAGATTTAAACCAATAACTTGTTTGTTTATAATTAAGGATTTTCAATGATAAAACGAAATTACAATTTTGCCGTCAACCTCTTCTTCCTAATTTCTTTCTTCATCGCAACCCAGAAACCCAGCCAGATTTGAACTGATGCTTCGTTTTCCAAGTTGAAAAATCAGCAACTTGTTCTTCTTCGTCAATCGCCATCGTCGTTCTCCCCAGGCCGTCAAACGAAGAAGAATCCCCTTTTTTCTCTCCTCTCTATACTCTTTCCAATCGGCCATCCCCAATCTTAATCCACATAACTCAATTGTCGATCCAGATCCCAATCCCCATTTATCATCCCCCGCGCCGCATATATCATCATCGTCATCAACCTATGGCTGCTGTTACTGGTAGTAGCAAAATCGATGACTGATGGGTGTGTGGGCTTTTGCCCTGTTGGAGAGTAATCGTCGCCGCCGCACGTTCTGTAACACCAGCCCTGAGAATTGATTGGTCGACGGCGGAGTAACAGCTTAGGAAGGAATCGCGGCCATCGTACGATTCAGATGAGCCACTGGGAAGCTCGCTAAGTCCTGTCGTCTTGTAACGCTGGCTACTGTGAATTGATTAGTCGGCGGCGGAATAAAAGCTTTGGGAGGAACGATGACCATCAGGAAGAAGGGAAGGATAAGGTTGGAAGAATAAAAACAGAAATGAGAGATTTTAAAATATTTGGGGTCCATCAGCTATTTAAAAAACCTGGATATGAGGAATTTTAAAATCTCTTTCACTCATAATCCCTCATATTCCCAAACGCATAATTCTGCCAAAATCCTGCAGGATGAGAGATTTTAACAAAATACTGCTCCTAAATCCCAGATCCAAACGACCCCTAAATATTTTCTTGTCTTAAATGTTTTTTCCGATATGAATATTTTATATTCCAAGTTAAATTAGATTGAAAACAATAGTATTATTGTGTTTTTTTTAGAAAGTGATCGCTTGCATTACCAAGAAAAAAAGTTACATCAAACTGACTTTCGAGCCCAGCCATGCCCGGATGTCAAACCCAACACTCCCGTAGTAAACAAATCCAGAGCCTTTTTGGCCATCAAGTGGGTCATCCTATTGTTCTGACTACCTACAAATTCTACACTATAACCAGCATTAGCCTCCAAAAGTTGACGAATTTCTTGTAGAATTTCTAGTAGTATTGTGTTGTATAAACATACATTGCACATTGCATTCGGTTATGATGCTGATAATGTCACATCGACGCTAGCTAACCCTTCTCATATAAAAATTTAATCGACATGAGTAACATTATATTTACGGGTCGTTTGATTTTGATGATTGTTTGGTTGAGATAGTTACGACTTACGATACATGTATTGTCCACAATGCATCGTTTTTTTTTTAATTTTCTGCACAAACAATGCATGCATTGTTTGCTTAAAATGACACAAACTATCACTCAAAATGACTGATAGTTAAATCTCAAATTTTGAGTGAGATTGTTGAGATTTTTTTATTGAGATTGTTGTGTGTTTTTTTCTTCCAACTTTGTCCCTACCTTTTTATGTGTCTTGCTTTTTATATTACAAATAAAGGGTAAAATTGACATTTCACCCAAAAAGTAAGATAACTTATTTAAATAACACAATAACTTATTATGCATACATTCATAACTATGCATCTATTTAAATATCATCAAAACCAATGCATCGTAATATTGTGAAATATTAGTCAAATGTGATTAGGTCATGTGTGGCAGTTCTAAATCAAATTTGTAAGAAAGCATGTAAATTATCAAAAAAATTCCTATTGAATCATCCACAATTCCCAGTACAACTACTCAACTAGCATATTTTGATTGTTGAGAAATCAGAATTCAGTGAAAAATATTGTGCATTAATTGAACGATGACAGATTTTTATAATAATTCTAATATAAATATGAAAAATACTTAACTTTTATAAATCTGATAAAAAATATAAATTTATTAATTTACATAACAATACTCATAATATAATATAATACTATTCGTACGATTCACACCCTAATAATGATAAGATATACCGACTAGGCCTGCCTCCTGAAAATTATCACCACCATAATTAAAAGATTCATGATTGAATTTATAGAACTTCAAGAATGAATTTAGAGATCAAGATTTGTAAGCATGATAATCAAGCCATCTATTGTATAAAATTCCCCTTACAACATTCTTCTCTAATCTCTAATTTCTTGTATGAATTTAGAGATCAAAATTTTCACGAATGGGAGTCGCTGCACATTCATCGGGGGAAGGATTAGAGTTCTGTCAGTGAAGATTTGATAGAGATCGGATTATTTTTTTCATTTTCATTTTAATTTTCTTAGGTCAAAATTAATAAAATTTTAAAATTAGAGTATATATAAATTATGAATTTTTAAAGCTGGTTTATGTTGATAAGACAGTGACATAGCAGCCTGAACGTTATTCGACGATGTCGGCCGTGCAACTTAATAGTTAACACTCGATTTAGGTCAAATCAACCATTTTGGGTGACAGTTTAGGCCATGATAAGAGTTTATGAAAAGATTGGTCACGATCGTAAATTAGTATAAAGTTCGGGCCAAATGAAAATATTAAACCAACTATAAATATAAAAAATTGATGCATTATTAACTATGCACACATTGTAACAATTTCAAGACTATCACCAAAAGTCCAAAATCAAAACCAAGCCTAACTTATAATTAGACACTAACCCCAAAGTAAAACATCATCTATCGATAACCTATTATAGGGGAGCACTCTTACTATGCTATAAATCATTGATACTTTAATGTACAATTTGAAGTTATACCATAACGTTAAATATATAAGTTCATGTTGTACCATAAATGAATTTGTACCCTTATGTTATGATTTTTTGTTTGTTTGTTAAGGGTGGTATAGTATTATTAAGAAGCAAAAATAAAGAGTAAGGTGCAACAAGGAAAGAAAAGGGTGGAAGGGAGGAGCAGCAGAACAAGAATTCGCAACTAACAGTGCTGAGGGGCGGCAACTCAAGCTACAACAAATACTAAGACTAACTGGGGAAAATCTTGCGCTTCAGCTCTTTTAGTCAAGTCGACGTCATTCGGAGATCCACCTTTTTTTGCTGTTGTCAACCACCAGAAAACATCATTTCCTTTCTAACCAATAGCTCAACAGACATCATGAATCGCAACCCTCGAGCACCATTGGCTTGGATCCTTCTATATCCCATGGCGCCAATGTCTGATTCTTTTCGTGATACAATTTTACAACTTAAAGTTGTAGCATCATATAAATGTACAAGTTTAAATTGTACCATAAAAGAATTTGTACAAAAAAGTATAGGTACAATCTAAAATTGTACTATTACGTTAAAGATACAATTTTAAGTTGCACCATAAAGAGAAAAACCTTATAATACCAATACTATACGACATTGTAAAATTCCTTTTTCTAGGGTGGGGAGTTGATATTGATGGGGCATATCGTTGTTGTGGGGATAGTCCAAACATCTCACACATATTGGTTGTGGCCATGGCATCAATTGAATACCCACAAACCTCATGTCATGAAATTCAGCGTTTTCTATATTTTCAAACTTCCTCTTCATACCCGCGCACTACCTCAAGAATCCGTTGATCTAAATTAATATCCTATTCTCCGAATAAGTAAACATTTTATTTCTATTCCTAATATAAAAATAATTCAAAATACAGACCCGACGTGACGTATAAAAGAAGAAAAACTATAAAGAAATGAGAAAAAAGGAAACCCCCAAAAACAAAAAACAAATCAGAGAACGACCCGGAGAGAAAGACAGATCATCATTCACTTCACTCTTCCACAAGTTCCAATCTTTATCATTCATTCACTTAAAAAAAAAACCGTTCCTTGCTACTACTCTTACTGCTGCACAATAATCATCATTTCATCACCATCACCAGTTCCCCCAATTTCCCCTTTCCTTTCCTTCTCTGCTCTACGCATCTCTTTTTAGATCTCTGTTCTCTACTCTACGGTTTGATGTGTACAAATGTGAAGCCTCGGGCGTAACGAAACAAGAGCCCTACCCATCAAAGCATTTTGCCCCATCGCCTCCCTTTTCTCATTTCCTGGGTTTGGTTCTGCTCATAGCCTAGCTAGCTTCTACCCCATTTATAATCATCGGCTGCAGTTTTGATTCTTTCTTGCTTTTTCAACTTCGAAAGACCAGAGACTGGTTTCCCTGTTTTGAGTTTTCTACCCAATAGTACCCCATTGGTAGAAACTTGAAAACTGTAAAAAAGAATCCGAGGCTACTAGTACTAGAGAGCGGGGGAAGTGTCAAGTGTGTTGCTGGGTCCTAGTTGAAGGCGGATTAGCTTTATTGGGTCTTTTGATTTTTGGGGTTTTTTGGGTTTCCCTTTTGGTGGGTTTTTCCTTTCTTCATAAAAGGTTTGGCCTTTCTCGCAATTTTTTACCAAATGCGACTTGGGTTTGTGAAAGGAGGAGAAGGGAGGAGCGTCCAAAGGAGCCTGTTGAGTTTTCTGTTCAGAGTGTGAAAGAACCATTTGTGTGTGTGGCTGGTTTGAAAATGGAAGAAATAAAGAAGAAGAAGAAGAAGATCAATGGTGGCGGTAGTGGTAGTGGGAGTGAAGAATCTACCAAGAAGAAGGAGAGGCATATTGTCACATGGAGTTCTGAGGTTTTCCATTCTATAACTTTGTTCTGATTTCCCCCGCCTGATTTTGTTCCTTTCCTTGCTGTTTGGTTGTAGAGGAAAGTCGACTTCTCTTCTTATTCTTCATCTCTTTTGATTATTCTCTTGTTGGGAATAATCGGGGCTTGTAAACTTGTGGTGGCTGCAGGAAGATGATATACTGCGCCAGCAGATAAACTTACATGGAACAGAGAAGTGAGAATCAGATGAAAGATCTTGTTATTTCTCCTTTCTAGCCTGTTTATGGAGTTCAATTGAAGTGTTCGACTAAGTGATTGAACGAGGCTGATCAGTGTTTTTTTTTTTTTTTTTTATTGCAGCTGGGCGATCATAGCATCTAAGTTCAATGACAAAACAACTAGACAGTGTAGAAGGAGGTAAATGAAATGATTACTTCTCCAACTGTTTGGATTATGCTCTGTTTAGGCTATGTACTTTTCTGTTTATTTAGGGAAAATGAGACTGAGAGTGTACTTCTCATTTTAGTTATTAGTGATAGTGACATCTGATTGATTTGTTACTGCAGATGGTACACTTACTTGAATTCCGATTTCAAGAAAGGCGGTTGGTCTCAGGAGGAAGACTTGCTCTTGTGTGAGGTAAAACTCCAGAATTTCCATCTTGATGGATTAAGGTTTACTTCATGAAGGAAATCCATGGTTTCATATTCCAAGAACTAAATGCTGTTTGTATCCTCTAAATCAAAAGTTTAACTGGCTTTTGTCCAAGTTTTGCTGATTGTCATGTAGATATTCTCTCTGGTGTTAATATATGATCTGAGATAGAGGGTGGTTATCCGGTTTTGGTCTGACGATTGTGAATCAATTTGCAGGCTCAACGAATATTTGGTAATAGATGGACAGAAATAGCAAAGGTTGTTTCAGGCAGGTACTGAACAGTTTTCTAGATTTTTCTCTTTGTGCACATTCCAAATGGAAGATGTTCCTTGTGGCAGTCTGCTAACAATGTATCTCTTATTGCAATCGACCTTTTTGTGGTTTATACAGAACGGACAATGCTGTGAAGAACAGGTTCACAACCCTTTGCAAGAAGAGAGCAAAATATGAAGCATTGGCAAAAGAGAATGAAACTGTATTTTGCAAGTCGAACAACAAGAGAGTCTTATTGGATGACAAGGTTAACACTGATAGAAACCCAGAAATTGCAGGACCTGCCAAGAGAACTAGGTACGGTGGAACATCTGAAAAATTTATGCATTTGTGGTTCCATGGCCAGTTTGCAGCACATCTGTTGAAGTCTTCTTTTTTGTCTTTGTTCAAACTCAGGAGGTCCCACATTCCCAATGAAATGGAGGCCCGAAATCTTGGAGATAGATCACACCCTAAACAGGCCAGGCCCCCATTTATGGTGTTGGCTCGGGATGCGCATAAAGTTAATGCTGTTAATCAGCATCCAGTCATCAATAACAAGGACGTTTCCCCTGGTGGTAACATTCTTCTGCAGAAAACCTCCTTTCTTTAGTTCAATTGAGCTTTCTTGATGGCCAGTCAGGTTATGTTGAGTATACTGGTAGTAATTTTCTTTAATCCCAAAATGTTTAGCAGCTCTAAGTGGTAACACTCAAGGAACCTTTCTAAAAAAAGATGATCCGAAGATACAAGCCCTGATGCAACAAGCAGAACTTCTCAGTACGCTGGCGCAGAAAGTCAATACAGAGAACACCGACCAGAGCCTCGAACATGCTTGGAAGGTAAGCTTTTTCTTCCAGCTAGTGAGCTAAATCCTATTATGTCCATTTCATTCACTACCAAAGAGCACATTCGTTAACTGAACGTGTTATGCAGGTACTCCAAGACTTCCTGAAAAAGAGCAAAGGAGATGAGATCCCGAGTTACACGATTTTCGACATTGATATCCAACTTGAGGATTTTAAAGACTTGATAGCAGAGCTAAGGAGCAGCAGCGATGGAAGTCATCCATCTTGGAGGTAACCAAAAAAATTTGAGGTTGATAATTTAGTATTCAGATTGAGCAGTGTGTTCCTAAAAAGAGAGCTTACCAGTTACCTCAATCAATACAAATGTTGCAGGCAACCTGATCTATATAAAGAATCTCCAGCTAGCTCTGAGTTCAGTACAGGCTCAAGTCTTATGCCGTACTCTGCTCCTGATGTAACAACAGAACAACCTCATAGTGAAATCGAGACGCTGCACAAGGATGTTGGAAGTGATTTGGAAGCAATGCATGTCGAAGGACAGGAAGTTGTTGAAAGTGAATGCCACAAAGAAATTGCATCTGGGGATAACATAGCTGAAGGTAAGCAACAGATGAAGAAAAGCAAAGTTGTCAAAAGTACCTTAGTTCCCATCCATGATAGCCTATGCTGATGAGATGTGTGACAATTTTCAGGGGAGCTGTTTCCATCATTTGAAGACCAAACAAATGACGACATAGTTGTTTCCTCTTCATCGAGTACAGAGTTTGGCTCCCCTCGTCAAGTTACCCCATTGTTCAGATCCTTGGCAGCTGGAATTCCTAGTCCCCAATTTTCAGAAAGTGTGAGTTGATTATATTGATTCTCTTAGTTAGAACTGCATCAGGTCATCTCCTATTACCTAAATGGTTGGGGACGGGTCTCACGGAACCTAAACACTTCTATATTAGGTCAGGCTACTACTGTCACCTAGGTTTGAGAATGCCGTTAGTTGGTTCTAGGGATTTTGATATTCTGAGCTTGCTGTATATAAGAGGCAGTAGTGCTGCCTGAAGGTCATTGAAGTTTCATTTAAAGGTTTATGATTAAAGGACTTCCTCACCCTAGTCTTGGTTCCTGAGGGTTTATTCAATATAGCAAGTTTCTTATATAGATCTAGACTCTACCTAGATTGATTATGATAAGACTATCACTTCCTCCTCCACCCACCACACAGTGCATTTTCTTATGTACCAACTTCACTCTCATGATTGCCACCCAATATCCTGTTTACATGACTCTAACATCGATATTGAAATCTTCAGGTCCTCCTCTCATTTTGATCTTTGTTGATTTTCAGGAAAGAAGATTCCTGCTGAAAACTCTTGGAGGGGAGTCTCCTTTCTCTAATCAAAGCATCAACACCTCTCAACCACCTCCCTGCAAAAGAGTCCTCCTCCAAAGTTTATGAGATTGAGAATCGCCATCAATCTCATATGCACGACATGGTCTATCCCCATTCCTAATATCTTTATTCATCACATAGAGAACCTGGTTTCTCAACCCCACCTCCCAAAAAAAAAAAAAAACCTGGTTTACCTCAAAACAGTCATTATATTTGCTTTACTAGGGGTGCAGCTATCCTGGCCGAAGTTTTATCCATCGGCAAGTCGAGATTACTGCATCCAAAACCCCATGTCTAGAATGTGAAGGATGCATTCTAGCCAGCTCAGGACACATACCAAGAAATGTGACTCGAGTACAATTTTTCATATTGGAAGTACTGTAGGAGAGTGCTACCATGGAAGAAAGGCGCCCCCACCCCCTGTGATTGCTAATAGTGACATTCTTTTGATTTTTGCTGCTCGGATTTCGGTAGTTGGGCTACCGCAAATCCAGTTTTCGGCCTTTGATTCATCATCATATGTACAGAAATCTTAGTACTACTACTATATATGCCTGTAGTAAGAGTGTAATTAGACATCGGCATCTCGCCTATAAAAGAGTAGAGAGAAGAAACATAGAAAAGAAGGAAAAGAGAGTAAAGGAGGATTAACTAGCTGATTGGATTCCTATTTTTTTAGTTTTTGGTGTGCATAGGGTATAGAATAAGTTATTTTTCCCATGTTTTCTTTTTTTAGTTGGTCTTCCTTTACCTGAATTCTGATGTACCAGAATAGAACCTTGGTGGGATTTGAAAATGGAAATGTCTTCCTGGTTTTGGTGTGCATATTTTATCTCTCTTCATCAATTCTATTACAAGTTTTTATCTTTACTGCAATCAAACTCGGATGAGGAAGAAGATTCAGACTGCAACAGAGCTCTCTTCAGAAACAAGAAAAATTCGAATGTAAGTTGGTTACATCGCATTTACCTGACTTGAGGTCATTCCTCCATGTCCTTTCTCTCCAGTGTCCCATGAAACCAGAATCTTTTCCTTCTGCTTTTTCACTGTAAAAGGAAGAGAGGAAAGTAAGAAGTAAATAAGAAGGGAAGAGAAAGGGCTAGCTTCACTTGTGCTTCAGAGATGGGATTTGGCCACTAAAAAAGCAGAAGAACAGTTTGGCCAGAATCTCTGCTCCTCCATCCATCTCTCTGCATTATTCCTGAGCTTTGCTTCTATGGGAAAGTCCTGTGGGGGAGAAGTGAAGAGAGGGTCCTTGTGGATTCTGTTGTTTAGGAAGGGTTTGTAGTAGTGGTGGGTGATGGTGGAGGACAAGTGTAATCATATTGTTCAAAGCTAAAAGCAAAGAAAGAGAGGGAACCGCATACAAATTAAAGCGTTTACTCATTGATTGGCTTCTCCTTTCTTGAGGTTTACCCTTTTGACCGTCTTCAGTCTTGATCATATATATTACAGGATGTGATATCTGAACCACCAAGCAATATCCTTCCTGGTCACCCCTTCCAATTCACTGGCCCATATCCATAACGCACTTCATACATGTTTTCACTTATGATATATCCTACTTGGCTGCAAGATCAATCAATAAATAAACACGTCGTGCGAATAAGGATTTGGTCCAGTGGTATATTTGGTACGATCTGGTCATTTCTGGCAATTGCTAGCCCTGATCTGCGGTTGAATCACGATCCATTGTACTGACAGTCTGAAATTCTGCTCTTATTTACCAGACATGTAGTTGAAATGATTAGTGGCCTATTGGCAATTCGGTGGCTCTTTGAAGTTAAAAACGTCTCCACCATAGCAAATTTATGATGACAATAACAAAAAGGCAAAAAGAGAAGTGGTAGCCAGGGTTTCTTTCTACAGCCTTTTTTAACTGCAGATGGTGAAAAGCATCTTCTTCCCCATATATTAAAACCACTACGAACAGGCTACCAGAACAGAGTTACTTCAATTCTCTATATCAATGAAGTGTATTCAATTTCAGTTACACTTGGCAGTAATCTAGTTGTGGTTCTACATTTCATACCAACCTGGAAGCTACACTGACAATATAACAGGGCAGTGAGAACAAAGTTACAAAAGAAAAATTGAAGAGAAGAAGGTAGATCTCCAAAACTGTAGAATTCTAATGGCATCAATTGTTCTTTCTCTTCTTCTGCACTTTCTGCAACTTCCTCCACTTGAGAAAGATCTGATACGATAGACCAGAGAAGACCATGGCCACCGACCCCCATTGCTTCGTCGAAAGAGGGTTGCCACTTAGTACGGAAGAAACCACGATGCTGACGAACTTGCGAGTAGTTGTGATGGTGGTGTTCGCGAGTGATCCGAATCGGCTTATCGTTAGGAATATGAAGTTCTGGCCCACTGCACCACACAGGCAGTAGTACAAGATGTCCCATGCTGCCTCTGGATGCTGCTTACAGAACTGCACTGCATCATACCCCATGCCGTATGGCCAACCAAACATGTAGACAATGTTGTAAATGGTACCCCACAAGTTCATCCCCAACATTATGTCCCATGCCGTGGTCTTCGGATACCTGTAAATAATACAATGTGCAGTTGAGACATTGAACATACTATGCATGATATGAAAGCAATCAACTTGAGAGGGTTCGATTAGTTAGGCAAGCATTTAACGTACCTTGCTGTAAGTGAATCCTGCGTAGCATTTGTGAATCCATCAAATGCAAGGTTCAAGAAGCAAAGTCCATACCCAAGAGGTGCATTTGGATGAGCTAGCTTGCTAATGGTTTTTGAGCTAGTCTGAGATAGAAAAGATCCAGCAACCGGTATGAGAGAGAAGCAGCATCTTTCAGTTTTTTTCATAAAAGCATAACCACTAATATGGCTCTAAGAACTTAACTGTGATAATTTCTCACCTTCAAAAGTGCAAAGGTAGATACACCTCCTGCAACGAGGAAAGTACACAAGTACTCTGGAAGTGTGTATCTTATGCCATATACTAGACTCCCCATCAACATAACTGCACAAAAGGAAAAAAACCTCTTAGTTACGAAGGTAAATCGTCACCCTTTGATCGTAATTTTTATTTTGAAAGTACAAATGTCGGATCCCTAGAAGGAGAGCTGCAACTCTGGCATATGAGTCGAAGGGTAGAAAGATCACCAGCACTTTCAGGCGAGAAACATAACTAGACAAATTTTGAAAACTTTACAAAATAGTGAAAGATACCCAAATGTTAAAAGCCAACACGACTACAGATTCCTTGGCAAAGGCCAGTAAACACTGAAACCAGAGCAGACATAACAGAAAGCATCACTTGGTAAGAAAAAGTCCCACCTGGAATCATTTTCGATGATTTTGCAAGAACCTGCAAAAACGAGGACTATTGTCACAAACCAAAACAAATTGATGCCAACATTTCTGATAGACTACTCAGAATCCACTACTAGGACCATGAAGTTGATGTAAGCCAACATGAAAACCACGTAACCGAAACCCGTAAAGAGGAATTGAATACAAAGCAATTCGGTTGTGAAACCATTAACTTAAGCTAATTCTGATTCTCTTTCCTAAACTCTATATACGAATGCAGAAAAAGTAGGAGCCGTGAAGGATCAATCACAAAGCATTACCAACACCATGTTAAAAGAGCTTCTACTTTTCCCCATGTTTTCTCCAAGTAGCACAGCTCCAAATCCAGGAAAGATAAACTTTCAGAAATAGAGATAAACAGGAACATGCCTGAGCTGGATAACTGATGTACTTCAAGGCTTCAATTCCCATAGCTGGCCCAATCGTATTAGTAATGCCAGCGCTCCAGTATGACCACCAGGGCGCACCACCACCGCTGCTTCTAGACCACATCTTTATCACTGCAAAATTCAACCCACCACGACACCAAATTATCAGAGCTCCAAAAACCCACCTATTTCCCTTGACATTATCAAAATAGCGAGCAGCACGAAATGGAGGAATTACTCACTCATGAAGGACCAAATCAAGCAGACGACACTCTGTGCCAGATTAAGAAACGCCAGATGCTCAAACCGCTCCCCATCAGGACCAAAGCGCTTGGTCGACCTATTCGCAGCAAGTAAAAGAGAAGCCTTTAGCTTTACATATCATCAAACCTATACTTCCAATCGCTCCATTACAGAATCCCAAATCCCGATCCTTAACTTGCAGCACCAATCGACAATGCTCTCATTCCTTGCACAAATTCAAATCGCAAAAACAAAGGTCGGGAAACATTTTGGGAAAGTTTTTTTTAAGCAGCTTACAGAGTCTCCTGAACAACTCCTTGGTATATATAAGCCGCCCAGATCCCGGCGATGCAGAACGCCAACAGAATCACGCGGCGGAGCCCGGCGCTGTGTGCCTCCATTCTGCCGCCGCCGGTCACCGAAGATCCGGTGATCCTCTCTCTTCGATTCCTCGGCGATCTTCTGCTACGAGAATATCGAAGGGGACTGAGCAAGTGGCAATGGTAGGAGTATACCGCAGATCGAAGGTCTGAGAAGGGTGAACTATCGGGGCAAAAATGATACTACACCTTCAACGACCAAACGGCGAAGTATTTTCTCGGGGGATTTCAACCGCGAAGCAACGTCGATGTGCCCACGTGGAGGTTTCTTATTGGGCTGGTGACTTCAGCAACGTATCCTCATTGGCTGCAGAGACGCGGTCTGTTTTCGTGCCCAAAAAGCGTCGTTGACGTTTTGCTAGTGATGGCAATGGCCGGGCGGGTACCTCAATTCCTATGACCCGCCCCACGTTACAACGGGGCGGGTAAAACCCGTGCGGTTATAGGGAGGCGCGGGTCGATCCATTTTTACATGTTATTCGAAAAAATACAAATAAATTTTACTTTTTACAATAAAACGAAAGGTAAAACACTTTAAGAATGAAAAATAGTGATAATAGAATGTGTAATTGAGTCTAACAAGTTGAAAGAACGACTCTAACTAGTTGAAAAAAAGTCAAAATAGGAGAAATATGTATAGAAATTGTAAGAAATTGAGATAAAATAAGTCTAGAACGGGGCGGGGCAGGGCAGGACGGGGCGGAAGTAGATAGCCATACCCCGCCCCACGCTACTGCGGGTCGGGTAATACCCGTCCCATCGCGGGTCAGGTCGGGTAATACCCGCAGGGTGGGTTGAAATTGCCATCACTACGTTTTGCCCCCCACTACTGGTGGGGTTGTCGGATTAATTTGCCGTTTCTCCCAGTGACTTACCAACTCTTTTGGGCCGGGGAAAGTTGTTGGATTTGCGGAGCCCAGCCCATAGCAGATTGGTAAGATAGGCGTTTCTCTCTGTTAAATTGGTTTTGCCGAACTAGTCGGGTATCGCCGAAGGAATTTATCCCCTCGGTCCTCCATTCCCCGAGTGGACAATGGGAAACGGGTATTTGGATTTACTCATACCTATCCCATTTTTTGAAAATTACGGGTACTTAAATACTCGTAATTTTTTTACGCGATGAAACTTGAGATCAAGAAATTCTTTAACGGGTATCCACGAGTTACCCGTTAATACCCGCCCATAGCCCAACCCAATGGGAACTTGTTGAATTCATAGCTATTGTAGCTGCTGAGTACACATTCCGGCTGGAAGGTTTGTGTGATTTACTGCTTCAGTTTACCAGCTATCTATTCCAGTAGTTTATCTTCAGTGGGTTTTGGGGCAGGACTTTGAACATGTGATTGAATATGTTGCAGGGTAATGAATGGACCTGTAGTTTCCGTTGCGAGGGAGTTTGGTTTTGAAGGGAGTCCGTCATTTGAAATACTTGTGGTTGTGGATGCTGGCGAACATTTCAGATTGCTATGGTTCCATTGATTCTTGGTACAATCGTGATGTAATTTAATTTTGCAATTAGTTTGTATAACACAGGCTTCATTGAAATTAATTAGTCATCTTGTTCATTGTTTCCTTTGAGTTTGCGGGGAACAGTTCGATAGGACAGTGCACGAGAGCACTCGTTTGAATACATAATTGGTGGACCATTTCTGGTTGGCCTTGCGATTGAAGATGATTGTTTCGTCCGCGGGTACCCGTTATACATCCCGTACGGGTAATGGATACCCGTTAACCCGTAGGGGTTTGGGACATGCGATGGAGTTTTCTCAACAAATGGAACTGGGTACCCGTTTCAAACGTGACGGATCCCCAGTCTCATCCTATTGCCCACCCCTACCTCCCATCCCTTTCCACATGACTGGGTATCAGTCGATAGCGTTTACTGAATCCTTTCAATTTAAATGGTTGGTTCTGTCAAAATAAGCCAACCTTAAGTATGGATTGAGATTATTCTCTTGTTTATTGTAATGAAAGCGAGTTGGGGTTTGCTAGTCGTTCAATATGTCCATCTACTTTGAAACGATGTATTCTATGGAATCTATTCATTACCTGTCGATTAGCTACTATGATAGAGTTGGATAATATCATTAATCACTATGAAAGAAAATTTTAACACTAGGTGGCCGAGAATTATGTACTCTTTGTACAACGCCTACCAGATTTTACAAGTCATTTGTTTGCTATGAAGAATATGAAAATCCCGCAATGCAGCAGTTTTTGAGGATACTCAAATATTGTCATATGTTCTCGCTGCTCAATTCAATCACCAAGTATAAGAATTCTCCCCCACTCATCCATATGTTCTTCCTCCCCCATCACCGGTCGTTCCTACATACATCGCATCCTGACCTCCAACTCCTCCTGTTCACCTCAAACTCAACTTCAACGCTTCATCCTTCTCGAGGTAGTGCTACGGGCTTGGTGTTGAAGTCTGCCGACAACTGTGCATATCTCGCTATTGGATTTCAACGCCTCCATGGATTCACACTAGAAGGGGATTATGAAGTCTTCATTCGCCAGCTACTCAGAGGGATAGTGAAAGATGCAATTGAAGATCTGGTGCTCAGAGAGTGCTATAAGATGATTGCTGCTCTAGAATTAGGCTTAGAGCTTTGTGCGATCCTTAGGATCGCCAATCAGGTTGCCATTGTGTGGCGAGAAAAATCATTTCTGTCTGGTTTAGAGTTGCTTTCATTTGATTTTATTGTTTGGGTGGGAAGAGATATATGATAGCTAGATTCTTTTCTGCATTCAATTGTCATATCTTAGATAATAAAAAATCACTCATGCAACAAATTTCAAATTGGGGTGAATGTTTTTCAATGCCACTATAAAGTAATGTGTAGAAGTGGCCTGAAGAGTTTCTGAAAATAACTTATTCAAGTTTATGCAGTTTTAGTGGACTTGAGATTAATTGTTAATTTCTATTAAATATAATTTGAAGAAGAATTTCCCACCATATTTTGGAATAACGTTTATGTGAGTTTTTATTACCTTTTATGCATCAACTATGTTCCTACCATCAAGAACTAGATGGTATCCGACACATTGGTCGGAATGTTATTTGAATGTGATGTATTTGTGATGTACATTTTAAATTTTTCAAAATATTTGAAAAGTGTATTTCTACCCATTAGCTAAATTAATTGTTAAAATTCAATTAAATAATAAATATATGAAAATTGAAATATCAAACTCCAAAAAGATACCGACGAAATATTTCGTGGGGCTAGTTAAGCCTAGTGGAAAATCATTCATTTTTAAGATTTAAGATTTTTGTATGTTTTTAGTTGAAAATAATAATCAAATTCATTTAGTATAATTGGTAATGATTTATGTCCTTATTATCTATGTTTGGCACGGCTTTTAGAAGTGATTTTCGAGTTCAAAAGCTGAAGCAGAGCCAAAAAATGCTTTTGTATAACATAAAAGCAGAAGCTCCGATTTGGAGCTTCTGCGAAAAGCTGTTTTGAAAATACAAGATTATCCTTATCATATTTTAATTTTATTTCAGAAAATATAATTTTTCATCATTTACATCATTTTAAAAATAAAATAAATTATAAAATCATATTATTTAATATAAAAGAAATCTAACAAGATCCATTTTGACTACTTTTTATTGTTTAGAATTTTTATTCATATTTTATATTATAAAGTCCTTTATAGTCATTTTATACAACCTCTTATATTAAAAAACACTTCTAATAGTTTTACAGCCAAACACTCAACTACTTTTATTTAAAAGTACTTATCTACAAGCTCCACCCAGAAGTTGTTTCTGTAAAAGCTATATTAGGGCCAAACTAAGCTATTAAAAGAGATCATGATTCAAATTTCAGAATTGAATAATTTTATTCTTATGAATAAATAAAATAACTGTAACATCAAATCTAATCTTTCTATTTCCACTATCTTACTCTTTATAGATGATGATGATGTTTGTCAGTATTTTCAATTTAAAAATCAAATCACGCCTTAATACCAAATTCTAAGAATAGGGCTTGGACATGTTCATTTCGGGCCTTGATGGAGGTTGGGCCAAGTCCTTTGCAGTTTTGTCATCTGTAGCGGGATATGTCTACCTCCAAAGTCCAAACAGGTCCAGCCCAACACCACGATGATTTCTTTATTATATGTCACTATTAGTTTCTCTTTAAACTTTCCGAAAATGGGAGAGAAACGAAAAGAGAACGAAGGTTTGACAGCAAACCGGCAAAATTCCGATCAGCGGAACGTTTAAAGAGTGTCAGTTGCAGAGCTCTATTGACCTCCTCCAACAGTCAATTTCGCTTGCCGGAGATGTTTGCCTCTGAAGATATATAGGTAATTCCAATCGTTTCCGATTCTCAGTTTCAATTCTAGCTGATGCTTATGATTCCCTCCTCCTTAAATCTCGACCTAACTCTGTTCGCCCTAATTCATTCAGATTTGGACAATGAAGGTTGGGGTGGAGTTGTTCAGTTGTTGAAAGGGGCAAAGAGAGAGGATTTTTTTTTTATTTTGAAGTTTATTGTGCGTTCATATTTCGCATTCTGTGTTGTTAGGAGAAAGAAACAACGACAGAATGGTGCTGGTTTTAGCTATAGGGGACCTTCACATACCCCATAGGGCGGCCGATCTGCCTCCAAAATTCAAGTCCATGCTTGTTCCTGGCAAGATTCAGCATATAATTTGCACTGGCAATCTCTGTATCAAAGTATGCATACCTTGGTTCTCTCTCAGTTCTTCCATTCTTCCTAACACTCTATTTCTGAGTTTGACTTGTATTGTTGGTTCTTCATCTTTAATTTGCCTGCTACGGATTTCCTCCCAGTGTAAATGCCGTTCGTTATCCATATGTGCTGTTTGTTATTAGATAGATAGGTGAAGTCATGTTGCAGTCACATAGTTCAATGTATTTGCTGGTTTGAACAGTTGATTCAGAACTTCTAATGGTTGTGTTGTTCCGTTTTTGATGAATTTTGTGTTATGCTGACTGAGAGATTCCACATTGACGGCCCATTAGTCTGTTTTCAGTGGAAGACAGAATTACCTGGTGGTTTGCATAATTGATGGTATGTAGTATTTGGAAGACGGTAGGGTTTCAAATGAGTCTTTTCTTCTGGAATCTCCAAAGGTTTATGGGTGCCTATGGATCTCTGGGACTAAATACTGTTTCAGCTGCTCTGCTTTGCATTGCTTTGTCTCCGAGATTATATTTTGGAACTATTAGATCCATGTTTCCGCAGATGTAATGATATTTCGGATGTGAATCCTGCTTTTGAAATTCCTTCTCAAGTCATTTATAGCTGGTCATATTCTCTTTGCTAAAATACTTGTAATTCTTATTAGCTATTGTTCTGTGTGACTTTCACGAGCAGGAAGTGCATGACTACTTGAAGAGTTTGTGCCCTGATTTGCATATCACTAGAGGTGAATATGATGAAGACTCTCGCTATCCAGAGACTAAGACACTAACCATTGGCCAATTCAAGCTTGGAATATGCCATGGCCATCAGGTTCGCTCTCTACCGCTGTTGCATAATTGCACTTCATTTATTAGCTGATATTTCTCAATTTGACAAGGGAAGGCTGGGGAAGGTAGGATCTTAGAGGGTACTAAAAATGCTGAACCAATTTCATAGCTGTGTTTCGTCTGCTCCTCGGAATCCTTATATTCCATGGTTAATGCTCTGAAGGTTATTCCCTGGGGAGACTTGGATTCACTGGCCATGCTGCAAAGGCAGCTCGATGTGGACATCTTAGTGACTGGTCACACACATCAATTCAAAGCCTACAAACACGAAGGAGGTGTTGTCATCAATCCAGGCTCTGCCACTGGCGCTTACAGTAGCTTCACCTATGATGTGAATCCAAGCTTTGTGCTGATGGACATCGATGGTCTACGTGTCGTGGTGTACGTATATGAATTGATCGATGGCGAGGTCAAGGTCGACAAGATTGATTTTAAGAAGACCGCCAATCCTCGGTGATTAAACATGTTGAGAATGTAGATTGGAGCCCATTGAACCAGAAGGAAGCGGGGCATCTGGATGAATAAACAGGTAGCGTACTTTCAACGTTTGTTCTCTCACTGTTCCTGAGTTGCGAGACTTGATTAGGGTTCAGCGGTGTGGTGTGTACCTTCGTATATCCATTCTCTTTTGTCGTCTCGGTATTTCGAGTGTTTGGCAGAGTAAATGTACTCTGTTCTTTCTCTTACAAAACTTTATTTCCAACTTCATGAACTGAATGGATGTTCAACAGGAGTAGACCAGAGGTATTAAGAACAGGTTGAACTGAAATGGGGATTTAATCAACTTGAGTTTAATGTATTTCTATTAGTTTCTTGTCCTCATATTTCCTCACAATTTCAATTTGCTGCTGTTTGTCAATTTGGTGGAATATTAAGTCTTCTACTGGGGATTGAGGCTTCTAAGTTCTAACAGAACTAACCTTCTTCCTTAATACGAAACTCTAGCACGGTATGTCTACCAGTTCATCTGCTTGGTTGTGGTGTTGTTTAATTATGTTTTTGTACGAAATCATTTGTTATAATTATGTTGCTAGCTGGGGCAACCATCAAAGAAGAGTCTTTACCAATTACAGATGTTCTCTAAGTTTCAAACTCAATTCGATTAGCTTGCTTATAACCATAGGCGTAAGCACGTGCTTATGTCGTTTGATTGGATGCCTAGCAATTCGATGTTATCAGATGCACACGATGTCTTATTTGATTGGCGTGCTTACAACTCTTAGCCTAAGTACATACTTAAGCCGTTAGATCCGTTGTCTAACAATCCACTGTCACCAAATGACGATCACGATGTACATATGATAACCGTGGTTTCATGGATGCTTCATCTAACCGCGTAAACACATGCTTGTACCTCCATGGCCAAATTCAGTCCCGGGCTCTGTCTCCTTTTGATTGCAGTCCTGATTTCTCAGGGCTCAACTAAGATAGACCAAATTGGAGGTAATGGTACGAAAACAAAATATATATAATTAAAGCAACAGGATTGCTGCTGCGGCAATCAAGCTTCTGCAAGTCCGTCTGGAGCTATTCCTTTTCCCTCCTCCGTGGGAAACTTGGGGGCCAAGCAAACCCTCTTCATCCCAAAGTTCCCAACAAATCAAATAATAAATACCCCTGCCGTCATTTCACCAATCGTATTCCCCTGTTTTCCGCTTCGTATTTCTGCCCTTCTCTCCTCCCAGCCCACCCTAAACAAGAAAAATCCGCCCCCGCCGCCGCCGAATATGGAGACGAATTACGTCTACGCCTCAGTAGACATCGAGAAAATCGGCCCCTCCCCACGGCGGTGCCTCCGCCGCCACCCACCATCCCAATCATCGTTGTCTTCCTGGACTCATCTCAAATTCACATTCTCCTACCAAGTCCACCACTTGCTCGTCCACCAACCGGAAGTCGGAACCCCGACCCTCCTCCGCCGCTCATCCGACCCCGCCGTTTCCAGATCCCTCTGGCTCGGTACCACCGGGGCGTTCAGTAAACGCCCCCACGCGCTCTACGAAGACATCGCCTCAGTCTGGTGCTCGCTCGGGATAGACGAGCGGTTCCACCACCAGCTGTTCGAGAAATTGGTCGCCGAAGTCCGCGACGCAGCGGATTGCGTTTCCCCCAAGCTTATGTTTCTGCCGCTCCGCGTCGCTGTTGTGAGGGATCACCTGGTTTTGCTAGACGACGGCGACCCGATTGCGGATGTTGGCGAGGAAGAGGAGGTGGAATCCGTCTGCTCGGTCGATTTCACACCTGAGTAATCCTGACGGCGGCGGAGAGTTTGATTTATTGGCTTTTTATTTTTATTTTTGCGGTTTCCTTGGCGAGAAGAGGCCTCCATGGAAAGAAGCTTAGCTTGCTTGATGTTTTACAGGGTACGCTTTCTGTCAAGCGGAAGAGTGCTAATTGGGTAGATTTGTGAAGCCATTGACAGATTGGTGACCGCATTCTTGTTAATCTTTCCTATTGACTAATTAATTGGGGTTTAATTATCTTTTGCCTCTTTGGTTTAGCCGTACTTGTAAGTTGCAACTTTCTAAGACCTCTGACTATGCGCAATAAGATCGTGTATGAAATATTTTGGTTGTGTTTGTGGCTCTGATTATCTGATTATATGCGTATATGAGTTTTGAGTATTCTGATGTGTTCATCGATCTTTCAACAGGTTTCATCAAGCATGTTTTGGGCGTGCCAAACATTAAATTATAGCCATAGACGTAAGGGTGGGCAGTCTAGCCGGCTGAACAGCTCCAAATCCGTCCGGCTATGAGAAGTAGAAATTCGAGGTCTCCACTAGATATCGAATAACATCGTCCACATAATCCCTGTAGTTGGGATCGTTGTGAGCATTAGTGCCGGCTGATCATATGGCAGCAGAGTTGCAGAACCAGCAGCAGCCATTGTTATACAGCCCTGCTGCCCCGTAGTTTCAGAGAGATGTTAGTACCCATTGGCAGAGTATTCAGAAGGGTAAGGCGCCATTGTTGTATTATTACTGTTTGGGTGAAGCTAATTGAGTGCTTTTTAGTTATTATCCTTTGGAGTTTGTAGTGAACCCTTTTGATGCGGACTGTGTGCTTGCCAATATAAGCATGTTGTTGCTGTGGTCTGTGACTGTGAGTAGCTTGCCAAGGAAGATTGACTAGCTAGCGGCTTCTGAAAGAAAAATTCTCATTTTGACTGTTCGGCAGTCTGTTGATGAGTGCAGGAACAAGGCGATAACTTTCTCACAAGCGAGTGAGTGTATAACGTTAACGGTAACCTTGCTACACCCGAAATTCACCCTAGCGGACCCTGGAAGGTAAAGGCTCCTACTTGGCCACAAAACTAAATGAACTACTCGATGCTACATTACTAACCTAGCACTAACACTGAAACAATCCACAACCCATAACATAAATAGTTCAACATATAACACATAAATTCCCGAAGCCCAAAGGCTTTTATTCCCATCATCAATCTAAATGCTAATCCGTCTGGTTCGTATGGACCGGGACATCGGGAGTTTCAACAATCGCTTTACACGTGGTCTTCAATATACGACATTGCTTCAGTTAGCCACTGCAAATTAGCCAACCTGCTAATTGAGCGGCTCAACATTCAGTTTGAAAAAAAAAAAACTCGTTTGACACTTGGGTTGTTTACTTACGAGTCGATTTTGAGCCAATTCTTCTTGTTCGGCTCTCAAGGCTGGTGAGCCAGCCCGACTCGATTGCTTGTGGAGCTCCACTAGTTAGTTAGCTCGTTTTGAGCAATGAGCTGCTCAATAGTATGGCTAGCGAACCACGTCAACTAGCAAATTATGAGCGAATCGATTAATAATTTATCATTTTCTTGTTGATAATTCATAAGTTTGTTAGATTAAATATCTCCCCACACATGATGTTTAAGAATTTGAGCACGTGATCAAATATGTCTCATTCATAATTTAAAAGAGAATTATATATATCATATATTGCTTAGATACGAATTAGTAATTACTATTACATTATATTACATGATATGAAAATAAAAAATTATAACACTAATCAACTAAGTGATATAATACCTTAATTAGCTCGAGCTAATATCACGATATAATCGATGAGCCGAGTTCGAGTCGAACTCGTGCCATATACAAGATCTGGTTTTAGTAAACAAGCCAACATCAAACTCGACTAGTTTATAAACGAGTTGAACCTGACTTAGGTTAAAAACTTGGCTGGAATCGACTCATTTGTAGTCCTAGGTGCGAAGGGTGGGCAACTGTTCGATTCGGTCCAGATCAACCTAATTTCACGAGAACCGCAGTCCAATATTGAAAGATATTTTAGAATCAAGAAGCAAACCGACAATGCATTCAGTGCGGTTTGCTCCAGTTAGGGTAGCAAATGAGCCGAGCCGAGTCGAGTTTTACCTCAGCTTAAGCTTGGCTCGTTAACAAACGAGCTGAGCTCGAGCTCAAGCCATTTATTAACGAGATGAGTAGAGTTGAGCTCGAGCTAGACTTGTTTAGTAAAATATTGAGTCGTATTTGATAGCTCATTTTGAATGTCATGTATGATACATGTGATTGATGTCACGATGAAAAAAAATAGTCAAATGCTCAATATTAACTAATTTCATATTCTACTTTGTTGGTATCATATTATGTAGCTAATCACTTTTAACTAGTCCAAATTATGTTATTTAACAGTATCAAAGTAATATGTGATATATAAAAAATAATATATATTTGCTCACATACTCAGTGTGTTAAACTTCATATAGGTGAGATATATAATTTAACAATCATACTAATTAAACTCATAAGATATAGATCGATTCACACATAAGTCGGTAATCAAGTTGGCTCTCTAGACAAATGGTGAGACATCTCATGAGTTCTAAATGAGTCAGCTCACGAGTTTAACTCAACAAGCCACCGAGTCAAGCTAGCTCGCGAGCTTCACGAGTTTAACAAGACTTAGCTCATGCTCGGATCGTTAATAAATAAGCCGAGTCTCGAAAAACTTTTCTCGAGTCGAGCGCCGAGCCGCTCGCGAGCAGTTCGACTCATTTGCGGCCAGTGGCGGACCCAGGATTTTGGGATAGGTGTGTCGACCAATAAAATTAGATTAAAAACAAATTAATTAACATTAATTAATCTACACAATAAATAAAAGCCAAATGAGAAAACTTGAAGCCCTATTTCAAATTTCCTGCATCCAGAGTGAAAATAGGAAGGATATTTTGGTCTTCACAATTTCTTTTTTTTTTTTCATTAAAAAGACACTTACTAGAATTTGAACCATGACCAATTTAAAGAAAAACAAAGATCATAACCAATCACACTAAGTACATTTGTTGTATCTTTTTAAATTAAAAACATATAATGGCAGAGAGGAAAAAATCCTTCCCCCATTTCAAATTTCCTGCTCCATTAGCGTTTGTAGGAAGGGTAGAATAGAGAGTGTCAATTTTTTTTCTTTTTCCTCTGTGGAACGGGCCAACTTACCGTACGCATGCAGATTTAAATGGGTCCAGGAGTGTCAATTTTTTCCTTTAACTCCTTTCATTTCTCCGTGGTGGTAAAATATATATGAAAAGGCAAAAACAATACTCCTTTTTATTGCTAAAAAGAAAAAAATTTAACAATAAACTAATGCATGGATTCTAATGGGCTAACCGCTAATCATAAAATAAAAGAGTTGAATGGGCCTGACCTACGCGGGATTTGCCCATCAAGTAAAACAAATGAACATCATGGGTTTGCCATTCTAAAACAAACTATTTTCTCTAGTATAATATATATTATGCTATTATTTTATATCTTAGTGGCTAAAATATAATGTATTTTAAAGTGATTCAATGGTTCAACCTGGACCAACCCAATTAGTCCAATTTTTATCATTTCAAATATATATTATGTAATTATTTGATATCATAATGATTAAATTATAGTGTAAATTATAGGGAATCGTTTGGTATTTGATAGTAAAAAACTAAACAGAAAGATCTATTTTGGTTATTTTTAACATTAAAACGATCCTAAACATTTTCAGTTTCCTTTCGAAATTCTATAGTTTTATTCCCAAATCGGTGATGTGCAAATGGAGAATTGCAGTCATCTCTTTTCTTTCATTATTTTTTATTTTCAGATAGAAAGTTTAAAAGTAAAGAATAATTAGAGTTTGGCATGAGTCGGTTAAACATGCTGAATTTCAAGTTTTGGCCCGTTTTGATCAAGTCTAATTTATAATCACATGGTTCCCTGATACCCGATAAAAATCTCAATCCAAACCAGTTTGGCAGGTGTGTCCGTGTTTACCACCATTTTCTAGGGATACAGGAACGGTGGTTCCTATCCCAAATCGTGTTGTTCATTCTTGATTTCTTTAGATTTTATCATGGCTTGGCAAAAAACCAGAAATCACAATGATGACAAGATGAAAGTTTTTTAAAGCAAATTAATCAGCCAATAGGCCGAGTAAAAGCTAGCAACGATTGTGAGATGCTCATTTCCCTAAAACCGGCGCGATAAGCAATTTTTCATTCGATTTTCTGGAATTCAGTTCTATAAAACTCACTCCACCTCATCATATTACCAGAAACAATATTTTTCACAAGGTAATAGGTACATGATTTTGGTTCATAAGGCTGATTTTTGATTCGTTACATAATTCATGTATCTTTCCTACTAACATTCACTATTTTATCACGTGTTTCCCAAAAAAACTATACAACAATAAGCTATACACCCCATTACATTATCAAATTTCATACCTCACCTTTCTCCGGCCAAATGGCCGGGCCCACGCTAGTTTAAAATAAACAGACAAATTTTATTCATAGATTTCACCAATTTCATTATTTCTTACAGTGAACCACGATGAGTTTTCATATTTTGAAAGATTTCTTAATTACATTTGTCCATTAGGTTGCAAATAAAGTATTTTGTATGTAAAAAATTAAACAATTATTCATAAACTGGTCACTCAATTTATACCAAAGATTGTTCTCGATTAAACTCATATGGAAAATGTCATTTTGTAGCTTGCAGTTAAAGTCAATACTAATTTAAGATGAGAAATTTGGTATGAGAAGCTCGAAGGGTGGTCACATGTGTCAACGTGGAAATTTGAATGAGCATAAGGATGTCGTTGGCTCAACGCAGACGATTGAAGGGTGGCTACAGGCGTCAACGTGGAAAGAAATAAAAAAACTAGAAAGTAGTTGAAAATTAACTTAAAGAAAAATCTATGAAAGAAGCAATGGGGAAAGACACCAACTAATTAAGAAGTAAGTTGAAAATTCACTATCTAATTATTTGACTCAACCAGCTTATTAATCAATTTAATTCTCATTCAAATTATCGATGTTGTCTCTATGTGGATGGATGTCTTTGTAAATACTCACTACGCACTAAGTAGTCAATTAATTTTTACTCTTATGCAACCAACTAATTAACTACTGAATCTGAAGTCCGATAACTCTTATATTTATATATTTTAATAACATTACGACAACATTTTTCTAATGTAATAAGGTGTGTCGGTTAAAATTATTGAATGTGTGTCGGAGATCCCATATTCGAATTTTTTACTTAAACAATTGTGGGTTCTTCACAAAAATTTCGAATCAAGATGTTTCGGTTAAAATTATTGAATGTGTGTTGAAGGTTTCATATTCAAATTTTTTACACTAACAAATTGTGAGTTCTTCACAAAAACTTCGAATCAAGATGTGTCACTTGACACACCTTAAGCAAAAGTGGGTCCGCCCCTGTTTGCCGCCCTAGTTCCAGTACTAGTCTGCTGGAAAAGTTTGCTGAGCGAGGGTGTACATGCGTGTTCATTGATTATGCCTCCAGCCAGAAGAGTAACATGTTTTAAGAACTATCCTTTTTCATGAAGTTCAGTTCCCATTTCAGTCCTTCGTGTCGCAATGCCTCCATCTCCATTGGATTCCACGACCCATTTTTCTCAGCTAGCCGAGGACTTGGATTGGATTGGATGATGTCATCCTTGGCGACCTTAGGCCCAATTCTAGGTCGTTTGTTATGTCTCGTAGTTCTCCTGCTAGGACGTCATCACCTACCTTGCCCAACTCATCCAACCCAAGTTCACCGGTCCTCCCTTCCAAGCCCGGCTCATGAGACACTGACTCTGGGCCCTTCGCTGGGCCTCCTGCTTCCCAGGAGCCCACGTTTCCCGCTTCTCGTCCCAGAAACCGAGTTTGGAATCGCCCTCAACATCTTGGAATTTGTGATACCAGTTTTGTTCCTCTTGTCGACCCTATGCCAAATGCCACAGGAAGTACTTCGGCTGCTCTTCACAACCCTCTCTTCGTTTTTATTTCTTATGATAATCTCAATCACACTTATAAGGCTTTTCTTGCTGTAGTTACCAATCATATTGAGACGCATTGTTTCGTGAAACTTTGCAAGAACCTCACTAGCCTTCAGCTCAATGGGACATGAAGGCTTGTTCATCTCCTAGATGGGAAGTGCAGGATCATATTGAAATGAGTTTTAAGATCAAGTATCATCATGACGACAATATTGAGTGATACAAGGCTCGAGTTGTGGCAAAAGGATGCATGCATATTGTAGAGATTTACTTCTATGATACTTTCACACTGGTGGAGAAACTCGTTACCGATTCGCCTGCGTGATCGAGTTTTAAATTTATAAGTCGATGCACACTTTCTATTCAATCCTAACTAAGCCAAACATAACCTAGCTAGGTTGTAGTAAAGTGGCTCGGTCGTATTCCAAGAGAACCCTAAACTTACTATTTTCGTGAACGTGTTCAGTTCAGTGATATTTTTCTTCTCAAAGTTAGCTCTCACTTGCAGCTGATTGACATCTTTACCAAAGAGTTTGGCGCTGATGGCTTTCATTTCCTTATGTCCAAACTGAACGTTCATAACCTTCATCACCAAAGGGCTTTGCTTGTCGTATTGAATGAACCATTATGAAGGCGTGATTAATCACTCTCTTTAGAGTGTTATTCCCCCCCCCCCCCCCACCATAACAAATTGCTGGTAGGCTCGAGCAAAACACCCCAGGAGTCCCTTCAATTCTAAGTCCGGAAGCAGCAATCTTGTAGACTTCTGCGGTTATGAAATAGAGAAGGAAAACATGAAGAAGAAGTATTCTCTCGTCATTCATTAAAAGAGTTTTGGCAGTCATCTATTTATAGTTGTGAAAACTGGAAGCTACCTTCCGAAGAGACACATCCTTTCCCCGAAAAAGGTAGTTACCTTTCCCGAAAGGACACATCCTTTCACAGAAAAAGGGAGTTACCTTTCTGGAAGGACACATCCTTTCACAAAAAAAAGGGAAGTTACCTTTCTGGAAGGAAACTTATTTTCACAATATTCAAACATTAATTAATATAAAGTTAATTAATTAATTAAACTGACAAAAGACTCCATTTTTATACTTTACTTCTCCCACCAATGTGGTATTACAACTCTATTGACTAACTCTGACACAAACAGTGCATTAGTCTCTTTTTCTTCTTCGATTTACGTAGGACATGAGGAAAATGACACTTTAGTAACCTTAAGATCTCATTGTAATAGAGGGTTATATAAGTTATGTACTCTGATTACGGTCAGATGGATCTCATCAATAATGATTAGTATCCGGAGAGACATTCCAACTCTCCCATAGATTAGTCCCGACGTCGACTCTTTCAAATCATTATTGCTTAATTTTACAAAGGGTTCACCATGAAATCCAATCACTAGAGAGAATTTTAATAAGTCACATATGGAACTCGGATGAGGATCAGGAGCAGATCATTGATTCGACGGGACGACTTTGATGGGGATTGGTACGTGAGCGAAACTATATCCTTGTATCTGACTAGAAAACATCCTGCATTATCACTTGGCCGTCTTTATAGATGCCCAACAGGGTCGTTGGAGTTCCACGGTTAGCTTGATGGACTGTCCAAGCTGGATACGATTGTGGGGTTTGCCAATTCCTCCAAAGTTAAAGATTTTTTTTTGTGGCAGGTAATGCACCGGTTCCTTCCGACTACGGAAGCTCTTCGAGAGAAGGATGTCATGGTCCACCCCCGGTGTCCGGTTTGTTGGGGCCTTCGAAAACTATGGAGCATCTTTTCCTGGATTGTCCAGTTGCTAGGTCTCTTTGGGAGCTTGCGGGGTTGGAGCACCTCGGTGAAGGGCTACCCCAGCATACGTTCCCGCTGTTTATCAAGAAGTTGCTGGTGCTCCTTCGTGGCCCTGATGAAGTAATGTCAGTTGTGCCTTCTCCTGCTCTTATGCGACAGTATAATCAGCAGGTGGAGGAGTGGGCCTCTCTGCCATCCCCAATGGTTGAGTCTGCACCGCGGATGGACGGGGTGGACACGATACCTGTGAATCCTTGCGCTTTAGTCTGCCGATGGGATGGAGCGACCAAGCGGGGGTCTCATTGGGCCGGAGGGATGGTACTTCTTGATCAAGGTGGGTTACCCCTAATGGCTTCGGCAGTCCATTTTCCCGGGATGGATGATCCCATGGTCGTGGAATTGCTTGCTCTCTGTGAGGCCATGTTCTGGTGTACCCAGCAGGGTCTCGGGCAAGTACGATTTGAGGGCGATGCTTAAGTGGTGATCAATCGGATCGCTAAATCCCCGGTGCAAGATGGTCGTGCAGGTGCTATATTTCAAGAGGTCCAGAGGTGTCTGGCAGAGCGGGAAGGTTTTAGTGTTCGGTTTGTAGGTCGGCGTAGTAATAGGGTAGCCCATCTGGTGGCTCGAAAAGCCCTTTCTTTGTACCCGACGACGAGTTGTTCGTTTGATTTTGTGGTCTGGTTGAGGTACATGCTGTAATGGTCTAATTTTCCATATCAATATATGATTATCTTTTATAAAAAAAACATCTTGCATTAATTGTTTATTGTTAGCATCATGTTTAAACAAATAACAAAGCAAAATTGTGAAATTTATTTATTTCTTAGACGATTGTTAAATATGTGGTTTGAATCTAAATCATTTTTATGGCTTAATACCTTAGGGTATGCCTATACTGACATGCATGTCACCGTAACTTGCACTTTTAGGTCGACCTAATATGTCGTTTCAGTATTGTGAGGTTTTTGAATACACTAATGTGGGCACCCTGATGACTTATCACGGTCGACCTTTAAAATGTAGTGGTCGACCATTTGTAGTTTAAGTTGTCATTGTTGATCGATCACAATAAAACATCAGTTGCCCTTTTCATTGGCGTCAGAAGCAAAATGGTCGTTCGTAAAGGTATATAGGTCGACCACTTGATGGCGGTCATTAACAAAATAGTCGACAATTTACAGAAAGAGGTCGACCAGATAGAAGAGAAGTGTTGTATCCATTTATCCATCATCATTTGACGTAATGAAGATCAAGTGTTGGTTTTGCGGTTGACCTAATCCGGTACGAGGTTGACCGAATACAAGAAAATCAACCTATGCCCTGCGTCTTTTTTGCTTATGTATGTCGATGTGGGTGGTTCTTTTACTCGTACAAATTACATTTCAAACCAACAGAATCAGTCATAAATAATGATAACAAGGACTCATAACTTCCACGTGGTCGACCTCTTGAATCACGTACAGCAGCAATCGCAAAGGATCTTCTTCACGAAAGCTCTAACCATAAAAAACCTAATTCAGACTTTCGATGGCGGTGAAGGTGACATATATTCGTATTTATAGATATTTAGGACGAGAATGGGTTGAATTAAGTGGTATATAAGTTAGGGTTACCTTTCTGGTGTTGGAATCCTTATCCAATACGAATACGGTGTGCACGCGGTCGACCTCAGTTAATTAAAATGGTCGGCCTATGAGGTATTTCGGTCAACCTTTCATTCTGTTCGCTTCACAAAGAGGCCGACCATTTGCTATAAAAGGTCAATCACGTCGTTGAACCTCACAAAACTGAAACAACATATTAGGTCGACCTAATCCTATATAAGGTCGACCTAAAAGTGCAGATTAGGTCGACCTAAAAGTGCAGATTAGGTCGACCTAATCCTATATAAGGTCGACCTTAAAGTGCAGATTAGTCGACCTAATCCTATATGAGGTTGGCCTAAAAGTGCAAGTTACGGTGACATGCATGTCACCGTAACAAAGTCTATTAATACATTATTATGGCCCGAACTATTCTCAAATAATAAACTTTGGTCAGCCTAATATAAAAAATGCATTGATGGAATACGCATTGATGAAATACATATATCGTTATTACTTCATTTCTTACAATTATCTTTTTGAAGTAGATATTTCACAGTGCTTATTCTATAAATATTGTAAAAGTCAATTCACATTTATTTTCATTACGAAGATGTATCACGTCAAGATCCGTTACTCAAACCAAATCACACCACCGTTATGAAAGTTTTTGGATTGTGTAAAATAAGAGTAGTATCAAAGACACGTTATGATTTCATTATAAAAAATGGAAAAAGTGGAGACCTATTGTACTAAAAGAAATTGACCCTAAAGTTTGAGAGAATTACAATAAAACCCACTTAGTAAATCCCAAAGTAAGGAACTAATAGCGGGTAATTGGTTTGCAAAAATTAGAATTATTTCCACAAATCAAACTATGACATCTCTAATCAGAGATCAAAGTAAACCAAAAAGTAAAAGTTTCGTACATCACTTTGTCTTTTTTTTTTAAGGGAAGAACCAAATTTGGAGGATGTATGCGGGTATAGGCAATACAGGTGGCTTTCTGCATTGCAAATAAAGACACGTGTGGCTCATGCACAGATCTTTAAGTCCATCATGTTCATCAATGACCCCTATTTCTCTTGTTGAAATTGGTAAAAGAGGCAAATTACAGAAACCATTATCAATCTATTCGAAAGATGAAGCTCCAATTGAGTTAGATATCTGTACCAATGCTCTGTTTTTCTGGCCTTTCTTCTTTCTTGGTGTACTCTATTTTAAAACAGGGGAGAACGTAGTAGTAGTGAACGGCAACCCAATTGAGCAGGTGCGGCTGATGGTTCCAATCACTGACGATCTAACTCAACCCACTACAAATTTCCGGACATGCTTCTCGGCCTAATCTCATGTTCCCTTCTCCCTTTCGTCAATAATTTCTTCGACTACTGGTCCAACCAACTCTACGTCAGCTCTGTCGTCGCACAGATTGTGGTTCGCCAACTATGGAATCCGCGGAGTTTACCACCACTGGGAGAATCCACACTGCTGCCACTATGTTGCTCTTTCAAATAACCCAGGTAAAATGTTATAGATTTGGGTATTTTATCTCGTTTTTCACTTCATTCGATGATGCATGTTCAAACCTTTTAAAATTCTATATGCTTGGGTATTAATGGGATCGCATGTTCAGAGAGTACTTTGTTGATTAACCTTACATGTGGTGGCCTTCAAATCTCGTCTCTTTTCCAGTTACCTAGGCTTGGGAATCATTGCTGTAGGAGTCTGTGGAAGGAGACCATGGCAGCCTAAGATGAAAGGGATTTCAAACGCCGGACCTCGATCTATCTCGATAAAGCATGCCGAACCGATTACAGAGACGCCTTCCAAAAAAAAACCGCGCCGTCTCTTTCTCTATTTGACATGGTCTCCTTATCATCGTGCATGGCTTGATACCGATTTCTTCAATCAAAAACCTCAATTCATCTATTCATTTCTCTATGCTTTTGAATTGATCAGGTTGAACGACCCACGGAGCCGAAACGTCGGGGAAAAAGAAGATTACGATGAATAGGGAGACTGGGGGATATTAGGATGCTGAATCTCTGCAATTGTTTGCCAGAGTAAAGTTCAGCGGGTTCAGGGGTGAGGTACAGGGGGATTCAAACCCTCGTTTTCTCATTGATGTTTGTTGTGATCCCTAATGACACTTGATTATTTATTAGGGATCATTTTGTAATTAGTCTATTCCTACGTAGAGTTGAGTTGAAGGGTGGACTATTTATTTTGTTTGTTCGGACGGCTGTAACCCTAAGAGAGGGAGAACACTAATAATTGATTTTCAGCCGAGAGCTTATTGCTCTCCGTGGAGTAGTCCCGTTCATGCTGAACGGGGAAACCACGTAAATCCCGGTATCGTGTGTGTTTTCTTATTCCGTGTTTTATCGTATTTTACATGGTATCAGAGCTGTGATTGATCACAGATTGAATCATGGCTTCCGACGACGAGTCTTCTGCCAAGTCTGGGAAATCAAGCGCCGACCAATCAAAGCTGAAATCGGCCGTTGATGATAGCCAGCTAGGGCTGCCGTCGCATCTTCATCTTCACCAGTCGGAGAGCCCCAACAATCTGTTTGTTGGAGAGCTTCTTACGGATGTTAACTACGGCGAGTGGATTGTCGACATCACTGACTCCCTCGTCGCGAAGAACAAGATCTGTTTTGTGGATGGCACTCTCCCGGAAGCAACGACATCTGTTGAGAGAGATGCTTAACGGCGTTGTAACGCCATGGTTAAAGGCTGGCTGAAGACAACCATGTCGAAGGAAGTACGCAACAGCGTATGGTTTGCAAACACTGCCCGTGAGATTTGGGTGGACTTGCAATCTCGGTTTGGGCAAGGAAGCGCGTCGCGGCTCTACGAGCTTAAGCGCAACATCAATAGTCTCCAACAAGAGAAGATGTCCGTGTCGACATTTTATACCAAGTTGCGAGGCTACTGGGATGAGATGCACTCTAACATGCCGTCGCTCGATTGCACGTGTAATGGGTGCCATTGCGACGTGAAGCGCAGGCAACGAGAAGCACGTGAAGGAGAGCGCCTTCTTGACTTTCTTATGGGGCTGGACGATGCTTTTAGCATCGTGAAATCCCAAATTCTAGCGATGAAGCCGGTACCATCACTTGGAGAAGCGTACCAGCTTGTCATAAATGATGAACAGCAGTGGCAGATATCACAGAGCAGAAGGCCACATTCTGAAGCCACCGCGTTTCAGTCTCAGGGGGAGCGTCGCTGGGATCGCTCGGTTTCTCAAGGGGATCGAGAGAAGGATCGTGATCGGGATAAAGACCGCGACGCTGATGGAAAGATTCGCTGCTCTCACTGTCAGCGGACTGGACACTTAAAAGAGACATGTTATTGTCTCATAGGATGCCCTGGGAAGAATGGTGAGAAGGGCAAGCAGACCAAGCGCCGCACCGAGAAAGGCAATCGTTCGGGTCCCCTTGCTGCGCAAGTCGATGGGCCAACTAGTCCTTTGCCGGGCCTCTCCTCGTCCCAATTCGCGCAGCTGAAGGAGCTCCTCATCAACGACTTGCGCCAATCCTCCCAACAAGCCTTGGAGCCTTCATCTAATATGGCGGGTAAGTTTACTGGTAACTCTTCCACTTGGGTTATTGATTCAGGTTGCACAGAACATATTGTCAATAATGATTCGTTGTTGGATGTTGAGTTGGACACGTCTCCAATTTTACAGGTCAAAATTCCTAATGGAACAGGTGTTAAAGTTCACCGTATTGGAACAAGTCGATTATCTAATGAATTACACCTGCGTCGTGTACTTCATGTTCCTGATTTTCAGTGCAACCTGCTATCTGTCAGTAGGCTTACAGTAGATCTTCCGGTTGCGTTAATTTTCTTGAGTGACTTCTGTGTTATTCAGGACTTACCATCCAAGAGGCTGATTGGGATGGGTAAGCATGTAGATGACCTATATTATCTAAGGTTGTTCGATGAGGCACATCCGATCGCGCATTCGGGTCGATCGCCACTGAGCACTGCAGAGCTGTGGCATGCTAGGCTGGGTCATCCATCATCGGCGAAGCTTACTATTTTGGAGAAATTAATAGATTGTCCTTTGATTCAGTCTCGTGAACCTTGTCGGTCTTGTTTACGAGCTAAGCATACTCGAAATTCTTTTGAGTTGAGCACTATTAAAACAAAGTCGGTTTTTGAACTTATTCATATTGATATCTGGGGCCACTATAAAACAACTTCTACTTCTGGTGCACATTATTTCTTGACTGTGGTTGATGATCACAGTCGTACAGTTTGGGTTTTCTTGATGCGTCACAAGTCAGATGTCAGCCGATATTTGAAATATTTCTGTAATATGGTTCGAACTCAGTTCAATAAGCAGGTTTGCCACATACAGGCAGATAATGGTCCAGAGTTTGCTACTACATCGTTGCTTGCATATTATGAGGAGCACGGTATAGTTCTGCAAACGTCATGTACTGACACTCCACAACAGAATGGGGTGGTAGAGCGCAAGCATAGACATCTGCTTGATACGGCTAGAGCGTTGCGGTTTCATGCTAATTTGCCGTTGAAATTTTGGGGTGAATGTGTCATGACTGCGGCATATCTGATTAATCGAATGCCCCTGGTTAGCATTGGAAATAAGTCTCCCTATTAGATTTTGTTCAGATCGGATCCTCCTTATTCACATCTTCGAAGTTTTGGTTGCCTTGTCTATGCCGAGGACAACCATCATGGTCTTCACAAGTTTTCTGATCGTGGGAGAGCTGGAATCTTTCTTGGATATCCCGCTACACAGCGCGGCTATCGTATCTATAACATTGAACATCGAAACATTTATACTTCACGCGATGTCAAGTTCTTAGAAGACATATACCCCTATCGTGATCTTGCTCCTGAGGCTTTGATCACTCCCACTGCGGTGTCACACCCACAGTTTGGCATTGCTCCGCCGGTAGTCGACGATGATCCTGACCCTTGTTCTCGTCCATCTCCTGGCGTTGCAGCCCCTGTTGAGCAGCCCACGAGCTCGTCCACATACTCTCCTCCGCGTACAGTTGCTTGGGTAGAGGAGCCTCAAGCTTCACCCGACGTGTCTCCTTGCATGGGAAAGAAGCAGCTGGAGACCTCCACCGCGGGTCCCGATCAGACCTTTGCGCCTGCAGAGCCAAATATCACGACCCCAGTTCCTCAAGAAGCCCCGCTCCGCCGAGGTGATCGGGTACGTGTTCCTTCCACTAGGCTGCGTGGGTATGACGTGCAGCTTCCAGGAACAGCTCACACCGTGGAAGTCGAGTATCCTCTTGGAGACTTTCTCACTTATGATCGTCTATCGTCTGCGCACCAAGCCTTTGTAGCGGCAATTACTTCCATTGAAGAGCTGACTTACTTTCATCAGGCTGTGCGTCATAAACATTGGCGGGATGCCATGCAGAAGGAGATAGATGCTTTGATCGCGAATGGTACGTGGTCTTTAGTAGATCTTCCTCCAGGCAAGCGTTGCATCTCTTGCAAATGGGTGTTTAAAATAAAGTTTAATCCCGATGGCACAGTTGAGCACTTTAAAGCGCGTCTTGTTGCCAAAGGCTATACGCAGGTCGAGGGCATTGACTACCATGATACGTTTGCTCCCGTAGCCAAACTGGTCACTGTTCGATGTCTCCTCGCCGTTGCAGTCACTCGTAATTGGCATATCCACCAACTCGACGTCAATAATGCTTTCCTGCATGGAGATCTTGATGAAGAGGTCTACATGGCTGTTCCACAGGGTTTTGCTAAACCAGGAGATACTCGTGTTTGCCGGTTACACAAATCTATTTATGGATTACGTCAAGCATCACGAAATTGGTATCAGAAATTTACTCAAGCTCTCCTCAGTCTTGGTTTTATTCAGAGCAGGGCCAACCATGCTCTCTTTATCTATCGACGTGCTGCTTATGTGGTAGCCCTCATTTACGTCGATGACGTGATTCTCACAGGTACGGATTTGTCCTTCATTGCTCGTGTTAAAGATCATCTTCATGCGCAGTTTACTATCAAGGATCTTGGGCTGTTGAAGTATTTTCTGGGCATTGAGGTTGCCCGATCGCCCAAGGGTATTGTCTTGGATCAAAGAAAGTATGTTCTGGACATTCTTGCCAACACATGTCTCTCGTCAGCCCGACCTAGTCCAACTCCCATAGAGCAGCAACACCACTTGGGTAAGCTTGCTTCGTCTCCGGCAGTTGATGCTAGTGCTTATCGCCGGTTAGTTGGTCGGTTGCTCTATCTCCCGTCACTCGCCCAGATATTACTTACGCTGTTAATATTCTTAGTCAAGCCATGAAGTCACCTACCAAAGCGCACGAAGATGCTGCTCTGCGCGTGCTTCGCTACTTGAAATCAACCCCTGGTCGAGGACTCTTTTTCCCGGCGTCCACTCCTCTTGTTCTTACTGCATCCTGTGATGCAGACTGGGGTGGTTGTCCTCTTTCTCGCCGGTCGACTACAGGTTATTTTATCACCCTGGGCAGCTCACCTATCTCCTGGCGTACTAAGAAGCAGACAATTGTCGCTCGATCTTCGGCGGAGGCGGAATATCGAGCTATGGCCAGTACAGTTAGTGAGGTGCTTTGGTTGCGTTGGTTGCTTCGCGACTTAGGAGTCTCGATCTCTGGCCCTAATCCTTTGTTTTGCGACAATCAAGCCGCTCTCCATATTGCAGCTAATCCTGTGTTCCACGAGCGGACCAAGCACGTGGAGATGGATTGCTATTTCGTGAGGGAACGAGTTCAATCTTTGACATTGCCCCACGAAAGATCGCTACTTCTGATCAGCCTGCCGATTTGTTTACCAAGGGTCTCAGTGTTGAGCAGTTCAATCACCTTCTTGGCAAGCTTGGACTTCTCGACATTCATTCCTTCGCTTGAGGGGGAGTGTTGTGATCCCTAATGACACTTGATTATTTATTAGGGATCATTTTGTAATTAGTCTATTCCTACGTAGAGTTGAGTTGAAGGGTGGACTATTTATTTTGTTTGTTCGGCCGGCTGTAACCCTAAGAGAGGGAGAACACTAATAATTAATTTTCAGCCGAGAGCTTATTGCTCTCCGTGGAGTAGTCCCGTTCATGCTGAACGGGGAAACCACGTAAATTCCGGTATCGTGTGTGTGTTTTCTTATTCCGCGTTTTAACGTATTTTACAATGTTTTTCGTCTTTTAATTAGCTTCTTTTATTCATTGAAGTTTTTGGTTTTTTAATTAAAATTTTTATATATTTATTGTGTGATGGAGAACAAAGTGATCTGGTGCGGATGATTTGTTGTAAAAAAAGACCGTGCTTGGCCAGCCCAACAAAGATAAACACGGGCTTATGGAATCTGATCGCAGAGAATCATAGAACTCCTTTGTGAACAGTGGCTACTATATCAAAAGAAAGCAAACCATCTAATCCTAATCAACGATCTTCCAGAACTGCATATTGCAGTCAGCCTTAAAGGCTCCGCCGGCGGTGGTCTTGCAGGTGTCCAGCGTGGCTTTAAGATCCTTCAGACAATCTCTGCATTTGTTGGCGTCGTTGGTGTAACACGTGGCGGAACCTGTAACCGAGCCCCTTTTCTTATTCGGAAACCATGCATTGTGCGCACGCAGCGAAGTGGTCGGTGTTTTCCAAACCAAAGCGGCCCTCACCTTCTCCGCGTTGGAATAGTACCTCTTCGGATCTCCCGGAGAACCGCCGGTGCAAAACTGTGGATCAGCGGCCACCGCGACGGCCAAGTTTCGGCTGATCGTCGCACATCCCGCCATTACCACGACGGCCATTAGAGCTCGCCGGAGTGAATGAGTAGAATGAGAACTAGACCATTGCGAGTGCTCCATAAAATATTGGAGATTGTTGATCATACTATTGATTGATTGGTGTTAATGTTGATTCGGTGCTTTACTTGTTTTTGGTTCGTTAAAGGTCGATCTGCCCTTTATATATCTTTACATTACGACATATGATCATTTGCTTCTCCGTCAAGTTTTTATTTGCTCCAACAAATTAATGGGTAATTTGGAATCGCTGCCGAACGGAAAGTTTACGGAATAATTTGGTTCTGATAGAACACAAAGATGAGCCAAGTGAAGAGTTAGAGTCGTCTAGAGGTCAAGTACTTGAGCATGTGTCCAAGTTATTGTTCCATAGCCGACTAGCCGTTCATTTTTATTGTAGTTCACCCCTGGCAGATGTTAATTATACTTTACACCTAAACTTGAGGAATGATCTTATTTTATGTAATAGGTGGAGAATGGATCACTTCTACTATGTTATAAAGTATTGGTGCTTTAAAGTACAACTTAAAGTTGTACCATAATGTTAAATGTATAAGTTCAGGTTGTACCATAAAGCAACTGCGTACCATTATTAGGGGTGGCTATACGGTCCGGTCCGGTTAAATTGGACCAAATTGATCCGGTCCCAGTCCGGTCTTTTCGGGAATATAAGGATCAAAGATTGGATTGGATACACTCCGGTCTTGACCCGGTCCGGTCCCAATTTGATTTTGATTTTAGATTGAGCTTGTGGGGATTTGAGTGTTGGGGTCTCTTATCCGGTCTTTATTCGGGTTTTTTTTACCTCAAATCTAAGCCCGAATATGAGATTGGATTGTTTGCTATCCGGTCCCAGTCCGGTCCCGGTCCGGGTTATACGGTCCGGTTTCGGGTAAAACCAAGCAGTCCTGGACCAAATTGCCAGCCCTAACCATTATGTTATGGTACAAGTTCACAACTTGAAGTTGTACCACAAGTTGTACCATAAAAGAATTTGTACAAAAAGTATAAGTACAATATGAAGTTGTACCATAAAGTTAAAGGTACAATTTCAAATTGTACCATAAAAGCAAAAACCTACAGTACCAATGCTATATAGCATTGTAAAATTCCTCTAGAGAATGATATTATATAAGTCTTAGTTGACAGATAGATCTGTAATGTGATGAATATTAATATCATCTTACGTGAAATACAAAGCATTAGGAAAGTTAACATTTTTGTTAAATTATTAGTAAAAAATAACTTTCATTCCGTAACCTTTATACAATATTGGTATACCTTACGCATAACAATTATAATAAAATGATATTACACAATCCTTATGTAAAGGCTATCAACATTATCATGTAGTTTCCAGAAGTCCCACGTAACAGGTATGATTTATTTTTTCATCACCATTATAAACAAGTCCGATTTAATTGTTACGTAAGAAAAAAATGGTCATTTTGTTATCTGTATTTGATGTATTTGTATTTTAAGTAAAAAAAAACTTACATTCAAGGTCATCAAGACGTCCACTTGACATGGTGACGGGAAAACAGAGCCACCTGTGGAGGGATCAAACGTGGACCCCTTTCACGACTCTAGATCATGACCTGTGTCGTAATTAGGGATGCAAATGAGTCGAGTCGAGTTTTTACTCAGCTTGAGTTCGGTTCGTTTATAAATTTTTCAGCTCGAGCTGGTTCGAACTAGAATTTTGATCATCCAGCTAGAGTTTGAGCTCGACTCGATTAAAAATAATCCAGCTCGAGCTCGATAAATGCTCATTAACACAGCTTGTCAAGCTGGGTACAAGCTCGGCTCAAGATGAGCTCGATTTGAAACCATTCTTTGCTGAAAAATGTGTACAAATAAGAATATTAGAAACTAAAAATGATAAAAAGAATACTAGAAACTAAAAATAACATCTAACTTTCATACACATCCTTATTAACATGATAATTTTCATGTTCAAAAGAGTAATTAATCCTTCGACGCGCTCTAAACAAGCCAGCTCGCGAGCTTAACTCAACAAGCCACCTAGTCAAGCTAGCTCACGAGCTTATCAAACTGAGCATGGTCTAGCTCAAGCTTGGCTCGTTTACTAACGAGTCGGCTCGCGAGCCGACTTGTTAAACAACGAGTCGAGTGTCGAACGAGTTTTTTTCGATTTGAACGCCGAGTTGCTCGCGAGCGGCTTGGCTCATTTGCAGCCCTAGTCGTAACTAGCCCTAACTCTGGCTGTCCCTAACTCTCCCTGGCTAATCATAAGGCAAAGGGTCGAGAAACTCAAATCCACTATTCTTGTCTTGAACAAGGCCTTCTTTTCACATTATTACCGGTAAAAAAAATAGGAAAAATTGGATGCAAGCTAGATCTCAGGTAGATGGAAATTGGAGCTTTTGTGCCACCTTGAGGATGTGAACTGATGCGGAGAAGGATAAGAACCCAAACCTTGATCGGATTTCGGGTATACATGAGTAATGTTTTATTTATTTATTTATCTTTCTCAACTATTGTGTTATTAATCACCAAATATAGAGAGATATAATAAAAAATAATACTATTTCATCATAGGTTACAAATATACTAGCAATAGCGAATATGTTTAAATAAAACACTGGCTACCTATACAAATAGGTACTTTTTTTTTGACAACCCCAATAGGTACTTATTACAACAAAACTAAAACAGTAACTTAGATCTTAATTAACTTATTATCATCATCAGGAAATTAGATCCTTTTTCTTTCTAACATCCACCGTGAAAATTAGGGCTTAACGTCCATGCATGAAACTAGTCGTCGATTCTCCAGAACTGCATGTTGCAGTCACTGGCAAAGTATCCGGCAGTCGTGGAACCCTTGCAACTCTCCAGCAGGGCCTTAATACCCCGGAGACAAGCCCTGCATTTCTTGGCCTTGTTGGTGTAACACGTGGCCGCGCCGGCGACGGAACCTATTCTCTTATCGGGACGTGACGTCCTGAACTTGCGCGTCGAACTGGTCGGCGTTTTCTTCACCAGAACGGCCATCACCTTCTCCGCATAAGAATAGTACTTCGCCGGATCTGGTGGGGCGTCGGGAGCGCATAGCTGCGGGCCGCCGGACTGAGCAACGTCGACGCTGTTTCCGCCGACCAGTAGTAGGTAACCAGCAGCTGCCACTATCACCACGGCCATTACAGCTCTCCGCCGCAGTGCACAAGTAGCGGCAGGCAATGATAAGTACTCCATAATATTAGTCGCTATTACTACTGATCATTATGGACGGCTTCTGTGAGCCCATTTTATCACGGGTTTGTGATCATTAGCTGATTTCTCCGTCCATTCTTTTGGCAGCAAATTGGTTTCTGATCTTCCAATCTTTGTTGCCGGCCTGTCGAGTCTGTGGAATAATTTTTTTTTCTTTTTAGTTGATAACAAGTGTGTGAAATATTTTGATGTTGATGAAACATTAAGATAAGCCAAATGATGACTTATTAGAGTCGTGTAGAGATCAAGTTGAGCAATATTGGTCGAATTTATTGTTACATAGCCGCCCATTTCATCATGCTTTTCACCTAAACTTTGTCAAAAATTCAAATATCAATAACAAGAATACAGAGAACTCGAAAGACAGAATTTATGAGGTTTCCGCAACAATGTCTGTTAGAGCGAGTAGTCCACTAAACAAGGCGTAGTGTAGCTTTATATTTCTCATACACTTATAATTTTTTAGGGTGTCCTGTATGACATGCATGTCACCGTAACATGTACTTTTCGGTCGATCTATTTCTAATCTCGGTCGACCGAATACACTAATGTGGGCAATATGATGACTTATCACGGTCGACCTTTTAAATGTAGTGGTCGACCGTTTTGAATTAAGTTGTGACATTACCGGTCGACCATAATAAAACATGGGTCGCCCTTTTCATTGTAGTCTGAAGAAAACTGGTCGACCGTAAAGGTAATGAGGTCGACCACTTGATTGTGGTCATTACCAAAATGGTCGACCAGACAGAAGAGTAAAGTGCTCTATCCATTTATCCATCCCTTTTTGACGTGAAATGAAGATCGAGTGTCGGTCTTGAGGTCGACCGAATATAGTAAGAGGTCAACCGAATTAAGGAAATTTAGCCTTATGACCTTCGACTTTTTTGCATATGTATGTCGATGTGGGTGGTTCGTTTGATCGTTCAAATTACGTTTGATAGTCATTGGAATTACTCTTATATCATGATAGCAAGGACCCATAACGTCTTAACATGACATCGTAACACACTAACAAGAAACATAATAATTCACACTTCATAATTGTTCACATAAAACACTCTTCATGAAATCGAAAACCACATAACTACAAAAAATAGAAGCTAAACTCATGTAGTTCCTATACCTCTCCACTCTCTGAAACAACAAATTAGGTCGACCTAATCCTATATTAGGTCGACCGAAAAGTGCATGTTACGGTGACATGCATGTCACCGTAGCAAATTCCAAATTTTTAATATAAAGTTAAGCATGATACAAACTATTTATAATTGATTTAATTATTTTTTACCTTTTTACTATTGGTGGCTTGGTACCTAATTATTTTTGTTAATGTGAATAAATTAATTTTCTCTTAGGTTTCTTCCTCCCGTGCCCCTTTACGGATTAGGTAATTAATTTAGCATTATTGTCTTGCTAGTACAAGCATATAATTGACAAAATTATTTATCTCCTTTGGAAATCTGAAAACGTTGAAAGTTAAAGCAACAAACTCCATAATGCGAACGATGAGACATCAACAATCTTAACCTCTTTTATTTTATTTAGAAAACACATGACAAAGAACGAGTTTTGTTATATATGGTTTGAAAAAAGTCTAATCTGAAAGGAAGTATTCCCCTCATGGAATCCGCTCGTTCCTTTAGCCTTTGGAATTTAAATTTTTAATATTCCCGATTTAGACCCAAAATCAAAACTCAATTCATAAATTTTCTATATTTTTAAAATCATAATCGAAAGCCAATAGTCTGTAATAGTAATTAGTCATATACACGATGCAGATTCGGAGGCCGCCACAATTTGGAGGCCCTGTGCCGAAGGGCTTGCCGGCAAACCCTCGGGGCCAGCCCTGATGCATATAACCGACTATAACCTTAACAAACAAAGGTATATGCGTAATTAAACATATAACCGACTATAACCGACAATTACTCAAAATTTAGGGATTATCAATCTTTAATCTCAACAAATAGTAAAGATTCTTCACAATCACTCAAAATTAACTTTTGTGACTTTACAACAAAAACACAGTACAAACCTCCAAACAAGGTTTTTGCTTAATCCATCAATTGTTCAATACATCAAATGATAATATACTAAATTACTAAATACATCATTTTGAAAAATTACAACTTTCAAATGACCCCATGGACTTTTTACCACCCTCCCTCGAATCGATGTTGTTGACACGCCATATCAATATGTATGCAAAAAACTAATGTTTGGCGGAACTACCGCCTTACGTTCGATTGACTAATTACCTGTAGGGATGGCAATGGGTCGGGTTTGAGGCGGATTTTTCTAATTAAATAAATCCCCATACCCAGTTTCATTTATCTAATCCATACCCTCCCTATCCCTATGCGGGGGGAGATTTTGCATCCTCATTCCCATCCTCGCAGATTTTGGATACCCGAAGGTAATCCCCGTCCCGTACATCTAATTATAACTAAATTAACACATTTAAATTCAACAAAACATATAATTACCGGGTTGAAACATCAAACCCAATCAATGATGAACCTGATAAAGAACAACTGATAATCTTAATTAGATCATCCAATTCCTACGAAGTTCCATAAACAGAGTACCAATAAATAATCCAACACCAAATTATTCATCCCAAAACACCTACTAAACCATAAAAATCCACACATAAAGGAAAGACGTATGAGTAGAATGTTATTACCACTACTACAGTTATGAACGGACGATGAGCAAAAGAACCGACAAACTGAAGAAAGGCAACAAATGGTCAAGGAGGCGTGGTGTTCTGGTGGAGATGCTATGGAAGAGGGTAGGAGCGGCGGCGAATAAGGACGTGAGAGAGGAGGTTTAAGCGTTGCCTTGTCGAGTGAAGGGAGGGGAAACTTGACGGTTGAAGACTTGAAGAGAATAGCTAGGGCTAGAGTTAGAGACGCGTAAGGAAATTAAGGCGGCTTATATGAAATTAAACTTTTAATACTTATTTGTTTTACAATTACAATTACAAGTAACGGCGGGGAGGATATGAGTGGTATTGGGGCGGAGACACTTATATCCATGCCCGCCCCATCCCCACGAGTTTCTTTGCGGATATTACCCGTATCTGCCCATACCCGGTCAATGCGGCGATTCCCCTCGTTGACAGGGTTGGGTAGGGTCGGATACCCGCGATTACGACTATAATTGCCATCCCTAATTACCCGTCTAACCCGAAAATCAGTTAACACCCCTAGTCATACATGTGGTTTGTCTTGTAACGTCAAAGCAAGTAGCAATATAACTTTCAGTTAAGAGAACAAAGTAGCGGACAATGGGATGGAATTGGATTAAGATATAAGGTAAGATTGGATAAATCGACGACATGAATTAACGGAAGAACAAATTAAACCAATTGATAGATTTATGAGTTGTTCCAACTTCCAACAGCGTTTCGCATTGGGGAAGTTTGTATTGAAAGAAGTAAGAACAAGGAAAATGAAAACTAGACAGTTCCACCGGGTAACCAAAGAGGCAATAAGATGTCTCCTCCGGGCTGCCAAATTTAACTAAAACTAGTGATTGATTCGCCAGATCTGGATGAGACAGTCGTGTTCACGGCTGGATCCGTACGTAGAGACGCAAGAGGCCAATGCGGATGCTGCGAAATTCAGACAGTCAGAACATCGCGTGGCGTCGGTCGTAAAGCAAGTGGCGATGCCCTTGACGGAGCCGGCTTCTTCATCTGGAGACCAGGTTTTGTAGGAGCGCGTTGCTGCTGTGATCTGCGCCGGAGTTTGATCGACCAGCGTGGTGAGAACTGCGGCTACATAAGAAGGGTAGTTGGGATCCAGCTTTGGGATGTGAACGCTGCACTTCGCCGCCGTTACATGGCTAGGTACTAATAAGCACCCACAAACAACAACTATTATTATTGCCCGCCGTCTTAACAATTTGGAGGGAGAGTACGATGACGACGCCATAGCTGTAGTGGTCGTCGTAATTGTATGAATGGGGAACGAAGGGTGATGCTCTTTAATTTATATACACACTAAAACTACTAGCTTTACATCATGATCGATGATGTCAATATAAACCTAGTTTGGTCCTGCGGTAGTTTTTGCAGAAGCAGCTTCTGGCTGGAGCTTTTAGATAAGTATTTTTCAAAAAAAGCAGTTGAGTGTTTGGCTGTAAAACTATTAGAAGTGCTTTTTAATTTGAAAGATTGTGTAAAATGACTATAAATGACTTATAATATAAAATATGAATAAAAATTCTAAACAATAAAAAGTAAACAAAATGAATCTTGTTAGATTTCTTTTATATTAAATAATATGATTTTATAATTTATTTTATTTTTAAAATGATATAAACGAAGGAAAATTATATTTTCTGAAATAAAATTAAAATATGGTAAGGATGATCTTGTATTTTCAAAACACCTTTTCGCATAAGCTACAAATCGGAGCTTCTGCTTTTATGTTATACAAAAGCGCTTTTCCGTTTTTTCAAAAGTTGAACTTTTACAGGTGTTTGGCCCTGCTTCAACTTTTGAAATCTAAAAGCACTTCTAAAAGCCGGGACAAACATAGAGTTAATGTTACATGGCGATCAGCTTGAACATTTTTTTTTGGGCATCTCTTGATATTATATTATTGCATTTGTTTATTAGTTTCTCCGTCTCCACTGGTTAGCTAACATTTACAAATTCTAGTTAATTAGTTAGCTTTCACAGAGTTTCCAAGATCCATGCCACCGAGTATACACATATATACAGAACAATTCTTAAGTCGGTCTCCGTCAAGCAACTCTGATGATAACTATGGCACAATAAGTCTGGATTTTGAATTTATTTGTGGGAAAAAGGATGAAAACGAGGAAAAATGATTGTAAGGTTCGCAAGACGCAGGGAGTGACACCAGGGTAGGATCGGTGCCAAATAAGGTTGCAAGAAACGGTGCATAATCCTTAGTGATGTACAAATGTGTAGTCAGATATATCTCTTAATTTTGAGTGGAGCCAAATTTAAAGATTGAGATTAATAAGTTTATTTTTCTACTTTTCTTAATAATTTCAAAATTTTTCATAAATAAAACATGTTCATGTAATATACAAAATTAAAATTTTTGAATTTTAATTATCATATGAATATAATTTTTGAAAAAAGACACCTCTTTATGAACTTACTGGTCCGCGTCCCAATAACAAACGAAAACCAATAATAAGAGTTTGAAGTTTGCACAGGTCTGAATACCATGTGCTTAACAACCGGGAATCGAACCCGGAATCGAACACAAGACCTCTCGTTCACAAAAATCTCTGATACCATGTCAAGAACCAATTAGTCCCAAAAATTCGAATTGTTGGAAGATGTTCAATCGTTGATCATATACCACACCCTAACACTAGCTTTACATAGTGATCATGGATCGATCTGGTACAAATACAATAAGCATTCTCTTTCCAATAAACTCACTTGCGTAAGAAAATTGAAGTTCGGTGACATCAAGACGAGTACGTACAGAAGGGAGAAGATAATAACTAGAAGATTACCGTTCAGAAGATTCTTGCTGCAAAAACTGTCATGTATTTGGGCCATTGTTCCCAGCTGTGAATGGACTGGATAATGGATCTGCAGAAATGCTGGCCGACAAAGGGGAAGAGGATCGTGCACAAAAAGACACTATGCAATAATAGAGTCGTGTAAGCATCGAATTCAGACGTAATTACTTAATAGTTTTAAAATCGTCCATAGCATGACAGATAAAAATTAATAGTTGGGTATTGGCAAACCCACCTTAGTATGCATTAGTTTGGTTAATTTTGATCTTAGGATTGTTAGTGTGTGGTATATGATCTACGATTAAACCTCTTCCAACAACTCGACTTATTAGGATTCTCATTTGTTAAGTACTAGGGGTGGCTATACGGTCCGGTTAAATTGGCCCAAATTGATCCGGTCCAGTCCGGTCTTTTTGAAAATATAAGGACCGAAGATTGGATTGGATACAGTCCGGTCTTGATCCGGTCCGGTTTTGATCCGGTCCGGTCCCAATTCGGTCTTGATTTTACTTTGAGATTGTGGGATTTGAGTGGCCTAAGGCCTTAACGGGTGAGGAGTTGGTTAAGTTTTGTACTAAGTGCAAAGGTTTGTGACCGTTTATGCAAATTACCCTTAAGTTTTGGGTGTTGAACTCTCTTATCCTGTCTTTATCCGGTTTTTTACCTCAAATCTAAGCCCAAAGATTGGATTGGATTGTTTACCATCCGGTCCCGGTCCGGGTTATACGGTCTGGTTTCCGGTTTTTAATCCGGTCCCGGTCCAAATAGCCACCCCTATTAAGCACATGGTATTCTTGTCTTCAGACCTGTGCAAATTTCAAGCCCTTGTGAGTGACTTTCGTTTGAGGGGGCGTGTTAGTGTGTGGTATATGATCCACGATTGAATCTCTCCCAACAACTCGAATGATTGAGAGCAACTGGTTCTTGACAAGGACAGATTCATATCCAACATTTTTTATTTGATCTAAATTGAGCTCATAGTACTGGGTACCGTACCCAAAAAGTAAAATGAAAATTTGATTTTAATACAAATTTTGCTTTATTCTTTTTTTCTTTATGAAACAAACAGAAAAGGCGAAAACACTAATATCAATTACCGGAAAAAAAAACACTAATATCAAGAGTGTAATAGATCAATTTGGACAGGATCCAAATGCATTTACCCTTATTGAACCAATTCGAACTCTAATCAAACTTAAAAACATTAAAAGTGCGTATGAATAGAAAACGAACGAATAGAAAACAAAAGAACTTTCAAGAACATAGCTCTATTGGCTATGATACCATGTTAGATTTGTGAATCGAGATTGCGGAAGACTATCAAACTTTCATTTAGGCAGAAAGCATTAAGGTTTACTTTACAGATAAATTGTATTTATATAAGTAATCGAATTACCTCTTAGTACCTAGAAACTATAATTACATTTTTTATTGGGTAAATGCCAAGTTTGATCATTGGGTTTATTAAAATGTGTCATGTTTAGTCACTGGAATAAATTGATATCAATTTTGGTCACTCGAATTTGTAAAACAGTCCACGTTTAGTCACTCTCCATGAAGTTTGTCTGATGTGGCAGTCAACCTTAACATTTGATGGTTAGATGTCTGACGTGGCAATTAAAAAATTAATAAAAATAAATTTAATTCTTTTAATATCTCCACATTATTAAAATATAAAAATTGAAATCCCTTACCGTCATCGTAGCCTGCCCGCCGGCCGACCTAGCAGCACTCCAAACCCTTAAATCCGCGGCGAGTCGGAAGATCTAATCTTCACTAAAGTCGGCCAAACTTCCGGCTACATGACCCGAACCATCTCCCCTGCCATCTGCAAGTTTGACCAGCTCATCGCGCTCATCATCGCCGACTAGAAGGGCCTGTCCGGCGAAATCCCCGATTGCGTCTCTTCGCTCTCCAACCTACGCCTGGATCTCGTCGGCAACAGCCTCTCCGGCAAGATCTCTTCCCAAATCGTCAACCTAAACCGCCTCACCTTCCTCAATCTCGCAAACAACAAAATCTCCAGCTAGCTCGACCACCATAAGATCATCAATGTCAGCAACATGCAATCCACGTGCCTAGAGCAGCGCGCCCCCGAGTTCGTAACACCAAAACCCCCAGCCGCGTGAGACCCACTACGGGTAGCTCCATCCCACATACAAATCAGAGCGGGAACACACCCACTACAACCTGGGTCCCCCGATCACCCGAGGACCGGGTCACACGATCAATTGGTAAGAAGCTCCATTCCTGGTACTGTTGGTGAAATTGCCGGATTAAGGCGGGGATTCCAAATTGCTTACCCTGAAAAACAACCCAATTAAGGGATTTCCAAATCCGCCACAGGATGGCCGTCACTGCCATAAAAATGGGTGGGTCCTGAATGAGACTCATATCTCTCTTCAGAAAACGGGGAAAGTGTGACGGGGAAGCCCTTGTCCAACATACTCAAGGCCCAAGTGATCCCAAAGAGCCCTCGCCACAGGGCAATCAAGAAATAAATGCTCCACTATCTCATTCTGGGCCCAACACACCGGGCACCGGGGTAACACCAGAATATCTTTTTCAATAAGGGCCTCCGTGGTAGGGAGGATACGGTTGAAAATTTCCAGATGAACACTTTTAACTTAGGCGGGATATTTGCTTCCCACAAACGGAGACAACTAGGCCTATCCATCCAACTGGCCGCTGACCGCCATCGCCCTCGCTGCCGATCCAAAAGCACAATAAGATGATAAGCAGATTTGACAGTAAAAATACCATCTCTCGTCTAATGCTAGATCATTCCTATCCTCGATATCTTGGCAAGGAAGAGGGATTCGTCGGATGTCCCTAGAAGTGGTCGGGTCAAACCATTGCTCCAACTTATCCTCACACCACCTACCCTCACCAGGGATAATTACCTCCGAGACCGTCAGATCACCCTCACCAGGGAGGACCCGAGGATTATGCACCGGTGCATAGGGGTGGGTACAGGGAACCCAACAAGCAGAAAGCAAAGGAGCAGTACGCCCATTCCCAATCTGCCACCTTAATCCCTGCTCTAGTAGCTGTCTACCATGTAGAATACTCTGCCATCCCCATGATGGACGAGATCGGGATGTAGTACCAAGGAAGGTCCCCTTGGGAAAGTACTTCCCCTTATAGACTTGAGCAAGGAGCGACTCTGGATCCCTGAGAATGCACTACCCAATTTCGGCCAACAAAGTCTGGTTAAAGTGCTCAAACCGTCGAAAATCCATGCCGCCATCATGTTTACTCCGGCACATATTCCGCCAAAACATCCACCTAATCCGTGAATGACCCTCCTCAGCATCCCGGGTTGGATCCGGTCCTTAAGCCTCATTGTTTAAGGAGGTTCTTAAACCATTTTTATTGGTTGATACTAGATTAGGTAGTTAATGAGGGGTTAGTAATTAATAGTTAGTTGGAATAAATAAGATATTATGAAAATATAATTAATATTACTCATTAATGATTCTCTTTCTCTCTCCCCCTTGATCTTCTCCATAACTCTCTCTCCACTACAATTAAAAGAAAATTCGAAATTAATTTAATTAAATATTATTATTTAATATTTAATAAATTCAAACTTAATATTTTTTTATTTTTTAAAATGAAAATGAAAATTAAAAATATATACTCTCTCTCACTTCGTGGCAACTTGCAATACAGTATTAACATTTTGCAATGACATTATCAACATTTATGAAATGAATCGTTATTATTATACCTCATCATTATTAACGACTTCAATATACTTATCAATTCCTTACAATTACATTATTAACAATTTTGGATAAATTGTTACTGTTTTATAGTTTCGTCATCAACGCCTATGAATGAATCATTAAAGTTATGTAACATAGTCATTAATAGTTTGAATAACAATATCATTGATTTACAACATCTTTAGTACTAATTATTCACATTTTCACTTCATGTTTATAACTATCTAGTCATGGCCTCTTCCAATGATTTCTAATGACATTATTAACGTTTTATGATCAATTAATATTGCTTTACATTATCATTCTCAATGATCATAAAGCACAATACTAATTTTCAACATCTTGGGTACTTGTGACATAGTGCACGTGTGTGATTCAGTCAAACAAACATTGTCCAGAAAAATATTAGCTCAAGCAAATCAACATTCACACCTCAACACCAAACTTTTAATAACAATACAATAAATCATTGATAACAAAAAGTATTTCGTTGAAAATAAACACAAAACATCAATGTAAAAATGTCCGACTTCAACATTATAAATGACATCAAACTTTTAATAAAGATATTAAAAACCATTAATATCGGATGATCAAGTCACTGATAAGGAAATAAATTTTTGTAATATAAAAATATTAATAATATTCAGATGCAATGTTTAATGTCAAATAGCACTAAAACGCATTAATAAGTAACATGTGTTTAATAGATAATGCATCCAAAAACGTTGATAATGATAGCAACTAATGATTGTTAAGTATTTTATTAGATATTATTAATATCTTATTTTCAAACATTGATAATGCTTATACACGCCTATTAATAATGACACCAAACTATGTTACTAACTTAGACTGAAAGATTAATAACCATAGTTATATCATTAAACGTAAATTCACTTTTGATAATGTCATAAACAAACGAATATCTAACAAGTATGCTTCTTGATAATGACATTTGACAGAGTTACAAACATAAACGGTAAAAATATTAATAATTCAAATTACTAAACATAAGAAATCTTACAAATGAATCAAATTTTTGCTAATGGTTGTATTGTGCTTGGAAAAAAAATATTGATAATAGCACTTCAAATGATTATAAATCATTGCGAACCAAATTGATAATACGATGTAATAGTAAATAAACTTCAAGTACCAACAAATTGAAAACACAATTTCACTTTTACTAATGTTACAAACAAAACATAACATAAAAAGTTAATAATGTCATATAAAATTATTAAAAAACATGTTGAACAACATTAATAATAACACAAACGAATACTTAACAACGAAAAATCTCAAACCCATGAAATGAAAAGCCCTAATGATGATTCAATTTATAAATATTGATAATGTCATTACAAAATGTTAATACTTAATACTAATCGGAAGTTGCCAAGATGTGAGAGAGGCTTATATTTTAAATTTCAAATTTCCATTTTAGAAAAAGAAAATTATTAAATTCGGATTTTATTAAGTATTAAATAAAATTAATTTTATATTTATTTTTAATTATAATGTAGAGAGGGTTATGGAGAAAATCATGGGAGGAGAGAGAAAGAGAATCATTAGTTAATTATATTAATTTTAATTATATTTGCATAAACCTATTTACTCTTAACTACCTGTTAACTACTAACCCCCATTAACTACCTAATCCACTATCAGCCAATAGGAAGGCTTTAAGATTTTTCTTAAAAAATGAGGCTTAAGGACTTGAACTCAAGCCTCAGCATCCCACTAGAATCGAGCAACATGCCTATCTAGTAAGCAAAAAAGAGATAACGAGAGTTTAAAGCATGACATGACGTGCAACAGAAGGGTTAAGGCCACTGATTCGTGTTTCCTTTGCTACCAGCGACAAAGTCCGCTGCTTCCAACCACGGAGACGGTTGAGTAACTTCTCTTTCAGGAAACGGAAAGTAGCCACTTTAGAATGGGAAATCAGTGAGGGTAAACCTAGATATTTATCCTGAACACCCACCGCCCCAACACCAAAAATCTGGGCATGGAACTCCTGATCCGACAGGAAAATGTTCTTACTAAAGCATATGACCGACTTAGCCATATTCACCCGTTGGCCACTAAACTCCTCGTACTCATTTAAAACCTCAATTCAATTTTCACATTCCTGGACCGAGCCCCTGAGGAACAAATATGAATTATCTGCAAAGAACCAATGCGAGACTCGCGGTGCCCGAGGGGCCACCTTCACCCCTCCAAGTTTCTTAGCCGCAATAGCTTTCCGAAGAAGCGAAACAAACCCCTCCGTACACAGGACAAAGAGTAAAGGAGAAAGCGGATTTCCCTGTAGGAGGCCTCGCGAGGCCGAGAAGAAACCTGAAGGAGTGCCATTCATCATAACCGAAAAGGTTGCCGATCGTAAACACTCCTGAATCCAGCCACACCAAGTAGAGTTGAAACCCAACTTTTCCATCACCGCAAGAAGAAACGGCCACTCGACCCTATCATAGGTATTTCCATGTCAACCTTTAGAGCCATGTACCCTTTCTTGCCTCGCATTTTAATTTTCAAATAGTGCATCAACTCGTGCCCAAGCAACACATTTTCAACAATCTGACGATCACGAATGAAAGCATTTTGCCTTTCCGAAATGATTTGAGGAAGAAATCGGGCCAACCTCGCCGACATGAACTATAATTACATATAACTACTCGGAAAAACCAACATAATTACATTTGTTCACCTCTATTTCTACACCACCTCTAACATACTCTGTCTTTTCTTTTGGATAAGTCAGTGTCCTCTTTTTTTCCTGCTCCCTCTCTAGTTTGTAGAGGGCACAGATTACCTTCTGATCCGGCTTTCAATAATAATAAGGTTGTCAACCCGGTTTAGCCTGTTAGCCTGATCAAGAAAGTGGGTTGATGATTAATGGTCCAACCGCTATAGCTCGAATATATGAAAAAGTCATTATTCATACATTTATAAATCATATAAAATTCCATTTAACATATTAGTAATAATATATAACATTACATAAAATAACATGATCCATATTATTAAAAATCCTTACACACTTATATATCACCAATATTCAAAGTTCAATTTAAAATTCAAAAATAGGGTTAGGAGAAGAGGTAAACCAAAAAATGCACATTTCGCAAAACAATGCAAAATGATGCCGTGTTAACTTCAACCGTATAACCTTGCAGCGGATCTACCAAAAAAAGGCGCATTTCACAAATAGAATCATGGCTTCTATATACACAAATCAACTGACCTCCACATATCCAACAGATTGAAAGCACCAATTATACTGAGCAAATGATCCAAACAGAAAGGAGCAACATAAATCACAAAATCCAGTACTCCATTTGACCTCTAAAGCTTGCCAGCCGCCACAACAACACACATGGGTCTTCTCTTGGTTCTAAAAGCTGACATCAAGCCACCCTTCATCAAGCCCAGCATCCCAAACCTTGAAACACCTTCTGCTCTATGCCAATTAGCAAAACGGTGAGGAATCTGAGAGAACAGTGATGAGTTTAGATGCAGATCACTAGATTGTTGAGTTAGATGCAGATGACTATATTGATATATGAAGTCAACCCAAAACAACATTTTCTAAACTAAACTAGACACGAAAAAAAAAAGAGTCCAAAATAAGTACAATGATGAACAATTACTAAAACCTGACTTTGTTTTAATCAAGGATTATAAAACCGTATATAATATTATACGGTAAAAGAAAATGTTGGCATATTTTCTTCTTACTATGATATAGGCATAGTTCAATCGTTTCATATTGAGAAGGTCTAGTCAAAACATCTCTTTGTTTCAATAAAAAATTTAAAATTCGTATCGAAACTTATAGTCGAAAATTCAATGAGAGAGTAATTTTATGCTTCAACCAGAGTTCAACGGTGTTTCATACAGATAAAGACCACTGAATAGGCTATTTTTCAATCATACTGCTGGTGTTACAATGCAAGAATTGAATATACCATCGTCTTTCAAAATTCAATTCCATCATCTGCATCAACCCTAACATATTAAAATTACATGCAGGCTAGGCAGTATCACCTGTTGAGAATTGCAGTCATGAAGCAATCAACTACCAGTCTTGAAACAGTCAAGTTCGGGAAGATCTAATATATACATTTTACCTGTTGCTTTGTTCGAAAGAAATCTTCCCATTCAAGCAAATTTCCTGCCCACCCGAATGCTAGTGCAGCAGTAGCACCACGAGCAGGACAGCAACACAAACAAAACAGAACAGAAACCTCAGATATCTAACCCCGTTTTTCCCGACCGCCTTTCTACGGGATTTCATTTCCATTCGATTCATCCACTCATCTAGCAGTTCGACGTTAGCAGAAGCGATCGTCTTCTTCAACGACTCTCTAGCGAGCTTCACCTTCTCCTTCTTGATTGCGGTCCTCAGTTCCAGCAACTCATTTTTCAGAGTTTCCACTTCCCCCATCAATGGTTTCTTCGCCTCCTCCCAGAGCGCGAGTTCCATGTCGGCGTAGCGCCGGAATATTTTGGTCAGCGCATCGTTCATCACCTGCCGGATGTCTTCTTCAAAGGAGGGGGTGGGTGCTGCTGGATTAATCTCTGTCGCCATGATTTGTGTCGCCGCCGCGCGTAGGTGGAATGGGGTTAGGGTTTTGGTGGCCGATTATTGATAGAGAAAACGCTACGGGAGGTTTTATGAAAATGACAATAATGTTTGCATCATTTATAATTAAAAAGGGTAATATCGTTGCAATAAGTACCAAACTAGATAAATCGGTTGGACTAACTAGTAGAATCACTAAACTAGTTAAAATAGTGGTTCGATTCATATAATTAGACGGTTAGAGATGGATCGAATTGTTTATAACTTTTTGAAATGAAATAAGAAGAACCACCCCATTTAATTGCTCGACTGGTTTGATATTTTAAATTTTAACCACGGACAATTAAGAAAAATGTAAACCTAAACTAAAACCATCCAAACTAAATCACTAATATAATGTTATTTAGACTTCATTTTTTTCATTTCACAACATCCTTGTTGGGTTTGATTTCCTTTTTGAGATAGTTCGAACGCTTTTTTAGATATTTTGGTGATAAATTATATGAATTTTAAATTTTCAATGGTTAGTGATAAATACACTTCCAAGTCGTGCATATATATGTCTTCTATATTATAGCACATGGACATTTCTGTAAAGATTAATTATTGAACAATCAACTACTAACTTTTCTTGTTCAAAATTCGGTTTTGTTAAAAAAAAAGGGTTAATACCTTAGTTTGGCCCGAACTATAGACAAACTTTCTACTTTGGCCCGTGGTACCGGAAATTGCTATTATGGCCTATACTATGTAGCATACTTTCTTATTTGGCTCGAAGGCGGGTTTGACCGTCAAATTAGACGGTCAACTCGGTTGACCGTTAGTCAAAGTCCACCTCACTTGCCACGTCAGCTATCAAGGAAATTTTTTTTTTGAATTTTTGAGTTTTTTTTTTACTTTCTATGCATGTATTAAGAAAATACTTTGCCCAAATAGATGTATTCAATCAATTTGTGTATTGTCATTTGATGTAATGATTCAATGCATGTATTAAGAAAATACTTTGTTTGGAGGGACAATGATTGAGCAAAAAATGGGCTAGACAATCCATTGTTAACAATCTCACCTTTTTGTAGAGATTGACAATCATTCATTTTGAGTGATTATAGGTGGGCCCAGGAAAAAGGTAATACATGCATTCTAAATTTCTAACTCAAACTGAACAAAAAAAAAAGACTTAATCTTACGATTACATGTACTGGTTAAATACCTCACTTTAAATCCCAACCTCCAAACGACTCCTTAGTGTTTTCAGAAAATTCAGATCCAAGGGTTGTCAATTAAAGACATTTTATTTTCCCTAGTTTTCTTAATTGGTTTTTATCTTCTTCGTTCAAACTCGGATTTCAATTTTTTTTTGAACAGATGGAACAAGTTCTTTGTGTTCTACAAAATGAGATCAATTTTCAATATATTTCAAGAAACTTTTTTTTACCAACTACATACCATATGATAACTTCTTCATTTTTAAGTTGTTTTTTAAAACGTTTGCTCAGAAGGAACGAGTTCATCATGATCTATTGGATCTATAAATTTGTGGGTGAAAAAATACTGGACGCAAAATTACCATACTTTACCACTATGGTATGTGGGTGGTAACTTGTAGTAAACAATGATGAAAGTCGTAAATGACAGTTAGTATACTATTATTATCATGTATTCAACATTCTTACCATATTGGTATGTTCATACTATCATGGTACGCTTTCTTACCATATGGTATTAAATAGGCGCATATTCAACTTTTTTTCTACTAAAAATATATCAAAGTGGATATCATTTTAAAGAGCATAATTAAATCTGATTTATCTGTGCAAAAAAAAAAAAATGAAATTTCGACTTAAAACGAGAGAAAAATCGTCCGTTAAAGATTAAAGGGAAAAAGATGAAAGACTTTCATGTTGTCTTGCAAGATGAAAGTGGCATAATAGCAATGTCACATGCCACTGATGCTTGTGTAGCTTTTCATAATGTCTTGCAAGATGCCATTGAAAAGGGACACATCATCAATTTCCATAAGGCAAAGGACGATGTCATGTTGATGGACATTGATCCATTCCCAATATGCTTGGCGTCAACATGGTCAACCCAGACTTAGCCAAAGTCGACTTGCCACGTTTCAAGATGGTTTTGGATACAACGCCATCTCGAAGTAGTCCCAATGAGGTTTTGAACAAAAGAGCTTGTCAGGTACCAAGCAGGCCAGCCTGGCTGCAATGATGATTGATGGAGTTGAGAAGTTGTGTGCTCAGTGCAAGAAGAGTCTCAAGCTTGACAAAGAGAAGTCGAGATATCCATCTTGTGGGCAAGTGATGTCCAAGATGCTACATCAATCCAAAGCCACACATATTTGTGATAAACATGATCATATGGCTAAGTATGGAAAAGAGGGCATGCCACCAATCACAAACAGTGGATAGTAGGGCAAGTCCAACAAGGAAAGACATGGGAAAGGCAGAGAGAGTTGCCATAGTCTTGCAAATTTTGATAATTTTGGACAAGGGAGCATGTCACCCACCATGAAGAATGGAGTAGGGGGCATCTCCAAAAGACACAACAAGTCAAACCCGTACATGGATTTTGTAAGCGTTAGACCATGGACAAGGGTGGACAGGGTGGCAAGTCCATATCCATGAGTAGACTAAGCATGTATAAACTCGGAGGAAACCAAGGTAGAGAAACAATCATGATCGCCTTGACATGTCAAGTAAGGTGGCCCAGGCAAAGAAGCATGAGACCTCATGCAAGGCCACCAAGACAAGACCTGTCGACCATGTACCATCCACTCGAAAGATGAAAAGTTTAAAACCAATATATGGAGAGTCATCTCCCATGGAAGGAAAGAGTCATGTGGTCTATGGATGACTCGTCTGGTTTGATCCATGGACTCGGCAATGAGTGTACACCTTTGGCGCATTGGTTGTTGCCAAAGGCTATGGAGAGCAGTGATGTGTGTCACTTCGTGCCATATGAAATAAATAAATTTATATAATGTACTTATTATATATTATTTATAGAAAATAATTGTAGCGAACCATGGCTAAAAGAAAAGATAGAGAGAGAATATCAAAGTGAAAATCTTGAGTCGGAGTTATTAGACTTCGATATGAAGATTTTGCCACCAAGTCGTTGTGATGGCTTGACATGTCAAATCATAAATCAGGCCATGCCATGCCATGTTGTCTTGTCCCGAGTAGCCACGACTTGGGGGCATGATGATTTGAAACATGGCAATAAGCGTTTTCCAGTCAAATTCAATAGGGTTAGAGTGAGGGACATAAATTTTTTTTACAAAAGCCAAAATTTGGCTAAGGCATGGGACAAGCTTTGACGTCAAGGTCCATCTCACCATATTGGTTTGACATGATGTCCAAAATTTGGCTAAGGCATGAGACCATCTTAAATGTCGAATTCCATCTCTCCATATTGGTTTGACATGATGTCCAAAATTTGGCTAAGGCATGGGACAAGTTTCGACGGCGAGTTCCATCTGGCCATATTGGCTTGATCATTGAAAGCCAAAATTTGGCTAAGGCATATGACAAGCTTTGACAATGAGTTTCCTCCGGCCGTGTTGGATTGATCATTGAGAGTCATTTTTGCTAAGGCATGGATAAGTTTTGACGGAGAGTTCCATCAGCTCGTGTTGGCTTTATGTGATAGCCAAATTTTGACTAGGTATATGACTTCTTGCTAGCTCCTTCATGGAAGAAGACCCATTAAAATGTATTAGCGAAAATAAAATAAAATCTGAGTAAGTGGCCATCACGAAAAAGGGCCAAATTATGGCTACAGAAACGTCTACTTGTGTGTTGATAAGTGTTAATTCATCACCTTGGTAGGTTGATGTCAACTACTTATTCCATAATTCTTATGCACTAAGTAGTTGGGGGGGGGGGGGGGGGGGGGCATTTGCTTACACCATAAATTTGTCTTGTACACATTGATGAGTTACAAGATATCTAATGAGTTTATAAGGCCACATCAATTATAATAATTAATGCTATTTAAGTCGGGTCTTATGGATATTGATTTTAAGCTCAAGCTACTAAGTCATTAATGGACATGACCATGATTCAATAAGGGACATGAGCCTCTCGTAAGAGGCCAAGCCATGCTACGATAAAATAAAACTATGGAAATTAAGGTATGTGCCGCTTCACGAAGAGGGTAGTGTCAATCTTGAATCTAGAGGCATGTGCCACTTCACGAAGAGGGCCATGCCCATCTATAATCTAGAAGCATATGCCTCTTCAACGAGGAGGGTCATGTCCGTCTAGAATCCAGAGGCACGTGCCGCTTCAAGAGAAGATGCATGGACACAAGACAAGAGGCTCTAGGCATGATTGAAAAATTCTAAGTACGAGAAGGCCATGCCGTGTCACGGGAAGGGCCACATACATGATTGAAAAGTCCATAGCCACGAATGAAGAGGCCATGCCTCCTCATGACCAAGACCAATGATACAAAATGTACTAAGTTTGGGAAGGACATGTCGCCTCTTGGGAGGGGCCATGTGCATGATTGACAAGTTCATGCCGCATCACGAGAGGGGCCATGATCACGAATGAGAAGGGCGTGGTGGTGGAGCATTCACTAGTGACTAAGTCCCAAGAGGTTCATGGTCGTGAGACAAGAATGTCAATGACATGAGTAAGAAGTCCATGGTGCCTAGCAAGAGGATCACGGCCCCCTAGTTTTGTGAGACACCACATGCTTATCAAGATTAGAATGGCACAAGATTTGTAATAAGACTAGGAGAGGTAAGCTACACTTCAAGACCCACAACAGTTCCAAGATAAGAACCTAGGCGGTTGAAGGAGTAACCACCACTCGGAGAAAGCAGGAAACGGTTCTTTCTGGGAGTTATCCAAGAGGCAGTTGTCTACAACGGTTATCTCTCCATGGCTATAAATAGGAGGAAGGGTCGACAGAGAAAGAGGTTCCCAAAACCAACACTCTGACACACATTTCAAGTTTATCCTTTTTTTCTCTATCATGTAGCCATAGACGTAGTTTTTAGTTTGCATCTCTCACTGAACTTCCATAGGAGTTGAGTAATTTAACTTAGTTTTCATTCCCAGAAACCATCAATCAAACACCATCGTTCGAACTTTGGTTGAAGAGGCATGAGCCATGTCTTAGTAATCGTTGTCCAAAGAATTCAAAAGTGCAATCAATCTAAATTCAAAGCAAGTTTTCTCACCGGAAAACAAGAGTACAAATAAAGGAGTTATGATGAAGCTGCCAAATGAATAGAATTACGCCGTTTTAACTTCTGATAGCCATTTGCGACTTCAAACCTAATCGTGCACAAATGGGGAATGACACGTTTTTGTACACAAATCGTGCCAAAAAAAGTGACCATTCTTAACGATTTTGACCACGCTTTTGTTCACAAAATATTTTTACGTAGAAACTTAATATTTGTGGTGGGCCTAAAATGTAACGGTTTTTACACTTTGATGCACGTTTTTTACTCACTACTGATTTCGGCATCGTGTAGTAGTGACTGTGAAAAAAAAATTACTCCTACTAATTAGATTTTGTTGGAAAATGTTTCGTTATAGATTTTATACCACACAGTAATACACTTTTCGAACTCAAGTCACTCATATGGTATCGAAGTTCCGGACCAACTAGTTGAGAAATCTTGACATGGTATAAGAGCTTTCTATGATCGAGAGGTCTTCTGTTTGAATTCAGACAACCCCATTCTAAGATTAAGCAAACTTCATATCCATATTAGTAGCTTGAGTTTGAGGGTTGTGGTATAAGATTCATCATTAAACCTATTTCGACTCTAAAGTTAATTGAAATTAACTGATTTTAATATAATATCATAGTTTTTTGTGATAAACATTTCAAATCCATGTGAAAGGCTCCTCGTTTAAGAAACCGACTTCTAATCATGAATTCTCTTTCAACGAGGGAGACAACTTTGGAATGGAATCTGCTGAAACCGGATGCAGCATCGATGTTTCCGCCTTTCCTACGTTGACAAAGATGAAACGAATTAGCTAGGCTGATCAATATCGTAAAATTCGTAAGCTTGGATCTTGCTATTATGAAGATGAGGATGCTGTCTATCCCACTCCTAATGATATAATATTGCAAGCAATGAAATTCTTCCATCAACCATCCGAATAGGTGTGAGTTGGAAATTTATCAATCTGCATTTCACACACATCAATCACTCATTAATTACAATTTTGATTATTTGCAGGTTGATGGATGTTAAATCGCGAATTAACCACACACATACTGATCACCCATCCTTACTTAAATCCCATTACATAAGTGGCTTTTGTTTGATAGGGAAGAGATACGGTATAAATATAAAACTACGAGTTATTATTTCAGCTGAGTTGTTTTAGTTTTCATACATGCTAGGTGGCGCGATGCCGCGCCTTGTCGCGGGCGTAGATGGTTTATCAGCATGTATTATGTGGCCCGTTATGGTGCTAAAGTATAATGTTCCATCAATATTTTGAGGACTTATATGCCCAAAAGATAGACTTAAGTTATTAATCTAAAGATCTATTAAGTTAAGGTATCGAACTGTAATTTGCATATGGATAAAACCCATCAAATTTTACCCATTTACCATCTATTTAGATTTCATACTCAACCCAATTGAGTTGGACAATAAAATACCCATGACAAAAAAATTGATATCCTGCCAAAATACACCCATGAATGTTAGTGAACACCATCACAAGAAAAGAATAAAAAAGTTACACGTAGGTTAGAAACTTGGTTTCTCAATTCATCACGATAGGTTGCTAATTATACAAAGTTGATTGGTTGTACAAAGAATGACAATATGTAAGATTTGTAGGAGCCTTTTTTTATGTAGAGTAGGGGCTCTTATTATTATTTTTAGATGTATTTAAATTAAAATTAAACTTGAGGTATCAAAATGTAAAATGTACATTATAATGATTAATTGGTAATTTCTTAGGCAACAATAACTAGACTTATATACGTAAGATTAGTAGGGGCCTCTTATTTTATTTTGGTGAAAAATATATTTTATGTTCAAATTAAATTTAAAGTATAAAATATAAAATGTATATTATAATAAATAATTGGTAACTTTTTAGGCAACATTAACTGGACTTATAGAGGAGATCTGGAATGGATCTTTGAGAAACACAATAACAGTGCATCCAGCAAAGAATAACAATGTTTCACGTGGATAATAACTGCCACGCAAAACTTAGTGGACAAAAGATGAAACAAAAGTTAAAGGGTAATATATAGGAGGTCCTCTAAATATAAGAAGTTACTAGAAGGATATGTGTGCGAAGAAAAGGAAACCAGTTGCATTTGAAAATTTTGGAAGCCACTAATAAATAGTAACTCAAAATTTTGGCTTTTATATATTAATTAATATATTAAATAATAATTTTTACACCTTTTTTACTCACTGCTTTCACCAAATGCTATTATAGCCCAATGGCAACCTTTTTTTTACTGACACATAGATAATGCATTACGTGAGGAAGTTAGAACATGTGAAGAAATAGTTGCTCCAAATAATTAGAATTTGTTGGAAGAAATTTAATTATAAATTTTATACCACATAGTAACATATCTCTCAAACTTAAGCCAGTCATATTGTATTAGAGTTTTTATATATAAAAAAATTGTATTAGAGTTTGGGCCATCTGGTTGAGAATCTTGACATGGTATTAGAACTTTCTATGACCGGTAGCTAATCTGTTCGAGTTCTACAACCTCATTCTCGGGCTGTGCAAACTTCAAACTTATATAAGTAGCTTGAGTTTAAGGGACATGTTAGTATGTAGTATAAGATTGATCATTCAACCTCTCCCAATAATTATGGTGCGTTTGGATAGGTGTATTTCAAATGTAAAGTATTTGAAATACATGTAATTCAAATTTGTCGTTTGGATACTTATTTGTATTTGTTCTATTTCAAATTTTGTGATTTTTCATTTTTATTTTGAATTTTCTAAGCACTTATTATAAATTTCGGTAAATTTAATTTTTTCCTATTGTTTAGTACCTAAACTTATAACATTTTACAAAGAAGTCCAGAAAATTTGATGGTGAAATTATGTCTTGGTACCTTTATATGTTTTTCCTCACACTAGAGTATCTAAACTTTTTAAATTTTAACAAATAGGTCCAATCTTTTGGTAGGAGGAGGTATTTTCAAATCACTAGTTGTTGAAATGTATTTGAAGTTGACAAGTAATACACAAGACATGTATTTGGAAAATACTCCGTGAATTTGACACACATTCAAATACCAAACGTAATGAATATCCCAACAAATTATTTGACAATAGAAAATCTAAATCACAAATACCAAATTGAAATCATTCTATCCAAACACATCTTTAGAGTTAGTTGGAATTTAACATGATATTAAAACCTTATGTAATCGATAGGCGTTATGTTAAAATCTCGTAAGTACATAGTGATTTTCAATGAGAGAGCCAACTTGGGAATGGAATCTGCTGAAAGCCGGATGCGGCATCGATGTTTCCGCTTTACGTACGTCGAAATAGATGAGACCAATTAGCTAGCTAGGCAGATCCATAACCTAAAATTCCTTAGGCTTGGATTTTCTTGCAATTAGTTTATTATGAAGATGAGAATGGTGTCCATCCCATTCCTAAGATATATAATATTTATTCAAGCAACAAAATTCATCCATCTCAATTCTCACATCAATATAAAGCTAGCCCGCTTCCATTCAGAACACATATTAACTTTGCTAACCACGAGAGAGAGAGAGAGAGGCGTGCAGGTTGGTCGCTTGGATGCTGGAATGGCCACAGTGCTGCTGTCGTCGCTAATTCTGACAATGATCAACGGATGCTTCGACGGGGGTGTAACTATCTCTGCTGAAGCTGCCCTCGATCCTATGTGCGCTGCTTCCAACCAGTGGTTCTGTAGTCCGACCGACCTCGGTATCTCAGGCGCGCAGGAGGCAGTATTATCGTTACTCCTCACCACGGTAGAGTGCAAGCCGATGTACAACAATCATCATTCTCCTCGACAACTAGTCGCCTTAGCCTACATGTATTCTTCTTGTGCTAATGGTCCCACCTCCTGCGATGATTGCTTAACCAGAGCGACTCAAAAGATGCGCGAGAATTGCCCGGGCAAAGATGGAGCTCAGTACGGGACGGAAGAGTGTTGTGCTAGATATGAGAAGAACAAATTTTGTGGACGACCGGAGTAAATTATCACCCGCTAGCTGGTCAGGGTTTGTGTTGATGAATGCTCCTCTTTATTCTTGTAGTTAAACCGTCGTTATTTAAATAAATTCCAAATAATTAATTGCTTTTTAGTGCTTTTTCAAAATTTTATTGAAATATTTTTTTCTTGAACTTACAAGATGTCGTGTTAAATCGATTTCAAAATTTGATTACATGGCATGCTCTTGTGATCGTAATTGTATTTTGATTGCAATAAGAAGTAGAATATAATTCATGAATTATTAATCACCTAATATTTTTGTAGTTAAATCATTGATTATATTATTTGTGTATATATGAAAAAAATACTCGTCAATCAATTAATTATGTTTCTTCATTATGTCATGGGGGGAAATTTTCGCCGGTATGAAACTGGGGAAAAAATTTCATCAACTCCATAATTTCAAATCCTGACTCCGTCCTTGTAGAAGCAACAAATAAAGGCTTCTCATTATAATATTAAAATAAGAGATTTATCGGTTAGTATACAAATCAATATATAACCCTATTTTTTGAAAAGAAAAATCCATAATCTTCACACTTTCAAACTATTTATTGGGTTAATTTCACTAAAAAGGCTAATAGTGATAAATGAGAATGCTGGTAACCGCCATTTATATCATGGTAATACTGGGCATTATCATTATCGCCATGACTGGGGTTTCTTGAAGTATATAATACAATATCAAAGAGTGCTCAGGATTTGGATATCCCCGTATATATATAGTAATTCATTGATAATGCTTTTATTCGGGTCAATTGCAATTCCGCCACCGAAGTAGTTGTGTGCAAGATACGTATGTAATGTACGTGCCTGTCGATATGTTTTACTTTAGGGTATCTTGCCGGAGTTTGCTACGGGAGAAGTGGCGATGTGTGTATGTTCCAATGAAACTTCATTATTCTACAAGTATCTTGCCGCCGGGGTTTGTAACGAGAGAAGAGGCAGCGTTTGTAGGTAGGCTGATCAAAAACCTAACATTCCTACGCTTGGAATTCTGTTCGCAGTTAGTTTATTATGAAGATGAGAATGCTGTCTGTCTATCCTACTCCTAAGATATAATATTATTCAAGCAACCACTCTCTTATGTATCTGCTTATATACAACATCAAGAGTGCTCAAGATTTGGATATCTTGGTTATATAATAATTCGCTGATAATGATGTTATTCGGACGAATTGGAATTCCGGCACAGAAGTATTTGTGTGCAAGATACGTATGTGTCTATGAGATATGCTTTAGGGGTTGTTTGGATAAGGAAATTTAGATAGGGATTTTGCCACAATCCTTGATCATGAGAGATTTTAACAAAATTATGCGTTTGTGAAGTATAGGAATTGTGGACTTCAGGAATTTTGAAATTCCAAATTGGCAGGTTTTTAAAATAGCTAATTGCCTCCAGCTATTTCAAAATCTCTGATATATATTTTTATTTCTTCCAACCTTATCCTTCTGTTCTTCCAACCTATTCTCCACTACAACCTATTGACTCTCCCATTTGTTCAATCTTCTCCGACCACACCCACCTCCGGCGACAACTTCGTTTCCCCAAACCCAGCAACCACTTTTCTCCGGCGTTGATTCTTCCTCCAGCGATCTCTGTCTTCTTCCGACGATCTCTGGATTGGGCGATTTCCAGTGAATGAGTTGAGCGGATCTCTTCGATTTCTTCTCCGATTTCTATGGATCTGCGACCCTTCTGCTAGGCCTCGATAATCGACGAGGTTCAAGAGCACAGGACGTCGATTGTCCTTCTTCCTCCTCCGAACCAGTTCTTGCGACTACCGTCTGCTTCTCACCGGCGGCGACTCGAGCTTCTCCTTTTTCCGATTCCGAACTCCCACCGGCGAAGAGAGTAGGTGCGATGATTGGGCATTCTCTGTATTGGCGATTTCTGGTAAATCGAGGCGATTCCGACAACGTCTTCTTCTTCTCAAACCCGGCGACGGTTGGGCGTTCTCCGGCAACGTCTTCTTCTTCTCAAGCGGCCAGCGGGGACATGCAGTAGCCCAGAGGGACTCTTGCGATGGATCTGACTGCTTCCCCCTTCGATTGGTGGCGGCGGATCTGACGCGACGACGACGAGAATCAAAGAAAGAGAAGGAGATTGCGGATGCTTGTGGATGCTTGCTGATGGGAACTGCTATATGTCTCTGGTGGGGATGCTTGCGACGGGAACGACGATGACCAAATCTGGTTCCTTTTCCGAACAGAGATGGAACAACACGATGAACAATGAAAGGGCAAATTAGAAATTTGGCATTTCTTATTAAAAACCTATTTTTCTAAACAAACAAGAAATTTAATACAAATCCTTAATCACAAATACCTGGGTTTTCAGTTGAGGGATTTGAGACTAAATCCTTCACAAATCCCCCAAATTAAATTCCTTAATCCAAACGACCCCTTAGGGTATTTTGCCGGAGTTTGCGACTGGAGAAGAGGCGGTGTATATGTTCTAATGCGACTTCATTGTTGTACAAAATCTTGCCAAGGTTTGTAACGAGAGAAGAGGCGGTGTTTGTTATACAATAACCTAAAACTCCTACGCTTGGATTCTCTTGCAGTCTATCCCACTCCTGATATATAATATTGCAAGCCAACAAATTCATCCATCTCACAATATTATAAAGCTAGCTAGCTAGCTCGCTTTACTCAGAACACATATAGTTAGCTAGCTAACCGAGAGAGACAGACAGACAGACAGACAGACAGACAGACAGAGAAAGAGATGGGCGTGCAGGTTCGTCGCTTGGATGCTCGAATGACGACGGTGCTGATGTCGTTGCTAATCGTTACAATGATCAACGGAGGCTTCCGCGGCGGTGCAATCATCTTCTCTGCTGAAGCTGCCCTCGATCCACTGTGCGGTGTCTCAAACGAATGGTTTTGTAGTCCGACGGACTTTGATCGCTCAGACGCGCAGGAGCAAGTGTTACCGTACCTCAGAGTCAGACCAAAGTGCGATCCGGCATACTACAACCATGGTGCTCAAATCGCCTACATACATTCTTCTTGTGCTCATAGTTCCACATGCGGTGATTGCTTAACTAGAGCGACTCAAATAATGCGCGAGAATTGCCCGGGCAAAGATGGAGCTCAGTACGGGACGGAAGAGTGTTGTGCTCGATACGAGAAGAACAAGTTTTGTTGAGCTTAATTAACTAATTAAGAAATGCTGTTGTGTATGGAGCACTACTACTATGCTATATAGTATTGATGCTTTAATGTACAACTTGAAGTTGTACCATAACATTAAATGTATAAGTTTAGGTTGTACCATAAAGGAATTTGTATCATTATGTTATGGTACAACTTTACAACTTGAAGTTGTACCATCACATAAAGGTACAAGTTCAAGTTGTACCATAAAAGAATTTGTACAAAAAGTATAGGTACAATTAGAAGTTGTACCATAGCGTTAAAGGTACAATTTCAAGTTGTACCATAAAGACAAAAACCTATAGCACCAATGCTATGCTATATAGCATTGTAAAATTCCTCACGTAACGGGGAAGAGATAATACACGGTATAAAATAAAACTAGAGTTATTAATTCCACGATGAAATCTGAATCCGGTGATGTTTTACGATGGGTTCTGAATTTAATTGGCCGAGTTTGGCCAAGTCTGTTGAACGAGACCGAGCTGTTATGGAAGTAAGCACCTTTGGTTAGGGGTGGGAAACGGTGCGGTCCGGTCCAGACCAGACCATAGATACGGTCTGTGGTCCAGACCGAGAGGTTGGAACACAGACCATGGACCAGAGCATATACTATATGGTCCAGACCAGACCACACCTGTGCGGTGCGGTCCGGTATGGTCTGGACCAGACAGACCATGTTAAAAAAATTAACTCTTGTTCACCCTCCAACCCTATTCACCGGTATCTATAAAAAAAATCTAGTGACCAATATGCTAGTGAAACAAAAAAATTGTGATTGTATTAAATGAGAAGAAATATGAGGATAGAAGTGGGTTTTTTTCAATTTTAAAATAGCCTTATTTCCCTATTCCTCTTTGTGCTACCGCTTCTCTCCTCTCTCGAGTGATCTGAAGGTTCTCCCAGTTGATAACCTTATTGATGACGTCGAGGTAATTTCGAACCACTAAGATGGTCGCATATCTCTCAATAATTTTCCTTATCTCATCAAGGTGAACGAATTTTTTTGTAGTGTTTAATTTTTATCGACTCCATAGTCTAGACATTATCTGTGAATATTATTTATGAGTTTCTAATTTTTGTGTGGTACTTTGATAAGGAGATAACATATAAGCGATCATTTTGCAATTTGTTGGCTCTCAACTAGATGAAGAATCAACTAACTTTGTTCTTCAAATACACATATGAAGGTTCAATTTAGTGTTATTTTTGTCCAAGGTAGTAGGTAGTGTGTCGCGGTCTGTTACGGTTTACTGCGGTAGACCGCGGTCTAGACCACTTCAGACCACGCACTAAAGGAGGAGACCGCAAACCATACTAGACCATAGTTCTGGTCTCACAGTCCAGACCAAACCATACGATACGGTCTACACCGCGGTTTCCCATACGGTTTGGTCTGGATTCCCAACCCTACCTTTGGTGCCCGAGCGGTACCCTCAGTATTTGGGCAGCTTCACTTACCAAAGGGAGGCTTCTTCAATATTCCTCAATATTATCACCATCGTCAATCTTAGGATTGTTAACAATCCAAATATTTTAGCTTTTTCTACTGTTAAAAAATATTTTAAATTGTTCATTCTTTGGTAACCGTGATTGTTAGAAATAACAATAAATTTTTTAATTTTATATAAAATAACATTTTTATTCATAATAAAAAATTAGAATGGTTAGAGAAATATCTGAGTATTTATCTATACTTATATTTAATGGGATAAATAAATAAATAAATAAAAAGGAAGGGAGAAAGTGATTAAATCTTGATATTCTTGAAGTTACGGCTTAATCTTGATAAATAAAAATTAGAATGGTTGGAACTACCTTGATATTACAGCTTAATCTATTACATTACAAAAACTTAATGAATTGAAGCTGTGGATGTATGTGAATCAGGCAATATCAATTTGAATATAATGATTGATTAAGATACAAAACCTTCTTTTTTCTTTAGAGGCTGAATTTTATCCAATGCTTGATTAACATAATTGGTTTGGATGGATTAAATTGAAACAAATCAGGCTCCGGTTAAAAGGTGGGTACTTTGGTCATATCATCCGAGTTCGAGTTTTCTCTTCAGATTTGAATCATATAAAGTGCTATCAGAGTCCGGTTCAAATTCAATGGCAATTTTAAGGTCTCCGATTCAAAATGATCAACAACAAGGAGAAGATCTTATCAAGCGATGGCAGCAGAGCTAGAGCACGACAATATGTTCCATACTCGTTGTTGGGTTAAAGAGAAGTTGTGTTCTCTGGTTATTGATGGAGAGATGAAATCCAATTTGATCAGTTCAAGGGCAGTAGCTAAGTTAGGGCTAACTACACAACGACATCCTACCCGTTCTTTATGCAATTGTCGATGGAAAAGGCCTGGGTTTTTTTGACTGAACAAGTGTCTTTGGAGATCAAAATCGAATCCTATGTGGATAAAATTAAATGTGATGTCGTGCTTATAAAGCTCACTCATGTGGTGCTTGGTAAACCAAGGCACAATGATCGAGAAGCACGATGAAGCAGCAACACCAACAACATCATCTTAAGGCATCAAGAAAAGAAACTTGCCTTGAAGCTATTATCGTTGGAAGGGGTTGCCGAAGATAGGAGGCAATTACAACAAGCCTATGAGGAGGAGCAGGCAAATCTGGAAGCAGAGAAATCGTCGATCAACTGTCTAGAAACGCAAGAGCAGGTGCGGGAATCTCAAGCCACGATCAAGAGTGTACATGGAGGGTCTAGTTCCATCGAGACCAAGGCATTGATGATAACACGTAGTGAAGATGTGTAGCCGACAATTAATGTCATCACCTACTCAAGTTGATTTTGTCAAGTTATGTCATGTCCTAGATTTTACCTAAGGTACGATAGATGCCACCATTGTATATATATGGTTCAGGCTAGCGTACACCTGATGTACACTGTATGCCTGTGTTCACACTTGTTATTATCTTTAATTAATTATAATTTAAACAATAATACACAAAATAAAATTGCGATAAAATCTATGGATTTAATTTTCGATACAATTTAGTCCCAAATATTCTTTACCATCGTAAGAATATGGGCTTTGCTATTTTGGCTTCAAGTTTGTTCAAAGTGGGCCAATAAGCCCATTACAGTCAAACGATCAAAGCTTAATTAGCAAGACTAGTTTCATCGTCTTCTACCCAGTTGAAGCAACAAGTTCTGAAACCTAGAGAGTAGAGAGAGAAACTTTCATTTATGAAATACAGAGCATGAAATTAAACAAAATTGACGTAATGTATCCACCCTCAATCTTCTCTATTCTCGTTCCTTCGGGACTCGAGAGTCCAAAACCTCAGATACTTGAACTCCAAATCCAAGCCATTCCTCATTTTCATCCTTCCGACGAGAACTAAATCCAACCTGCGCGATTCTGCAGCAAGGAATATAGGATTCGGATAAGAGTCCGCAGCTGCGCCCACTATTACACAGGAATTTCGTCACAAAAGAGACGTCGTTGGTTCAAAGCATGCTGCTGGCTTGGAGAGCTTAAACTATGTGATTGCAAAACAGAGTACCCACCTAGCATTCTCTGCAGCCTCTACCTCACGCTGCCAGTTAGTGAACACTTTGGCAACAGCGGGTTTCGGGTCTCTGGTCAGAAAGAACAATCGATTGTTGCTGCATGGATGTTCACAGCAGGATTGTGAATAGAAAGGCAGCGGCGAAAGAGGTTTTCTGGGCGATTAGAGGCGGAGGATCAGGGAGCTTTGGGATTGTATCGTAGAAGGTGAAACTAGTCCAACATTCTCATGAATTGAAATTCTTTATTGTTTCCCCATCGAACAGGTAGTCACATATCATACCCATCTATCTGGCGCAAACCCACCTCCGGCGACCACCACAAACAGGACGAGCAAGACGAGGAGAGTGGCAGCATCGCAATGTCAAAATGAACAATCAGCACCAGAATGTGCTTTCTTATAGTTAAGATCATCGGCGGCGACTGGCGGCCGAGGAGGATTGTTAGTCGTGGGAAAGCCTGGTGTACGTCGACTTCTTCTTGTTTTTGGGGCAATAGTGGAGATTTCGGCTGGAGATTTAGGTGGACTAAAACTTAAACAACAATTAGTTAATGGATATGGTTGTAATGCGAATTATTATTAATAACTAATGTACTAATAATTAAAGATAAATATTTAAATAATTAATTTTCTAGTGTGAACACAAACGTATAAGGTACGACAGGTGTACGCTAGCCTTTGCCATATATATATATGATAATGACTGGTATACTTTAGTAGTATACCATACTCCATATGATATGACCGTTAGGTCTCCATTTTTGAGCTCCGACCAATCTCAATGGCTAATTAATATTTTCTACTAAATTGAACTTCAAGTTTTAGTTTAGAGAATCGGGGCCTCAGGTTTATCCATTAGAGGTAGGGTGTATTATCATACCTAAACCTTTGATTTAATTCAAAGTCTAAATAAAGATATCTCACTATGAGTACCTGGAGTATAGTATACTCCATGAGTACACCAGTCTGAACCATATATATATGGTTGCCATAGTTTTATTAATGAAGTCTGATAAATTTGGCACTTTGTTAATAGAAAATGTTATTGGTGTGTTGCGGTATTAATATGTACGAAATTTTATACATTCCTCTAAACAAATATAATGGCCAAAGTTGAAAATTTAGAATTTAGAATTTACAAATAAATATAAATGTAAATTAGCAAATAATTAGTCTAATTCCTTAAAGTACGTGTAGTAAATGTGTTATACGTGTCTAATACTTGAACTATTAAACAAAAAAAAAGGCGACAACTTTATAATAGTACATAAATGAAAATTTATAACGCATTTAATAGAATATATGTATGGATATTAGCCAAATGTTTACTAACTATTTCAGGGTCCTTCGACATGCATTGAGTTATGTTGTATAAAAAAAAAGTTCTATATGGTTTTTAACTTAACAATTCAAGAATGTGCTCTATATTTATTCAAAGGTAAATAAAAATGTTTAGCACGTGCTAAAAAATTGGTCTGAACTTTAATTTATAATTCATTGCTTTTTTCTCAAAGAAATGATAAGTGCATGTAAATTTCAAAGCAACTATGAAGAAAATGTGTTTTGAAGACTACTTTATGAAGAAGAACAGTTACTCAATTCAAAAAGATTCTTGCTGAGCTATTGATACTATGTTCATCAGAGCCATCTCATTCTTCTGTCTCTGAACCTCAAGTTACATAAATTTCATGACCGAATTAATAGTTTTGAAGAGTATCAATGATGTAAAAAAAATAATCTCTAACAAACATTTGTGATTATAATGAGGTAAATTATTTTGCCATAAAAATTATATTTTATATTTTATATATGATTATGTTTTATTTTTTGAATTCGCTTCGCGAAAAATGTGAAAAATGTAGGTTGATGATGAAGATAGTGAAGTTGATGATGGATATTCTTGATAGTAAACTGTAAAGAGGTATTGATACTAGTCACTTTGTGATACCTACAATATCGTGTCATTAAGTTTATTATGAGTTGATATACCCTTGCACAAGTCATATAGAAGGAACCGATTGCAACGTTAGTAAACTTTTATGACGGATGCTAATTTTCTATATCCCAAGTAATTGAATATTTAACTTTATTGATGGTAAAAACTAAGAAACTGTCTTGCTATTTGATAAAAAATATATAATTATTAATGAATTTGCATGTCATTGACATGTAATCGTGACACGAATATAAGAGAAGATGAAATCACTGAAATTTAAATTTGAAGCTTTGTTAATTGCTGTTATATTGCAACCGGCCAGTGGGCCGGGGTACTATCTAGTATTTAATAAACCGATTCTAGATTAATCTCTAATAATATCTCATCGACGAAAATATACATTCTGTTAAGTCAACAGAATTCACTAGGAAACACACTATATAAACCATCCCCGACTCCCAAGTCTATGAGCCACATTGAAGCGAGTTCCAAAGGATGGAAGCAACAGATACAACTTAATATAAGAAAGAAGGTGCAGGCCAGGAACAGCGCTAACCTCAGAATATGAGAACCATTGGATGCTACGTACCAAGCGGCACCGGGTGTTCCTCCAAACACTTCAGTAATGAAACGAGCTAGCCGGCCGGCCAATAACTCTCCACTTCATGAACAGATCAACATCACTATAATCCCAGCGGCCCCAGCTCATTAGTGAAGTGTTCAGAGGAACTCTAGGGGACGCCTGATCTGATCTTTTCCTTGGATCTATTTCCAAATTTCGAGCAATATGGTGTCGTACTGATGATGCTGAATGTTGAATACAATGGCTTGCTGCAGAGCTCTTTCTATTTATAGTGAAACCTCGAAGCTGGAGGGACAGCGAATGGCCGCACATTGAGATTCGGTACGGTTATGAAACTAGACGGGAAGGAGATGCGTCAGATGGCTCAGTAACATGTGACCCTCTGCAATTCACTTCTTTTTTGAGGGGAATATCCCACTGTCCTTTTAATTGTGTCATATGGCCACAATGCTAATATCTTGATTGCCTCCTTTGTTTTTGGACGCTAGGGATGGTGAATCTGGACAGAGAGAGTGGGTAAGTGAAGAAAGAAGAAATGGAGGGAGAAACGTCAGAGGGGTGGCAGCGGATAACATGGCAGCATAGTGATATGGGTACGTACTACTTCCATAGTAGTAGTGATCTCTTTCATTGTAACTTCAGTAACAATAAAATAAAACACTAATTCTAATACAACACTGCAACAATGTAAAAATGTTACTTAGCTTGTGCCCAATTTCATTTAATATTTCAATCGTATCTGTGTCTCAATGTACAAGTTTGTTGTGATATTTGTAGTCTGACTCTTTTGTTGACCATTAGAGATAACAGTTAACCAGACGATAGTCAAACCCATGTTCATTTATGGTGACTTGGCAACAACGTGACAGCCACGTCAATGACACATCAGATTTTTTAATTTAAAATTAAATAATATTCTAAAAATAATCATAATAGATCACTAAATAAAAAGGTTAAAAAAATATTTTCCCTATTTACTCACAGACCACAGTCCCTCTCCATATCCCACCCACTCTCTTTCTCTTTTTTAAGAAAAAAAAAAAAAATTCCGGGGCCCTTCCAATTCCTCCATTCTCGCTGTTCGATTGATCAGATTGAGCTATGGTATGCTTGGAATGGGTTAACTTTGTTTGTCGTACTAAAGCTATCTTTATCTCGAGTTAGCCGAGCATGATACTATACCCTAACCCTTAATGAGTGAACCCTAGGTACTAATCATCTAAATCATAAATTATAGGGCTAATACCACTGGAAATACCAACATTTAGCGAAAGTGCCATTTATATTATGTAGTTTTCGATATGACAATTGTGTACCAGCCGTTAAGTTTTCCGTTAGTTGTTAACAAAAAATACAGTCAGCAATGACGTGGCAGCTGATGTGGAAAATTGTAATAAAAAATAAATGTAAAAAACAACCAAAAAAAAATAAAAAAAATAAAAAACAAAATCAAAAGCAAAGAAGGAAAATGTCTTCTTCATCTTCCTATCTCTCTGGATCTCTCCCCTTCGCCAACCTCTTCTTCCAGGCTCTGTTTTCGGCTGCAGATTGGGGGAATGATTTTTTTTTGTTTATGAGATTTGTGTTAGGACAACCCTAAATCGATTAATCCTCCCACTGTCGAGAATAGACACCTCCTCCCCTTGTCCTCCAAATCCGACACGAACCCTAAATCCTTTCCGTTTCAGTTCTCCCAAATCCTGACCTAGCCACCTTCTTCCCAATCTTTAATCCGCCGGTGGTAGTTAATCGGAATCGCAGGCTATTTCTTCTTCCTCTTCCTCTTCCTCGTTCTCAAGCCACCCAATTGAGCCATCCCACCAGCCACGCCATTGTTATCGATCCACCATCGCCGAATGAGAAGCTCGACTCACCGAGAAGGCTGGTTTTGGGAGATTGAAGAGGAAGAAATTCAGAGGCAGGGAGAGGCGTCCTTACAGCAGCGGAAAAAAGAAAGGGTGGGTCATTCTAATAGTCTAATCCTCACAGCGGCTCCCACCGTCTCTCCGTCCTCCACTCCCTTCACCTTGATTCTCGCCTTCCCTCAAGCGCAGATCCAGAACACCACAAAAGGGAATCTGTGGCGGTGATAAGCGTCATCGATGCTACTCTGTTTCCCGGGGCGTTGAAGAGGAGACAAGGAGCCGGAGACAGAGGAAGCTCCTATCTGTTTCAATTGGAGGTGACCCTCCTAACTCCTTGATTTCGGACGAGGAAGCTTCTGTTTCAAAAGCTATCGTGGGATATGAATTGAGATTGGGCAATGATTTTTTCTGTTTTGTTTATGGGATTGAGTGAGAGAGATAAGGTCGATCGACGACTGCCAATCGAGAGAGGCAGAGGCAGAGAGATGTGATTGACGCCGACGAAGTCTCAGGCCACTCCCCTACCCGATTGAGCCATCTCGCTATCCTAGTCGTTGCCATCGATCCACCATCGCCAAAGGAGAAGCTCGACCCGCCGGAGAAAGCTGGGTATGAGATATTGAAGTAGAAGAAAGCTGGATTTTGGAGAAAGCTGGGTTTGGGAGGGTTGAATTAACCTTCCTTGGCACCCGACGGCATCTTCTTCCCCAACATAATAAAGCTCGCTTCTTCTTCCTCGCCGGCGGCGGCAGCGGGCTCTCCCCTAGGTGGGTGTGGTCAAGGAAAGGGTGGGTGTGTCAAAGAAAAGTTAATTTTCTATTCAATTATTAATTATTAAATAATTAATTTAAATGTTAAATAATTAATTTTTTATTAATTTCCAACATGGCATCTATGTGTCGTCTACGTGGACAACACACAGGCGCCACTTCATCAATGGTCAGATAAAGGTTGACCACCGTTAGGTCAACAGTTAGATCTAACGGTCAACAGAATTTCGCGTAACACAGATGACACAAACCCCTAATACGTTGGAATATTTTTGTGTTTATTGAAAATACGTAATATAAATGACACTTTCGCTAAAGGATGGTATTTCCAGTGGTATTAGCCCTAAATTATAAACCCTAAGATGGTGCATTGATTTTTTTGCCTATATTTGGACGAATCATAATCGTCGATTATTGTTTCTAATTAAATTGATCTTGGGGTATAAGATTTAGAGAATTAAGACCTAGATTTTTATCTTTTAAGGCTTAGAGTATAGTATCATATCCGAAAAATCTTTCAAGTTCTAGATAGCGTTTTCTTACTCAAGGTATGTAGTACTCCGGTGTTCACCTTAAATATCGTAGAACTCTCCGTAAATATATATAGATCGCAAAATGTAATTTAGGAAAAGCGTAAATGAACGACCATAATTAGCATGTTTACACTGTAACCGAATTGACCTATGGACGTTTGATACCAGCGGAAAGAAGATCAACAAAAGTTGAGATTCCAAAGGAAAGAGAAAAGCATCCACCATCTGTTTCTTTTACTACTCTTTTTTCGTTTTTTAAGTAACGTTCCAATGAAAGAGATCACTACACTACTATGGAAGTAGTACGAACCCTATCACTATGCTCCCATGTTATCCCCTGCCTCCATTCCTTCTTTCTTCACTTACCCACTCTCCCTGTCCACATTCACTTGCCCTATCTATGGCCAAAAAGAAGGATCAAGATGTTAGCATTCTGACGCATCTGCACGTAGTTACTTAACGTAATAAGGTACTCCTACTTGCTACAATTCTAGCCATGCATGTAGTTGGGGAAAAAGGAACCTGAAGATTGAGGGTAGAATGATGCGATAGTTTGATTCCCACGATTTCCTTTGAAGCTATAGCTAGAGCCCGAATCCCGTCTAGTTTCATAATCGTACAGAATCTCTATATGCGGCCATTCGCTGTCCCCTCCATCTCCGAGGTTTCGGGTATAAATAGAAAGAGCTGCAGCTAGCAAGCCATGTATTCAACGTTCAGCATCATCAGTACAATTCCATTGCTCGAGATTTAGAAATAGAAAGAAATGATCAGCGTCCCCTAGAGTTCCTCTGAACACTTCACTAATGAGCTATGGGGGATCTCTTCATGGAACAGAACGTACGTTTTCTTAATTACTGAAGTGTTTGGAGGAACTCCCGGTGCCGGCATGTTGAACCCCAAACGCTCGAGAATCAACGGCCCCCAACCACCTTCAGGTTTACTTGAGTTGCCGATGATGGCCTCTCCAGTGACCGGCAGCCCGGTGAGTAGGGCAACATCTCTGAGGGTGATCTTCATTTCCCCCTCGGGAAAGTGGAAGGTATGCAATTCGGGGCGCCATCGCTCTGCCATTGTCGTAAGCAGATCGTTGTCTATATCAAGCTGCATGAAATGCCTCAGCATGTGCAATCCCGTCCTCTCTAGATAGGGCTCGAGACGAGGATGCCAATTAGGCAATCGACATGTCCCTCGATGACTGATGGGAATAAGTGATTCATACAAAACAAAAAAATACAATGATGTTAAAAAAAACAAAAACTTTTAACCTATTGAAATAATTTAAAAATATATACGGTACAGACAGAGTGTCTACCGGATTATTGTCCCAAATTGCACGGGAGCGATGTTGTTCTTGCTCGTTTAAATATTTGCGATCCCTTGGGCCAAGATCGATATACAAACGAGGGTCGTATATCTCAGCACCCATCTATAAACAAATATGAAATGAAATTAGAATATTTCAAACCCATTTAAAAAAACATCAACAAAGGTGAAAACAAAATTCGTACTCTTAGAGCCTCTTAGTCCATTTTTTTGCCGAAAAGCTATAGAGAGTATCTACGAAACTTTAGAGCAAAAGATTTAAAACAAAATAAAAACTCTAGTAATTCTTTGTGATGTGGAAGATCGGACTTAGACGCAACCACAGAGCATACTTAGAACGAGACTAGAGGGAAGTAATGGAGGGAGAAAGAAGTAAAAACGGTGAAGCATTTGAACCACAGCGGTGAAGCATTCATCGTTTTAGTCAAAAACAGTGAATGGTTCACCGTTTTGGACAAAAGCAGTGATAGTTTTCCCGCCTTTGTCAAAAACGGTGAACCCTTCACCGTTTTTGTTTGCAGCGGTGATGATATTCACTGTCTTGGTCCGCAGCGGTGAACCCCAAACTGTTGTATTTAGGAAAATATTTTCATAAGTACTGTATTTTGGGAATTTTTTTTACTAACTAGTGTATTCTGGGATTTTTTCCGACCATTTAATGGGGTTTATCTTCATCTTCCCACGGCTTTCGGCGGGATTTTTCCAATAATAGCACCTTAATTTTTTTTTTACAAGAATAGCATCCAGCCGAAAATATTTACACTAATAGCACCCTTTTATATGGACCGCACCCCCAAGGTGCGTTTTATATGTAAACCGCAGATGGAGGGTGCGTTTTATGTATAAAACGCACCTTGGAGGTGCATTTTGCGCCATGTCAAACTGGGAACCGCACCTTCAAGGTGCGTTCTGTGTTTCCACGGGAGTGGCCTTGGAGACTGCAAGATCCAGCTGCGATCCAGCGGCGGACCGCTTGGCACCTCAGCGATCCGCGCCATGGATTGCAGACCGCAGCGGCAGGGAGCGGTCAACCCTCGGGGAGCGTAAACCGCGCTGGGAAGGTGCGGTTTTGACTGGGGCAAAATTACCAAACCGTTCCTGAAGGAGGCGGTCTGATGGGTATAAATACCCCCTCCCCCCTCTCATTTTTTCACACCACAACCATTCTCCACCCTCTCTCTCTAGAATTAGCTCTCTAACCCCTCCCCTCCCCTCCCCTCCCAAAAGCCTAGGAAATAGTGGTCTGTTGGTAGCGGCTAAGTCCGATCTGCCATCAGAAAACATTTCTTTAGTTTTTCCCTCAAAATCCGTCCGCCGAATTTCTGTCAGACGTCGAATCTCTGTCCGACTTTCGCGAGAAATGAACGAGTGGTTCCAAGAAGAGGGAGTTTATTATGATGAATTTCAAGCGGTACGTAATCATTATTTTGGTCAATTTTTGTTTTTGTTATAAGCTTTTTAATTAATACATGTACTAACCTTGTTGTTATTCTCTCGTAGGTTGGGGACGACGTGAATATATACAACCAACGGTACTATTTGGATCAAAGGCCTATTGATGCGATCGACTTGTATGACCAATCCAACCATCGTTCAAGGGATGTTTGGAACGATCACCCGGTACATACAATTCTTCATCATTTATCTTTCTTTTTTTTTTGCTAATGTACTTAGTGGAATATAAAATAAATTTGAAATAATTTAATCGTATTGGTTGTTTTCAATAATTTAATCGAATACATAGCGGCACTTACTTCTACTCTTTATAAAGAGATGCACGTCTAAGGAAATGGGGTTTTAAGCGATTATCATGATCCTCCAATTTCTTGGGAAAATCGGGTATTAAGAGATCTTCGGATCCCCCCTTTTTTTGTCAAAAAGGCTGCGTTTCTAAGAAGATGTATACCTCTTCTAAGAGTCTAACGAGTGTTGCATTGTATTCGATTAAATTATTTAAAACAATCAGTACGATTAAATTACTTACAAAACAACCAATACAATTTATTTTTATGTGTACTTAAATGAATTTATTAATTTCAAATGTTTGAATATGTATGTATCTCCTTAAATTATTATTCATTTAGAATACTATTTATGCCAATTAATTTAGTATGTTTGTGTTATGACTATATGTATATATCTTGGAAAAAACCATAAATTACTTAAATTTTGATTGTTAATAATATAATTATAATAGAATTATATTCTAAATTAAATCAATAATTTTAATTAATTTAGTTATAAGACTAAAATATTTCTTATATATCATAAATAATTTTAATAATGGTTGAAATTAAATAATTAATTTTGATTTATTTAGTTATAAGACTAAACTATTACTTATATATCATAAATAATTTTAATAATGGTTGAAATTAAATCATTGCTTTTAATTTATTTAGTTATAAGACTAAACTGTTACTAATATATCATAAATAACGTTGAAATTTTTGCTAGGAGGCACAACAAATACTCCGCTACAGGGGTACGACCAATGTGCTCCCATGGAACCCAGTTATCTTGCCCTATCTCAAAAGGGCACGGTTGGAGTCGATTAGGCATTTTGTAGGCATAAAAGTAGATCGCCAACTCATTACCGCATTGGTTGAGAGATGGAGAAAGAAGACACATTGTTTCAACTTTCGCGAAGGAGAGTGCACCATCACACTCAAGGACGTCACCATCCTAACTCATCTGCCTATCGACGGCAAAGCGGTGTGTGTGAGTGATCACCACCTCGAGGATCGTGACGGTATGACCGGTTGACAGTATTTCATCCACAGTGTTTTGGGGGTGAAAGTACCACCAAGGGGAGCGTTGATGCGACAGATCGCTTGCCACCATTGAGGAAAGGCCAAGTATCAATCACTTGGTTGACGTAGTATTTTAGGGACCATCACGATCCTGAAAAAGATTGGGTGCCCCTAACCGAGGAAAGTTCGGAGCTGGAGAAGGAAATATATGCTCGTGTCTATCTCATGGGCATGATAGGAGGAGTGTTCTTCTCCAAAAAATCGAGCAATTTAATTAGTTGCGGATGGCTTAGGATCCTCTTTAGTAGTTGGGATGAGATGGGGGAGTTGAGCTGGGCATCCGCTTGCCTAGCTAATATCTACCACCACTTGTGCAACGCATCTGTCAAAGCTGTGAGGGAGGTCGGCGGCGCAATGTTCATCGTTCAGTTTTGGGCTTGGGAGCATCTGCCATGGATTGCACCACTCCAATGTCCTGACAGGAATTGGGGTCCCGATCATCCCCTAAGACTCGAAGCTTATGGTTGTAGGTAAATTTCTCATACCCCATCATGATTTTATAACACAATTTTCCTTAATTATTAATAAGGTGGGTTGGAGCCTCAACATGCGACAACCTTGCCCAACACAAGTTGGTAGAGTATCGGAGGAGGCTAGAGAGACTTTGGGAAGGAGAGGTAACTAGAAAACTTCTAAGTGCTATAACTTTTTTTCATGGAGTACATGTATTTTTCCAATAAGATTTAACTTAAGTTACTAATATTTTTTTGTAGATCAAATTCGATCCATACCCAGCAAACATCGTTCATTGGCATTTACAGCAATTCCCCGAGAATATCGGGCAGTGGTGCATGAGGGTCCCTCTCATTTGTTTAGGGACCGTGGAGTGGCACCTGCCGGATCGATGCCTTAGTCAGTTTGGTCAGAAGCAGTGCATTCCGTTGGAAGTCCCCGAGAGTCAAAGGGCGTTTCACGGTCGAGATGGTCGGCAAGGTACTCATGATTGGCCCACGAAGTGGGCAGAATTGATCGCGGTATGGGAGAACCGATAACTTCATGATATTGTCACTCCAACAAGTGTGGGTCGAATGGGGTATCATGACCCATACATGGATAGATATCGGCAAACATCGGTTTGGTACGTGACTTCAGAGGGTGCGGCCGATGGTGCATTGGTAAGTATATTCTGTCTAATAAGATTAAATTTATTGCTTGTTACATTCTGTCACATTTCTTATCTTGCTAACCTTTTTGTGATTTAGGCTGATGGGATCGAGCGGATCAAAGCGTTGACCCATGGGAAACATGAAATGGGACATGAAGATGTGAGCTTCATCAGGAGGATGACAAACAGTCTGCTTGGCTGTATCAGAGCACAAGGTCGTGATCATCGTAGATACCCACCCATGCCCGCACCGGTGCCACCTCCGGTACAAGTTGATGTCCCCCATCCCCCACCACCATACGAGAGAAAGAAAAGCAAGAAGGTTCGGGAAAGACCTCATGAGCCCGAGATAAAGCCGTTACCGGTGTGGAGAGTGCCGACCCCCTTGGTTGTGTCACACGGTGGCGGTCCGAGCTCACATCAAGATCCCCGCCCGAACCACTCCCAAGATCCCCGCCCGAGCTTGTCCCAAGATCCCCGTCCGAGCCACTCCCAAGATCCCCACCCCACCCACTCCCAAGATCCCAGCCCGACCTACCATCATGAGCAATTCCCAAGCTCATACAATGATCCCCGCCCGAGCTACCATGAATCCCCTCCGAGCTACCATCAATCTCAATATGATCCCAACCCGATCTCATACAACGATCCCTGCCCATCATACTATGATCCTCGCCATACATACTATGATCCCCGCCAAAAATTCTTCAACGAACCCCCCACATCCTCGGGTACTTGGCATGATGGTTCCTCCACGACTGCGCATCACGACTTCAATCCCATTCCTCGCCCAAATCAGCAGTGACCTCCTACTCCTCACCGAATGAGCGTCGATGTCCCCCGCTCGACCCCGGAAGCGCCGCATACCACGGATCCACGCCAACACAGCACCGATGATCGCCCTAGCATGACCCAGCGATACTTGCCACCGCAACCACTGATGGCCACTCCCGTTGGCCGTCGTACAAGGAGCCAAAAACCTTTGCAGCCCCATGAGTCCCAGGGACTTCCTTGAGATGGATCTTTAGTTTTATCATTTTAAGTGTTGTCTTTAGTTATGTTTTATTTTTATGTACTTGAAAACCTTCTATTTTAGTTTCTTTAATTGAGTGTTGTTTTAGTTTTTATTTTAGTTATAAGTTCTTGTCTTTCTCTACTTTTATCGTGTTAACTTAAGGCTTGAGTGTTCTCATGAGGGTTATTTGAAAACACGAAAGTTCCAAGCATCATAGCTCTAACTCTGACAATAATTGAAAATATACATAACAAATGAAAACATACATAACCGCACTTGGGGGGTGCGGTTTGTGTGGCAAAACCGCACCTTGGGGATGCGGTTTTGTTTTGGAGAAACAAACCGCATCTCCAAGGTGCGGTTTTGCTAGGTCAGCCCAAAACCGCACCTCGGCCAAGCGGTTTTTGTAGGTCAGACTTGAAACCGCTTGGCCAAGATGCGGTTTTGGCCCAGGATAATAAACCGCACCTTAGAGATGCGGTTTATATGTAAAACGCACCCTCCAGGTGCGGTTTACATATAAAACGCACCTTGGAGGTGCGGTCCATAAAAAAGGGTGCTATTTTTGTAAATATTTTCGGCTGGATGCTATTTTTGTAATTTTGTTTTAAAATGTGCTATTTCTGGAAAAATCCCGGCTTTCGGCGTCCCATGTTAGTTTGCCAATTTTTTTTAATTAATCCTTTGTTTTGAAAGCTTGGATTAGTTTGCCATTTTTTTTAATTTATGATGTGGACGCTGACGTAAAGATCTGTTAGTAAAAAGTTAACGGTAACAGAATGAATGTCCAGACTTTGATCAGTTATAATACGTTTGGTTAATAAATAGTATTCCAATAAGTTTGGATAGAATAAAAGAATCTGGAAAAGTTTTGGGTAATAAATAGACATTGCCCATTTTTTTATACACTACTAATTGATAACCTATTGGCATAAAATAAAACTTAACTGAATCATTTTATAATAAACCAAGATTGATGTATAGAATCTTGATTATGTCAGTGGCTTTACATATTAGCTACTTCCAATAACTATTATCTCAAACTTAGCAACTATATCTACTAGAGATCTTCAAACATTCTTGTTTGACTCCAAAATCTTCATGTATGTAAAACCTAACCAAGTCGATCAAAGAAAATAGTTTGTCAACATATTATGAAAAAAATTTCATGAGGAGCAGAACATACAACAACATCCTGGTAAGTAGAACAAACTACCACACAATGTCTCGAACAAATCACAACATAGAATTTTTGTGAGAGGTAGAAGAGAATCAAAAGTTAACCTCATTCAGACCAATTCAATTTGCACATTCTGAACTATGAAAATCAAAAGTTAGTAAATTGAAAGCCTTTAAGTTACCAATTCAGAACTTGTAAAGTACTATCTAACATGCTGCCCGCATAAACAAACAGCTATCTACGATGGAAGACACAATTCAACTCACAATTCAGCAGCTCAAAAAAAACCTTGCCTTCGTTAACCAAAAAGATACCCATAGCCAACAGGGCACGTTTCAACTACACAACAAGTTGTAAATCATAAATTAGTTGGAATTTCCTATCAAATTAAATTATCAAACCATTGAACCTCAAAACTCTTAATTTATCAGCTTAACAGTTTAAATTGGTTAACAATTTGAGCACGGGAAACAATCTGAAAGCCGAACGCATCAATCTTTGCTACTCTATGTTGATCACAAGATGAGACGAGGAGCCAACAATGAGGCCAACCAGCTATATCTGGTCAATAACCTAAACCTAGCTAGCTGTAATTCCTAAGTTTGAATTCCATTCGTATATAGGTGTATCCCAGAAATCCATTCGTCTCACGTTCACAAAAATCAAACGCCAAAATGGATACCAATAATATTGCCGCCAAAGTCCCTATATATAGCACATAGCAACTAACCCACTTTACATAACACACAGAAGCTATATATAGAGAGAGATGGCTTACTCAATAAAATCATCATCAATGATTACGGCAACCATATTATTGCAAGTGTCCTTGTTATCTTTGCTAACTCCCACAATTAGCGACAGAAGATTCGTCTCCAATGGTATATATAGTTCGATATGTGCTGATTCGATGAGCCCTTCTAGTGTGCTCTATAGTACCCATGCTATAAAAAACACAAAAAAAAGGTGACCAGTTGAGGAGGTAAACCCACTAAATGACTGGTCCCACATCATTAATGGCAATCTTGTAAATAATGAATCAATGTATACAAGTGTAGGTACAAATTAGAGTTGTACCATATAGTATAGGTACAAGTTT